CCGACCATTTCACAAGCAATTCTGCTGGCTTTGTTGGCTGCTTACGGACCATTTGGAAAATTCTTTTGACATTGTTTGAATACCTTTAAATAACGAAGGGGTCCACTTATAATGAAAGTGGAGACCTTTTCTTCACGGGGGGACTTTAACTTCGCTATGGCGGCGTATATCGATGTGGGTACCAGTTTTGCACTGTGGGGATCATATCTGCACCATTTTTCAATGGAGTGGGAACCGGATCTTCAATTCCAGATAATGCTGCAGATAGGCTCGCCAATCGATGCGTTATAACTCCTCGCGGGCAAAATTGCATTTAAGATCCCAGTATTGGTCCCATCAATGAAATTAGTGGGAAATTTGACAAAAAAAATGGATAGTGCACACTTTGATAATTCAAAACTACCTCATTATCTTAACAGTACGGAAAATTAATGGAAATTGATAATTTACATTGAGCACTTTTATCCTTGAAAATATAGATGTTTCAACATTTTTTGGAATATCAAGATAGCGTGTAATTACATTGACTCTGTTTTTATAACAAAATTTCAGAAAATTCATTGCGATTCACGTTCAAAAATCAAAAAAAAATTGAATATAATAAAAATGAATAGACGCCACATGCCCGTGGCACACTTTGCCAAATTGCACAAAACACAATTTACACCTGCCGATGAGATTCACCCAGGGACCTGTCATAGTGTAAAGCCGGTTCAATATAACGGGTTAAGGCGGTTAACTTGATAATTCGATTTAATACTTATTAAGAATTAACTGGTTGATAGAAAAAAAAACCAGTTAATTGCAAACAATTGTTAACTTTAAATAAATATTTTTAAATAAAATTTTAAGTGAAAAAATTTCTTCAAAATTAGATAAACAATTGATGAAATACAGATCAAAAGTGGATAAAAACTGATCTGCCGCTGATCGATTTTCCAACGCGCAGTGAACTGACAAATTGGAGGACGAACACTCCAATTGGGTAAATAATTAAGTGGATGAAAAATAGGCAATTCTACAGTCCGCACAACACTTGCAACGGGGCGGGTCGGGGTGAAAATTTTATCGACCCGCTAATCGATTTTTAAAGAGAAGTTTTGTTTTAAAAAAATCGAAAATGAAACAAAAACAGTGAAAGCTGGTTCAATCAATTTTGTTTGGGGGTTCTGGCCAAATTTTGTACCAAGAACAATTAATTCTCCTCAAAATATAGTCGGCATCCGGCGACTGCTGTTCGAAATGGTCTCGCAAGGACTAACAGGTTAAAATTTTATGGACCATTTCGATAATTTATCAATCAAGCGACGTCGGAAATTCAAGGAAATGCGAAACTCATTGAGAAAAATGAAGCAGTACGCGTGAAAACAGTAAAATAAGCACCAACGCGTGGCGAGACCTTTTCAAGGCGCATGCGCGTAAACCTACCCACGTACAGCAGTCGTCAGATGACGACTATAAATTTTTTCAATTCGAAATTCTTATTCCGCTAAACAAAGGCTTCGCTGCAAACTGGGAGTGTCGTTGTGGGACGCGAATGTTTTCTACTGAACCGGGTCGACACGGAAATTTTCAAGTATGGTCCGCACAATCCTTTTCCCCGTTGCAGTGATTTTAGACCACTCCGGAATGCGACGTCTCTCCCTCACTATTATACTACAGAATACGAGTATAAGTTTGTCAACGAACCCTTCAACAGAACACACACACAGGGGCTTACAGCAATAACGCCCTGTGTGGAAGATCGAATTACGACAGCGCTTATGATAACCATGGCTTGTCGCAGAACACGAAAAAAAGGACAATGCTCGATTCTACTGAGCGAAATAAGACAAAATTATAATAAAACAGCTAGCAATTGAATTTTGACGGTTTGTTGAGAGCAAACGAATTAACAATGATGAGAGGTGTCTGAAATGATTCTTAAATGTTTTTCGAAATGCCATTCATAGCTTTGCTAAAAAAAAATCGCGATTTGGAATTGACCCTTCTGGCGCTTGATATATCATTTTAGTTAGTTGGGGATCGATTACTGTATCATTTGAATTTCCGCCTTTGGTCTCATATGGAAACCTTTTAATTTCACCATCATTATGTGAAATAGTGTAAAGTATCAAATGACGGAGCTTCGCACGCTTTATTTTACAGCATCATTTAATTGGCAGCCCGCGCAATGCAAAATTCTATACAAGTTCTGATTGCAATATTCAAAAAATTGAAGTTAACTATGTTTCTCAAAAAAAAATTGTGTTGGAACGTACCACACATTTCAGCAATCGCGAGGTTCCAGTTTCTCGTTGGCCAAGCAACTTCAAAAATCGAAATTTGGATTCTGAAAAATCACATACTCATCGCTTTTTACAAAAATTCAAAACATACGTCATTTTTAGCGATATACTTTTGAAAAGACCGCTTTTGACTATGATGACGATCAGCTAAAAATAATAATTGCATAATTAGTTAAAAATTGAACAAACATTAAGAGGTTCGATTATGAATGCTGCAATTAAAAACAAATCTGATCCGATTGACTTCCATTTTCTGAAATATACAAGTTATGAAATATAAAAGTGTTTTGAACAGACTACAATTTTCAATATTCCTTCAGAAGGATCCAGAAGGTTTAAGTGTTCAAGGAATCTCGCGTCAAAGTGCCCCAGCTCAGACGAGCTGCTGTGAGACAATAACCAACAAACTGCCCCTAACTAAATTAAATATTTTTTACTGGCGGGTTAGAGCCTCCGAGCCCCTGGACGTTGGCTCCCCCGCCTGGACAGTCGCCAGCCTCCAATCACGCAGCAACAATTCTGCGAGATTCCCCTGACCTTTAAACCAATCCCTGTCCATTGTCACCTGTTACCGGAATTCGTCCAACCTGAAATTCTACAATTGAAAATAGAAACTCATAAATATTGTCACTGAAATGAAGGAACCATCCATATTGTCGCGCAGCTTTGTACTTCCCACGTGTCAATGTAAAATGGTTAAAATTTAAAAAAAATGTTCATAAACAAAAATATTTTTGAGTTTCACCATAATGACTTTTAAATGAAATAATTCAATTTAATTCAATTGTACGTATTCCATCGAATGTTTTTCCTAACAAATGATTTTAATTCGGTCTTGTCCCCAAACTCAACTGTTCGTCTCGTCGCCACCCACCGTGAGCGCCTAGACTTCCCCAGGCATTTCCCTCCTGGGTCGGACCCTTTGGGTCACCGAAGCGGGGTGTTTGATACTAATCTCGTGGCATGAGACTCGTCACCCGTGCGGGCTCTCTCAAATCCGACTCAACGAATGTTCTCGAGACACGCGTCACAGCGGTTCGAGACGAAATCGTCGAGTGGGGACAAAACGCAAAAAGCAAAAATATATTCGCTTTCAAAAAATTTCGCCGAACATAGGTGAAACACAAAAACCATTAAAATAGGAAACACTCACACAGCGATTCGGCAGACACTGTCCCGTTTAGGAATAACAATTTTGGTGTTTAAACATGTCGATGGTGATGTCTTGATTTGCGTTCGATTTGTTTCTGCAAAAATAAGACTAGAAAAGTTTATAAAGGAAAAAAATACTTATTTTCTTTTAAAACAAATTTTAAGCAAAAAACGAAAAGAAATAATGAGTTGGCGTGAATTTTGCGCGTTCCCTCAAATTTTGTACGCAAACACCGAAATTGACGACATAATATTCGAAAATAAAATTTTCTCGATCAAAATTGGAGTTAATCAATTAACAGACTAAATTCTTAAAATGCTTCAAAATATTTTTCGTACTTTTTTTACTTGGATGAAGATATTTTTTTAAACGTAAATATAAATATCTTTTATTCTCTGCGTTCTTTTTTTATTATTCTTTCTTTTTTTAGGACTAAATCTCATTCGAAGCATACAACTATGAGGTACGAGAAGCTAATCAGTAATGAATTTAAAACGAACCGATAGCTAGAAATCGAGACAGCGTTTCAAAAACTGAAGAGAAATGAAATTGAGTTGTCGATTTTGTACGTATCTGGAACACGTTCTCGAACGAATTATTGATTTATTATTTTTTTTTGAAAACATTTTGGTTTCAAAATCTGTTAAATAATTCCTAGGTGGAATTGTCAACAAGAAAATCAAATAATGGATTTCATTTTCGCGCATTCCTGGCTCGAATTTGAAATCAGCAAAAATCCTACCGATGATCAGCTTTATTTTGAACTTATTGTTGAGAAATGACAAATGTATCTAGGTGTCGTGGGATCCTGCGTTTTGTACGCAATGCTAAGAGACAGTTACCGTAATCCTCGCAGCGATTTACGGAGATTTTTTTAAAATTTTTTTTTCAATTTTTTTTACTGAATTTTCTAATTTTCTTTAGAAATCTTATATTTAAAACCTGTAGAAACCGAGTTTAATTATTTATTTTTCAGAATATGCACTTTTTCATTTGTCCAGTTGAGTTGGGAATTATTGTGAAGATTTTGACGCTCTAAAAATTATTTTGAAAATGAAGAATACAAAAACAAGATAATAGAAACGCATACAAAAAGCAAAATACGATTAAATAATTTTATTAACGACAAAAATGATTTCTTTTTAATCTCTGGTGTTTTTACCAAAAAAATGTCGTTTAAAAGTGCTTATTGTGCTAAATACATTATTAAACTCGGTTTCTGCAAAATTTAAAAATTTAATTTAAAAAATTTCGAAAGAAAATTAAAAAATTGAACGAAAAATAAAAAAAATGAATATGCGAAATTAAATAAAATGTCCCCGTAAATCGCTGCGAGGATTACGGTAACTGTCTCTTGGCATTGCGTACAAAACGCAGGATCCTACGACACCTGGATACATTTGTCATTTTTCAACAATATTTTATTTTTCGATATTGAATTTCGAAGCACTGCCATGGAGTCGCATAAATAACATTCCGCGATTTCGAACAAAACGAAAAACTATAAAGCATTTTATGATTTCTTATAAAATGCCAAAAATTTTGTGAGCCAACTCACAATGATTTTTGAGTTTCTTTCAGCGATTTCGGCGATTTCGGCGTGCATTGGTCCGAAGATTTCAACGATTCTCAATTGCGACATCATAGTAATCACACAATCAATTCTTAATTATTATTTTAATTACCTTCAGCGACCTGGCAATGATGTCATCGAATTTGCACGACCAATGGAGGTCGGCGATGAGATTATTTTCACCGGGAGATTTCTAGAAGCAGATCAGCTTGTCGAAAACAGGTTAATTACATTTAATTCACGACTAATTATGGGTAATTATATATTCAGAACAAGTTTCGACTTAGTAACTGATTATAATGAATTGGCGGTGCATCTTCGCATTGACTTCGACATTCCTGATCAACAAAACTCAAAGATTCTCATCAACAGTTTTGTAAGGAAAATTTCAAAAGTAAATTAATTAATGAGTATTAATTATCTTATAGTCATATGATCGACTGTGGAAAAAAGCAATGTTGATGGAAAGCCCCTTCGAATCCGGCCAAGTTTTTATAATTCGCGTGACGTAAAACACTCATATTGTCGACGCCGCGCGACTGCGGAAAATTGGCAAAATGCCAAAACATTTAAAAAAGAGGTCTTGGTGCGCGGTGTGCGCCTTTAACCCATCCTTATCCATGTGCCCGTAAATCTACACCTATAGTTTTGCGCCAAGACCATTGTCATTGTTTAGCGAATTTTCCGCAGTCGCGCGATGCCGACAATATTTTCCAAATAAAGTTATGTTTTTTTTTTCAGGAAACTTCTGAATTTTTACAAAATTCAATTTAACAATGATGTCTCTGTCACTTTTCAGCAACAATTGGACCCCACCCACAAAATAGTGAAGTTTGTTCGAGAAGCGGATTCGATTGTAACCAAAATTGAAATGTTGGTAGCATTTGAGCGTCTCAATCAATTTTAAATATTTTAGGAAATGCGCCGACCAAAAATGATGAAGTTGACAATTCCAAAAACTTTTTTTTTGCTTTCGATGTAAAACAAAATGTTCCAAATCTTCAGTGATAATAATGGACATCTGATTTTTTGAAAATGCAAATCCAAAATGTAATTTGAGAGTTGAGACAACCACTTATAAAATATTGATTTTGATTCCTTCTTGAAATTTTTAAGACATTGTATGAAGGACACCATTGTTCAATTTATTAGTAAATTATGAATAGTATTGATTTTTTTGGCTTCTTTCAAAACATTTTTCTTTCGGCATCTTCCTCCTGACTCAGAAAATTCCGACTCGTTTCGTCTCTAAAGCCCAAAACCCATTTTTCAAATCGCCTTGGGCGACTGATCCCACCTCCTTGGATGTGCACTAGACATTTACAACTCTCATTTACAACTCGTCGCGCATGATTTTCGAAATTCTTCTGGCGTCTTTGTTGATCTACCCAATTTCTGGGTGTGTCGGACCAAAACGAAATATTTTAGTCTACTGCAATCAAATAGTCTGTTTTTTCAAACTGCTTTTTTTCGAAATTAATTAAAGCTACTTCTCAGAGGCCTGCGACCAACGATGTTCAATTTAAGCAACGAATGATAGATTACGGCGACGAGCTCATAGTGACAGGACAGCTTTTCGAAAAAAAATAACCTTGTTGAGAATAGGTGAAAACGCTGATGATTTAATAGAAAATGAGCATTTCAATTTTCAGCGCCGTGCTCGAATTGCGCGCTCAAAGCAACGGAATCATAATGCGATTCAAAATCGATTTTGAGACTGAATCGCAACCTTCGAGAATTACCCTCAATAGTCAGGTAAGCCGTATACATATATTTCTATGAATATGCGATTGTGATATTAGTTTGTCGATGAGCCGTGGCAAGAAGAGCAAGTTATCGAAAATCCGTTCTCGCCTGGACAGGCTTTGGTGATTCACATCAAGTATTTTCCTATTGACTCTGGTGGCATTTCAATTTTTATTTCTAGAAAACTCAATAACAATTATGAAGTGGATGTTGGGCATGGAGTCTCGACGAGTTTCGCTCACCGATTGGATCAGGACGATGGGATAACCGGGATTAAGCTAAAAGGCGACTGGACTGTCACCAAAGTCGAAGTGTAACAATTCGTTGTAAGAAACTTTCACAAATGCGATTAATTTTAGGAAATGCGCTTCGAAAAAAAGAATGATAATTGATGAATTTCATTCAATAAATTGTTTCTTCAAGGTTCGCGAGAACATTATTTTTATTTGATCAAATGATTGAAATTTCAAAATGACTCTAATTCTAAAATTCTATAATAATAATTGTAGTCTGCTTCTGAAGACTGGGTCTTGTGCCGACATTTTTTTCAGAAAGGCTACAAATTTAAAAAGAAGAAATTAGTGAACCCATCATCGTATTTATTAGTACAATATTGTTCCGCACACGGCCCCGGAGACCAATGAAACAGTGCTGAAATGATGCCGAGTATAAATGAGACCAAATGGTATTACCTCCAATCGCCCAAGCCCGTTTCTTTGATGGCAATGGCCGATTCAAATTCGCCACTGAAACACAAAATAGTGAATTGACTGAAAATGGTTCATCGTACTCTTTATAAAACGAATTGGGATTGAATAGGTGCCATTTATATGACCATGCGAACTTGCTTTCTGTTATGTTATCCGTCCAGACGAACATCTGAAATTATCGATTTCTCTCTTTGTCTTTCAAACAATCCCGATTCATTTTTTAAGATTTGGTTATATTTTCCCTTTTTTTTAAGTTTCGATATGATTTTTAGAAGTTTCCCTTCAACTGGATCTGAAAAATTCGCTGCCCAATAGGTGATTTCCCACATGCACCTTTAAACATCTAAAGGAATCATTGCTGGAAAATGTTGTCCTGATCGTTTTTTTGAGCGGAAAATCCCCCAGAATTTTGTTTTTTTAAGTTTCGCGATTTCTCGCGAATTCTTTTCATCCCAATTATACCTTATCAATACTACAATTTGGTCGCGTTTCTAGGACTTCTCGTTCGGCATGACAAAATGGATTTCGAAATGCGCCAATATAGTACCACCAGTAGCCGGCGTTTGCTGTAATAGATCTGGCTGAATCAATCGATGAGTTTATAGATTTTTCTGGAAAAAAGGCATCGGCGAGTATCGACCTCTGGTAACTCAAAACCAATCGCATCCGACAAAATTCGGCTCCGGAATCAACCTTATCCGATTGTTAATTCCACGGATAAGATTGAAAAATTGGTTATTGTTCGAAATTGAAAATCGGTTTGATTCCGGAGCGCAAAAATATATTTCATAATTTTTTGAAAAAAAACCCACTAATTTTCAATTATTCTCAATTTTCGATATTCGAATTTCAAGAAAAAGATGCACACCGATTTGAGAATTTTTTTTCATTTCAATTACTACTACCTGCAACGTAATCGATTTCTTCTTTCGTCGCTAAACCAATGAGTTTTGCTCCGGGAGCCTGCGAAGCACAAAGACTAACAGCTTGATAATAGTTGAGCCATTTGACAGCCATCTAAATAGGATAGGTTTAATTCACCGTTGGCCGGCGGGATTCTATCGGACTAGATTGATGTAGTTGGTTTTTGAGAAAAAAAAAAGCGGCTGCGAGAATTGAAGCGTTCACATTTATATTGTAAAGGTAGTTAGCCTCCAGGCTAACACCTTCTAGGGTGATCTCGTTGACCGATGATTCACCAATATCATCCGGCCTTCTTGATTAAAGCCGAACCACCAAAAGCGCGGTCTGATAAACAGCCCACGCTTCCGGTGGCTGACCATCCTCTATGCACACACTATGTCACATATTAATATACGGTTATTGCGGATTTCGAGCAAGTCACAAACTTCAACGCAGCGACAGCTCGAGGCCTCACACGGTCTACACCAGGGCTGTGCGGCAATCGGAAATTTCGGCAATTCGGCAATTCGGCAATTTGAAAAATCGGCAATTTCGGCAATCGGCAATTCCATTGCCGCACAGCCCTGGTCTACACCAGCTTCCCCCCCCACGTCAACCGTATCCCATACGAGCTTCCGGACTTTGTCCGCGCTCGCGCCCTGGCTTCAATACAATCTCTTAACGTCATCACGAACTCGTGAATAAAACGCATTGAAATCGTGCCTTTGTCACATGGAATACGAGAGGAAAAGAAAGACCCGATCTCCGGATCGGGGACATCTTTCACTTTTTCTGACTACATGTAGAAACAGTTTTCACATTTTTAACGAAACTCTTAAAATAATTAGCAGAAATTGTGTGCAAAATTGCGTCAGCGTGAATGCGGACAAAACACGAATCCTAGCATATTTTTTTTAAAGAATTTTTTTATTATGTAGTTTCTTTTTCTTATAATTATTCTTTGCGCATTGTTCGATTTATTATCGCACCAGCGTTTTTACAAGAAATTATCGCTCGTGTAAACTTGTCGATTCATATGTTGCAAATGCGCCCTAGCGAACATCGCGCCAATAATTACTTTTCAATTGAATTTCCCCGTTTTTTATTTATTTTTATTCCTTTTTCGAGAAATGCCTACTCAAATAGACTTGCAGATTGATTATAATTATGCGGCAGCAAAGAAAATATGAATAGACTCAATTAAATCGAATAATGAATTGTCTAGAAACTTCCACTATCGATTTGTTGAGTTTTCTCGAATTTTTGGCACAAAGAAAAACTGCCGATTGCGATTTCACAACAAACTCACTTTTATGCAAACCGCGTGCCCATCGGGTCGATTGAATCGTCGGAATCCCAAAGGACAATCGCAGTTGATGCATGGAATCACCGGAATTCCGGAATCGCAACACACATGAATGATAATGAGAAGAATCGCGATCAATTTCATCAAAAAGAAGACAATGTAACAAACTTTGACTAGTCGTTTGTGTCGCAAAGTCGTAATATTATTTTTTTTTGCCAGTTTTTATGGAACTGGGAATATTTGACGTAACTCGCACGCCCTCAACTTCAATCATATTTTATTGTGCACAAAAGAAACGAGGAGGCTTGAAATTGTCGCGAGTTAGCAAATTGCGACACCGCAAAGCGCCCCGTCATGAATCTGGCCTGTGCTGAAATTGTTCTCTGTCGAAAAAAAGAAAATATTCTCCTAGATTGTTCACCTAATATCTCCAACTCCGCCGGCAAACATTGAAATCGCACTTTCAAATTCGTTTCTAAAAACAGTTTGAATTTGAATTTGAATTTTCATAACCAAGGTACTTGGAATTTTATTTATCGACAATTTGAATTGCCGCTTTATAAAATAAATTTTTCAATGGATTTTTTTCATTGAGTGTCGAAAATTACCAAAAAAACGCGAAATCACATTTCAAATAAATTAAGACAAGAAAAAATTATTTTTTCATCCTACGATTTCATTTTCAATTTATGATTTTTTTTTGAAATTTGATTGAACCAATTTCATTTTGCAGGAGACCAATTAATTTTCAAATTCGTCTTCCCACGAATATATCCGCGTTAGGCAAAAATGGTCTCGAAACGATGCACTCGACACCAGGACAATGACGTCAATCGACACTCATGTCGCGAGACTCAATGATTCTACTGTAGAGATTCACGGCGTGCGCCTTTGGAAATGGTCTCGTCACGAGTGAATGCTTAATTCAAAAATTTTACTTCAACTGTTTAATTTTCTTGATAAGTTTGTTGAATTTCTAGCGTCGACAATTTTGACACTTAAAATGCAAAATAACCATTAATTAGTCCGAATGAGACCTCTCTCTCTCTCTCTCTCTATCCTCTCTCCGTAAATCTACCCGCCTACTCACAATAGCCAATGCGAATCGGGATTATTGAAATACCAGTGATTATTCCACAAAAACGTGCCGACTGTGACGCCATCGGTGAAAAAGAACATCTGAATTTTGATGTATTTGCGAATGAGCCGGATGTCAAGAATTACCTGATCGTCCTGACACTGCGGCATTTGTCGAAGCACATCTTTCGGCGCGTGACATTCGGGCTTTCGGCGAGCTCCGAGATAATGCCATTTATTACCAAACAGGTCTGCAATTGCGAAATTTCATGTCGAAGAAGCCAACTGCTCACTTTTCGCCCAATCATATTCGATTTGATTCTCGATTCCCATCAATTTCCCGTTGATCGTGATCGTTTTGCACTTCTCCGCCGCCTGCCAATAATTCATTTTTCCGCGCACAATCTGAACTCGTCGAAATTTCGCAATCATCTCACCAGTTTTTCGGCATCACCTGAAAACACACAATCCGTCCGCTGGACCGTTTGAATTTGGTGAAACCGATCGGACAGTCTTGTTGGCATTTCGCCGGCGGCTCGTCGGTGACGTATTCGGGCGGAAGCGGCGGACCATAATCGCAATCGCACAACTCGTCGTCGCTGTCGCTGTCGCCGTGAATGTGATAGGAATGGATGGCGGCGGCAAGAATAGAAGCGATGAGTAGAAACGAAATCAATGATTCTTGAGGCATTGCTAGAACAGTTTGATTGCCCGCGTACGCCTTTATACCCCGTCAAAGTTCGATATTCCTATTTTATTGCGGTTTTACAAACGCTTCCCTATAATAAATATGGATTTTTTCAGTTCCGGCTTGCAATTTTCCGGAACAAAAAAATCATTGTTCCGATTTTATTCGCGCGGTCGAATTCACGGACGGCCGCCAATTATTCGGCCATGCGACATTTATTTCGAATTAATTCATTTTTTATATAGTCGGCGTTCGGCGACTAGATTTACGTGCATGTCCATGCGAGACCAAGAGAAAGACGCATCCCCGTAAATCTACCCGCGTACAGCAGTTGGTGAATTTGAAGATTTATTTCCCTTCAGACGTTCAGAGAGATATACAGAGAGAGATACCATATTGATATTAAAGAAAACAATGTTTATTAAATGTAATAAATTGATTATTAGCATAGTGCGACACTGCAGAGAGCTCCAGGAAGAACATCATGCATTCTGCAAGAAATGAGCAATATTTATTCATGGAGCTCATCGATTGGTTTACCTCCAATCTCCCACCAATCCATTGTATATTCCAATAACGCTTTCGAACTCGCCACTGCAATTTTTTTAGTCGAAATATTCTATTTGATGTCTAAAATGCTCACTAGCGGTAGAATGAATCCGGATTCTGAGCACTCCAATGGTTGTTCCATAGGAATGTTCCCTCAGTGACTCCATCACTGAAAACGAACATCTAAAAAAAACAAAACATTAATTTTGCGCAAAATTCGGCACAACGATCAACCTTATCAACGGAGCATTCTGGACGACTGAGAAGCACCGATTTGGGGGCGTGACATCCGTCTTTCCGGTTAGCGCCAATATAATACCATCGATTTTCAAGCGCTGCTACAAATTTTGATTTTTAAAAAATTGAAGTCGATTAGGATTTTCTGAAACTCCACAAGCATTGATGCAACAGGCGGACAGAAAACGGCGCGGTGCATTTTTTATCGAATGTGAAAATGCAGTTTTTTTTTTTGCAATTTTTTTATACCGCCGAGCAGTGCAAACTTCCGCGTCATAAAAGTGACAAACAACCCCCTCCTCCATTTTGTGTTTCGATTTTTATCTCGATTTCACGTGCCTAAAGCGTATATAAGCATACGTTCTAAATCGGTGATTCTACTCGGCTCGATTTTTCTTCGCTCCGCCGCCGCGCAACGATACTCCAAATTTAAGGGGTATTCCACTATTAGCGTAATAAATCATTAGAATTAAAACTTCCGAACTTATACCTTCCTATATTCTGTAGGAAAAGTGTTTTAAACTAGAGTAACAAATTTATTCAAAAATTTTTTCACGTGTTGAGCTTGAGCTGAAAATACATATATTCAGGTTGGTAAGAATACATATTAAAAACGTTGGGGTTCTTCTCCAATCGCCGATTCGTCGGGACTTGCTCGCCACAGGATTGAACCTCGAGAGACACCATCGATGAACATCTAGTAGATCATAAACCCACAATTCGTGTTGAGCATATTTGCCTGAGCAACTTATCATTGTGAGATAATGAAACAATTCTGAAACAAAGGACCCATTGTTTACCGATTCTAGACGTCCTGAACTTCTTCAATCAATTAGTCGATACATGCATTGAATCTCTCTGAAACAAAAATGAGATTCATATATGCATGTCAGTGGATTGGAATCTTTCTTGGTCAGTGAAACGAATCCTCAATCGAATTGGATTTGTCATTCATAACTTCATGAATCCGACTAAAGCTAAATGACATATTAGGGATTGACTCGCAATTCGCCCGAAAATCTTGCTACTACTTTTTTTCAAGTTAAAAAAATTATGTCTGCGGTGCGTACCGCGTCGCGGAGTTCATTAGGGCATGTTTGCTGCGAGGGCGCTCGTTATATTTAATATATATTTTTTTAAAATGAAATCGGATAAACAATTTTTGAGTTTCATCTACTTTATCCAACCGTCGGTCATACACACAATTCAGCCAGCGGTATTTTTTCTCGGATGTACTGCGAGTGCCATTCGCGTGTTGGATTTGCCTAGTTCTAGAAATATCTGTAATTTCCGCTGGATAGAAGTTCACATTGGCTTCTAGACTCTTGCAGCTATTGGAGAACTTTCAAGTGTAATTTCTGTTAAACATATGTTCACCTTTTATGGGTTTTCGATTTGTCAAACTACACGAATTATTTACAGATATTACGACGGTGTTCAAAACAACAACAATCCAGCCAGCATTGGGTGTCTGTAAATGGTGCCTGTAATTCTTCCCTTTTTAAGATAACAAAAACTTTTTTCAATGAACCGAATTGTTTTTTCCAGCACCTCCTACATTCGAATCTTGACCACCCCCTGATTTTTCTAAATAATAAAAAAGCGAGTTCGACAATTGCAAATATTGTTTTCATCAATTTTATGCATTGATTTGTTAGTCTAGTTTAAAACAATTTTTCTACAGAATATTAGAAGAAACGAATTCGGAAGCCAGTGAGAATACCTAAAATCCGGAGCGGATCGGATTGATAAGCTAACCGAACCCGCCTAATTTTCAAAAAGTTTCAATTCTAATGATTTATCACACTAAAAGTGGAATACAAAAAAATTTGGAGTTGCGCGGCGGCGGAGCAAAGAAAGATCGGCCCGAGTAGAACCACCGATTTAGAACGTATGCTTATATATATATATATATGCTTATGGTACAGGCATTTCAGCAAAAAATCAAAAAAACATTGGGGTTGTCACTTTTAAAACCCGGAAGTTGGCACGGTATAAAAGAATATCAAAAAATTGCATTTTTCACATTCGCTAAAAAATGCACCGCGCCGTTTTCTGTCTAATCATTTCGTGTTGGATTTCGCTCTCGATCGCCTATGGAGTTCCAGAATACTGCGACCCAGATCAAGAGTATGATGATTGCGAATGTGAGGATACTGATGTCGAGCCGTGTTATCAGCGAAATTGTCCGGATTCAACATGGAGAAGGTTTGTGAGGCCCAGCGGAAATGTCGTTTGCTTCAAGGTAAGAATTGCACAAGACGAGACGAAATTGAAATTGAATTGGTCTTACAGCCAATTACGCAAAACGTGAACTATGCGGGAGCGGTATCTCTTTGTAGCAGTCTGACTTCCAATTCCAAATTGTTCGGAATCGAGACCCAGGAGGAATTTGACTATTTGAAGTGTAATTCTAGTTGACTTCAATTTAAAAAAAAATCAAAATTTGTAGCAGCGCTTGGAAATCGATGGTATTATATTGGCGCCTACCGGAAAGACGGATGTCACGCCCCCAAATCGGTGCTTCTCAGTCGTCCAGAATGCTCCGTTGATAAGGTTGATCGTTGTGCCGAATTTTGCGCAAAATTAATGTTCTGTTTTTTTTAGATGTTCGTTTTCAGTGATGGAGTCACTGAGGGAACATTCCTATGGAACAACCATTGGAGTGCTCAGAATCCGGATTCATTCTACCGCAAGTGAGCATTTTAGACATCAAATAGAATATTTCGACATAAAAAAATTGCAGTGGCGAGTTCGAAAGCGTTATTGGAATATACAATGGATTGGTGGGAGATTGGAGGTAATTTAATAATTCTATTAATCACGTTATGCTTCTTGCAGTACCGTTGATATTCTTCATGGAGCTGTCTGCGGTCTCGCACTCTGCTAATAATTACATTCAATAAATACTATTGTTTTACCAGTCGTCTCAGCATGTCCAAACTTCTCTTATCTCAGGGAGATTTTGCGCAGGCCTGCGCGTGTTTTGGGGCACGCCTGCTCGTCATTTTGGGCAGGCGTGTGCCGGGCATGTGGCAGGCCTGCCCCAAAACACGCGCAGGCCTGCGATTGACGCGGGGGATTCACGGGATTGTATATATATTAATGTAATGATGATATATTATGGCACAAAATAGAACACCTATAATAATTGTGGATCATCGCACTCTTTCGAAGCGTGGTATTCAATTTCGAATTTAAACAGTAAAATCAAACGCCCCACGTAAATCTACACACGGAGTTCGTTTTTTTTTTAATTATTGTAATATCTACTAAATTATTATAGAAGAATTCGCGTAAAATCGGCGCAATAAAATAAAGAATAATCGAATTTATATATTTCTTTTTGGCTTATTTTTCCGGACGCCGACTATACATAGAATGCTGAAAATGGTTGAGAATTGAATTATGTATCCAGATTGCGTAGGATTCGGCGTTTTGTACGCAATCTAGTTACCGTATGCCTCGCAGGGATTTACGGAGATGGGTTTTAAAAAAAAACCGCTAGAGATTAAAATGAAGATAATTGTCGTTAAAGTAACTTTTCCAAATACTGATACGGTATTGGAACCGTAAAAACAAGTCAAGTTAACCTCAAACTTTGGTAATTAAACCTTCATTATTGAACGAAAACGAACAAAATTTTAACAAAGCGATACAAACTAATAACAAACTTGATGATACTAAATATGGTGGATGGTGGGCTTGGGGAAACAATTTAATAAACTGAAATAATACGACTAAACGCATAAGTAATTAACTAAACCAGTGATTACGAATGGGGACTTGCATTTAAATAAAGGTGGACTTCGGCCGCGGCCCCCTTTTTGCTGGATATTGCCCCACGGCGTTCACACTAGTGGGATTTACCTGAAATGAAAACTCAAACTGTGTCAGTGATCGATTGTTGGCGTCTTTGTCGCGCAGACGAATTTTTTAAAAATCGCCAGGTTTTGACTCTTTTTTCAAGTTTTTTGAATTTTTCTCAAATTTTAACAAAAAAGTGCACCGACCACGTTTTTCGCAAGGCTTTTTTCTATCGAAAAAGCTTTACTATAATTCAATCGGATAAGTATTCAGAGGTCCGTAGTTTTTTAAAGATTGAACTGTAAAAATATTCACATTTCTTTTCTCTGTTTTTTCACTCTCTCTTTTGTTAATATCATTTATTGTTATATTATATGGTTTGATTTATACGGTTATGTTTGGTAACACTTGGAAAAACATTTCATAGTTGTTTATTTTTAATTTTTTTTTTGCAAATTTTAAATGTAAATTGTGTGTCATTTCGGCTGAGAAGTTGCAAGAGATTCTCTATAATTTTTTGTTGTTTTTTTTTAATTTCGTTAGTTCTTACGTTAATTTACCGTTTTCAGCTTCTTTTTTCGCTATTTATCTCTCTCTACTCGCATTGAATTCATTTATTGAATTCAGATAAGCACTCCATCTCGAAAATCAAAAGCTGGCGGAGTGATGAAACGATATCACGGACAATTCGCTTTTCGAGATTTTTTAAACTTCCGAATTACTCCAAAAGACCAATGGAAAGACGTCCTCAGCCCAAAAATGCCTTTTTTTAGCTATTTGTGTTGTATAACATCAAAGTGTTCTTTTCAAGCTGCCTAATGAAATCGGTAAAGAGAATCTTGTTAAATGTATTTGTTTATTATCCATTTGTTTCCAAATTGATAAGTGTATTTTTTCCCTATTAGTTTTGCGCGAGCGCCCTCGCAGCAAACATGCTCTGGCGCACTCGGCGAAACGTCGAGCCTAGGAACTTCCGACAAGGCCTAGCTGATTAGCAAGATATCTGGCAGCAGTCATGAAGCCATATTTTGAAATTGCGATGGTAATATAAACAGGCTAACATAAAGGGGGGTTCCTCACGCTGACGTTATATGTTTTAAAACTTTGTATTTCTATCGCTACGACACTCCGATTACTCATCGCCCTCGATTGGCCGTAAGCGAAAATTTTTCCGACTAATTAAATTTTCGTCATTTTTATCCCAAATGTTTTGCGGGTTATCCAAAACAAAAAAAGTGTCACTTTTTCTTGCCATTCAAAGAATATTTATGAAATTCATTAATTAATTATTAGCAGATCGTGACACCGCAGAGAGCTCCTTGAAGAACATCAGCGTTACTGTAAGGAATAAGCAATATTAATTCAAGGAGCTCATCGTTTGATTTACCTCCAATCTCCCACCAATCCATCGTATATCGCTACAGTACTTTCGTACTCGCCACTGCAATTTTCAGGTCAATCGGTCGTTTGATATTAAAAATACTCACTTGCGGTAGTATGAATTCGGATTCTCTTCTATCCAATGGTTATTCCACAAGAACGTTCCTTTTGTTACACCATCAAAGAATTGGAACATCTAGAAGCAAATTAATTTTTCGAAAACTCTAAGCAAACATCTATCAACCTTGTCAGTCGTGCATTCAGGACGCTTCAGAAGCTCTGTCTGGTTCGCATTGCAGTCCTGGTTCCGGTACGCGCCAATGTGATACCATTTTTTTCCGAGCTCTACAAAACAATTTGCGGGATTTCTTAAAAAGTTGCATTACGCTTCACATAGTCCAACTCCTCCTGGTTCTCGATTCCCATCAATGTACCATTTCCAACCAATTGCACACAATAAGTAAGAGCCGTTAAAAAATCCATCGATTTTTCCACCGGCTGAAAGCCACTTATACGGATCTCGTAATATATAGTTTAAGAAAATTACCTTAAAGCAAACGACGTGTCCGTTGGTTCTCGTAAACTTCTTCCATGTCGAATCCGGACATCTTCGTTGATCGCACGACAACTGACAATTGCATTGTTGTGCTGCTCCGTTGTCGATCGAAAACGAAATCCAGAAGAAAATGACTAGAAAGGAAACGGCGCGGTGCATTTTTACCGAATGTGAAAAATGCGATTCTTTGATATTCTTTTATACCGCCGAATAGTGCAAACTTTCGCATCATAAAAATGACAAACACTAAACACATTGGTCTTTATTACACAGATAAACGGCGGCAATGGAAGCATAGTGGAACGGCTGTGGATATCATAGGAATCTTATATGCAAGTTATATGGAAGCATAATGGAAGCATTTTTTTGCGGAACCGCGTGTTTCGTATATGGAATGAGCCGTATGCCTTCCATATGGGAAAATAAGAAAACAATTTGATTGCTGTATTCAAAATTTATTTCATATTAACACATTTATTTAATTTAAAATAAAAAAAACAACAATGAAATGAATTTCAATTAAGATATAATCAAACCATTAGTTACTGGCAACTGCCGAACTATTCGAATCATTGTCAGTACTGACATCGAGCGGGACGCTGTAATAAGTAGATTATAATGGGCCTATTAATTTGAAAAACTTGTAAACCATTGTTACGTAAACTAAATTTTTCGAGAAAATACAATCAGTTTTTTTACATCAATAATTTTCTTAAAAATAAAAATAATTTATTTTTATTGCATTTTTGGAAACCCTTTAGTGCACAAAATAAAAAGTGAATTGGCGGAAGAAAGAACAACTCCAAAATTTGAAGCAAAAAGGCATTTTGGTTAAAATTTCAAAGACATATGAATACTCACATCTGAGGGTTGCTGGTAGAATCAAGCAGCTTCCTTAATTGCGCCGCGAGCGCTTCCGGCGCTACACCAAATTTCCTTTGAAGTCGTTGGCACATTCTATCGCTTAATCAAATAAATAAATTAATAGTCATAGTTCAAAATCTTACAGAAGATTATCCATGATTTCTCGAACCATGCGTAATGCTTTCGCTTTGAAGTCATTTGTCGGTTGTTGCCCAAAGCCATGGATAAGAGCATCTGTAATATAGATATTTGCAATAAAGTATAGGATCTTTATATAGTCGGCGTCTGGCGACTTCTGTACTAGAGCCCCACTTAAAAAGATAAATGCCACTGAATGATATTGGTACGAAGGCTGTACGGCAATCGGAAATTTCGGCCATTCGGCTAATGGCAAATTACCGATCGAAATTTTCTTCGGCAATTTGAAAAACCGGCAATTTCGGCAATCGGCAATTCCATTGCCGCACAGCCCTGATTGGAACCAAATAATCAACAAGCTTTAAAATTAGGAAGTACTTTATAAAGACTTCATTGCGCATATTTTTCTAATTGAAACCATTTCTGGAGTCGAACAGGCCAATTTTTGATGATAACAACTTACAAATTGGGCGTACGAAGGTTTAGGAATTGGCGTTGATTTTGTTGTTTGTGAGGACTGTGGAGAAAAATTTTTTTGCTGAGTTGGCGAGTAAATTGGACTATCTGGATCTGAAGTGTCGAGCGAATTTGGTTCCATGTTAGGGACTTCTGGTTCTTTGTTATTGACTTCTAGAGCAGTTTCAGTTATATCTGACAACACTCTCGATCTTGTCTTCATCTGTAAAAAATTTCAAAACATTATGTTTTATTAAAAGAAAAAAGCGAGCGATAATAAAAAATATGTTAAAGTAAATAAAAATAAAACGGATTCGATGAGAAATTAAACACAATTCGATTGAGAAAATATTTAAATTCGATTTTAAAAGTGTCGGAAACGATTTGAAAACATCGTATCGATTTTAAAATTTTCGAATGCTATCAATTTATTTTTGGTTTCGATTTTGATGATAAATATGAAAATTTTTCCTTTATTTTTTAAAAACATTTTTCCTTTAATTTTGAAAAAAATTCTTTAATTTTTGACAAAAAAAACACAAAAAATCTTTAAAATTCATTGAGAAAAAGCAAAAGGACAAAAATTTTGAAAACGAATTTCGAAAATGTGAGGCGTGGCCGCATTGTGCAAAGCGGCGCACGGTTTTGCAATGCTGCGGCACGCCTCTTCTACGCGCGTCTGCTACCAGTTTGGAGCAAATTGTGAGTAGTTTGCGATGCCAATTTCGGAAAAACCGGCAAAAATATATTAATACGACTAAATTGTAGTTGGCAATCTTTAAACAAAGTGAGGAACAGTTGACTGAATTAACATAAATCTGAGTAACATAAGTCATTAAATGGTAGAAGCTAAATTTCGTCCGTTGTGTATCATGTAATTTTCAAATTTTCATTGTTTTTATGATAGCATAAGTTTTTTGTATTGATTTTTCTAGAAATTGTCTTGGTCTGCCGTCCAGACGCCAATTGTATAATGTTTATTGACATATGATTATTTTATCCATATTCCATCCATATTTGTTCCACGGCTCGCAAACACCGGAAGCATATTCATCCCGTTTTCATTCCATCCATATTCGTCCCATAATTCTTCCACAGCCACTAAGAATTACATTATGCTTCTTATATGGAAGCATTATGCTTCCGTTCCACAGATTTCCCACAATGCTTCCATTATGCTTGCGTCGCGCTTAATCAGTGTATGTATTGTGGTACATAGGTTTTATTGTGTATAGCGGGAGCGGCTGGATGATGTGCCATCTCTGAAAAAGAATGACAAGATATTTCACAGAAAGCTAGAGAAGAGTGGTCACGTGATCCATCATTCGTGGGTTGTCCTCTCTCGTATCACGTAACGACACTCCGATTACACTTTACTCTCGATTTAGTTAAACATCCCATACGGCATTTCTCTTGAATTAAACTTTTTCAATTTTTTTCCGCAAAATGTTTCGCGATTCATCGCAAACAAAAATGTACGTTGTTCATGTCGATTGAACTCCTGAGTTTTCGCCAATTGAATGTGATATTCGTACCCCATATTCTACAAGAATAACTGGGCTCTTCCGACGAGATCAGGAAGGTCGATGCGAGCTCAGTTTCTCTAGAGCGAAAAATGAATAGCTACACTAGATTTTGCCGTAAGCGAAATTTCTTCCGACTAATTGAATTTTCCTAATTTTTATCCCAAATTGTTCCGCGGAAGAATTTGTCATTTTGCCCTTCTATCGGTCCCATTTGGCTGGTCCCATTTGGCATTGGCCAAAAAGTGTCACTTTTTCTTGCCATTCAAAGAATATTTATGAAATTCATTAATTAATTATTAGCAGATCGTGACACCGCAGAGAGCTCCTTGAAGAACATCAGCGTTACTGTAAGGAATAAGCAATATTAATTCAAGGAGCTCATCGATTGATTTACCTCCAATCTCCCACCAATCCATCGTATATCGCTACAGTACTTTCGTACTCGCCACCAGGGCTGTGCGGCAATCGGAAATTTCGGCAATTCGGCAATTCGGCAAATTGCCGAAAATCAAAATTTCGGCAATCCGGCAATTCGGCAATTTGCCGAAAATCAAAATTTCGGCTATTAAATGTTTTCAACGATAATTCGAAATATAAATACCGAATTTTCACGGTATCCCAAATTATTCAATGGACATTCCTTTTTGTTTCGCCGATTTTTTTTTTGATATCAAATTGCCGAAAATCAAAATTTCGGCAAATCGGCAATTCGGCAATTTGCCGATCGAACGTTCTCTTCGGCAATTCGGCAATTCGGCAATTTGAAAAATCGGCAATTTCGGCAATTTCGGCAATCGGCAATTCCATTGCCGCACAGCCCTGCTCGCCACTGCAATTTTCAGGTCAATCGGTCGTTTGATATTAAAAATACTCACTTGCGGTAGTATGAATTCGGATTCTCTTCTATCCAATGGTTGTTCCACAAGAACGTTCCTTTTGTTACACCATCAAAGAATTGGAACATCTAGAAGCAAATTAATTTTTCGAAAACTCTACTCAACAATCAACCTTGTCATCTGAGCATTCAGGAATCTTCAGAAGCTCTGTCTTGTTCGCATTGCAGTCCTGGTTCCGGTACGCGCCAATGTGATACCATTTTTTACCGAGCTCTACAAAAAAATTTGCGGGATTTTTTAAAAAGTTGCCTTACGCTTCACATAGTCCAATTCCTCCTGGGTCTCTATGCCCATCAGTGTCCCATTTCCAACCAATTGCACACAATAAGTAAGAGCCGTTAAAAAATCCATCGATTTTTCCACCGGCTGAAAGCCACTTATACGGATCTCGTAATATATAGTTTAAGAATATTACCTTAAAGCAAACGACGTGTCCGTTGGTTCTCGTAAACTTCTTCCATGTCGAATCCGGACATCTTCGTTGATCGCACGACAACTGACAATTGCATTGTTGTGCTGCTCCGTTGTCGATCGAAAACGAAATCCAGAAGAAAATGACTAGAAAGGAAACGGCGCGGTGCATTTTTACCGAATGTGAAAAATGCGATTCTTTGATATTCTTTTATACCGCCGAATAGTGCAAACTTCCGCGTCATAAAAGTGACAAACAGCCCCCCAAATTTCTTTTGTTTCGATTTTTATCTAAAATGCACGTTATTGCATAAACAAAAAAAAATGTTGGTTATTCTCACTGACTTCCGAACTCAGCCCGTCGCACTGTTGAAAAATGCGATCTCCACAAGATTGATCGTCGAAAGGCACCATCGGCTCTCTTTCTCTCTCTTTCTCTTTTTGTCAGTCCATTTTTCGATCGAGACCGATGATAGCTCTCTTTCAAGAAGAGTCGATGCTTCCAAGAGGGCAACGTGCTTTTAAAGGTCATCTGCTCAAAGGGAGCCGACGGTTTTCCTCAATGGGGGGGGGGCATTCTACAAAGTCTCATAGAGGGCAACAAATTTCCTTTTAATAGTCAACGAGAATGCGTCAGTGAGCATTTTGTTAGGCGCAATTCTAACTTATGAATCGCATTTTAATTCATTTATCAGTATTTTATTCTATTTTCAATCTTCGTGTGTACTATTAATTTTTAGATTATAATAGAATGGAAGGAAGGAAGCTATTTCCGTGTCTTAACCAGCCAAAATATTGGCTGAGCTTATAAAGCAATGGCCATTTAAAGCTCGGTTTTTTTGTTCAGGACTGACATATTCAATTTTTGCAGTGTGCTGCTTCGACTGAATCATTTCAGCTGCTTTTATTTGATCGCCTATCAGCTAAATTCAAGGCATTCAAATTATCGAGTTTCCCAACGATAATCAATAATGATAATATTTCGTGGTGCCGAAAAAATAAAAGAAACTTCTAAGAATAATTGTGTTGAGTATAGCTATTAATAGACTTATTAAATTATTCGACTTTTCTGTTTTCGGTTATGAAAGAAGTAAAACCAAACTAATAACCATGCTTATCGTTTCGGCCGACCATGGCCCAAATATGATGAAGTCAGGTATCGGGGCTCCAACAAAAAGCTTTTCTCCTTCGTTGTTTTCACATTACCGAGAATGAGAGGGCTCAAATTCTCTGCCACAGAGGCGCCCAAACGCCGAATTTACAGAATAGAGCAATTTTTATTAAATGTAGTCAATTGATTAACATAGTGCGACACCGCAGAGAGCTCCAGGAAGAACATCATGCATTCTGCAAGAAATGAGCAATATTAATTCAATGAGCTCAACGATTGATTTACGTCCAATCTCCCACCAATCCATTGTATATCGCTACAGTACTTTCGAACTCTTCACTGCAATTTTTAGATCAATCAGCCATTTGATATCAAAAACACTCACTAGCGGTAGAATGAATCCGGATTATTAGCATACCAGTGGTTGTTCCACAAGAACGTTCCTTTTGTGACGCCATCAATGAATTTGAACATCTAGAAGCAAATTAATTTTTCGAAAACTCTACTCAACAATCAACCTTGTCATCTGAGCATTCAGGAATCTTCAGAAGCTCTGTCTTGTTCGCCATGCATCCGTTTTTCCGAATCGCGCCAATGTGATACCATTTTTTTCCGAGCTCTACAAAAAAATTTGGGGGATTTTTTAAAAAGTTGACTTACGCTTCACATAGTCCAATTCCTCCTGGGTCTCTATGCCCATCAGTGTCCCATTTGGCGTCAAGTTTATACAATCACTGAGAGCATCATAATACAGGGTGTCATTTAAGTTCCCGCACAACTTTGAAGACGTATATTTCTGAAACTAAAAGTCCAAATCAAACGAGACTCAAAATATTATTTATCTATAGTACAACAAATAATTATCTATTAACTCTTTTCGATTCGGCCTCCTTTCGCAGCTATGACTTCACGGAGACGCTTCGGGTAGGATGTGACTGTGGTACGCAGGTATTCGATGGAAAGATTGTCCCACTCCGCCAGTAATGTCCTCTTCAGAGCCTCTACACTTGAGTGGGGTTTTGCGTTGACCTTCTCCTGCAAGACCCTATCACGGAAAAGTCAAGCGGTTTCAGATCTGTGGAGCAATCAGGCCATTCGGATGACTTGATGAAGTCGGGAAAATGGGTCTGGCACCACTCCTGAGTAGTTTTGGCAGTGTGGGCGGGTGCTCCGTCCCGCTGAAAGACCCATATCTGCCCACCGAAATGCGTTTGGGTCCAGGGCATCACATGCTTCTCCAAAATGTCCCGAACGTAGACTTCTTTGTTCATTTTCACTCCCTGATCCACGAAATCCTAGGGGCACATCCCGGTTGAGCAGATGGCACCGAAAAATAGGCGATTAAACAAAACAAAACAAAAATTGGAATGTTTCAAAAATCAACGAGACCCCCGCCTCCAATAGATTTACAGGAAGCTTGAAAATTCCAGGCCCAACAATTGGATTTTGATCCCCCCCCCCCAGAAAAATTGTGATGGTCCACAAATGCTCAAGGGATTTGTGTTATGCTGTATTAAATCCGAAAAAAAAGAAAAAATGCTCTACTAAATCCGAATTGGGTATATCTTACAAGCGGATATGAACGATTTCGAATTGCCGATCCGGAATTGATTTCGGAGTCCAAATTTTTTGCTTCGAATCGCCGGTATTGAAAAACGAGCAAAACTCGAGTTCATTGGTTTTTTTTTGCGGAATGGGACCCCAATAACAATAAAAAAAAACGATGATGTTTGATAGAAGGCAATTCTCAGCCAATTTCTGCTGTCGGGGGGCAACTAGCTGTTTTTAAAACGTCGGGGGGCAACTAGCTGTTTTTAAAACAGCTATATACCGGCGATTCGAAGCAAAAAATTTGGACTCCGAAATCAATTCCGGATCGGCAATTCGAAATCGTTCATATCCGCTTGTAAGATATACCCAATTCGGATTTAGTAGAGCATTTTTTCTTTTTTTTTCGGATTTAATACAGCATAACACAAATCCCTTGAGCATTTGTGGACCATCACAATTTTTCTGGGGGGGGGATCAAAATCCAATTGTTGGGCCTGGAATTTTCATGCTTCCTGTAAATCTATTGGAGGTGGGGGTCTCGTTGATTTTTGAAACATTCCAATTTTTGTTTTGTTTTGTTTAATCGCCTATTTTATAGCACATTATGTGTGCGTTTATTACGCGGAAGTGACAAATGTGCATATAAAGCGCCCAATGGCTCATCAGATGATAATTCAGATGCGATCGCTTCTTCTGCTCTCGACGCTCACCGTCTCATCGGTCGTCGGCTGCGGCGGCAAGCCGTGCCACGAGAAGGCGTGTCCCAGCGAATCGTTTCAAAAATTCACAAGACCCAGCGGCCATGTTGTTTGCCTAACGGTTCGTTGTCGCAATTCAACGCCACCAATCCCCAATGAGTCGTTTCAGCCGTTCAAGCAGAATATGCGCTACGCGGATACGGGCGCCGCTTGCGCCTCACTCGGCGACGGCGTCAAATTATTCGGCATCGAAACCGAAGAGGAGTACACGTTTATCAACGGTAGATCAAAATCGCGTCGCATGAACCCGACGCGTTTTCAGGACAAATCGGTCATTCCTGGTACTACGTCGCCGCGTTCCGAAATCCGCAATGCCAGGCGAATCGGTCGGTGCTTGCCACGATGCCCGAATGCACAAGGGATAAGGTAAAGCCTCATTTCGTGATGATCCATTGAACCATCCAAGATGTTCCACTTCACTGATGGCGTCACCCAAGGAACATACCTTTGGGAAGGAAAATGGCAAGCGAATAATCCCAACTCGGCGTTCATCAAGTATGATTCTATCGAACTTCCAAAATTCGATTTGCTCAAATTTTTTTTAGTGGCGAATATGAAAGCGCGATTGGTGTTCGTGACGACGGCGTCGGAGATTGGCCGTAGGTCTCGATCGGCGTTTTCAATCTTCTCGACATTTTTCAGAACGACTCAGCTTTTCAGCGGCGCCATTTGCGGAATTGCACTTTGCTAATTTTGATTTCTCTCTCAGTAAATTTGTTCATCTTTTTTTTGCCAAATTTTAGCTATGACGTTTTTCGACACTTCGGCTGACCCCCCCCCAAAGAGCACGTTCGTCACTTTCGATCATTTCATCCACCATGAGAATCGGTCGTCAGACTTGCTTGCAGAGCCCTCCGACTTGTCGATCTCCATCTCATCGTTGTCTCATTTCCAGATTTCACGTCCACCTAAAGCGAATAAATTATTTCAATGTGTTGTCGATGTCTCGAAAAAAAATGAAGCTTAAAAAGGGGAAATGACAAAATTCGCTTTTCTACGCCAAATTTCTTATCATTTCCTATCAAACAGTGAAAAAAATCCATTGCTAATGGGTTTTTCTATTCATCGCTCATCAAATAATGTTTACGACAGTTTTCGAAGTATAGTCGGCGTCCTTTTTACGCGCATGCGCCTTTAAAAGGTCTCGCCACGTGTGAACGCTTACTTATTTTGTTATTTTTCACGTGAACGATTTTTTCTTGGAATTTCCAACGTCGTTCGATTTAAAAATTATCGAATCAACCCATAAAATACAAAATGACCTGTTAGTCCGTGCGAGACCATTTCGAAAGACGCATCCCCGTAAATCTACCCGCGTACAGCAGTCGCAGGGTGCCGACTATTCACTTGGTGTCAGGTGACGGATGCCAACAGAGATATCGTCATATCAATTCAATCAATATTTTCAGTTATCAATAAAACGAATTTCAAAATATTGGAAAGAGTTTTCAACATTTTTTTTAGTAGCGAAGTTCGCTGTTAAAGTAGACAGCATTTCCTGACACATTCGAGTTTCGACAAAATTATTTTGATATCAGCCAATATACTTCATCGGGGGCATTTCAGTGCCTGGCAGTTTCAGCGCTTTTCGAGCAAGAATGAGTGGTTTTATTAGGAGAAATATAGTCAATATGTAGGGTTGAATTGGAATGCGAATTAGTCGGCAACATAAGCAATCAAATGATTTTGATCGTCAGAAATGGCTATTGAACAACTTCGCCTCATCGAGTCCGAGCATGTTGACCGCATTGCCCCAGAAAATGCGATCCTTGTCAATTCTCGAGAATCCCGCATACTCTTCGATGGCTTTTCCCACCTGAATTCCATTGTTTCTGTTGAACCCCCTGTGACTCAATGGATTACCTGAAGTTCTCCCAATGGATATGGATAATCGGTTCCAAGAACGATATGATCCTAAAAAAGATTTTGTTGTTAAATTTTAAGCCATAAAATTCAAGACGGCACCTTTGATACGGTTTGCGCCAACAATTTCAACGCAGCCGCGTCATGAACAAGTGAATCGGTCCATATATGCTTGTCGAGCACATTTGGCGGCACTTTGCTGTCAACCGCGCACAAGTCCGGCCGAACCTGAATAATAATATTCCATGTGCCTTTAATGCTCACGTCTTCATTAATTATAAGCTCAATGCAATTGGGTTTGAAAATTTTGAATTGGCGCGCACAAAAAAAGGCGGCAATCCAAATATGAAACCAATTGCATACAAAATTCGTCGATATTATGAATAGGAAAAATTAATTACGAAAAAAAATCGCAGCTAAATTTTTAGTCGAAAATTCTTTCCTAATTTTTGTGGCAACGCCTGTCAAGTTTGCGATCGCGTAAATCGCGCTGAAATTCTCGAAACTGTCGGGACCACCGGGAAAACTTAAGGGACCGATTGCGTTGTGCAAAAAAGACGAGAATAAAAATCGGCTTCTCTAACGTGCTTTTTGAAATGAGAGGGTATAATCGTCTCAATTTTTGTACCATATGTTCTACTTCGGGTATTTTTAGTAGAGAATTTAAAAAAACGTTTAAGAGAATACTTCAGCATTTCCCGAATCTCACCAGTCAATTTTTTTGCCTTTTAAAAATTAAAAAAAAAAACAGTTCCCCTGGTTGCAGTATCGACTTTCCCCCGCTTCTTGGTCTATTAAACTACTCCCGAAACGAGAATTCTTGCTTCAAACAAAAAAAAATATCGCATTTGTATCCATAGATTTATGATTAATCCACTTTTGTTTGCCTAATAGCATGGGAAAAAAAAGAATAAATGATACACACTACGGAATATCGCGCCAACCTGGTATCCATGCGCGACGCGGCCGCGAATCATCGGATATGAGCCGCCGCCGTGGGCGAAGCAGAAGCGCAAACGCGGAAACATCACCGGCACATTTCCCATGAGAATCGAGCAAATTGCCTGCGCGGTTTCAGATGGCATTCCTGCAAAACGATGAAGAAAAAAAAAAGCGAATTGCAAAAAAGATATCAATATTTCGCACCGACGAGCCACGGCATCCAATATTTCGACAATCGGCCGTCCCACATGTGCATGTCCCATGGATGCACAAAGAGCACAACTTGAAGCTCCTCGCACACCTAAATTTCGTTTTTTTTCGGTGTCAATTTTTAAATTATCGCCACTGCTTGCCTACAAGCCCCTTTTTCTATTATAGCTGAATCGATAAGAAATAATTGAAGTGTAAAATGAAATGTGTGCAATATTGCGTCAATGTGTAGACAGACGAACATGAATAATAAAAACGAAACACGCCAGTTTAAAGGGTTTCTCCTTCGAGTTTCGAATTATTTTGAAAAAAGTGTATAAACTATGGGTTTGCAATTAAAATCCAATTTTAGACATTTAATTTTTTTCCTCAAAAATTGCCACTTCAAAATGTCCGCAGATGAGAATCTATTAATATCATTTCATGAAGTAGAACTCCCCTCACGTCTCAAGTGCAAAAATCGCGATTTTGACCGCTTTGCCTCTGACGCATTCAATATGCGATCGTGGGAATCTCACGTGGCGCATTCGAATACATAGTTTTGTTTCAACAATTTCGCTATTTCTCATCAAGCTTTTCCATCATGGCTCGATGAGTTCAATGGTGCAAATAAAAATGGAAACCTTATAAAGCGGCCAAAAGTAGTTGTCATCGAGCGATTTCTCGGCCAAGTGCGAGCCGATCTCGAATCCCTTCACGCCGAGACCAACGCATCGTTTCACTTCCTGCAATCCGACGAAAATCATTTCGAAATTTGGTTTGCTAAAAGAGAAAATAACCGCGCGCGTTTTAAGTAATGCCCACACGCGATCTCGCATTTCGTCAATTTTTTATTCGGCTCTCGTTCCGTCCATTTAACGACAATTTGATTTTGTTTCTTTTTTTTTGAACCCCCAACCCCAGCCAGTAACGGTATCGTAAGACAACAAACAAATTTGTGCTATCAAGTCCAAAAATTGTGCGTTAGCTGAATTCCCACTATAATTATAGTCTGACTAACTTATTGTCGAATTGAGACCCATTATGCAGATTTCGGGCAAAAATACTAGTTTTAACATATATTGAAGTTCTGCTTTTTTTTTAATGTCAGCATCTCCATTGAACAAAGTACAGTAATATTCGTCACGGGACCCGAAGTTTTGAAAAACTCAAAATTGTCGCAATTGTCACAATAATTCTGCTCAAAACGTATTTATGCATATTCCATTTTTCTTTTTCTTCTTCTTTCGTTTTTTTCTCCCCCGGAATCGCTTTGCTCATCCGGTTGACGACGACGGCCGAATTCGGAAGATAACGACAACAAATTGTTGGGACCACGTGAAATTGTGGAATTCGATTGGCGACGGCTGGGCCGAGGGACCATCTATGGCACGCCAGTGTCGAACCGATTATTGGATTTGTGAAATTTCGAACCGGCGAATGCCATCGTCCACTCTTTCTCTCTCTCGCAAAAAATTTCGGACCACGTTCAAGTGTTTTCCGTGTCATCACCAGCAGCAGATTATCATGTCCCATCTTGAGCGCCACATATAAATCTTAACACGTTGTGCTCTCGGCGAGCCCCCTTGCCCGATTTCAACGCCAACGTTAAATTGCAAATTCGCTTAGCCGCAAATAATTGGCCAACTTGCCAGCGACGAGAAAGAAACTAATTTGAACCACGCGCGCTTTTCTCCCTTTTTTTGCCATTGCAATCATTAAGCTGAAAATTTTCAGCGTTTCTTACTGTACCGATCCAACGCGTTTTCTTTTTCAAAATTTTAAGTACTCTTCAACCTTTTCGAGAAAATGTGCAAGAATTGCATGACACTGCTGAGTGTTTGCGGACCATCGAACGCATAATTCAAATATTGATTTAAACAATGGTATTTCGTTTACTATGATAACCCTATAGCGTAATTTTCAAAAAATTACAGTAACCAATGGTGCTCCTGTTTTTTTTTCCAACAAATCGCCATAAAATATTTGCGGGGGAAAAAAATAAATGAAAGCATTCCCCCGAATCCCTCATAAAAATTCCAATTCCATTCATATATAGCTCATCCTTGACGACAGACAGTTGGCTAGGCTCCTCAAAATTGGGCTCGTTAGCATCGTCATCACACATGTTCAATATCAGTGCGGCGAGAGACAGCCGGCGATTTTTCCCCCACTCTCTCATCCATCACGGAAATAGTGGTGCAAAGGTGGAAGGAGGGGCGGAGTTTCGAGAGGTTGACTCCGCCCACATTTCGGGTGGCCTGGAAGGAGAAGAAGGGGTTGGGGGGGGGAGGGGGGGCTCGTTTCAAAACTCGCGCGCGCTTCTGTTTAGGCACGGAAAAATGTGCCAGCCGGCCAAAACCGGAGTGGGGGGGTGCTGGTTGGAAAGAAAGCGAAAATACAAGCGGGGCGGCGTCGCGTTAAAGGAAAAGCCACGACGACAACGAAAAACGACTAGGGAATCCTTTCCCTCTTCGTCTTCTTCTTGCTCGTCGTCGTCGTGTTTTTTTCCACCCCCCTTCCCATCTTCTCCTTATTCAGCTTTCTTCTTCTTCATACTTGTTGGCGCGTATAGATGGGTGTATTGTGTGTGTGTGTGTGGCGGCGGTGTAGTTGGCGAATGTCCTAGACGACGAACACAACGAAAAAAAAATGCGAAAAAAAAACACAATTTTTTATCCTCCTCCTTTTTTTTCTTGTCTATGTATGGAAGACGATCAATCGCTTCCGGCGTTGCGCCTCCTCCCCAATTTTTGCTGCCCCGAAATTCAATTGACCTGATTCGTTTTTATCTTGCTCCAGCTCCAACTCCAGCTCCTCCTCCTCCATCTCCAACTACTACGACGGCAACTACTATTATTTGCTTTTTTTTTCTTCATTCAGATCGCGCCGCCGCCACCATTCGTCTTTATGTACTACATTCAATTTTTGCTCGTCGCCGTTCTCATGCTCATGTGTCAAGCGAGGTGAGCTTCTCGTGTGTGTGTGGTTTTTTGTTCGTCCCCCCCCCCACATTTTGCAACAGCAGCTCCTATTGTTGCAAATGCACCAAAGAATCCGAAACAGACGGGGAAAAAATGAGGAAGGACGTGTTTGAAATCCGATTCCGACTCGTTTTATGGAATATTCGCAAAGTTGGCGCTCGAATTTCGCACAAAAAAGAAAATTTCGAATTTTTCTTTTTTGAATTTTTCTTTCTCCGCCTTTCCTCTCTCTCTCTCGTTCTTCAACTTTTTTTTTACGAAAAGCGCGAAACCCCCCTTTGAATTACCTTATTTGGAAGCGGCGCGGGTCTCAATTTAATGGGCTCCCAATTGCTCAACGTCTTCGCTCATTTTTCTTGCAGAAAAGCTGTCTATCGCAAAAACTCGCCGAGCCTTCGACGATTGACGCGAAACTATGATTGGGAGGTCGACGATCATGGCGCGCTCAGGCCGATCATCAATCCCGTCAAGGTTTGTCGGGTCCCTCCCGACGCGAAATGCCACCTTCTCTTTTCCACCCCATTTCCGCAAGATTCATTTTTAATTGAACTCTTCCGGTAGGACCCCCCCCCCCTTCTCGTATCTCGCACAGTGGCGGACGGGTTCTTCTAAACTAAGACAACACCGAAAAATGAACGTGCATTGGAGCAGCTGCTCCGAATATGGCGTTGGTGGCACGGAAAAGAGAAGCGCAATGCGAATGATGAATAATTGATGTTCTCGTTTTTGTTTTGTGCAGGTTGAACGAGCCACGAAACTATGCGCCAACGACTCGTACATCCTCAAAACGATCATGGCCAACTACAATCGGCACAAGATCCCGAATGGACAGGTTCTCGTCTAGTTTGGTCATTTTTTCGTGGGCGAAATGAACATACAATTATTCGGTGCCACAAAAAACCCTATAATTTTCACATTTGCTCTATTTTTGGACTAGAGGAGAATGAAAAAAAAAAAACGACATTTTGAAATCAGAAACTCAAAACTATGTGCATTATTGCGTCAATTATAGCGCAAAAATTCCAAAAGAAAAGTCCGCAATTTGTGCTATTTTCAATTTTCTCAAATGTTCCATCTTCCGTTCAAATTTTTCAGCAAAATTATAAAAGTCTAACCATTTTCTTCCAATAATTAATAAAATTTCGAAAATTCGAAGATCAAAACCCCCAAAAGATGAACGTTTCTATAAATATCCTCCATAAAAAAGCACATGAATAATGACAGTGACTCAAGCCAAACAAAAAAAAAATAAAGAAATGCTCTTTGTTTCGTGTTTATGGGACCACATTTCTCATTTCAAACTTTCTTTCCTACTATTTTTGATTTTTTTTGTTTCGCTCTTGCAGGTCGACGTTGAAGTTGAAGTATGGGTTCAAGAAATCACAACAATTTCCGATATCACTAGCGATTTTCAAGTATATTTCTAATGATTTCAGCTAAATCTAAATGGGATTTTTGCAAATTTTCAGTTAGATATTTATATATATGAGACATGGCACGATCCGGCGCTCAACTATGCCTTCCTCAATCCTTGCAAGTACAACTTATCGCTAAACTCGGTTAGTGCGCGTGTGTCTTTCGACGAAATCGCCAATTTCAGGTGCTTCTCGAGGATCTCTGGACACCAAATTCATGTTTTATCAATTCGAAAACCGCCGAAATCCACAAATCGCCATTTCCCAACATTTTTCTAATGATCTACGCGAATGGCACAGGTTCGTTGGGCGTCTCAAGTTCGAAATCCGAGAAGTGGCTTAAGCCAATTAGCGGAGAAGAGCAATTTGGAAAAAAATATATATTCGAGAAGACGCGAAAACTCCAGAGATCGCGAAAATAATCTTGACGGAATGGAAAAAAATCAAACTTTTTTTTCGGGGGCTTCACGTCATTTTCCGTGCCACAACATGTTTTTTTTACTAGAATTTCGGAATTTGCATACCCAAAAAAAACTTGCGGAAGCTACGATTTTCTCTCTCCTTCAAATAGATGAGATGGAAGGATTATGCATCATTCTACTACCAGTAGCCATTCGTCAAGCCACCTAAATTGAACTCTACGCCTTCGTTTTCATCTTTTCTTTTTTGGGTCTTGGTGTCGATGAATGATGAATTTCGCGCACTCGCCTAGAATTTGTACGCAACAAGCGATTCTCCAGGGATGCACAATTCCAATGCCATCACAGATACGGAATATATATTTTTTTGGTGAAGATTCGTTTTTCATTAAAGATGAAATCTTGAAATTGGCTCGAAACGGATTAGAATCCATCACGCAATCAGATTTCTTCTTCCTCTTCATCTTAAAGCTGCTTCTGCGCATTTCTGCTCTCTCCGCTCCATCATGTACTATTTGTGCCGCCATTCAATCACGATAACGCAATGAATTATTCAACCGGTCGTTTTGATTCGTCCTTCTTTCATGTGTTTTTTTTTCATTCCATTCCACTCGCTAGCGTGCTCTTATCTATTTATGGGCGTGGGGGTCTCCTCAACAGGACGAGTGCAGCTGCTGCTGCTGTGTGTGTGGTCAAAAAGCAAAAAAAAAATTGGGTGTCGACGTCGTCCCATGGGGTTCTGAATGTCGATCCTACGACTCTCAAAAATGACGCGGCGAATCGGTAGCGGGGATCTTTTGCCGTCGCGGTGCAACAGAATCTCGTTTGATAATCTCTGAAGCCCACTCTTGTTAGAATGATGTCAACGAATCGCGCGCTCGGAAATACCCCTATGAGATAGGGCGAATACTTCCGTGGGGGGAAAATGATTGAAAAATTGGCTTCAAATAAAAAAAAATAGAAGAATTCACGATTATATATAACGTTTTTCAGTATGGACCAACTATCGTCTAAAACTTCAAGGTCCATGTATCATGGATCTCACGAAGTTCCCATTTGACAATGTGACATGCTCTTTGACGTTTGAATCCTTCAAGTGAGTTGTTCCACCAACAACCGAGAAAAAAAATGTTCTCGTCACTTAGCTATAACACCGATGAGGTCAAAATGTCATGGTCCGAGAAGGGTGTGCAGAAGATGCGCGAGAAAATGGAGCTAGCCGATTATGAGCTGGTGAATATCAATAATGTTCGAGCCACCGAGGTTAATCAATTTTCCAATCGGCGCTTGTTTTCTCAACAATTTTCTTTCAAGGAGTACCCGGCGGGATATTGGCACGAGTTAACCATGAGCTTCGAGTTTAAGCGGCGCGCCGGATGGTACATTCTGCAAGCCTATCTGCCCACCTATCTCACCATTTGCATATGTGAGTATTTCCTCATTAAACGCCGTCAAGTGCCGCCTCTTGTTTAAATTGGCTCAATTGTAAGAATGAAATAAAAAACGAAAGGTTTTTGCCCAATAGACACTAATGAGGCGAGTTGTAAATTGAGCATCACGAGGGGAAGAGGGGGGGGGAGGTCTCGTGACAATAATTGGTTCATCAAAATCTTGCAGCTTGGATATCGTTTGCGTTGGGTTCGAAGGCGATACCAGCACGCACGATGCTCGGAGTCAACAGCCTTCTAGCAATGACATTCCAGTTTGGAAATATCATCAGAAATCTTCCTAGGGTGTCTTATGTGAAGGTTAGAATCTAAATGGAGCTCGACCGCAATAAAGTGTTCAGGCTATCGATGTTTGGATGCTATCCTGTATGACATTCGTGTTCTGCTCATTGCTGGAGCTCGCCTGGGTCGGATATCTGTCAAGAGAGGAGGAAGTCGTTTCCAGGAATCCGCCAGGCTCACAAGTTGCCCCGAAACCGTGTCATCCGGTAGTCCAGCAGACACAGTCAATAAGCGCCTCGAACACCGTGTACAGGTTGGATTCAGTTAACAAGAGATATTCGGATTCGATGAGGAGTTTAGGCGGCAGAAACAGCCAAAAAATGAGGAAGAATCGGCATTGCTCAGCCTACGCGACAACGATTACGGCTACATTCCGCCGGGATTTGGTCTCAACGGGAATTTGGCGAATGCTATGAAAAGCTTCACGTCTTCGTGAGCTTATTATTAATATCGCATTGGAATCAATGAAAGAGGTTTCAGATGCTCGTGCGAGCCGCCCGTTGTAACAATGATGCTAGAAGAAGCGGAAACCATTCCGCCTTCGATAACTTCAAATCTCTCAAGGTACTACTTTTTTTGTTTTGTTTGATAGGCGAATTGAACGCCTTTAGGAAGCAGCGACGGGAGCTTCTCGCTCATCAAATCGACTCGGTCTCCGTATTCCTTTTCCCATTCCTATTCGTTTTATTCAATATAGGCTATTGGCAGCATTACTTGCGGGTTTAGGATATTGATTGTTAGCATTTGTATATATTTATTTAATCAATTCCTTATTTTTGGATTACGGTGCTTTTCTTTTGGCGTTAGCAATAAATTATATACCGCGCGACGAAAAATTGTCTCAATTGTCCTACGGGTTCATTTCCATTCATCAGATATTTCGTTGTCTTGTTCCCTTCTATGAATTGTCAACACTCTTTCATTGAATTTGCTCCAAATTATTCGACCCCCCCCCCCTTCCTCCATCGGTTTTTTGCTCATTTCGTTTTTTTTTTTGTTTTCGACGAATAATAAATTATTGTTGATTATTTCTTTTGGTTATTAGTTGTTGACTGACCTGTATCGCTCGCTGAATGCAATTCAATGGCAAGCTGCACAGCGGGATTAGTCGATTCGGATACTTCTCGCACTGGCTCAGCACATCGTTATTAACATAGGTGCACACAACTTCAGTGTCTTGCGGTTTCGCCTGAAATTTCGAGAAAATTTCTTTCAACAATTGTAAAATTTTTTAAAACTGTTGTATAATTGGAGCGATCGCTTGGAGACTCAACAGAAAAATTGCGTGTGATTTTAACTACCGCATCCAAAAACTATCTTCGAAATTTGAAAATTGGACATTTTGAGTCCAATTTTTTAAAATTTTAATTTTAATAATTGCAAAGAAAAATTGAAATGATTCATTAAAGACTCATTGAGCGGGCAATCAGCTGGGTCTTGTGGCGATTGATTATGGTAAGCGGTTTTTTTTTGGAAACGAGGTCGCAATTGTCTTCGTTATTTGTTTTTGATACATTGCGAATCATGGCAAAATAAAAATTTTCAGAATTTCTCCTTACGTCATAGCAGAACATGACAGGGGTTGGGCTGATGCATTGGACATTCACATTTGCCCTGTCCATTTCTTGAATTCGAATTTCGGGATCAAAGCAGTTTGGCTGAATGACTCTATAAAAAATTGGGAATTGGAGAAATGTCAATGGAGAGAAATTGAAAATACCTGAATAATTTGCCGTCCTTCATCATATTCGCTGTACCATCTTCATTACGGACTAGTTGAACGAATCCGCCATACCCGAATTGCTAAAAAACTAATGAAAATTGATAAATTAATGAAATCTCACATTTGAGAAGTCGGGAAGATGTTTGGGCATCACATGGGCATGCACATCAATTTTTCGCGATTTTGCGGCTGAAATTTTTAGAATTATAGCGTCTTTTTTCGAATTGCATTTATTGATCAACTTACTTGCTGTAAACTGACAGTCGGACATTGTCGAAACGCGCGGACTATGATTGCAAGACGCGATGTCTTATCGGAATCGCGCGTTCCTATCCGTTTTCGGATATCTATCAATCTCTTTTTTTCCACTTTTGATATTATCAATGTGATATGGACATTGGCATTTATTGCAAAAACATTGCGGTCAAGTAGAGAATGCCAGACAATTATTTTCTAGTTGTTTGATTTTTCAATTGTGTTTTTTTTTTTCGGCGATTTGAACGACGAATTAGGATAAAAACGAAATAATGCTATTTACGATGCTCCGCAATTTACGGCGTGCGCCCGATGTTTAGTGTAAACCGCTTTCAATTGTTTTCACGCACGTTTTTCGATTTTTTTTTCTTTAATAGAAATTTTTAATTGTCGATTTCCTCCGTAATAATATGCTTAAAACAACAATTGTAGTAGAAATCTAATATTTTAAATTTTAAATTAAAGGAAAGTATTGCAAACTTCAAAAATTTTCAAACATTCCCCCATTTTTTTCCATTTGTTTAAATTTGCTTCTTTTTTTTATGTTTTTAAGCAGGTTTTCTTGATTTCCATTTTTAAGAATTCAGTATTTTTTATCGATGTATTCAGAGTTATTAAAAAAAAAACAAAATTTTTTATATTTCAGAAATGGAAGACGAATTGGCCAATTATAAACTACAGTTGCAGCAAGTTGAAGCAGCGCTTCTCGGCGATAAAAATAATGAAGAATTACTGAAATTGAAAAGTGATCTGGAGGAGATTATTGCCCTGCAAGAAGAGATTAAGTCTCAAGAATCACAAACGTCGGGAAACGCGACCGTCGTCACGCCTCAAGTGATTCACCAATGGACGGTTGGCGAGCGAGTGATGGCGCCGTTGCCGGATGGCAAACGCGTCTACGCTCGAATCGACAGTTTGACGCCCGCCGGAATAGCCATCACATTTACGTGTATGTCAATTCGAAATTCATCTCTCGCCTCAAAACGCCGTCATTCATTTCAGCATCGGGACAAAAGACGATCGTCAATCCGTCGGATTTACAACTTCCGCCGGAGAATCAACGCAAAAATTATGCGTTTGAGAAAACGCGAGCGGCCGCCGGCTCGTCGAACGCGGGACACAGCAGAAAAGAATGGCAAGAGGAACGGGAGCGGCGACGGGCAAGGGCTGCGAAAAAAGAAGCGAGAAGGAAAGAATTGGATGCCGTTAAAGATAATGAGAAGAAAAGTTGGCAGAAGTTTAATATAAAGGCGAATGCGAAGGGTTTAAAGGTTGGTTGGATTGAAATTTTGAGAGAAATTTCGTAGTTTTTGCCTACATTTTAGAGATTCTCCAGAAATTTGTAAAATTGTCAAAAATTTAATCCGAAACAGTAACAATTTTGGCTTGCAAATTTTTGTCTAGAAAAATCTGAAAAATGAGTTTTTTTGATTATAATTTGAACTCGAAAATGCATATTCAAATATTTGCATTTTACATATTTCGAATATTCAATGAACGTGGTGTCTTTTTTTTCAGGGTCTCAAAAGGATTAGCGCGTCGGGTTCGAGTAAAGACGGCTCATCGGCGTATGGTGTGAAACGCGAAACGCAGGTCTCGTCGCGAAGCAATCAGTTTTCGTTCAAAGCGACACGCGGCGCGATGGACTCGCTGTTTTAAATTGTTTTGAAACGAAAAAATGTAATATTTATTTTTTATAATTATTATTACCATAAAATTGAGAGATCAATGAACATTTGAGGCACAAATCATCAGACTAATGTGCTCAGCATTAATCGTGATAACTGTAGAATTTGTGTGGAAATTCCGGATTTTTTCGACTCGTGCCGTCCGCGAGAACGCTCCTTTAAATTCTTCAGCGTTCGCGAAGCTTCCTTGCATTTTGAGATATCCCACGCTGTCATGTTTAAAGGCACATGCTTGGAAGTGCCGGAAAGAGTTCTGCAATTGATTGTTTATTGCTCGTAAAACGATTTGCAGGAAATTTCAGTTCGCCTACCCTTCGCCAATCGCCATTCTATAGTCATTCACGAGTTTCTCGTATTTTGCCAAAACGTGCTGATAGAAAGGATTTGAGATGTTGAGAGATTCGTTGAGGATTGTGAACACGTGCTCAAGATTTTCACATGCTTTCGAATAATTAGAGCATCGCGGAGAGAATGCTGAAATTATTATTTTAGTTGAGTCAATATTTATTGGTGAGATGAGTCATCAATATCGAATTGCTATCAATATTTGCGCAGAAATTTGGGGTGAATGGGTTTTGTTTTTGATGGCGATTCATGTGACTTACGAGGCTTGTTCAATTTTGCCAAGAACCAGTAGCAATCGGCTGTCATCATCGCGTGCATTGTTCTCGCGACATCATCGAACGTCGATGTCGCGCATTTGTTTAATTCGACAAGCCAACTTGTGTAAAGATCGCAGATCTGGAAGAAAAATGGAGAATTGATAAAATTTTTTCGTGCAAATTGATAACCTTCATTTTGTTTCCGGTCCACTCGCGATACGCTCTCATGTTGCCGCGATCGGCGAGGAATTGTCGTTCGGAAATATTCATCTGGATCTGATGGGTCTGAAAAAAAGCAGATTTTTTTAGAATACTTGATTTAAAAAAAAATTGAATGTTCCTGTGTTTTTTTCAGCGGTATTTGGAAGAGGACGTATTTTCTGTGGCCGCGAAAAAAAATCGTCCAGCAAAATAAAAAATAAAATTTTGAAATCAGCAAACGAAAATCGTGTTCTCGGATGACAATCATATAAAATTAGTTGGGATATAAAAAAAACAACTCACTTCAATTAAATTGATGTAAAATTGTTGAAGGAATCGAAGATAGTCGGTGTTTCTGTCGGACGTGGACGCCATGCTCGTCGGCCTACAAAAGAGGGAATGAATTCGAATGGAAAACGGGAGCAGGTGCGAATTTGAAGCATCTGCTCGACGAATGACGAAAAAAGATGTTTGACAAATGCGTCGAAATTTGAACAGTCGCCTTATATAGACTCGAATGACGTATAACCAACAATTCGCTGAATCATAACAAGACATACGAGTATTTCAAGTGACTGATAAGCAAGCAAATTATGCGATTTTATCGACACATTTGTTCGCTTTTTTGACACAAATGAATCATATTTCATTTGCGGTTTTATGGCTGAAATGTGCCTTATTTGGGAACTACTGTGATTAGATAACAAGTCGTGTGGGCGGAGAAGAATGACGATGTTTTGTTTATTTTTGGAATCGATCTCGACCTTTTAGGACGGCGATCTTGAAATGCACTCGTCGTCTGGAATTAGTTTAACTAGAAAATAAAATTAGAACATAAAAATGTGGGAAAAATTCTAATCGCGTCTTAAAGGTGCATATAGGTTAATTTTAACAGTCTCTTGAGACGATAAATTACTGTGATTTGTTTTCTTTCAGCGAAATTCAAATTTTTGCGATATCTTTTTCTAAATAATTTTCGATTTATTGCTCTGAAAAAGGAGAAACCACTGCAGTTATAACTATTTTTAAGGAAATCTATTCCAGGTCCGACTTTCTACGAAAACATTAATGTAATTTCCAGCTATTCCCCATTTTGTGAATGTTTTCGAGGAACGTCGATTGTTCTTTGCGCCAAGAAAAGAAAAACTTCCTCAATTTTTCTGATGAAAAATTTCTTTTGTTGTGGAATGCAACATAAAATTCAAAAAAAGAGAAGAATAACGTTCTATTTGAACAAAAAATTTTTATGATCGCTGAATCACTTTTCAATATTTTTTTGTTTATCATTTCGCCAAACTAATAGTTCGATTCAGTGCTTGCCAAATTGTCAAATTTCTCATTTTTACCCAATTTCAGTCGCGCAAAGTTTTTCAAATTTAGAGACTGAGTAAGTCAATTCCTCTCTGTCCTTTCATTTTCTATTCTGTTTTTCATTTAAAACTTCTAGGAAGATATGTGACCGGTCGCATCTGTTCCTGGTTTGCTCCGTCACTCGCTGACCTCTTTCAAAAATCTTCATGTCGATTCGAAAAGTTTCACAACCGGCTACCCAATGTCTGTGTGTGTGTTACTATTGTCGCTCAAACTATACATATTTCACAACTCGTCTCTCATCACATCTCGCGCTATTCCGCCGCGTTTGAATCACCCTGTTTACTCCAAAGTCCGCGACGCCGTTTTTCTCTTTTTCGTCTTGCTGTTTTTTTTGCTTCCAACTCGCGCTCTAGACATCGATCTGACAGTCGTGCGGTTCCGTCGCATTCCTACTATTTTTGTTTGTGTGTTCGGCTCCACCCATTTCTCTCTGTGTTTTTTTGTTCTCCCCATTCGACGCCACAGACCGCGCCCGCCACAAGGCCACTCACAGTTTGAATTTCAGTTCGACATCAATCGTACACCAACATCATCGTCGCCGATATGGTAAGTCGTCAATTTCAAACGATCCCGAAAAAATAGTTTTTCTGTCAACTAAGATTCGCCTTTCTTCGTATTTCGCTTTAGTTTTTGTGAAAACCCCAATTCCCAACGAAAAACAAACAAAGTTCGAGTCGTGTTATTTCGTTCTTGTCGAGACCCAATTTAATGTCCAACATAAAAATGAACAACTCGACGCGGAACTAAAATCGTCACTTGATTTCAGAGCACTCACGAGAACGATCAGCCTCTTCCAGTCCCATACACCTCGCGATTGGGACAACCTCTTGAAGCTGGACAGACTCTCAACATCCACGGTCGTATCAATGACGGAGCTGAAGTGTACGGAATTACGCGAATTTCGTTGAAAAATGAGATTTGGAAATTTCAGCGCTGAGGTCAACCTCCTCCAAGGTGGAACCGAAATCGCTCCACACACCAATGTGGTCCTTCACTTCAAGCTCAATTTCAAGGAGAAGAAGATCGTCTTGAACACCTACCAAAATGGAACTTGGGAGAAGGAAGAACGAGAATCGAATCCATTTAAGGCCGGAGAGGAGTACGACTTGCGCATTCGTGTTCTCGAGGAGGGATTCGAGATCTCTGCCAATGGCAAGAAGGTCCATGAGTTCAAGTATCGCCTTCCATACCAGAGCATCGAGTACATCACCGTCAAGGGTGATCTCACCTTGAGCGGTCTCCACTGGGGAGGACGCTTCTACCAACTTCCATGGGAGACCGGATTCCCGGGAGGCTCGCTCCGCGACGGTCAACGCATCCATCTCTACGGAATTCCAAAGGGAGACCGCTGGTCTTTCGACTTGGTTGCTCGCAATCAGGATATTCTCTTCCACTTCAACCCAAGACTCAAGGAGAAGGTTGTTGTGCGCAACTCGCACCGCAACGGATTCTGGGACAAGGAGGAACGCGAAGGAGACTTCCCATTCAAGAAGGATATCGGATTCGACTTGACCATTGTCAACGAGCCATACTCGATCCAAGTAATTTTTAATTTTCAAATTGATCCAGCAGATCCCAAATTTCAGATCTTTATCAACGGAAAGCGTTATGGAACTTTCCAGCATCGTACTCAGGACCCACTCCAGGACTACATCGGAATGCGCATCGACGGAGAGGTTGAGGTCACCGGAATCGAATTCTCTCATTAAGTTATTAAAAATACAAATCTTTATTGTAATGCTAATAAATGTATATAAAAAACAAAGTTAAGTGGCTGTTTTCTCATCTTCACTCTTTGTCGATCTACAAAAGAAATGTCAATCTGATAAGGTTCGTTATCAATTTGAAATTTCAACACCGTGCGGTCGTAAAACGTGAAACAATTTCGTATCAAGGACAAAAAGAAGCAGTTGAACTTACTGGCCCAACCACGTCAATTATTTCATGGACCTCTCGTTTAATGACACCTTAATTTTGAAATTGTCTGCATTCAAGCGAGATTCACACATACGTGAAGAGCTACTCATTGCACAATCGCCAGCTTCCATGTTTGAATTCGTGTTGCTGGTTTCAACGTTGTTGTTATTTTGGTCCTTCTCCTAAAACGCCAAATATGAAATTCAACGCGGTTTAACGGCACCTCTTTTTTATTGAATATTTGCATCATCATTTCGTTGTGCTTCCGCTGCTGTGCGACGCTCAATTCGATCGCCTGCACGCGTTGAACGATGGTGCTTTGAATGCTGAACGCGAATGCGGCTCTTGTGAGCATTTCGGCCTCTTCAATTACACCGTCCCCATCATCGGCATTTCTCATCACTTACGTGAATTGGTGAGCTGGTGTTGAGACGTCGTCACGGCGTGCTTCAAATTGATGGCGCTGATGACGATGTCGTCGCAGAAATGCGAAATCACACCGGTGTTGTGCATTTGGCTCCAGAACGTTGACGGATCTGAATGGAACGAACGGCTCAGTCGTATTCAAGAAAAATTCGACTCACCATGTAGGAGGCATTGGAGAATTTCGGCGAAACTCGTGCACCCTTCCATTCCATCGTACTTCAAATCATTCGGATTGATCATATCCTCGTCGGGTTCGAAATATTCGAAATACTGATCTGACTTGTCCATTTTCATTGCTTCACGCCTACAATTCGCTTTTTTTTTTTGACGATTAAGATTCAATTTTTGAATGAAATATTACTTTGGCGGTCGATTTTTGTTGCCGGAACCGCGTGGACGACCACGAGCCTTCTTTTCTATAAAATTAAACAATTCGAAACGAAAATGATTCGAATATTCACCTTTAAACACATCATTCACACCTTTTTTGTCGCCATCGATCGTCGAATCGCCCGATTGTGCGTCGTTTCCAAGGCCCGTCAGTTCACCAGTAATTTCCATGTGTAGAAGGGAATTGTTGACGATTCTCTTCGCTTTTCGCATCATCATCACTTCTTCGCGTTCAGCGGGACTGTTCACGTAGTTGCGACTCTGACATTTGCCGCTGCATCGATGCTCGTGATCGTAGAAGTCGACGGTGCCGGCTTCCATATGACTTCGAAGTGTTGATCGTCCGATTCGGATGCTCGCCTTCCAATCTTTTTGCTTCTCCTTGTCGCCGCGCACGGTGAATTGTTTCGGCGAGAGGAGTTCGCCGTCATACTCGACGCACGGCTGATGAATGCCGGGGCAGAGGAACAAGTTGACGTGAAGTTTGCCGGTGATGTTGCCGCACACGACGGGAACCGTCGGCGAGCCTTCGCTGGAATCTGGCGGCGTCACGTGAATGGGCGTCACCGGCCTCGAGAATTCCGAAGGCGTCTGAAACGAAAAAACAATATCGCAGTGGTTTTTGTTGGGAATTTCCTTCTAGTATAACAACAAAAACATTTTCTTAAAGGAAAATAAATTCTCAAAATCAATATAATAATAATAATAAAGCCGCTACCTTGGTACAGGCATTGGTCGATTGATATTCATTTCCATAGGCGAGCGTTTGGCTGCGATCATCCATAGTGGCATACTGGTAGAAAAGAAATGAGCAATTCTTTCGGACACCGACGACTTACTGGATAGACAATTTGGTAGACGACGTTGCCTTGATCGAGATTGTATGACGATGACGACGGCGGCATTTTGGCGTCGACATCGGGCTTCACGAGCTGAGTGCTGCTGTCGGCTGTTGGTATCTTCAACGAATGATTCGGGATGCTATCCTCCATGGTGTTCGACGCGAGAAGTGACCGACGTGTTCGTCACGGGGTCGCGACACGCCGACGTGTGCCACGTATCACGTTTGTCACGTCGCCAATTTATATATATTTATACATATTAGAAAACACATCATCTGGAAATAATGAAAAATTGAAATAGGAACGCGAAACATATAGATATCGTTATAGCATTTGAATTTATTTTTACATTTACAAGCTGCAAATAATTTTTAATAATTTTTAATTATGTGGGCGGAGCTAAAACAACTAAAATTATTTTATTCAACGTGAAATAGTTGGCGTTTGAAATCAATGAATTATTCCATTTAATTTATAATAATTAATGCCGTGAAGCTTAGCGCGGAGTTCATTTTTATATGATATTCAGAAAATTCAAATTTTTACGTTCAAATATATTGAAATTTCAATGAAAATAAAGTAAACATTTGAATGGAATACCTATAGATTTTCTGAAAATTTCTAAAGATTACTGAACAATTTCTAGAAATTTCTGCAAATTTTCATTGATTGAATGATCCTCCTAAAAAGAAATTATATTTATAGTCCCTTAGGAAACTCTCACTTTCTGCATAATTTCATTAAAATCTCTAATCAATCGAAACCTATTTAATATGATTTTTTAAATCCCAAAACCTGAAATCAGCGGTTTTTATATAAGTCAATTTGAGGGGTTATAAAATTCTGCGAATATTTTCGCTTATAAGGTAAATAAAAGAGCGCGTAGTGGATCGATCTGAAATCTCGTGGTAACCGATTTTTTTCAGAAAATGACTGTAAAACTGTTGAGTGCGATAGAGCGCGTTTGCGCATTTGACAAATAATTTTTGTGAAAAAAAATAATTTTTCTTAATGACGTTTTTTTCTCAATTTTCATCCAAAACGCTAACTTTTCTGGAACAATTTCGTACAAAAAAAAACAATTCAAATGTTCAGGATAGATTTGCGGAATCCATTATGAAGCTCCGTCACTCAATTTCAACGCCAACTCGTCGCCACCGGATAGAAATTGTATGTGGGTGTCTATATTATTGCCATAATGTTTATAATATGAATAATTGTTAGATTTTAAGATTGTTTAACCTTTTCCAATGATGCTATAAGTCTGTAACTGGTGCATATCATATTCAAACAATCAAAAAGAATTTTTTCTAACCAGCAAAGAACCGAACAGGCGCCGTGTTGAATGATGTGCAAATGCGAAGCAAAAGAAATAACCGTCAATTTTTTGGTAGCGCATGCCCGCGCCCGAATTCTTTCATTCATTTGTTCTCACTATCGACGAAAAAAAAAGACGCGGTGATAATGATATTCAATATTCGTGTAACTATTAAAAGGAAAAAAAATCGCGCGATATTTACGAGCGCGCCACCAACGCCATTATTATTATTTTATCGAGCGCTGGATTCTCCCCGCTACTCCTTATTTGTTCATCATACATATATACATTTCTAAAAAGAAGAGTAAAAACAATAAACGCAAGATGGTTTTCGGTCTGATTTTTGGTATAAACACGCGGTTTTGATACTGTCGGCCCGGTTTGAGAGGCTGGCTCCAAAATGAAACATGTCCTAGTGTTTTTGTGTTGTCTCTTCTTAATATGATAGGAGATGTTTTGATTAAATTTAACAATGAGACCCTCATATCATTTATGGTATTTTTTGTTGTTTTTGCTTGCTTTTTGCCAGCAATTTTGAGAAGCCAATCTCGACCATTTTCAGATCCATGTTCTGCGCGCTAACAGTAGTTGAAAAGATGGAAAATTTCAGGTAAATCTTCGAACAAAACAAACAAAGAGAATGTCCATTTTTGCCACATAAAATTTGATTAATAATTGCCTTCTGGACAAAATGTTTCAAAATTTACGACGCTTTGCCTATTATGGAAACCATACACGATGAAAAATCGAACCGGAAACTAGGAGGAAATTGCGTTTTTTTTAGCGTAACCACCTAGCCGACCTGATTTTCGGGAATTCCCCGCCAGAAAAAAACTTATCATCATATCTATATATTTTTTTTTTCTCCGAGTCTTACCAAAAGTTGCGCGCCGGTAACCGTTATCACTTATCATAAATTGACGGTGATAATAACATTTGTGCGGCTTGGGTCGGCCGCGGTGCACACTTGCACTATTTTTTTGATGACGGGAGGCATGTATGTATTTATGAGGCGATCCTCAACCCCAAATAAAATAGTATGCGTATAATAATAGAATCGGAGAATCTGTTTTGTGCCCATTTTTGCCCTGTTATTTCTTTTTTTGCGCCCACTTTTCGCCAAGAAATTCCGCCAAAACGCGCCACGTGGTTGTTGTTTTTTTTTTCGACTGTGACGTCATTATTCGTTTTGAGACCCAATTCGTATTTGTAGCACTCTGCCAATGGGAATAATGGCCAACAATGCGCCGGTACCGCTCTCGAAGCGAAAAGGATGCGCTATCGATGAGCTCCTTCAGGTATTTTTTTTGTAATGGAAACTTTCCCATCCTCCAATTGTTGCAGTCGAAACGAAATACGAGCTCGACACTGTACCGCAAGATGCTCGAGAGTCTCGTCGAGCGAAAATCGGAGTTTCTGCGGGCTCAGAAGCGCGCGTCGATGTTCGTCGACACGCGTTGCGTCAATGAGTTGTGTGTGATGAACGAGTTCGCCGAACTTTATCAGAACGTCGAGAATATTTCGCAAACTGATAGCGCCAAGAAAACACTGCTCGAAGATATTGTGAAAGAGTGAGTCGAAATCGAATTTTCATTTTTCGCCATTCTAGTTCGTTATTGTCGGCGTCAAATGGCCTATCCATGGCGGGAATTTCGATTTCGCAAAATCAGTGTTGATCTACTAATTTGGAAGTTTACGCGCGGCTAGATATTAAACGCGCACACGCTAAAATGCAGAGCACGCAGACACGCACAGTTCTCGACAGTCCCGATACACCATGGCAAATAGCCGATATGTAAATTGACGTCCTCGATCAATGTCCGCACATGATTTTTTAAACTTCGCCGTCATGTCATAATTAGCTTAATTGCACACATTATGTAATGTATCAAACAAAATTTGAAGATTTGCGGGATGGGTTAAAGGCGCATACCTTATGCCAAGACATCTCCCTATATTATTTGGTCAACGGTTTACGGTAGGATATTCCTTTTTAACGAGAAGCGTAAAACTTGGAATCCGAAGATTTAGTTTTGCACTACCTAGTCTTGCTGATAATCAAATATAGACAAAATATGCGATGTGCATTAAAGGAACATACTAAAGTTTGTTATTTTTACACATGAATTGATCTAAATTATTTAAATTACCAAATTTTTAAAAATTCAAAAACAAATGAGCAAGCAATTAGAAACAAAAATTGACTTATCCAAAGTAATTCTTGGGTCACCGATTTCGATTTTAAGCAAATCAAAATTTTTTTTTGCTTAAATATGGGGATATTGTAATATTCTAAATATTGTTTTTTGATTAAATGAAACATGCAATACTCTCTCAAGGCTCTTGGAGCAAGAATGTTTTCAGAGAAAAAAAAAACGTCTAGTTTTGTCCGCAATTTAGCGTGTTCTATTCTTGTACTTCTTGAACATTTGCCATCCATCTAATCGATTTCCTCAGATCGATCATCATCGAATGGCCGCGTACGTTTCCCGGTGTCTCGTCTAGCGGTCTCGACGCCGAAATCGATTTCGCGCCGCTCATTCATCGCGCTCGCAACGTCGTAAAATGCCGAACGAGCCATCCAACGATGCGAGTGAAGTAAGCAAACAATTTAATCAATATCCTTATCGGATCATAATGTTTCTCAACCAAATAGGGTTTTCGCGTTGACGCATGAGACAATCAACGTCGAGGTGTTGTTCCGCGCGACGCTCGTCAAACTCGCCAGCGATAACGGCGACTCGAGGTATCGGCAAGTTGCCGGCCGAATGATATTGACGCAACGCGAAGGGATTCCCGTCACGAAGAGTCAAGAGCGGAGCGGCGCGGTGGTGAACGCCGATGGCAAATTGGTTGCCTATTATGTAGGCGCACGCGTATTTCCGGGCGAGCGGCCGCTGATTCATTAATGATTTCTAGACGTACCACGACAATCCGTCGACGAACGTCCTCGAATTGATGGGCGAGGGTCCGGTGAAATCGACGCGTTTGAAATTTGAGAACGGCGTCTTGTGCGCGACGTTTCCTGAGATGGTGGGCGGGGTGTTACTGTAGCATTGAATTGCGTGTGTGTGTGTGTCGCATTATTGTAGGGAGTCACGTTGAATTCGATGATCGATCGCCGACAACTATCGACGAGATATGCGATTCAGGTGGAAGTCGGACTCATCATCGACGGCAAGATTGAATTGAAGCATGTTTGTTATTTTTAAGCGTCCCTATCAGCAATGCTCTTCATGATTTGAATTTCTAGACAATTGTCTCTCATCCATTCCTTATTGCGATCACCAATGATCAGACGGAACCGCTTCTTCAATCAATTTTTTGGCATCGATTAGTGGATTTTGACCATGATAATGTGAGTTTGTTGATTAGTTGACACAGAATTGTTTGAAACTTCTCCAGGAGTCCATTGATATTCTTCCCGAGCACTCGAAACTTTCTTGGGGGATTCTTCGGCATGCGATTCGGGCGTTTATCAAGTGCCAGCTGCCGACCGCCCGATTTCTGACTCGCTATGAGATCCTTCATATTCAGTGCATGGTGTTCTTGCCGCGTGTCATGTTGTGCAATTCGACCGACGCCATCCAGATCACCGAGCTCACGTTGTTCGGCAACATTCAAGATGCGGATGATGCGAGCATTAGAGGCGAGCAGAAGAAGATCCGTCAACGCCTTCTCACCGAATTCGTCATGGATTATTGTTCAGTTGATCGCAAAGAGTTTATGACGGACAAATGCCTATCGCTTCTTGACATGTGCTCGGAATTGCCGCACTCGACGTGGCAATGGCTTCAGCGAGCTTCTGAGATGGTGCAGGATGTTGGGCACAAGTTGTGTCCCACGCCGGTCGTTGATCGAAAATCGACGAAGACGAAAAAGCAGATGGCGGCGGCGGAGGATTATCAAACGATGTTGAGCTTGTTCAACAAGGGGTTCGTTGATGATTCGTTTGATTTTAAGCATCCATTTAGGTTTATTACGATTTGCTCAACGCACGCTGTCAAGCAATTTTTGAAGTCTGATCGAAAATCGGCGATGCTTATGCGATTCTGCGATGAGAATTGCGGTCACTTCTCGTTCTGCTATGGGATTTCGAAGGAGTTGGAATCCGCAAACCCGGACGATCTTCTATTGTTTTGTTTTAGGAAACCCATAATTGGCTCGATATCTGCGGATCGCGTCAAGGATTTCAAGCAAGGCCTTCCGGAGGTTCTCATGGATGAGCGATATCCATCAAAGTAGGTCAAAACGCCAAAAAAAAACTCGTCCACTGAAGATTTGTTGATTGGTTTTTTTTTTCGTTGCAGATTTCCCGAGCTTATTCGCATGCCGGTAAACGACGATGAGGATCAGCAATCGACCTATGTGTTGTAAACGCGAAAGATGTCGAGTTTTTGGAGATTTTGATCAATTTTCAGAAAGCGCGAGATTTTCCACAACTACTCGACGCATCGAAAAGATATGGAGAGCGTTTCGATACTTGACGACGAGACATGCCGAGTTGACGCGTTGTCGGGCGCACAATTAGCACGCGCGACGCCGCCCCCTTCGACGAGTCACCAGCCGAATTTTGAGTTTTCCTCATTGATTGGTAAAATCAATTTCCACAGCACCAACAACAAAATGTGTTTTTGCAGGCAATGATCAAATTGCTCAATCGCTTTTGCAGTTGTTTCAAGCGAATGTGGAAAGCTATAGGGAAACTGTGTAAGAATTTTTGAAAATTTTGCAAAAGCATGATCTCGATTGATGTCCGCAGATGTAATTTTCCTAGGGTGCCATATTTGGGGTCTCGAATGAAAGAATATTAAGGGGTCGAGTTGTGCTTCTTATCAGACATCAATAGAAAATAGCATAAATGGATTTGAAGCACAGTCGGCTGTACTCGGGTGGATTTACGCGAATGCGCCTATTGAAATGGTCTCGTCACTAAAGACGCACGGAGATCTCTCATTAATTTTTCCCGGCATTTATCCAACTTTTTGCAGTCGCGCAGCGCCGGACAATATAAGGCGGGTGTTCAGTCGAACCGCCGTCGCAACCAAAATTTAAAAAAAAACCATTACGCAATAATTTATACACAAATAATTACTGTTAGCAAAGATTGTTAAAGCTTCGTTTAATCGAATTGGTTGTCTCATTTACAGTTCATTATCAAATCAACAATTTTAGTAGTCGTCCTGTTTTCAGAGAGCCTTCATGCTCAACAGCCGCTAGTAGCCAGAATGACGACGAGCCTGAGCCAACCTCAATCGACAAGATCCTTCGAGAATCGATGCGAACCGCTGAAACCGAAGAGGACCCGACGAAGCAAATTGCTCAAATGCTGCTCAATCAGTACAAATAACAATGAATGTTGGCATATATTGTTGTGTTAGTCTTTCGAATTGTTTTCATTTGTACGGCTAGTTTTGTGCATCATGAATTATGATAATAATATAACTCAAATGAATACCTCATACACAAAAGTGAAGGAATTTGGTGTGTTTTTGTTGTATCGTTTTTGGAGGCGGTGAGTCGGAACGAGACGGCAACACTCTCACTTTCTGCAAAATTGTTCTCGAATCGATCAATTCTAACTGTTGTGACGAGTTATCCGCAAATCCGGTCTGACTCATCTCGCCCGTCCGATTGCATTATTATTAATATTATTGTCGTTGTTGTATTCTTTTTGGCAGTTGCGCAATACCAAATTTGGGGTTGGACTAAACCCAATGTTTCCATTATTCGTTCTATTGATCCCCGTGGTTCAGGCGACACCTTCGGTATGGTCATGTCCGTTTGTGAACCCGATGGGACCAATGGTTCCGCCTGGAATTGGCGCTGTTGGAGAAGAGTGAGTTTTGATAGATTTTGGCTGCGGATCGATTTTTTAATGGAATGAAAAAAATGAATGTTTTATAAAACAAATCTTAAAAACTAGCAAAAAAATGTATACATCGGTTTTATTTCATTTCTTAAAAAAATCATTTTGTGTGAAAACCGATAAAATCGGAATATGCCCGTTTGAAATTTTTCTGACAAATTAAATTTCACAGAAGTGTATGCATATGAAAAAATCTATAGGAATTAGAGAAAAATATTTAAACAATAAATGCGCGTAATGTCCAGTTTTTTCCAATTTCTATCGAAAACACACAGTACTGTTGAACGTCCAAAACTCAAATATTCGGAAGAATGCATCGATACCTCAAAACCACAATTCGGATACGATTTTTAACAGTTCACATCATTTAAATTTTCGGACTCGTTTCGAAATATCTCATATTTTTAACAATGTTTAAATAGTGGAAATATGATTGAATTGAAAACTGAGCTTGCGGACCAAAAAAACAAGTAATTTTGAAATTCCGAAACAATTTTTTGAGACAACGAGTAAATCGACACTCGTGTTGCGAAACCCAACTCTACAGTGGTCTACTCCATCAGCGACTATGACAATATTATATAAATTGTCCACCTATATACTATGAATTTATCTAGAAAATTCAATTAGCAAGAACGCACAACAAATTAATTAGTCCTCAATCGGCAATATGAAAGTCAGAAAAACTATAGATTAAGTGAAATATAGAACAAATAATATTTAGAATAACTGCGATGCAACACAAGAATATCAGTTAAACACTCATCAAATTTTCTCAAACTCTGTATGTGCGCGTCAACTCTTGTGTGTTGTGCATACACCGTGGTGTGTACCGTATAGCCTCGAAACTATGAGTGTTCTCGGCTCCTCATAACATGCATATTCAGTGTGCGCACTCGATCTCAAAATCGTTAAAAAATCGATCTTGCTCGAGAATTTAAAGATCGATCGAACCCGAGATCGATCGAGCATTTCGAGCGCTCGAGATCGATCGAGCGGGATCGATCGAACTCGAGCGCTCGAAACGCTCGATCGATCTCGAGCGCTCGAAATGCTCGATCGATCCCGCTCGATCGATCTCGAGCGCTCGAAATGCTCGATCGATCTCGAGCGCTCGATCGATTTTTAGAAAGATCGATCGATCCCGATCGATTTTCGCTACCAAGATCGATCATACTCGATCGAGCGCTCACACTGTGCATATTGTTGAGAAATGACAAATGTATCCAGGTGTCGTGGGATCCAGCGTTTTGTACGCAATGCTAAGAGACAGTTACCGTAATCCTCGCAGCGATTTACGGAGTTTTTTTAAAATTTTCTTTCAATTTTTTTGCTGTATTTTCTTATTTTCTTTAGAAATCTTTTATTTAAACCCTGTAGAAACCGAGTTTAATTATTTATTTTTCAGAATATGCACTTTTCTATTTGTCCAGTTGAGTTGGGAATTATTGTGAAGATTTTGACGCTCTAAAAATTATTTTGAAAATGAAGAATACAAAAACGAGATAATAGAAACGCGTACAAAAAGCAAAACACGGATAAATAATTTTATTAAAGACAAAAATGATTTCTTTTTAATCTCTGCTATTTTTACCAAAAAAATATCGTCTAAAAGTGCTTATTCTGCTAAATAAATTATTAAACTCGGTTTCTGCAAAATTTAAATAACAAAGTTTCAAAGGGAAATACGGAAGTTGAGCGAAAAATTAAAAAATGAATATGCGAAATTAAATAAAAAGCCCGTAAATCGCTGCGAGGATTACGGTAACTGGCTCTTAGCATTGCGTACAAAACGCTGGATCCTACGACACCTGGATACATTTGTCATTTTTCAACAATACCTATTATTTTATGTTAAATACACGATTTATTATAATCGCAAACAATGAGAACTCTAGAAAATACTTTAATGATAATAATTTCCAGTTGTCCTACTGACTCATTCATCCATTATTACGCATGTTGTGACGACAACCCATTCCAATGCTGTTTCCATTTCGAAACGTGGGCAATGTGAGTTTCATACTTCTCTGTTTAAGTTAAATATTTTCCAAACCATTGTCTAGTGTTGTGTTCGCCATCGCCGGCCTCATACTCATTGTCGGCTCATTATTTGTCGCCGGCAAACTTCTAATGACGGCCAACTTTTCGAAAACGCCAAGAACCATGTGATGATATGTACATATTATGTAATTGCATTATTTATTCAATTCAATAAATTTATTAACAATCATTGTCAATTCCGGAATGTGGAATATAGCTGGTGTCGTCATCGTCGTCGTCGTTTCCTTTGCCTTTCGTGTGAATTGGGACCACAATTATTTGCGGAGGGCCAAAAATTATTGGGTGGCCACCATGTGTTCCTAAATTCGACCATTTTGAATGTTTCTCTCGATTTGATGAATGTATTCATCACACATACCTCCATTATGGCCGCCACCATTGTTGCCTGAAAATACAAAATTAATTATTACGCAGAATGATGGTGAGTTTGATTCCTAACCCTCTCCCCCCCCCCTCTTGATTAAAAAATTACAATACCTCCGTTGTTTCCATTACCATTTCCAGATCCGCCATTGTTTCCTGAAAATCGAGAATTATTGTTAACAAGTGTCAATATAATCGATCAGATTTGTCAGATCCCCCATCTCCTTCCCCGAACCTCCATTGTTTCCAGAATTTCCTGATCCTCCATTGTTTCCACCGGAACCTTGAAAATGATCATAAGAAATGTTGAAATTGATTCGAGATCGCTTCCCATCATTGTTTCCTCCTCCGTTATTCCCCGACCCTCCATTTCCACCATTGTTGTCTGAATGTTATGAATTATTGCTAGAACGAGCGCTTCTCACTTCCTCCGCATCCTCCATTGTTTCCTCCATTGTTTCCTGAGCCTATAAGCATCAAATCTATTAGATCCTCTAGATTCGCCCACAAACCCCCATTATTTCCTTGGTTTCCAGATCCTCCATTGCTTCCAGATCCTACAAGATCATTTTGAAATTGCTGATAGCTTTCGGCTGCTTACCCCCATTTCCGGACCCTACAAAAATGTCTTATTTTAACTAAACGATCACAAAAATTTCTCACCGCCATTATTGCCTCCATTGTTTCCGGATCCACCATTTCCACCACCATTACCTGATTGCCCGTTTCCGTAACCAGGCGGAGGATTTTTGCAAATCCTGAAATGATTTGTGAAATGATTATGTTTCACTTTAATTATGTATGATTACATTTCGATATTATGAACGATCCAGTCGCCCCATGTTAAGAATGACGTTGTCTCATAGGAGGACGGCACTCTGTTTGGAAACATTTTGAGGAAAGATCCGTTGCCGTAAGTTAAATGGAAATAGTCGCCAATTCTTCTGGCTCGAACTTCGATTGTCTGCCCGGCATGGAAAGGATGCGAACCGTATATCTCACTATACCATCCTCCTTTGTACTTGAAACCATTTAAGTGATTCAAACCGGATTGATTAGAGGCTTACGCTGTTGAGAACCAGCCGATGTGGTTGGCCGTTGCCTCTGAAATCCATGCGGAAGTGCATTATGATCGCGCCGGAGGTTCCATACAAATCAAACACTGCTCTAGAAATAAGCTTGATCATCTTCGAAACAATTCAAGAGGACTACCTGTGTCTGCTCATGCTTTTGGCTATCGTTCCACGTACAATGAGCTCATCGCCGTCAGCCATTGGTTTGATGAATGGGAAATGACGATCTTTCTCGACGACATCCTTTGAAATTCAAAAATGATTCACTCAAATCAAATTTGAATAAAATCTCACAATTTTGTCGCATTCGACAACACCGTTGGCGGCTGCGCATGACGAGGTTAGGGCGAAAACGAGGAAAAGCTGAAGAAGGCGAGACGACATTCGATTAAAAAATCGCGTCCGGTTGCAATTATTCAATAATTCGTCAAATATTTATATCCGATGCCGCTTTTTTTATTAATGCTCGTAAACTCGTTTTTGGCTATAAAAAAAAACGTTTTATGACTTTGAAAAAAAAGAGTTGTCAAAAAAAAGAGACTTCCTTATATGAAAAAAAGAGACTTCCTTATATGGCAGGAAAGCGGATTGATCGAATTTTGAAGAAAATTCATACTGTTAAAGAAATCAAACTAATTTCACACAACGTTTTCGCTGCCTGATCCGAATTGGATGATCCTCATCAAACGAAAGGAAAGAAGAAATTCGTTCACACCATACCAGGTCATGGAAACATCGGCCAACGGTGGAAGAAGCTTGGGAATGTTGCCGACACCAATCCGCTGGTCTGAATCCGGCAACCTCTGGAAATTCGGACACATCCCGCCAGATGTAAGCGTGACTGTAGAATTCTTTGGATACTTGACGCCGATTTTGAAATTTGAAATTGTTCCAGAATTATTAATATTTCAATTTTTCATTTTTATTAAAATTTGTTTTCCCAAAATAATTAATTTCGGGTAATTTGCTTATTTTGAGGGGGTTTTTGACGTACTGAATTCATCTTGAATCTTGAAATCCAAAAAATGAACGTAAAAGGAAAATGTAACATCAAAATTCGAGATGTATGCTTAGCGCCTTTAAATTATCACAGTCAATGACAACATGAATTATGGTTCAAATCAATCTTGTATTTATTATTGGTTGTTTTTAATCTTTAGCGCTTCGGTTGTCACGGAATTGGAAGCGAGTACAAGATGGCCGCGGCCGGGCAGACCTGGCCGGCGCGGAGCGACGGCCGCCACGTTGGTTTCGCTTGTGAATTTCGTAGTCCTTTATTTTGAAAACGCGGAATTCGGAATTCGGCCAAACTCTGATGTATTATCTGTTATGAGCAGCCAATTCCAATGTTGTTTCCATTTAGAAACGTGGACAATGTGAGTTTCAAATTTCTCTGTTTAAGTTATATATATGTATATTCCAAAACCACTATCTAGTGTTTTGTTCGCCATCGCCGGCCTCATACTCACTGTCGGCTCCAGAGCTGTACGGAATTCCGTCTTCCGTTTTCCGTGACATTTTCCTGTTTCGCGTTCCGCTTGAGATATCTCTCAATACCTAGCACGTCTAGCGAATCCAAGAACCATTTTAGCACAGCCGGAGAAATTTGTTCGACGGAAAGAACCTTGTCGAATGAGCACTTGAAAACTCTCACATTCTGCAGTGTTAATTTTAAAGTGTTAGAATCAGTTAGATTAAGTTTGTGTTCCGTGTTCTATTTTTTGAAAATTTAAGTTTCGTGAAGCTCGGGCCGGCTCAATATTTGTCGCCGATAAACTTCTAATGACGGCAACTTTTCCAAAACGCCAACAACCATGCCTCTTGTCTCTTGGTTTCGCGCGGACTAACTGATTTTTTTGCATTTTATGTGGTCGGTTATATTATATAATCGCATTATTTATTAAATTCAATAAATTTATTAACAATCATCGTCGTTTCCTTTGTAACCAGGCGGAGGATTTTTGCAAATCCTGAAATGATTTGTGAAATGATTATGTTTCACTTTAATTATGTATGATTACATTTCGATATTATGAACGATCCAGTCGCCCCATGTTAAGAATGACGTTGTCTCATAGGAGGACGGCACTCTGTTTGGAAACATTTTGAGGAAAGATCCGTTGCCGTAAGTTAAATGGAAATAGTCGCCAATTCTTCTGGCTCGAACTTCGATTGTCTGCCCGGCATGGAAAGGATGCGAACCGTATATCTCACTATACCATCCTCCTTTGTACTTGAAACCATTTAAGTGATTCAAACCGGATTGATTAGAGGCTTACGCTGTTGAGAACCAGCCGATGTGGTTGGCCGTTGCCTCTGAAATCCATGCGGAAGTGCATTATGATCGCGCCGGAGGTTCCATACAAATCAAACACTGCTCTAGAAATAAGCTTGATCATCTTCGAAACAATTCAAGAGGACTACCTGTGTCTGCTCATGCTTGTGGCTATCGTTCCACGAACAATGAGCTCACCTGGATACATTTGTCATTTTTCAACAATACCTATTATTTTATGTTAAATACACGATTTATTATAATCGCAAACAATGAGAACTCTAGAAAATACTTTAATGATAATAATTTCCAGTTGTCCTACTGACTCATTCATCCATTATTACGCATGTTGTGACGACAACCCATTCCAATGCTGTTTCCATTTCGAAACGTGGGCAATGTGAGTTTCATACTTCTCTGTTTAAGTTAAATATTTTCCAAACCATTGTCTAGTGTTGTGTTCGCCATCGCCGGCCTCATACTCATTGTCGGCTCATTATTTGTCGCCGGCAAACTTCTAATGACGGCCAACTTTTCGAAAACGCCAAGAACCATGTGATGATATGTACATATTATGTAATTGCATTATTTATTCAATTCAATAAATTTATTAACAATCATTGTCAATTCCGGAATGTGGAATATAGCTGGTGTCGTCATCGTCGTCGTCGTTTCCTTTGCCTTTCGTGTGAATTGGGACCACAATTATTTGCGGAGGGCCAAAAATTATTGGGTGGCCACCATGTGTTCCTAAATTCGACCATTTTGAATGTTTCTCTCGATTTGATGAATGTATTCATCACACATACCTCCATTATGGCCGCCACCATTGTTGCCTGAAAATACAAAATTAATTATTACGCAGAATGATGGTGAGTTTGATTCCTAACCCTCTCCCCCCCCCCTCTTGATTAAAAAATTACAATACCTCCGTTGTTTCCATTACCATTTCCAGATCCGCCATTGTTTCCTGAAAATCGAGAATTATTGTTAACAAGTGTCAATATAATCGATCAGATTTGTCAGATCCCCCATCTCCTTCCCCGAACCTCCATTGTTTCCAGAATTTCCTGATCCTCCATTGTTTCCACCGGAACCTTGAAAATGATCATAAGAAATGTTGAAATTGATTCGAGATCGCTTCCCATCATTGTTTCCTCCTCCGTTATTCCCCGACCCTCCATTTCCACCATTGTTGTCTGAATGTTATGAATTATTGCTAGAACGAGCGCTTCTCACTTCCTCCGCTTCCTCCATTGTTTCCTCCATTGTTTCCTGAGCCTATAAGCATCAACTCTATTAGATCCTCTAGATTCGCCCACAAACCCCCATTATTTCCTTGGTTTCCAGATTATCGCATTCGACAACACCGTTGGCGGCTGCGCATGATGAGGTTAGGGCGAAAACGAGGAAAAGCTGAAGAAGGCGAGACGACATTCGAATCAAAAATCGCGTCCGATTGCAATTATTCAATAATTCGTCAAATATTTATATCCAATCCCGTTTTTTTATTTATGCTCGTAAACTCGTTTTTGGCAATGAAAAAAAGCGTTTTATGACTTGAAAAAAAAAAGAGTTGCCCAAAAAAGAGACTTCCTTATACAAAAAAAAGACTTCCTTATATGGCAGAAAGCGGATTGATTGGATTTTAAGAAAATGTATACTGTTAAAGAAATCAAACTAATTTCACACAACCTTTCTTATCTATTCGACTTTTCCACATGCTGCTTAGGTTCCTGGAAATTATCAACATTACCTCAAACTTGGGTAATTTAAAAAAAGGTTTAGTTACCCAAGTTTGAAGTAAATTGACCTTCCCTGATGATGATCGAAAGATCGGATAAAAACATTTAAACAGTGTGCAAGACAATTACAAGGGTCTTATCAAGAAGATCTCTTCTACTTAACAATAATCCACAAGATGCACTCAAAACAAGTCGCTCCACAACTAACAAAACTAAATTGCATATTTAAAATAAAATAATAGGTAGTCAAGTATTTCAGAGTTGGTCGGAATGAATAATTCGGCCAAACTCTGATGTATTGTCTGTTATGAGCAGCCGGAAACAAAATAGTTTCGAGCAGAGTTGGACGGAATTTCGCATTCCGCGATTTCAAAATATTCATTACGCTCAACTTTTTTTCCAGGGTATACGGTACACACCACGGTGAATGCACAAACACACAAGAGTTGACGCAGAGTTTCAGAAAATTATCACTGTGTTGGAGTTGGATGCTACTTTTTAAGTGATTGTTTGATATTGTTGTGTTGTATCGTAGTTATGTTAGTGATGGCGCAACTATTTCATTTTTTTTTTGCGAGGGTAATTGTGTTTGGTTTTGGTCACTTACACTTGGCGCAACTGAAGTGACCGTGGCATTCGTTTTTCAGCAAGACAACGACCCTAAGCACACGTCTGGACATGTAAAGAATTGGTTCCAACGTCGCCGAGTTGATGTTCTTGCATGGCCATCGCAGATTCCGGACCATAATCCGATCGAACATCTCTGGGAAGAACTGGTACGCATGGTTAGAGGGATCCGAGCATCAATCGCCGACGAGAAATTTGCTCAACTCGAAGCCGCATGGAGTGCCATTCCGATGCAATGATCCGCACCCTCTTGGACTCGATTCCTCGCAGATTTCAAGCGATTATTGATGCCAAGGGATATGCAACAAAGTATTGATAAAAACCGTTTTTCTACACATTTGTAATGTTTTCGGGTTTCTGAGACATTCAAATCACATTCTGTAATTTTTTCCATTTTCCGCATTTTTATGAAATTTGTGATTTTTCGAAAAAAAAACTTTCCTACAGTATGCGATATCAATCAAAAGCATTTTCAACGCGTTTTAAAGAAATGGTAAAAATTTCAGCCCGATCGGCTGCGTTTGAGCCAAGTTATGCTCAAAAAAAAAACTAGGCGAACATCATTATGGTCAGTACTGTAAATAAGCGTTGTTTTGTAGTACCGCTTCATTTTTATTGGTTTAATTACCAAAGTTTTGATTTTAGCAACTTCGCAAGCGAACTGCTTTGACGGTTTCTTTATTTTCTAACATTCTAAACTCGAAAAACTGCGAATCATTTAATAAATATGATGAGAGCTAGCGGAAAATTAAGCAAGCAATTTTTCCCAAACCTACATTTTAAAAGATGAATTGTTAGATGGTCTCTCAATTCTTGTCAGCTCATTGAATCAACCTTCAAATTTCTCTGTTTAAGTTATATATATATATTCCAAAACCACTATCTAGTGTTGTTTTCGCCATCGCCGGCCTCATACTCATTGTCGGCTCCAGTGCTGTACGGAATTCCGTCTTCCGTTTTCCGTGACATTTTCCTGTTTCGCGTTCCGCTTGAGATATCTCTCAATACCTAGCACGTCTAGAAAATCTAAGAACCATTTTAGCACAGCCGGAGAAATTTGTTCGACAAAAAGAAGGTCCTTGTCGAATGAGCACTTGGAAACTCTCACATTCTGCACTGTTAATTTTAAAGTGTTAGAATTAATTAGATTAAGTGTGTGTTCCGTGTTCTGTTTCTAGAAAATTTAAATTTCGTGAAGCTCGGGCTGGCTCAATATTTGTCGCCGATAAACTTCTAATGACGGCAACTTTTCCAAAACGCCAACAACCATGCCTCTTGTCTCTTGGTTTCGCGCGGACTAACTGATTTTTTTGCATTTTATGTGGTCGGTTTAACAATTTTTTAAATCGTAGGAAATTAAAAGAAATACCAATCTGATAAAAAAATATATCGTTCACATGAAAACAACAAAATAAGCGTTCACATGTTGCGAGACCTTTTCAAGGCACATGCGCGTAAATCTACCCGCGTACAGCAGTCTCCGGACGCCGACTATATGTACATATTATGAAATCGCGTTTTTTATTCAATTTAATAAATTTTATTCACAGTCATCGTCGATTCCGGAACGCGGAATATAGCTGGTGTCGCCGTCGCCGCCGCCGCCGCCGTTTCCATTGCCATTAGTGTGAATTGGGACCACAATAATTTGCGGAGGGCCGTACATCATTGGGTTAAAACCACCTCGACCGTTTATTCCTAAATTCTATCATTTTTTTAGCTCTCTCAACTTTATAAATGTATTCATCAAATTGTTTCGATATACCTCCATTATTGCCGCCACCATTGTTGCCTATAAATAGAAACTTAATTATTACACTCATAACTATTATGGTGATTTTGATTCATTCATGCTACGTTTCACGTTCTCTCATTCTTCAAATGACTGCCCCGGCATTGGAAAATCACCTCGAATTTTCAGATGGTCCTAACCCGTCTGTAATCCACCCACACCTCCTTCCCCGGGTTGGCTGGAATTATTGGGAGAAAAAAATCAAAACAGGCAGAAAAATGACTGACCTTGTTAGGGTACTTGTTTGTTTTGAGATGGAAATAATTAAAAAATTACAATACCTCCGTTGTTTCCATTGCCATTTCCAGACGCCCAATTGTTTCCTGAACCTTAAGAATAATTGTTAAACTCGATTCAATCAAGGCTTGTCACCTCCATTGTTTCCTCCGCTTCCTCCATTGTTGCTTCCCCAACCTATAAGCGTCAAATCAGTTTAAGACTCTAAATTATCTCCTCCTCGCTCCAACCTCCGTTGCTTCCTCCGCTTCCTCCATTGTTGCTGCCTGAAGTATTCCAATATAATCGATCAGATTTGTCAGATCCCCCATCTCCTTCCCCGAACCTCCATTGTTTCCAGAATTTCCTGATCCTCCATTGTTTCCACCGGAACCTTGAAAATGATCATAAGAAATGTTGAAATTGATTCGAGATCGCTTACCTCCATTGTTTCCTCCTCCGTTATTCCCCGATCCTCCATTTCCACCATTGTTGTCTGAATGTTATTAATTATTGCTAGAACGAGCGCTTCTCACTTCCTCCGCTTCCTCCATTGTTTCCTCCATTGTTTCCTGAGCCTATAAGCATCAACTCTATTAGATCCTCTAGATTCGCCCACAAACCCCCATTATTTCCTTGGTTTCCAGATCCTCCATTGCTTCCAGATCCTACAAGATCATTTTGAAATTGCTGATAGCTTTCGGCTGCTTACCCCCATTTCCGGACCCTACAAAAATGTCTTATTGGAACTAAACGATCACAAAAATTTCTCACCGCCGCTATTGCCTCCATTAATTCCGGATCCAACATTTCCACCACCTGCTCCGTTACCGGCCATCGATCCACCATTTCCATTACCTGATTGCCCGTTTCCGCTTCCAGCCGTTCCGCTAATTCCCGATCCTGAAAGACATTCGAATAATCAAATCAACAATTGTCCGCGGCCAAACCTAATTTGCTCTCAAATAAGGCGATACCTGAAAATGATTGGTTTAAAACTCATGGATGAACGCTTCGAAGAAAAAAAACCTCCATTAGCATTGACCATACTCCTTGATTGAACTAATCTCTGGGCAACCGGTGGATTTTTGCAAACCCTGAAATGATTGTGTTGTGTTTCACTTTAATTATGTATAATTACATTTCAATATTATGGACAACCCAGTCGCCCCATGATAAGAATGAGGTCATCTCAAAGTTAGCCGGCAATCGTGTTGGATACGTTTTGAGGAAAATTCCGTTGCCGTAGGATAAATGGAACGAGTTGCCAACTTTTCTGCAAATTTCGCTGACAATCTGATTTTGTGTTCCACGCGAAATTACTTGGCTCGAATTTCGATTGCCTGCCCGGCATGGAACGGATTCGAACTGATCTGCTCTCTCTTCCATCTTCCGTTTTGCTTGAAACCATTCAATTGATTCGAAGCGAATTGATTAGAAGCCTACTTGCGTGTTGAGAATGAGCCGATGTGGTTGGCCGTTCCTTTTGAAATCCATTCGAAAGTGCAATCCGATCGAGTTAGCGGTTCCATACAAATCCCACGCTGCTCTAGAAATAGGCCCCCGATCATTTTCGAAACAATTCAAGAGGACTACTTGTGTTTGCTCATGCTTGTGAATAGCGTTCCACGAACAATGATCTCATCGCCGTCAGCCATTGGTCTGGCGAATGGGAAATGGCGATAATGCGCGTTGACATCCTTTGAGTTTCAAAAATGATTCACTCAAATCAAATTTTAAAAAATCTCACAATTTTATCGCAGTCGAGAATACCGTTGGCGGCTGCGCATGACGAGGTTAGGGCGAAAACGAGGAAAAGCTGAAGAAGGCGAGACGACATTCGATTAAAAAATCGCGTCCGATTGCAATTATTTGCCACTGTTTTATATCCGATGCCGCCTTTTTATATTTGCTCGTAAACTCAGCGTTTTATAGTTCGTCTCATGATGAAAAAAAAAGTTGGTCACTTCCTTATATGGGGGGTGGCAGGGAAGAGAGCAGTTTTTGAGTGTTGAACCGAGATTGTATACTGTTAAAGAAATCAAACTAATTTCACACAACGTTGTCGCTGCCTGATCCGAATTGGATGATCCTCATCAAACGAAAGGAAAGAAGAAATTCGTTCACACCATACCAGGTCATGGAAACATCGGCCAACAGTAGAAGAAGCTTGGGAATGCGGCCGGCTCCAATCCGCTGATCTGAATCCGGCAACCTCTGGGAATCAGGACTCGGAAATTTCGGCAATTCGGCAATTTGCCGAAAATCAAAATTTCGGCTATTAAATGTTTTCAACGATAATTCGAAATATAAATACCGAATTTTCACGATATCCCAAATTATTCAATGCACATTGATTTTTGTTTCTCCGATTTTTTTTTTTGATATCAAATTGCCGAAAATATAAATTTCGGCAATCGGCAATTCCGTTGCCGCACAGCCCTGCCTCACATTCCACCTCCACTTTAATGTTTTTTTTTTCACAAAACAATTAATTCGTGTAATTTGCATATTTTGAGGGATTTTTTGACGTACTTCATTCATTTTGAATATCACTTGAAATCCTAAAATGAACGGGGGGGGGCTGGGAAGTAGCACTAAGTTTCGAGATTTATGCTCTGCGCCTTTAAATTATCGCAGTCGCTGACGACATGAATTATGAATTGAATCACCTTTGTGCTTTCTGATGAAGCTGAATTTAAATGCACAGCGTGATACTATTGATCATTCTGACATCCAGACAATATCAGAAACCGATAGCTTGGAATTGTTGGTGCCCAGAACAACGAAGCTGAAAGAATGTAATTCACAATGGGCTCAACAATGAGGATAATAATTGGAGAGCAATTAAGCTCCCAATTAGGGAATTAACAGTTAGATGACAATGGATGAGGCCGAGCCAGAGAACATGGACCGATTATTAGCTTTGACAATTTTTTTCAGGTATTCTGAAAGTCGAAATTACAGATAGGATGTGATTGATGAAATACCGAACGTCGCCTTCCGATAAGCATCAATAATTAATATAGTTGGTAGGGGATCGATAGCTGGGTAAACGGAAATCGTCACTGCGCAGGAATTCGCTGCCAAGGTGAAATTCACATCGAGGGCTGGGAATAGAAAGATCACCGTTACTGGAATGTACATAAGGATGACTGGGATGATCGTCTGGAATCCAATGATCCGAAAGCTCTTGCTAACATTGGTCACCTGAACAACTAAGGCATTGAAGAGCTGCTTCTGAAAGGTCTTCATCTTCCTGGACATCACCGCGATCTCTGACATCTCATTCGAGATTTTGTAGTAGCACAGGATGCCGAAGTACAACACGCAGAACATCGACGATATCTGATTTCTATCAATTTCGCCAATCAGCCGAGTCATTCACCCACGATTTCCATGAATAGTATGCCAATTCCAAAAAAGGAATCAAAGTCCGTGTACGTGATTCCCTCGTCGTTTGTCTGATAGTAATATGCGCCAACGTAGGCAATATTCTCCATCATTAAGCCATAATTGTCAAGAATCGTCTTCCTATTGAAGATGTCTACAGAGAATGGGAAGCTACTTGAAAGGCAACCTTATGAACATTGACATCTGCGGACGGTTCGGGATGTAGATGAGACAGACAGCCATCCAAACCTGACCGAAGACGAATGGAATTAGGAACCAGATGGCAATGAGACTGCCTTTGAAGAATTTCTCGCGAATCGAACTCGAAATGGATTGATTTCAAAGCTTCTGAGCGCGAATCATCCTACCTTTGAGTTATACCGTAGCGAAAAATGAAATGAACTGCGAAGATCGCCATGGAGAATCCATAGAAGCCGCCATAAAAGGCGATAAGAATTAGATTGAACTCATTCCCAAATATGGAATTGTTTGTGTCGGTCAAAACAGCGAACGTTGTTCGATAGGAATGCATGAAGGGCTCTGTGATGAGGTCCACAACGGAATAGGCCATTTCGAAGTATGCTATATAGAGCATCATGTACTTATAGGTGCCCAGTTGCTTTGGCGATCGGGAATGGATCAGGAATAGCAGGTAGGTGTTGAGAAGAATTGATTGATAGCCGAAGAATTTTTGCGAAACCGCTCGCAGTTTGTTGAAGCTGGCCATATTTTGTTGCTGGCCTGAAAATTCAGAGTGGAACATTCTGAATCGATTCTCATGAGACTTGCGCTTAATTGTTGTCGCCTATCGCAATTCGAGCCCTCGTTTCGACGAGGTCCCATAATACATTTATTCACTTTGCCTTATAAACGTTCTAAATTTTTAATTTCGAAATAGAACTCTGCCGACACTCGTAGAGAAATTTATGAATCGTGGTAAGACCCATGTCAATGATCATTTAGAAAATACCATGATCGGAGATTAAAAAAAATATACATACAGTACCGCTCAAAAGGTTGGAAACTTTTGATATTTTAGGCATAACTTGATCGAAGCCGTATGGATCGAGGTGAAGCTTTTTTTTTATTGGTACGGTAGTATGTATGTATATACACTAATTTAGTATTTTAAACTTTTCCAATTTTGGTTACATTTTGCATCAATGAAAGAAAATGTTTAATTGAGAAAATTTTATAATTATCCTGAATTTTGATTGGCGCAAATCCTAAAAATCATGCTGTTAATTATAAGTTTTCGTTCCTTACATTTGAATCTTCGAGATTTTCAAATCTCCTTGATATGTGAAAATGGTGGGATATTCCGAAGCGGTCAATCGATGCGGGAAAGTCAGAACGACGCCGTCGGTGAGGGTTATCTCATAGATGTTGCCGATTCTTCTAAAACACGCTCGACGATATAACTTGAGTGTATTTCGATGGATTCTACTTCACATGAATTTCGACGTGTTGCCCTGGGTTGAATGGACTTGCACTGGTCTTCTCGGCGCTCCATTTCCCTCCACTCTATGGTTAATAAATTCCAATTAAATTTGTTGAAAGCCTCATATATATATATACCAGACTAGACATAATAATCTTCTCACTTTGACCAGGAGCTTGGAAGTCGTAGCGAAGGTGTAATGGAATTGCGCCGTTGCTAGCATGCAAGTTGATTGTAAATCTAAACTCAGACTTATTATGGAATGACACGTCCTAATAACCTCTTCATTGAGAGTTCATTCTGCTCGAAGAGCTGAGCGGTAACAATGAACTCATCCCCATCGGCCATCGGCTGCGAGAAACTGGTGGTATCATTGGCAGGTTTCTAAGCAATTATTTCTTCTGGCTGCCTTCTTAAATTTAAAATTCTTCCTTACGATTGTATTGCAGTTGAGATTCGACGATATTTTGGGTCCGCCGCATGCCGAAATCGGCGAAATTGAAATTGCCGCCAGAAGAATCTCGAACAACATTGTGATGCCTTTCGATAGCTCTTCTTCTTCGTTTATACAGGGTGTCATTTAAGTTCCCGCACAAAAGTTTGACGCCATGAAGAGCTTGGCTGTCGCACTTTTCGTGCACCAATACAATTTATTTTTGTTAAATAAGGTATATTTTACTTACTTTCCAAGTTTCACCTCTTTCGGATGTGTTTCCGAGAAATGGCGAAGGCTAACATCCATTGCGCTTCCATTATCGAACTTCATAAGCAAAATGTGAGCCTGAGAGACATCATTCAACGCCTCGGTGTGCCTCTTAGAACGGTTTACGACATCATCTAACGTTTCAAGGAACTAAATACGACCAGTGACCGTCCCAGATAAGGAAGACTCGTCTCGGTAACCACTCCTCAGAAGTTCAACGCCGTTAAATCGAAGATCAGGCGAAACCCACACAGGAGCATGAGAAAGATGGCGTCAGACGTGGGAATGAGCATTTTCGCTTTGGAACAAATCGTCAAAACGAAGCTTGGACTGACCCCATATCGTGTCCAAAAAGCGGCAATTCTATCGGCCGCCAACAAGTAGAGACGCTTCGAAAAAGCAAAACGACTTCTTGCTCGCACGCGGTCTGGAGAACACCTCGTCACTGTCTTCTCCGATGAGAAGCTGTTCACTGTGGAGGCGGCATTCAACTCACAAAACCATCGAGTACTTGCCCAGACATCCCAGCAAGCTTCTGAGAAAGGAAGAACATATCATCCAGCCTCACATCCTGCCAGTGTGATGGTTTTCGGTGCCATCTGCTCAACCGGGAAGTGCTCCCTGGTTTTCGCGGATCAGGGGGTGAAAGTGAACAAAGAAGTCTACGTTCGGGACATTTTGGAGAAGCATGTGATACCCTGGGCCAAAACGCATTTCGGTGGGCAGAAATAGGTTTTTTAACAGGACGGAGCACCCGCCCACACGGCCAAAACTACTCAGGAGTGGTGCCAGACCCATTTTCCCGACTTCATCAAGTCATCCGAATGGCCTGATTGCTCCACAGATCTGAAACCGCTTGACTTTTCCGTGATAGGGTCTTGCAGGAGAAGGTCAACGCAAAACCCCACTCAAGTATAGAGGCTCTGAAGAAGACATTACTGGTGGAATGGGACAATCTTTCCATCGAATACCTGCGTACCACAGTCACATCCTACCCGAAGCGTCTCCGTGAAGTCATAGCTGCGAAAGGAGGCCGAATCAAAAAGAGTTAATAGATAATTATTTGTTACACTATAGATAAAAAATATTTCGAGTCTCGTTTGATTTGGACTTTTAGTTTCAGAAATATATGCCTTCAAAGTTGTGCGGGAACTTAAATGACACCCTGTAAAGTTCGGAATCCCCTACATCACATCACGAAGAGGAAGATGACCTGGGATGGACACGTTTCTAGAAGAACAGATGGAAGATGGACTACTCTTCTAGTGGCGGCCGTGGAATTGGACACGGCCAGGAGGAAATCCTCCCATGAGATGGTCGGACTCGCTTCGGAAGGAGATCACCACAAGAACAGCTGAAAGAGCCGTTATCACCCCGTGGTCCACCCAAGCCAAGGACCGAAAAGCTTGGAAAGTTGTGGTTCACGCCTCAACAGGCCAAGGACGAACCGACTAAGTGACTAAGTAAGTTTCTACAAAGTTTAGCACTCTGTAAAGCTCTGCAAAAGAGAAAAGAGATTGACTAGAATATCGAATTATCCAGCGCACCCTTAAAGAGTTACTGGGTGGCGCAAAATTGGTGTTACTCCTGTGTTATTTCACCTACTTATGTACTTAGTCGGTTGGCCCTTCGTCTGGTGATCTCCTTCCGAAGCGAGTCCGACCATCTCATGGGAGGCCTTCCTCCTGGCCGTGTCCAATTCCACGGCCGCCACTAGAAGAGTAGTCCATCTTCCATCTGTTCTTCTAGAAACGTGTCCAGCCCAGGCCATCTTCCTCCTCATCGTGTGATGTAGAGTGGTCCCGAACTTTGGACATGATGCGGATGTCCTCTCGATGAAAATCTTGTTCACGTTGTTGTGATAACGTGGGGTCATCCAGTCTTCGCTCAGTCGCAGCGTGACTAATTCGGATTCTTTCTGCAAGAGCTTTGGTGAAGGTCCGTAAGACAGCGCTGCTCGGGTTTTGCTGCAAGGAATCAGATCGATGATGTTTTTTGATTCCATTGAACACTGCCCAAGCTGCTCTTCTCCTTCTATAGACTTCTTGGCTAACTCATTTAGAGCCCGTAATACATTTCATTCCTTTAATTTTAAATTTGTTCCTCATTCATCTTTCTCTCTTTTTCCTTTCGATTATTCCAAACATCTATGAAAGAAAATACAAAGAGGAACACATTTATTTGAGAAAATTAATATGTAATTATTCTGAGTCTTCATCGGAGCAACAATTCCTGAAAATCAATCCATCATTTATTATTTTATTTTTCTTACATCTGAATCGACGAAACTGTCCAGTCTCCTTGATAAGAAAAATAAACGGGATTTTCCGAAGCGGCCAATCGATGCGGGAAAGTCAGCACGACGCCGTCGGTGAGGGTTATCTCATAGATGTCGTCAGTTTTCCTAAAACACGATCCACAATGATATATGAAAAAATTGATGTTTTCTACTTCACATGAATTACAACGTCTTGCCCTGGCTTGTATGGAGTCGCACTGAGCTGCACTTCGCCCCATCGGCCGCCAATCTAAGGTGAACAAAATTCAAATCGAATTAGTTCAAAATATACCCGACTATTCATAAGGATCTTCTCCCTTTGACCACGAGTTTGGAAATCCTGGCGAAAATGTAATATAGTTGCGCCGTTGATAGCACTCAAGTCGAATATAGCTCTAAACTCATTTTTACTTGGAATCACCAATTCTATTCATTCGAACCTGGCCTTCGAAAATTGATTTTGCTCGAAGAATTTTCCTGTCAAAATTAACTCATCACCGTCGGTCATCGGCTTCTCAAATTTGACGGTTGTATTTCCAGGGTTCTAAGAAATTATTTTCTTTGATTTACTGCTAGAATTTAAAATTCTTTCTTACGATTGTATTGCAGTTGAGAATAGACAAATTTTCGGGACAAGTGCATGCCGAAATCGGCGAAATTGAAATTGCCGCCAGAAGAATCTCGAACAACATTGTGATGCCTTTCGATAGCTCTTCTTCGTTTATATACACCTTTCTCATCATCCATTAAAACTATTTCTAATTTTTTGTTTACCTTTTCTGCGCATTTTTCCACATTCAAAACTTTTTTTTTAACGTGTGAAACGTTATTTTCCTTATGGGGCAATGAAGAGAAAAAAAAGAAATAATGATTTTTCCTTTTTTTTTCTCCCCCCATCGAACTTTTGATCCTTTCATGATAACCGGCCAGCGAATTAAACAATTTCACAATTGCACCGTCAATTCCTAATTTGGTCCAAAGATCGCTAATAAGGTTGGCCCTCAAGAGGAGCCTTCTTCCGAACACGTACTTATGGAATTTCGTCACCGCAGACAAGGCAGCCTTCTCAATTTGGGAATAATCTTTCTAGGTTGATCCGATCCATCCGGCATTCAGTGCGTTATGATAGCTCCAATTCGATATGCGCAAACATCCGGAGGAAAAAATAATAGGCTAATTGGGCTGAAAGTTTGTGACTTCAAGGGTCCGTCTTGGGGTATTATAGTCGGCGTCCGGCGACTGCTGAATTTTTTAATCGAATGACGTTGGAAATTCAAGGAAATGCGAAACTCATCAAGAAAAATGAAGCAGTTTACGTGAAAACAGCAAAATAAGCACTAACACGTGGCGAGACCTTTCAAGGCGCATGCGCGTAAATCTACCCGCGTAAAGCAGTCGCCGGACGCCGACTATATAATTATATATATATAAACGAAAGTCTTGCATAATCATGGACCATGACGAATGTAATACTAATTACTGTTTGTTAATTTGTTCATTTTTTCCTTTTTCATTTTATTGTTTATTTTTAACGTTGGACCTTCTACCTTCCTGAATATTTTTTATTCCCAACGTTTGATTTCTGCATAAGAAATAACGCAGAAATAAAAATGAACATTACGTATGGGAAATTGCGACGTGACCCGCAGAAATTTTCGAATGCGCCTTTGAAAATGGATGACTGTATTTTCCTCTTCTGCATTGCCTCATAAGGGAAATAACGTTTCAAAAAAAAAAACGCAATGGGCAAAAAATTATTATAACTGTGGAAAAAATGCGCATAAAAGGTAAACAAAGAATTAGAAATTGCTTTAATGGATGATGAGAAAGATGTATATAAAGGAAAAAGAGCTATCGAAATGCATCACAATGTTGTTCGAGATTCTTCTGGCGGCAATTTCAATTTCGCCGATTTCGGCATGCGGCGGACCCAAAATATCTTCTATTCTCAACTGCGATACTATTGTAAGCAGAAATTTTCAATTTTAGCCAGCAACTAAAATTTTTAAGAAACCTGGAAATACAAGCGTCGATTTCGCGCAGCCGATGGCTGATGGTGATGAGTTCATTTTTCGTGGTAAACTCTTCGTAAAAGAAGCCCTTACGAGAACCAGGTTCGAATGAATAGAATTGGTGATTCCAAGTAGAAATGAGTTTAGAGCTATATTCGACTTGGAAGGAAGCAACGGCGGAATTGTACTTCATTTTCGCTACGATTTCCAAAGTGGTGGTCAAAGGGAGAAGATCGTTCTCAATAGTTGGGTACGACTTGCACTAATTCAATTTCAAATAGGTTAACCTTAGACTGGAAGCGCATGGGGCAACGAGCTGCACCATGCAAGTCCATTCAAGCCAGGGCAACAGGTCGAAATTCATGTGAAGTAGAAACCATCAAAAATGTTTCATATATTATTGTCGATCGTGTTTTAGAAAAATCGGAAGCATCTATGAGATAACCGTCACCGACGGCGTCGTGCTGACTTTCCCACATCGATTGGCCGCTTCGCGAAATCCCATATCATTTTCCTATCTGGGTGACTGGACAGTTTCGTCGATTCAGATGTAGGAAAAAAAACAAATTAATAAATGATGGTTTGATTTTTAGGATTTGCGCCAAGCAAAATTCCGATTCAGAATAATTACATATCAATTTTCTCAAATAAATGTGTTCTTCTTTGTAGTTTCTTTCATACATATTCGGTAAAATCGAAATGGATTTGCTTCGGCATCGATGTTCGATGTTGAATGATGTTCGCCTAGTGTTTTTTGAGCATAACTTGGCTCAAACGCAGCCGATCGGGCTCAAATTTTTACCATATCTTTAAGGCTTCTCAACGACCTTGGTAAGTCGCAAGAAGTTTTCAGAGACAACTCAAATGCTGCGAATTCCAACAGCAAATTTTTAAGGTCAGCCATTCGAACTGTTCGATTAATATATAAAGAAAATTCTTTTCGAACTAGTCTTTTAAATGAATTTTGAGAGTCGTGACGTTATCGAGCATATCTACAGAGCATTTTTCGTCGCAATTTGCAAATTGTTTCCAATTTTTTGGTCGCGACTCGTCGAAATCGCAAATTTTTCACGAAACAGTTGAATCAATTCGAATAAAATATCTAAAACTTCATTTATTTCGCCAGTAGGATATAATAGATGCCCAACCATTCTAGTCCAATTTGAATTTGAAAGAAAAATTTCATTGCAAATCGAATTGCTTGAACAGTCAATCTGGAATTCATTCCTATCTCTCGCTCATCTACGATAATACTAATTAAACCAGAAAAATATTAATTCCATGTGAAATCGTCAAGGTTTTCCGAACTCTACACTACCTTTTTTTTCGTTAAAACGCTACAGGATTCACGAAACTTTATCGTATGCGCCTTTAACCGTTACAATTTCATTTGTTTGAATTACGGTTGTTTCTTTTCAATTGATTAAAGGCGCATATACAATTTTTAAAGATTATTGCATTAAAAAAACTGGATGCGGCCGAGCATTTTAGAGCTTTTTTTGGGCTGCTCAGTGCAAAACCGAAAACGCATAAATTGAAAAAAAAAATAATGTGAAAGCTGGTAGACAGCTCTAAAAATATATCCTTGACAATTTTCTATTTTTTCAACGTGCATTTGCAAAGAATGAATGAACGATTTGTGCGTGCAATTTCGCTCTCAATTGGAAGTGCAATTAATTTATACTCTCTGACAGTGGTCCACTCAATTGTCCGTTCGCATGGATACTCGACGTCCATCCTCATTTTTCCAAAGAAGAGAAAATACAAAGAGGAACACATTTATTTGAGAAAATTAGTATGTAATTATTCTGATTCTGAATTTCGCTTGGCGCAAATCCTAAAAATCAAACCATCATTTATTATTTTATTTTTTTTCTTACATCTGAATTTTCGAAAATGTCCAGTCTCCCAGATAGTAAAATGATGTGGGATTTTGCGTATCTGAAAATCGATGCGGGAAAGTCAGCACGACGCCGTCGGTGAGGGTTATCTCATAGATGTCGCCGAGTTTTCTAAAAACACACTCGACAATAATATATGAAACATTTTTGATGGTTTCTACTTCACATGAATTTTCACGTGTTGCCCTGGCTTGAATGGACTTGCATGGTGCAGCTCGTTGCCCCATCCCCATACACTCTACGGTTAATCAATTTCAAAATCGAATTAGTTGCAAGTCATACCCAACTATTGAGAACGATCTTCTTCTTTTGACTAGGAGTTTCAAAATCGTGGCGAAAATGTAATATAATTGCGCCGCTGCTAGAATAGAGTTCGAACAGAGCTCTAAACTCATTTTTACTTAAAAATTTCAATATCGTATTCATTCGAACCTGGCCCTCGATAGTTGATTTTGCTCGAAGAGCTTAGCGGTAATAATGAACTCATCCCCATCGGCCATCGGCTGCGCGAAATTAGTGGTATCATTGGCAGGTTTCTAAGCAATTATTTCTTCTGGCTGCCTTCTAAAATTTAAAATTCTTCCTTACGATTGTATTGCAGTTGAGAATAGATGAAATTTTCGGACAACTGCACGCAAAAGTCGGCGAAATTGAAATTGCAGCTAGAAAAATCTTAAAGAGCATTGGGACACATTTCAATAGCTCTTCTTCGTTTATATACATCCTTCGCATGTCGTCGCCTAGAGATGTCAAATTCTAGAAAATGTCAAATTCGTCTCAAAAAAAAGAAAAATAAATAAAGTAATAGACACGAAGCTAGACTTATCTAGAATTTCTTAAAGAAAAGGCAAATTTTTTTCGCCTATTTTTTCAAGTTCTCTGCATTGACCCACAATAGAAAAAAAAACGCAATCGTTTTTTTGTTTTTTCAAATTTTTAATCGGTCCCATATCTGCTCTAAAGAAAAATTACTGCTAAGAATGTAGAATCACTCTAGTAAACTCAAAACATCATTTTGCCCATCCTCATTTTTTGCACATTGAAGCCATTTCAAGATTCATTAAACAAAAAAGTCTTTTCTCTTCGAAAAACTGTAATTTTCAATAATTTTCAAAAATGCTCAATAAACCGAAACGCGTTATTTAAAAAATGTGGTCGAAATAAAGTATTTTCATAAAACAATATGCTAAATAAACAAATTTTATTTTACAAAGTCAAAAATCCACATTGAAATCGAAGAATTCATAAAAATACTACTGCGAGTCAAAAATTTTATGAAAAAAAATTGTAAGAAAACGTTATAACATAAAAATTATGTAACTAACCAAAGAAAACCCACAATTTCTAAATGGAACACTTACTGGTTCTGAATGGAAAAATATTTTAAATTTATAAATAAAGAGTTTTCTTGCAAAAAAAAAAGTTGAAAATTGCGGTTTACTAGACAATAGAATTCAAAAAAGTCTGAAGATCTCCAAAATTGTTTTGTTTTTTTTATTGGTGTTGTTTCAATTCAATTTCTAGTTCTTTAAGGAGCTCTTTAGTTAAATCAAGTTGTTCACGAGCCAATTCGATATTATTTGAGAGATCCCACTTATTCAAATACACCTTTGCGATTTCCATTTCATTTTCTCAGCAGAATATTTTTTTTCCATTTTTTTTCTGTGGAAAACGTGTAATCAGTACGCGTTTGACATCTGGATAAATCTTTAAAAATTGTTTTCGGTGCAAATTCAATAATTGCTGTGTCCTTTTCCACATTCCAAAAATTTTTAAGGGTCGGAAAATCCTAGACGCATTATTTCACACCGCGGTGGCCGAGTTTGCATGGCCGCGCGCAATGTCACAATCTCTTCCATTTAATCCCTGCCAAAAGGAATTTTGAATTTTAGACCAAACTTCATATTTCCAATTTTTTTCATCCTCACTCTTTCATTCATTTTGGTTTTTTAATTATTTATTATTTTCTATATTATTTTTTTAGAGGGCCCCGAGCTTCAAACACCGACGAGAAATTTGCTCAACTCGAAGCCGCATGGAGTGCCATTCCGATGCAATGATCCGCACCCTCTTGGACTCGATTCCTCGCAGATGTCAAGCGATTATTAATGCCAAGGGATGCGCAAAGAAGTATTGATAAATTTAAAACTGGTTTTCTACGCATTTGCAATGTTTTCGGGTTTCTGATACTTTCAAATCACGTTGTGTCATTTTTTCCATTTTTTGCATTTTTATGCAATTTGTGATTTTTCGAAAATAAATTCCCGCAGTATACGATATCATTCAAACGCATTTTTAAAAACGTTTTAAAGATATGGTAAGAATTTCAGCCCGATCGGCCGCGTTTGAACCAAGTTATGCTCAAAAAACACTAGGCGTATATCATTATGGCCAGTACTGTATATAATAAATAATGGTACCATGCAGATTGCAAAAAAAATTCGAGAAACCTCGGCAATGTCCAGGTTCTTTGAAGTGTACACTACCACAGATTAGTGTGTTTTATTTTCAATTGGTTAAATATATATATATATATATATATATATATATATATATTATAAAAATAAACATGTAAAAATTTTTAAAGATTATTACATTTAAAAAAAAACCTGGAACTGTGGGCTTTGAAAAACTTGGCGATTTCTTTAAAATAGAAAACGAGTGGTAGTTATTTAATCATATTTCAGATAACTCAATACCGGAGTATTCCCCCGAAGAATATCCTCTGAAAGTCAATATGAATTCGAAAAATGTCGAGAGAAAAGACAAGAATTTCTCGAGAAAATCTTGAGGAATTTTCGATCTATCGTTATTGTTTGAAATTCTCAAAAGCATTTCGATGAAAATATCTCGAATATTTGTTCGAGAACACACACTGCTCAGTGCAAAACTGAAAACGCATAAATTGAAAAAATAATGTGAAAGCTGGTAGACAGCACTAAAAATATATCCTTGACAATTTCACAACGCTTATTTTTTTCAACGTGCATTTGCAAAAAATGAACGAACGATTTGGGCGTGCAAAGATCGCCAATTCGCTTTCATTTGGAAGTGCAATTAACTTAATTAATTGCACTTCTGTGCAAAAAAAATGTGTGTGCGTAAGCCTAGCGCAAAATTGCGGTGTGGATTTAATTGTAAGTCGCGGACGGCCGGATGACAGTGGTCCACGTCCGCATGGACCCGACGTCCATCCTCATTTCTCCAAAGAAGAGAAAATACAAAAAGCTCACACATTTATTTGAGAAAATTAATATATAATTATTCTGAATTTCGATTGGCGCAAATCCTAAAAATCAAATCATCATTTATTATTTTATTTTTTTTTACATCTGAATCTTCAAAATTGTCCAGTCACCCAGATAGGAAAATGATGTGGGATTTTGCGTATCTGAAAATCGATGCGGGAAAGTCAGCACGACGCCTTCGGTGAGGGTTATCTCATAGATGTCGCCGATTTTTCTAAAAACACACTCGACGATAGTACTTGAGTGTATTTCGATGTGTTCTACTTGAAATGAATTTCGACATGTTCCCCTGGCTTGAATGGAGTCGCACTGATCCGCTGCCTGCCCCATCCCCATACGCTCTACGGTTAATCAATTTCAAAATCGAATTAGTTCAAAATATACCCGACTATTCATAAGGATCTTCTCCCTTTGACCACGAGTTTGGAAATCGTGGCGAAAATGTAATATAATTGCGCCGCTGCTAGAATTCCAATCGAACAGAGCTCTAAACTCATTTTTACTTAAAAATTTCATATCTTATTCATTCGAACCTGGTCCTCGATAGTTGATTTTGCTCGAAGAGCTTAGCGGTAACAATGAACTCATCCCCATCGGCCATCGGCTGCGCGAAATTAGTGGTATCATTGGCAGGTTTCTAAGCAATTATTTCTTCTGGCTGCCTTCTAAAATTTAAAATTCTTCCTTACGATTGTATTGCAGTTGAGAATAGATGAAATTTTCGGACAACTGCACGCAAAAGTCGGCGAAATTGAAATTGCAGCTAGAAAAATCTTAAAGAGCATTGTGGCACATTTCAATAGCTCTTCTTCGTTTATATACATCCTTCGCATTATCCCTAGAAAATGTCAAATTCTTTGTTCGACTTTGCCGCGTTTGCGCATTTATTATTTTTCCGTCATTTTTTTTTGCGATTTTCGTTTGAAACGCTTTTTTTCTTTTTTGAGACAATGCAGACTAAATAAAATAGAAAATCCAGACAGAAATTAAATACAAAAAAAACATGATTGAGAAAATATATTGACACGAATCTAGAATTATCCAGCATTTCTTAAATAATTAGAGGGAACTGCAAAATCACGTTTCTTGCTCGTAATTGTCTCTCTAATTGGAGGCAAGATGGCCGCGGCCGTGGGAAGTTCGGCCATGCTGGAACTCGGTAGAAAAAAGGCGGCTCAGATTTATGAAATATGTCGTAGTGTTGTGGACGGACGAATATGAGAAATATGAATTGCGCGCGCTGTCATTCTTTAATTGGTCCCGCAAAGCAAAATCGGCTCACCGTCATTCGTCACGTGTACTAATAACCAAAGAACTTGAAATACGTTAAAAATATTGTTTCCATACGAGACCCAAGGTGGAAATTCAAATAATAAGGCAATCGCACCCGAAATTTTTTTGGTGCTCTTCGTAGCCTATTCGCCCTTGTGTTGCATTGTTTTCATATTTTCATTTCAGTCTCTACGACTTTCAAATAATCTTATGGAATATTTCATAAAATTAAAAGCTTTTTTTAGACATTCAAATCTCCTATTCACGTGTGTCGAAAAATCCATTCTCAGTCATTCATTTTCAAAGGCGCATTCGAAAAGTTTTGCAATTTCGCAGCAGTAATGTCTATTTTTATTTCTGTGCTATTTTCTTTTTGCGAAAATCAAAAGTTCGAAATGAAATGAAAAATTCAAATAAAATAAATTTCGAACCAGCAAAACGTTTTTAATGCTCTTTTGAATGCTTCTCTTTGAGGGAAAAAGAAAACCGCCTTTCCAGATACACCGGAGCCAGTCAAGATCGTCAAGAACACCGTCTAAATGGAATGATGGCGTCTGAGGACCAATGAATGCAAACATTGTGATATCATTTAATGTCAGACATTCTAACAGGGGACAACAAAGAAGCTCGATAAAAATTGTGGAAGTCGGACCTTGAGGCAAACGAGAACGCTTCAGATAAGGATTCGAATACGGTGCAAGTTGTTTTCAATCTCGGAATCTTCTCGCAACTATGGAATTGAATTGGATATCTCAAAAATTAGATGATAATTGACAATCTAGAGATAATCATGGTTAGCTTCAAAAATTCTATTGACTATTCTGAAAATCGAAATTTCAGATAGGAAGGATGTGATTGATCAAATACCGAACGTTGCTTTCCGATAAGCATCTATAATTAGTATAGTAAATAGGGGATCGATGGCTGGGTAGACGGAAATCGTCACCCTCTTCCAATTCGATTATACCGAGCATCTATGAAAGAAAATACAAAGGGGAACACATTTATTTGAGAAAATTAATAATTATCCCAAAATCGATTGGCGCAAATCCTGAAAATCAAGCCATCGTTTATAATCTTTGTTTCTTACATCTGAAGCGTCGAAACTGTCCATTCTCCTTCAGTAGTGTATGCGGTCGGATTTTCCGAATCGGAAAATCGATGTGGAAACCTCGCAAAGAAGATGTCGTTGACGGTTATCTCATAGATTTTGCCGATTCTTCTAAAAAGAAAAAGAATGGGTTCGGCATTTCGAATGCAGTCTACTTCACACGAATTTCGACGTTTTCTCCGGCTCTGAAGGGACTTGCGAAGATCATCTCTTTGTTCCAATGACGGTGTACATTCTAGGGTTAACAAACTTCAAATTGGATTGCATTGTTCCCCCGCAAAATTTCACGGACGAGTTTAAGAGCACGCAAGTCTGGTAAATCAAAACCAATCGGATCCGACAAAATTCGGCTCCGAAATCAACCCGATCCGATTGGATAATTGTCGGATCCTAATTGATAATTTGTCGAATTCGCTTAGATTTTCTTCAGATCCGATTTTTTATTATTCGAATCCGTTCTGTTTTAATCTTTCAATTCAAATCGCATCCGACAATTTTACAATCTTATCCATAGAATTTCCAATCAATCGAATCGGGTCGATTCCAGAGCCGAATTTTGTCGGATGCGATTGGTTTTAAGCTACGAGAGAATTCGATCACCATTAAATGAGATACAGAAAATCATTCAATCAATATCTAGCAAATTATTTCTTCTATCTACTTTTTTGGTTGGTCCTGAAGATGCTTTCGATATGGCTCGATGGTAATTTAAACTTTAAGTGGAATTACGCGCACCAATTTTTCAAACATTCTTCGGAAAGTGTCGATGGCTTTTTAGGGTATATCGATGGCTGTATGCGTTGTCTTCAAGGGTTCGAATCCGACGGAGTTGCGGGCCGTTCATCATGACAAAGACAGGTCTCACACCGAATCATTTTGGCTGGATTTCCAATAATGCCAAACGATTCGCCCACGTGGGGTCCCTTATGTACCCTTCTTTCTTGATCTTCTGTCCGTTTTCGACGACCCACAGAGATTCTTGTTAGAAGCATCAGAGGACGTGCTAGCCAGCACCCAGCGATTTTCGAAATTCAATTCCGCCTTCAGGTTAAAACCGCCGAATGATGCTTCAGCTTAATTATCGACGTACCGATGATGTACTTCGGATTTTCTCGAAAACAAAACCAGTTGGGCTGAAACCTTGCCAATCAATAAATCAATAATCAAACAAAAAAAGAACTCAACAAATTGTGGTAAATGAAAATCAAGAGAGACGACGGTGGTGAATTTAAAAGCGCAAGCACATAAAACGCGTCAGTGAAGTGCAACATGGCTTCAAACTTGTGTCCGCGATAATTTTGGGGGGTGACTAGTTGAATGCTTTATATATACCAGACTACTGATAAGGATTTTCTGTTTTTGATTAGGAAGTGGGAAATCGTAGCGAAAATGTAATGGAATTGCGCCGTTGGTGGCATGCAAGTTGATTGATGCTCTAAAATTATATTTACTTTAAAATGACGAGCCAAAATCGCTCAAACCTTTTCCTTGAACGGGATGTTGGCTCGAGCTTACCGGTAAAAATGAACTCATCGCCTTCGACCATCGGCTGCTCGAAATGGATGACGTTACTTTCAGGTTTCTGTGTACGTGTAGTTTCATTTTTATTTTTAATGGACCTATTTATGCAATGAAAAAAAAAACGTTTTTTTTAAATCTATTTTTTTTTCATTTGAATTCCCTATGCACACACGTCGAAAATTACAACAAAAAATTGACGATATATCGTAATTCTCCGCTATTGAGTTTCAAAGGCGCACGTGATAAGTTACGCGGGTCTCGTCGCGAAGTCGGTATTGTCTTTTTTTAATGGCTGCTTTTTTTTCGAATTTTTTTATTCTTTGAGCGTTTAAAACGATTTTTTTTTGGAAATCTGCAAAAGTATTTTGTTTAATCAACGCTAAAAATTCATCAGAAGCGTCATCGAGTGAATTCTGCATCAAATCAACACAAAAATCACTATTTCACATAATAATTGGTATCTAAATGACGAAAAACAGACATAAATTGTCGAATTTGGAGTAATTATAACATAATTGGTTTTTTTTTACCTTGTTTTTCAATCCGTTACTCATTTCCTCTTCAAAGTGTTTGAAAAATACGGAAAAATAGCACAAAAAATGAAAAATAAAAAATTACAGTACCAACTTCGCGACGAGACCCGCGCAACTTTTCGTGTGCGCCTTTGAAAATCAATAGCGGAGAATTACGATAAATCGCGTCAATTTTTTGAAATTTTCGACGTGCGTGCATAGGGAATTCAATTAAAAAAAAAAAAAAACAATTTTTTTTCATTTCATGAATAGGTCCATAAATTCTCCCTTACGATAGTATTACAATTGAGCCTAGACGAAATTTCGGGATAGCCGCACGCCAGAATCTGCGAGGCTGAAATTGCAGCCAGTAGAATCTCGAACAACATTGTGACGCTTATCAATAGCACTTCTCTGTTTATATAAAAAAAATTCTAATTTTTTGTTCCCAGCATTTATGCGTTAATTTTTTCGATCATAAAATCTAGATTTTTTCTCGCATTTCTCTTGGGACATTTTTTCAGCAATAAAAAATGCTGGAAATGGTTTATTACTAGAAACTCGCGATTTACTTTTTTGAATTCCGCAAAATGTTTGAACGGGCACACTGCATACGTAGGTAGTGTCGATTTACGATGAGTTTGATTCGCAGGTTATCCAGAGTACGGTTTTGAAAATTCAAATTTGAATTACCGCCAACGGAATGCGTAATTCTGCACAATTCTGCCCCATAATATGAAAAATGTGCAAACGTACGTCAAACACCGAATTTGACGCAAATTTTCAGAAATTCCGTTCAACTCTGATTACCGTCCTGAATAGAATACGATAATCCACGAGATTATTTTTTTGAGATGGTAATAATTGGTTAATAATTATTTTGCCTCTGTTTTTGCTATAATACTACATTCCATTCGGCTACAACTCTCTTCTGCACACAAGCTGATTTTTTGTTATTAAGAATCTTGAGTCATCTAGAATTCCTTTAAAAAATAGGCTAATTGGACTTTCAACTTCAGAAAAAAATTATTTCGCACAAAAAATGTTGAAACTCGATGAAACAATACTATTCACTAAAAAGATTCATACACGCGTACGCAAAATTGCACACGTTTGATTATTTTCAGCAAATTCTAGTGTACACGTCAAGTGTGTTTCGATCCAGCGAGAAATGGTATACTGCGTACAATGCATTATAGCTGACGCGCATTTAATATTCAATCTACACGGACTTCGCGAATTTGAAGATCATGGCAATATTTATCGAATGTATTTCTTCAAATTTTCCCTCTAAAAATTATTGAATAATTTCCAACAATAATATTTATTCGGGCAACAATTATCCGGAATTTTGATTAGCGCATATCCTTAAAAATATCTATAATTCTTGAAATCTGACGTTTTGTTACATTTCTAGCTTGGTGACATTCCAATCCCCCAGAATTGCGATTGTCGTCACAACAACAGATGAAGGGAATTGATGTGGGTAGGTGAATCCGATTCCATCGGTCAGATGAATCTCGTACAATTTTCCAATTTTTCTGCAATTGTCTTCATGTTTCAAAATCAAACATTTTGCCCCGTCGACTTGATGCGAATCCTAACCACTTGACCCGGCTCGAATGGGCTCTTCAAGATTTTCTGTCCACTCCATTTGCTAGTTTCATTTTTACTATCGATTATGCATTTTTTACTTTGTTTGTTGGCCACATCGAAATCGATTCGCAAGTGTAGAGGTATTACCCCATCGTTTCCACACAAATTGAATATGGCTCTGAAAGGGCAATTCTTGTGAAATTGGTTCAATTCAACCTGTCCAGCACAAAATCCTTTTCCTCGAACAGATTGCCAGTGACGATGATCTCATCGCCATCGGCCATCGGCTGCGCCAATCGGATCGTCCTATTTAGCGGCTTCTGAAAGAAGGCATCAATTGATGTTTGGTGTATATTTCTTACAATTTTATTACAATTAAGAATTGATGCGCTAGGGATCCTACCGCACGCCGAAATCGACGAAATCGAAATTGCGGCCACCAGAAGAAATTCGACCAACATTTTGCAACTTTTTTTTCTGTTTCTCAACACAAAATATTTATATAAAACAATAAAATATTTTATTTTTTTTCTCTGCCTCAAATCCCGGTGGTCCGGGTAACAATTGGCGATTTCCATGAGACGAAATCTTATTTAAATTCAATTGAGAAAGTCAGTGGAGAAGCATAGCTTTTGGGGGGGTCTAGATGGGATATGAAGAAGAAAAAAGCTCTTAAACGGGGAAGACGAGCTAGAAGGATAGTCATTTAATAGGGGATTCATATCAGACAAATAATTCTCTCCATCACATACGGAGTTTGAGAAAAGGTTTGAGTGGTTTCTTGATATTATTTGTTATAATAATTAGTAGTATAGGAAGGAGGCCATTTTCGACTTTCCAGTCATTTTCATTTTTTGAAGTCAATCACCTCATTTACACCACTTTTTTGATGAAAAGTGTGAGATGAGTCGATTTTAAGTGCGCTGAAATGTGCTTATTTTCAATAATTTTTTTTGTTAAAATGTCGATTTCATTTTTCATTTTCCAATTTCTTGCTTAAATACTCAAAAATGTGTCATTTTTACACTTTTTATAAAAATTAATGGATGCCGATTTTTGAAAGAAAGTGATATTATCTCTAAAGATAAAAGTGAGCCTAATTATTATTATTATATTATTATTTTTATAAAATGATTTAAAATATAAAAAAATTATTGAAAATAAGCACTTTTCAGCGCACTTAAAATTGACTCATCTCACACTTTTCTTCAAAAAATTGGTGTAAATGAGGTGATTCTCTGACTTCATAGAATGTTGAAATGACTGGAAAGTCGAAAATGGCAGTATAATCCCTCCTTCCTATACTATTAATTTATATTTTACTTTGTATCTATTTTTCTGGCTTGCGGTGGTGCGTCGTTGCAACGGTCTCGCCTTATATGTTTGCTTTTGATCGGTTTTCCATTTTTTTTTAAATTTTGAACGTCGCTGAAATTGAAAATTATCGAAACGATCTCTAAAATCCAAAATCACTAGTCAATAGCTGTAATGTGAAGGCGATAATTGCGAGTGTATACGGTACACACCAAGGCTGTGCGGAAATTCGGAAAATTGGCGAAAATAAAAAAAAATTTTCAATGATAATTTGAAAAATAAATACCGAATTTTCACGGTATCCCAAATTATTCAATGGACGTTAATTTGTGTTTCGCCGATTATTTTTTGACATCAAATTGCCGAAAATATAAAGCGATAATTGCGAGTGTATACGGTACACACCGCGCGGTGTATGCACAACACACAAGAGTTGACGCGCACATACGGAATTTGAGGAATTTTTTGAGTGATTTCTTGATATTCTTATGTTTTAACATAGTTATTTGATCTATATTTTACTTTATATCTATTTTTGTTCTGACATTTATATTGCCGATTGAGGATTAATTAATGTGTTGTGCGTTCTTCGTTGCTAATTTAATTTTTTAGATAAATTCATAGAATATACGCGGGAACTTAATATAGAAGAAACGATGAGGATAATGAAAAATGAACGAGAATCAGAAGGCACCGCTTGTTAGAGCTCTCGAGTGGCCTAAAAAATTGGTCTATACTTTCAAAAAAAAAAAAACAAAAATTCAAGTGCGGCCCACTATCACAATTTAATTTTTAAAAAAAGAATGTGCAATGCGCGATTTTTTTTCTACCAATATGGAATTTTTATTTTGATTTCTGATTTTTGAAATCGTAATCACACGATATTTTCGGACGCCGACTTCAGTCCAATTTTTGTTCTGCATTTCCAATTTGTGAACATTTCTAGCCTAAATGGACTCGTTGCCTATCAATTTTTCTACGTCAAAATTTCCCAGAACAATAAAAATGTTTCGTCGAAAATATAATCGCTCAAACACCCCCGCCCTTATGGTATTCTGTCCGAAAAATGAGATCGTTGTTCAATTTCGCCGCAATTCTCTCGATTTTCATTGAAATTTGTTGGTCTCACACCGATTGCCCTGTTGATTACCAAAAATTCGAAAGGCCTCAAGGAATCGCGGTTTGCATCAAAGTACGTTGCGAGTCAAACACAACACGTCGTAGTGTCTTTTCGAATTTCAGACTTTCAGACAAAGCTGGAAACAAATGGTATTATCTCGGAGCATTTCGAAGCCAATTCTGTCACGCTTCGAAATCTGCGTTGCAACTTCGACAAAACTGCCAATTGGACAAGGTTTTAATGGTTCTTTTTTTCCAGTTTTGACTAAAAATATTTAGATGTTTAAGTGGATAGATAATATAACGGAAAGCACATTCGCGTGGACATATAAATGGATAGCGAAGAATCCCAACTCATTTTATAAAGTGCGCAAAAAAATCAGAATCTGAAATTCAAAGTTTATCGATTTCAGCGGCGAATTCGAATCAGCAATTGCCATAACAAAACAAGGATTAGGAGATTGGAGGTTTTGGTTGAATTTGAAAAAAAATAATATCTTTTGCAGTTCGCGATATGCACTTTTTGGAGCAGTTTGCGGTTTGACACTATGCTCAAGCTAATTTATTAATTAAATAAGATTTGCGGGATCGCCGGTGCATCCTCTTTGACCATAATTAGCCATGTAGATTCCAAAATATCGATGATGGTCCTTTAATTTCAATTATTTGTTTTTTTTTTGGTTGACAATGTGAAACCTCGACAAGATAATCCAAATGAGCATTTGAGCATAGCGGACTCTCATCAGCATCGCACTCCTTGAAATCCGGTTTGCTCATGTCATTGTTATACCAAATCTCATTTTTATGATGGATGAAGCCTTTCATATCATCCAATGGCACATGCTTTATCAACTAGTGGTAGAAGGAAGACCTCAAACTTGGGTACTCAATCTTTATTGTATAAATAAATAAATTGAACAACAACCAACGAAAAAAGAGAAGAGGGAAAGTGGGCGTATATCAGGGCTGTGCGGCAATGGAATTGCCGATTGCCGAAATTGCCGATTTTTCAAATTGCCGAATTGCCGAATTGCCGAAGAGAACGTTCGATCGGCAAATTGCCGGATTGCCGAAATTTTGATTTTCGGCAATTTGATATCAAAAAAAAATCGGCGAAACAAAAATCAATGTCCATTGAATCATTTGCGATACCGTGAAAATTCGGTATTTATTTTTCGAATTATCGTTGAAAACATTTAATAGCCGAAATTTTGATTTTCGGCAAATTGCCGAATTGCCGAAATTTCCGATTGCCGCACAGCCCTGGCGTATATGTGTGTTGAGGGAATAATCGTTTATTAACTTTGAACATTTAATAACATGTCTTCTACACTTGTCATTGGACATTGTTACGACTGGGTAGATTTACACGCATGCGCCTTGAAAAGGTCTCGCCACGAGTGAACGCTACCAAAGAGAAAGGAGCATCCCCGTAAATCTACCCGCGTACAGCAGTCGCCGAAATCCGACTATAATTATTACACGTAGTGCCTGCGCTCTCTCAATTTTAAACAGTGCCTCACTTATTAGAAATTTTATGAATTTTCTAGAAACACACCAAGCACGCATTTTGTGTTGAGAGGGTCTTTCCCTCTCTTCTCAGTGCTAAATTAAACTCTAATTATTCAACTACGTGTTCTCACGGATCACGCCACTCGTCGCCATCCTCAACAATCACAACAATGTTATAGGTAGAAAAATATTTTAGAAAACGGTGTATGATATTGAAGCATTTATAGGTGATCCTTATGGTTGAAGGAACCATCATTTTCAAGGCGTCATGACACTTTTATGACGCGGAAGTCGGCAATTATCGGGCAGTATAAAACTATATCAAAAAATCGGAATTTTTTCATATTCGCCAAAAAATGCACTGCGCCGTTTTCTGGCTAATCATTTCGTGCTGCATTTCGGTCTCGATTGGATGCGGCGGCGGCGGCGGAGTGGTGCCGTGCGATCAACGAAACTGTCCGGATTCGACCTGGAGAAAGTTTGTGAGGCCCAGCGGACATGTGGTTTGCTTTAAGGTAGGGATTGCACAAGACGAAATTGAAAATGAATGATTCTTTTAGCCTGTTGCACAGAAAGTGAACTATGCGGGAGCAGTGGCTCTTTGTAGCAGTCTGGCTTCAAATTCCAAATTGTTCGGAATCGAGACCCAGGAGGAATTGGACTATCTAAAGCGTAATTCTGATCGGCTTAAAAAAAAGACCCTTCACAATTTGTTGCAGAGCTCGGATCAACCTGGTACTACATTGGCGCATTCCGAAGCGACGAATGCCACGCGAATAAGACGGAGCTTCTGAAGCGCCCACAATGCACCACAGACAAGGTATCGTTCTGCCGAATGACTAATTGATTTGACGTGTCTACTAGATGTTCAAATTCACTGATGGCGTCACACAAGGAACGTTCCTGTGGAGCAACTTTTGGCTAAAAAAAAATCCGGATTCATACTACCGCAAGTGAGCATTTTAGACATCAAATAGAATATTTCGACATAAAAAATTGCAGCGGTGAGTTCGAAAGCGTTATTGGATTATATAATGGATTCGTTGGAGATTGGAGGTAAATTTATAATTGTATTATTCACGATGGCTTCTTACAGTAGCGCTGATGTTCTTCCTGGAGCTGTCTGCGGTCTCGCACTCTGTTAATAAAGATTTTTTTACATTTTATACATTTTTTTCTCTGTCAGCAAGTCGTTTGGGAGATTGCATACGTATAGGTGAATTGATTTCCGAGCATGTGCCTGTCGTTATTGTTATAAATCGTGCCCGCGTATATACTATGATTTATCTAGAATTAGCAACGAAGAACGCACAACAAAAGAATCAGTCCTCAATCGGCAATATAAATATCGGAAAAAAATAGATACTATGAAAAATATAGAACAAATTATATTTAGCATAACTACGCTACGATACAACATAAGAATATCAAGGAATCACTCAAAATTTTCGCAAAATCCGTTTGTGCGCGTCAACTCTTGTGTGTTGTGCATACACCGCGCGGTGTGTACCGTATACCCTCGCAATTATCGCCTTCACATTACAACTATTTACTAGTGATTATTTTGGATTTTAGAGATCGTTTCGATAATTTTCAATTAAAAAAATAGAAAACCGATCAAGAGCAAACAATATACAACGACGCACCACCGTAAATCGCTGACTATTGGGATTTTTGTTGAATTTGAGAAAAAAGCAAAATTTTTTTGCAGTTCGAGATATGCACTTTTTGGAGCAGTTTGCGGTTTGACACGATGCTCAAACTAATTTATTAATTAAATAAGATTTGCGGGATCGCCGGTGCATCCTCTTTGACCATAATTAGCCATGTAGATTCCAAAATAGCGATGATGATCCTTTAATTTCAATTATTTGTTTTTTTGGCATTGTGAAACCTCGACAAGATAATCCAAATGAGCATTTGAGCATAGCGGACTCTCATCAGCATCGCACTCCTTGAAATCCGGTTTGCTCATGTCATTGTTATACCAAATCTCATTTTTATGATGGATGAAGCCTTTCATATCACCCAGTGGCACATGCGGCACAATATCTTTTTTGTGAATGACTCGATATGTATACGAGATCTATAATTGGATTGTTATAAAATTCCGATCAAATCACTGATTAAAAATTGCTTACCAATGAATCGACACCTTTTGCGAACGCCTTGTCACCAGTTCTCGGCTCGCCGAACGTGATCAGCTTGATTTTTGAGGCGCTCACCATTTTGGTGGAGGCCACATAGCTCGCCGCCAATGCCGCCATTGAACCACCCAACGAATGTCCACCAATCTGAACCCCATCAAATGTTTTGAGCAAACGCTTGGTGTGGCCCACCCAAATCTCATAATTTGGATATTTGTGGATGAGATCCGAAAAATCGCTTTTGAGTCCCCCATTCCAGACAGCATTGAACGCATGCGCGAAATAGAATCCGGCGCTGCCGCCGCTTGGCCAAGCCGTCTAGAAGCCCAATATATCCAATTGAATGGAGAAGCTAAACAACCTTATTTCTAAAAATGATCTCCTCCGATTCAACGAGAAGCTGAACTACTCCAACGGTTCCTCTAAATCATCGTTCCCAAATTACTGAATGGTTTGCTCGCCACATACCGAAAGGTCAGAACAATCGCCTGATCGGAATGGCTGGCGAAGGTGAGCCCGCTACACTTGTCGATCATGTCACATTTTACCGTGATGTGTCGTTTAAACTGAATGTAGCCTTTTTCTTATCATCATAATTTCAATAGAAGCAAATTTGAGCTAGAAAATTTAAATTCGGCTTAACTATATTGTACCATTGGATCTCGTATGATGGGATCTCGTATGAAAAAAAAGAAACTCCTTTTTTTTCTAGCGATCGCTAAAAATCGATTTTTAAAAATTTCTTTAAGCCGGTATTTTGAGCTTTTTGCGAAATCTGATTGTGAGAACTATCACGTTAAGTTGAGAATTCAGTTAAAATATGAATATAGTTCAGTTCAATTCAGCTAAACCGAATTTTTCGAGATTCTCTGCAAAAAAATTTTTCATTGAAAACCATTCCCCGGCCACCCTTATCAGAAACACACATTTTTTTGGCACGTGGCTTTTTTTTCAATATAAGATCACATTGTGGTGCCTAAATTCGACTGGCAAACCTCGTAGTCCGAGAATACATGGTTCAGACACGCTTTCGGATCCTTGGCTTCGGTTGACGCGAAAATGTAGGGAAACGTTTTTCGGGCAAACTCATCCGAATAGGCGCCTAAACCCAACATCAGCGTTTGCACGGCTTTTGGCCGGAAAATACCATGTGAGATTGCGCAAAGGGCAACAAGCAATACGACGACGACGACCACTTGACGCATTCCGTCCGAACACGAAGCAACCGACTGACTGACGACCAACGATCGCTATTTAAATGCACATTCCTCTTATCTATCGAGATAGGCGCTCGATCGGCTTATCATGATTTCGCCAAAACGAAAATCAAACGAAAAACAAATAATTTTTGGAATTCCAACAACTCACGTTAAGTTCAATTTTGTTGAATTCGCCATCGATTTTCTTCACGACGAATTTAAGCACAATTTTCTCACATCGTATATTTTTTATTCTTAAAGGTTACCTCCCTCCCCCTTTAAACCGAACGCAACGATTGTCCGCAGATGGGGCACCTCGAAAACGGAAACCAATATATTCATCTGCCAGCGAGTTACCCGCGAAGCAGTCATAGCACATTGCACGAGCTTTCAATGAGCCAACAATAAAATTTGTCGGATTGATTGCGTTTTATCAAAAATGAAAATTGAAAAAAAAAAACAATCGATTCACTAAAATGTTCAAATTTTCGCGGGATTCGCACAATACCGCGTGCGCCTTTAATAACGAATAGCGGAGAATTATTTTAATTGACTTGTTTTCGATGCAAAAAATTTGAAATTGAATTTAAGCAAGCTGAAATTAGTGTAGATCTATCATTTTCATCCAACATGAGAACATTTTATGTTTTGTTGCGATTCGCTTCGGGACCCATCGCATTAATGTAAATTGGGCTCAACATAAATGTTTCGGTTAAATTATTGGACCCTCAGTATATGTATGATCAATTTGAAGCACCAGTTTAAAGTGTTTTCAGGACGAACTATTCGGTGCAATTTCCGATTCGAGATCAATCCAGAAACTACAATCGACACCTTTAAACACTGACGATTCATTGAGAAAACTGAAAATACACAAGGGAGAATAATTAAGACGTTTCTACAGGGGCCAATTAGAGTCAAATCTAAACTAGACTGAGAACGGGATTCAAGGGACACCACAACACTATACCTGTAAACCTCAGAAACAAATCAATAATAATAGAAATTGTCTTAAAAAAACACAGAAGCCATTTATTGTTTTCCTCGGCCTTCCTCCTCGAACAAATGAAGAACAAAGTGCGGCTTTTGCCTGAAAATCGGAATCATCAATTCGAAATCTGCTCATTTCCAACCTTTTCGCTTCGTTGCTCTTCTTAACTGCCGCTGGTGTTGGCCGTTTAATCGGCTTCCCACTGATCACCCTTTTCACCTCTTCCGCTGACAGTGTCTCGTATTCCAGAAGAGCTTCAGCTAGTAGTTGGTGCTCTTTCTGAAATAACATTTCGAAAATTATTCAAAACCTAAAAAAAAAAGAAAACACAAATAACCTTTTTCGCTACAAGAATCTCTTTTGCCCGTTTGTAGCTGTCAGCCAAAACCCGATTGATTTCGGTGTCGATGAGTTCGGCGGTTTGCGGCGACAAATCGGACACCTTGACCAGCGCTGTCTCCTTGTCCTCCGACGCGGTGAAGTCGCGCAATCCGACCTTGTCGCTCATTCCGAACACTTTCACCATTTGGACGGCGAGCTGCGAGGCTTTGCTCAAATCGTCAGCAGCTCCAGTAGTGACTCGGTCTTCGCCAAAAATCAATTCCTCGGCCACTCGACCGCCCATCATCACATCCAATGTCGCCATCATTTGCGCTTTTGTCAACTGATAGCTATCCTTATCAGGCAGCATCGCAGTATGTCCAAGAGACGTTCCTCGAGGGATAATTGTCACCTAGAATACCAAATTGGTCTCAATTGAATTCAAATTAATCAATACCTTATGAAGTGGAGTAGCGTCTTTGGTATACAGTGACACCAACGTGTGTCCGGCTTCATGATACGCCGTGTTCTTATTCGCCTCCTCATCCGGAATTCGTCCGCCATTTCTCGCCGGTCCCATCAGCACACGATCACGCGCCTCGTCCAAATAATTCATCGTTACTTCAACAGCATTGTCGGTTGCCGCTTTCAGAGCCGCCTGATTCACCATATTCTCAATATCCGCTCCGGTGAAGCCAGTTGTACCCTGAAAATGTTGCATGAGCTCATAAAATCTGCTCAAATCTCGCAACCTTGGCCAACACGGTCGGCTCAACACTCGGCGAATGCACAATCTTCGACAAATAGAAATTGAAAATATCAATTCGGCCGGCTAAATCGGGTTTCGGCACCGTCACTCGAACATCGAAGCGTCCCGGTCGCAAAAGAGCCTTGTCGAGATCCTCGACACGATTCGTCGCCGCGATCACAATGATTCCCTCGTTTCTTGTGAAACCGTCCATTTCACTGAAACAAACCGATTGAATGAATGAACTCAAACCAAAAAAAAAGCACCTCAACAATTGATTTATGGTCTGATTCGCATATGGATGAATCGAATTCGACACGCGTTTCGAACCCACCGAATCGATTTCATCAATGAAAATGATGCACGGTGCGCTAGAAAACAAAAATCATCGAATAGTTCGAAAAATTTGAATTGTTTCGAGTTTACCGCGCTTTGGCTTTGTCGAACAGATCGCGAATTCGTCTCGCGCCTTGTCCAACCAGAACTTCGTCAAACTCCGATCCAGCAGTGTGGAAGAATGGCACCTAAATTAACCAGCGTTGGGTGTGAATTTCGAATTGAAACATTTGAAATTTGCACAAAACGATGCTCACCTGCGCTTCGCCGGCAATCGCCCGCGCGAGCAACGTTTTTCCAGTTCCTGGCGCCCCAACAAGCAAAACTCCTTTCGGCAATCTTCCACCTAAACATCATATTTTTTCAACACAAAAAAGAAAATCCAAAAACCAACCCAATCTTGAATATTTCTCCGGATCTTTGAGATATGAGACAATTTCCTCGACTTCCAGCTTTGCCTCATCCATCTAGAATATTCGGATTCTCAAAAGACATTGCATAAATCTCACCCCGCGAACGTCCTCAAAAGTGACTTGAACATCCTCTGGATTCACTTCTTGCGGTGTTGTGAAGAACAACGAGCCGAGTTGTCGATCGCCTACACGCACACGAATTCCTTTTATAATATAATAATAATGTGCACGATAACTTTGAAATGGATGCACAGAATTAAGATGAAAATGAAATCCGCTCAATTCATGGAGCTGATACGGATTTTAAGAAGAAAACTCGCAAAAAAATCAACTAACTCACTTCCTGATAAGAATCCAAGAAAAATGCAAAATGCGAGGAAAATGTAGAAACGGGTCAGAGTGTTCGACTTTTTCACCTCTTTGGGGCTCGATGAGCTGCTCAGAAGTCCTTTCACGAATCCATCCTAAAAAAAATGCTTGATACATTAAGCATAAGCACTTTAAGTATATTTCAGATATATCGAATCACGCTGAACTTTTTTCTTTAAGAAAAACAATTTAAGAACTAATAAACAAAGTTATAAAAAAACATTATTGTATAATAGGGTCAAAACGCTGAAAATTTTTATCATTTTAAATTTGAACTAAAAAAAAAATTGACTTTAAAGACCATTTTTAGATTATTATTATCGAAATTTTCACATAAATTTATTTTTGATTTGAAAAAAATCTATTGGTAAACTTTTAAAACCATTCTTTTCATATTTGATCTTCAAAAATTAAATTTTAAATTAAAAAATGTTTCAATATTTCATATCCGATAAAAAATGGATTTATTGCGTTTTTTCTCTTTTAAACTGACATACCGTATACGTTTTGTGTTGATTGTCCGGCAGCTTTTTCAAATCCGCCTCATATTGGTTCCATTTTTCAAGACCGCCCTCCTCAGCCGGTTTGCTCTTTTTCACACCAATTAGCTCGGCAAAATAAGTTAATCTAGAATAGCAATAATCAAAATCGACGCTTGAAAATAGAGATGACGAACGGCGATTTGTCCTCTTCGCGCGGTGTGATGCTCGATTTCTGGCCGCTGCCAATACCCAGCGATTGGCGTTTGGTGCGAAACCCGCGTTTTTGAATGTCTGAAAATAATTGGAACAAAATTGAATGGCGTCTCTTGAAAATCTCACAAAATGTTGACGTTGACGGAATAATTCGAATGACTGTGTCATTTGAATAATTGAAATTGATACTGGCGCGTTTCGCTGATTTTTTTGATATTATACATTCTGAAATAATAATTCGTTTCTGCGAAAATAACAAAAAACCAAAACAAACGTTTCAAACTCTTGTCAAGGCTATTTATCATTTCCGGCGAAAATGTGCCCAATTGCCGCATCACCGAACAATAAACTCTCGAAATGTTGACGGCGGCCATGTCGAGCTCAGACGATCGCGAGTTTCGAGTGATTCCTTCAATCAATCAATCAATTAATCAATCGAATTTCAATAATAATTATAATGGGGTTTTTTTTACATTTCTGGTAACTAGAAACCAATCAGATCCAACAATTTGACAATCTTATCCGAATTACCAAATTCGGATCGGATTGCTTCCGGATCCAAATATTGTGTGATCCGATTGGTTTTGAGTAACCAGATTTGCTTCCATACTTGATAAATAAAATTTTTGACATATTTGATAAATTAAAACTAAAAAAGTGTCATACTTTCATTGAATTACCATATTTCGATAATCTGCAAAAATTACATTTAAAATAGGAAATCAATTTTGAATCTAAGAAAAAAGGGTCGAATTGCATCATCATCCATTCTAAAGAAGACTCGATAAAATTATGAATGAAATTATCAAAATAATTATGAGATTCTTCAGTTGATTCACATATTTCATCAGAACGATGATCGAATTGCGCGAATTGGCCGATGAAAAACAAATCGAAAAAACCAACCATTTGTGGTGCGATTTCGGAGCAGTCCTGTGTTTTGCAATATCCCATTCAAGCTCAAATGTACCGACTGCATCAAACAATTCCAGGAATATATAAGAAATAAGAAAATCTGCTGAAAATCGAATTCGTGCGTTTCCAAGAAGTGAAGTGAGTCCGTCTCAATGGAGCGCACTTTCCCCCCCCAAAAAAAAAAAAACATGTGAGTGTTCTTTTATCGCTTGTTTCTTTTTTATTTCTTCGAAATTATTTATAAAAGCATTTATGACCAAATTACTCGAATTGATTGAAAATTTTCGACACGCTGTCAGATTGAATTAAAGAAATTCGAAAAATCGTTATAATCATTTTAGAAAAATGAACACTGAAACGAAACGAAGGAAAAAAGGCAGATGAGATACAAAACTGTGAAAAACAACCTCTTGGACCAACAAAAAAAGATTCGCTAGATAACAATTTTCAAAAATTTCAAGAGAATGTGAAGAGGAAGCGAAGAACGTAACAAGAAACAACCGGATAATGAATTTCATAAATTATTTGCTCGAATTCAATATTGAAAAAATGGTTGTAAAATTCATCAAGGATTTAATAATAATAATAATAACAATTAATTTACAACATGTTTTCCAAATTTCGTGTGATAAACGGACGTGATTTGGAGAAAAAAGGGCAAACAAGAGACAGACAGAAACAAACGATGAAGGCACCGTGCACCTGAAACGAAGAGGAGATCTTTGACTTTTGCGAGATGAGGTGGAAAAAAAGGAGATACATTAAACGACAATTCCAATGATTTAAAAGGAATTGGCAAAATTGTAATTTTTCAAGTGTTAAAGTTCATTTTTAAAACCAAAATACTGCTAATTGATATGATACATTACTGAGTGATTTTTTTGGGGGGTGGGTGTGTTAAATTTTATATTAAAAAAATAAATAATGATTAAATCGATTAATTAATTGAAACAGGTGAGATTAGAGAAGAGAAGAAAACCGAAGTTGGTGACCAATTTGTTTAGCTGTTATTGCTATCCAGTGGGAACGTTCGCTTCAAGTATGGCCGCTCAATTGAAGCAAAGCGTCGAATTGAAGCTTCCTAAAATTGCACAAAACATCAATAAACGAAACGTTGTTTCATTCAACTCACCGCTCGATTCTCGTACACTTTCTTTTCATCATACGGCGGCAAATCTTTAAGGATCTCCTCAAAGTTCCAGTTCAAATCGTCTCTCTGATAGGTGGATGACGATTGCGCAGGTGTCGACGCGCCAGCCTTTAGCGGAGCCGATTTATTGGCGCGATTCTTCCTCGCCGTATCTCTCTTCACACGCTCCTTTTCCAAAAACGCAAGTTTGTAGTGATCGACGCCAACCGTTGCGCGCAAATCGTCCTCGCCATCCACCGGTGAATTTGCCCTTGAGGACGGCTTTAGATTAGTCCAATAGTCCGACGGAACAGTTTCCCAAGTAGGAACAAGAATACGCTGCAATAAAACAATGAGAATCCAATGTTAAAGTTCTAGAGACACTAGGAAAAAAGCAAAATTCGAAAGAAATCTTACCGCATATTTCATTTTTGGTGGAAGAGGAGCATTATATGGCTCCTCCAAATAGTAGTCGTCAATATCCGCTTTGTGTTTCAATGATCCCGTTGTACTTCTCGTCGTCGGCTTGTTCGTTTTCTTAGCCGACTTCGCCGGCCGTCCTTTCTTCTTCGACTTACTCGATCGCCTCGAACCATTCTTTTGAATCCACTCATCGTCATCGCTCGTATCCAATTCCATCTTGCGTTCTTTTCGTCGCTCTTTGCCATCTCGACGCTCTTTTACCGATATTTGACGTTCGACACCATTTCGAGCGCGCTCCTCCTGGCACGAGTTCATCAAAATCGACGTCTCGGCGTGCTTCCGAATCGACATCGATGGCACCGACGCCATCCGGAAATGAAGTGAACGCATGCGAGCTTCGAATGGTCGAACTGAAACAAAAAATCATTGAAAACTTGAATTACAGACAAATCTCATACATTCTTTTGGTGCAATGTACTCAACAACGTTATCATCGAATGACTTTTTGACTTCAACCGCACCGCGTCCCTCCTCATACGAAATATAATCGTATTCAGTAATTTCACGTTTTTCTTTGGTTTCCGTCAGAGTTGTTACAACCTTGTTCGCACCAATCGGAATATTCCGATCGTCATATTTCGGTAGTTTCTCTTCGGAATTCGTCGAGCATCCAGGACGATTCGGATCAAAGATAAGATTATCCTTTTCCTCGCTGCAATTTCAACATTAATTTTTTTTTTATTAAAAAATCAGGCGTCTTACTCAAACACATTTCGCAAAAGCTTTCTTCGCGTCCATGAAAACAACGGACGAGCACGAGCACAACCGAATTCACCATTTCCGTCGGGTTTGCGTTCAAAATCGCAGTTTTGGAAAAGCACAAACGAACCGTCAATGCGTCGTCGTTTTCGAGGTGAAGGCTCATCGGCGAATCGGCAGCCACTTGAGGCATTCACCAGTCGTAGCTAAAAAAATATTCAAGATTGCACAAAGATTAGATAAAAATGGGGATTTCGAACCTGTTCATTGAGTTTACAATGTGCTTCAATAGTTTCATCCAAAAGAGCGTCACTCTTCGCCAGCTGCACACCGAAACGCAATTTCTGTTCAGCCCATCGCACACCAGATAGCGACATTTTCACTGGTACTAATGCATTCCGCCTTGCTTTCGAGCTCAAAGTTGGTTCACCATCTTCATCACTCAAGTCTGTTAGTTCACTTGGATCATTATCGCGAGTCTAAACGGAAAGAATTTAATAATTTTCGCACTCAATTTCAATTCGCTCACGTATCGAACCCGCAATTCTCTAACTTTCTTGCCCAGAATCGCCGCTGTGTCGGGCTCCTCGGTTTTCTCGTCGAAAGCCTCGTTAAACACGGGCCTGGGCAGCACATTCACAACATCATTTTTATTTCGGCGCATTTGCAGAGCGAGTTGCGTATCCGTCAAAGTATCCGTCTTAACAATTAATAAATGCACATTTTAATGTGAATGACAAAATTACCGCGGTTAAGAAACCATGGAGAACGTTCCCTTGGCGAAGTTTGTGAATCTTCTCTGTCATCATTCGCCTTTTCGACATATCGATCTCCTTTCTAGAAGCGCCAAGTGTTGTGCTTGTATGTGGAACACCTTTAACCAGTAAAATGTTAACAAAAAAATGTTAAAAAAAAATACCTGAATTTCCACCTGACGTTAAAGGCATCATTCGATGAGGCGGCTGTGGCAGTGGAGGCCTAGCTGATATGGACGGTCCCGAAGAAGAAGACGAAGTTGCCAGTGGATGAGGTATCACAGCTTCCCTAAAGTTTTTTTTTCAAAAGATGATTTACACATAAAAAATTGTTGTTACCTTCGTGAGCGATTTGGAAAGAAAGATGGTGACCTTGGCGAAGATTCTCCAGAGTTTCGTCTAAAGTGAATAATCAAAACAATGTCTATATGACAAATGATCAAAACATACTGAAATCCGTTGTTTAAATTTCCTGCTGGACTCAATAATACTTGGCTCGACGAGCTTGGTGGACCCATCACAATACTTACGGGTTTTGGAGGACGAAAATCTTGAATTTTTATTATATAATTGAATAGTTTAAAAAAAATTACTCGTCTCTCGCACAAGTGGAGACGGAAGTGGATTTCGAAGCCTTTGCTGCTGCATCGGAGACATATCAGCAGAAAAATTTAAATCAGACGATGGAGGTCTTGATCCAATGGATGTAGACGCCCCAGACTAAATACAAACAGTAATAAACTTGAAACAAAACGAGCTATCTTACGCCAGGATTGGAAAATCCGTTGACCTGAACATGTAGAGGCTTCAATGAGTCAGGTTCTGGAATGGAAATTGGAATTCCAGTTTCTGATTCAGCTGCAGCTGCTTCGATTTCAGCTTCATCATCGAGAATCCTCGATTCATTTAATAAATCTCCGTTTGATGACGACTCATTTGAATTCTGAATTTTTCATTATATTAAAGCATTCAAATTCAAGTAATAACCTTCATCAAACCAGTGAACGAATTCATTTTTTGATTCTCATGTTCCATAACACGGGGTGGCTGTAATCCAGGATTGCTCGTCTGCAACACCATACAGCTTTGAAAACTTAATTCTTTCAAATAACGACTTGGACTGTTCTAAAAGTTGAAATTTAATAATTTTAATTAAGTATTGAGATAGAATTTACCTTTAACTCGCTCGCAATCATGCATTATTTGATGGTTGAACCATCAATTAGAAGTAGATGAGTTGAATGTTTGACGAAACGGTGTTCTGAAAATTTTGCATCATAAATTTATGATTAAAATTAAAACAAACTGTATAAAATCATGAGAATTTTAGAAAAAACAACAGAAAAGGAAAACGAAAACATTTCACGATCGAAAAAGACGGCAAGTCAAATAGAATAATTTTAAAACAGATATACAATTAAAATTGATATTTTGAATGTTTGCAAGCATAAAAAAATAGCTTCCTCAAAAATTTTAACAGAAAAAAATGGTGCAATTTTTTGACAAGCAAATGCCCTTTCCCATACGAGAAATCAATAATTTAAATGTAAACCAAAAGACCGCGCTATGTATAAACAAGTGTGAACGCCTGATTTTTACGAAAAAAATAATTCGTGGGTAATTTGAATATTTTTAAATCGAAATCCACTCGATTTTGATCAAATTTGAGCAAGTAATGGTCCAAAGTGGGGACGCGACGCCACAATGACCATACAATTTCGAAAACCGCTGGGAACTGAGAAAGCTAGCGCGAGAGACGCAGAGTGCAAGACGCACGCAACTCTCACCATTTTGTGTGCAATTGATGTCTTTGGCCGCGTGACGCGTTGCGTTGCGGTCGTTGTCTCGCAGCGATGCGACGATTTCGTCTCGATTTACAAACCCGCGAAATTCATAATTTGAATATTTTTTTCAAACTCAACGATTTTTTTGGGTTTCGGTTAGAAATTCTGGTTCTACAGGCTTCTTCGCCATCCACTTGGTTGGTTAAATTAAATTAATTAATGAAAAAAATAATAAAAGTTATGCTGTATTAAACGCCAAATTTTCAGAATTAAATGATTCAAAAACTATATTGCAGAATGGTTATGGATTTAAGCAGCAAAGATAATTTGCTCGAAGGCAAAGCGAAATGGACGACTGACGCACTAGAAGCACTTAAATTAACATTTAGTGAGTGATTATAGGATATTGGAAATTGGTTTTATGATTAGTTTCGAAATTTCAGTTCACAATATCAATGATTTGGAATCTGCGCCGCGATATCAGCCGGGATTTGTATATCAGCATTTTGGAGAAAAGTGTGGATTTCGTATTCGACAACTTAACATTTTTATTTTCAGTGAGACTATATTTGGTTACGAAGATCTCGAAGTAACTGTGAATTATACTGACGTGTCCCTCTATATTTACCCTGAAGTTAGATATAAATTAAAATACAAAGGGGATGAGGATTTAAAAGCGGACGACATCGTTCAACTGCTCAAAGAGCAACTGCCAAACGATCAACTTAATATGCTAGTGGAAAGTAAAGCAGAATTCCATGTATTCCCGTAGTTTATTTCGAAAAATTATTTTTTTTTCTTAAGAATCATTTAATAAAGCAAAAAGCTTTCAAACCATTCGGAGAATTAATTCGCAAATACGAGGGAAATGGCCAAAAGTTTGAAGTTTTCAAAATTACCGAAGGTTCTCCAGAATTTGACGCATACTTAGCACGTGCTCAAACTCTCGCTCTTTGGTATATCGAGGCAGCTCAATACACCGATCAGAGTGATGAAGCGTGGATGCATTATTTTGTGTATGCTTTTTCTTTAAATATAGCTTAAAATATGTAATAATGATTGCAGCTATGAAGTATGCGACAACGGCGAAGGCGATGGATCAAAGTACAGAAAATTTGCGGGTTACTCGTCGATTTACCGATATTATGCATATCCGGATAAAATCCGGCCAAAAATTGCTCAGCTTCTGCTTCTTCCAAAATACAGGTATTTATTTGTCAAATTCGTTTAAAAAGTATAAACCGAATTTCAGAAGTGCTGGAAATGGTGCGCGACTCTTGCAGTCGATCTATCAAGACTTATGGGCAACCCCAAAGGTTTTAGACATTGCTGGTTAGTATCCAATTGTTATTTATTTTAACAGAATTTAACATACCATGTTTATAGTCGAGGATCCCGGAGATTTGTTCCAGCTTCTTCGTGACTATGTGGATTGTATGAATTGTCTTTCGCTCACCGAATTTAGTCCGCAGCATCTGAAAGAAGGATTTACTGAAAATATGCGAATTGCTGCAAAAGAGAAATTCAAAATAATTAAGGTGGCGAACCTTATACAAATTTTTTCAATTATTTTTAATTTTTAGACACAAGCTCGCCGAGTTTACGAAATTCTGCGATACCGCTCACTAAACAAGAACGATGAAGCTGAAGTGAAAGCATACCGACTAAATGTCAAAAATAGGTGAATAATTAAGTAATTAGAAGTTAAATCCAATATTTGATTTAGAATCTACGCTCCGCAGAAGAAAAGCGAGAAAGATTGGAAGCGAATGCACGCTGCGCTTGATAAAGAAGAAGCTTTAAAAGCTGCCGCATCGGAAATTGAAATTTTCGAGCATCTTGCCAAAGAATATGAAGCTCACGTTGAAATTTACCAAAAAGTTGTCGATCGCCTTGAGAAGTACCCATCAATCTACTAATCTATTATTATTATTACTATTATTTTGCGTATTTGATATAATCGATTGCAACTTTAACCATTTACGAGTTAACTTTTTCTTTTTTTTTTGCTGTTTCCTGTGAAAACCCCGAAATGAACAAATTGGTTGTTTGAAGTTGGCAATTTAATTGAAGTTCGTGAAAAGAAACGATTGATCTATTGGCGGAGATTGGTAGAAAAATTAGATTGAGTGTTTTTAGGGCAAAAAAATGCATCCGTTTTCATTTCCATTCCAACCTTATGAGATTCAGCTAAAACTGATGAATGAGATTAGAAATTGTATTGAGAATAGGCAGGTATTTGGAAAATTCTGAAGAATTTGCGGGAGAAGCACATTTTTTTTGAGGTTGGAATTTTCGAGTCGCCGACTGGAACTGGAAAATCGTTGAGCGTTTTATGCGCGACGATGACATGGCTCGAAGAGGAGAATGAGCGGATCGAACGCGAATTGAAAATGAAAATGGAAGAAACGAAGGAAAATATCGCGAAAGCTGAAAATGACGGTATAATATTTTGCGAATAAGAAAACGCGAGAAGCTAACAATACAATAGATGTTCGAAATCAAATATAGTTTTTTTGTGTGTCTGCGTCTCTAACACGACATTCGAAAATGTTGGCGCATTACTGGAAACATTTGAAATTATTAAATTTAGGTGTTTTCTACGAATAAATGTAATCGAATTTTTTTTTGTAATTTCAGACACATTTTTTTAAAGATTCCTTGAGAAGTCTCTAGAAATTGCTAGATATTTCTCAATAAACTAGAAAGAGAAAATTTGATTTTTTTTTAAGTATTACATATTTAAGATTCTGAATTGTGTGTTTTTAATTTGCTCAATAAACGTTCGAAAGGAAAAAAAAATTGAATTTCAAATTTTACAGAATGTCAATAAAATTTACACTCGCTTTTTTATTCAAAAAAAAAAATTAAATTTTATTATAGATTAATGGAATCTCAAAGTTCTTATTTTTTCATACCCAGAGTTTATTCATGAAATACAAAAAAATGTAAAAATTACAAGTTTTTGTTGAACAAAAAAAATATTTTATTAATTTTTTAAACATTTCTAATTTAATGAGAAATTCATTATATGTTGGGAAAGAAAGTGAATTTTGATCAATTTTTTTAAATGAAAAACAATGTCAAAGTATTTTTAAAAAATAATTGATTTAAGACAATGCTGATTGGATTGCGGCGCATAAAAAGAAAATGGAAGCTAGAAGGGAACAAGATGAGATTTATGAAAAAATCGAATCGCGAAAAAGGTTTTTTTTAAAAATCATTTCTCTTCATTACTCTGAAAAAATTGGTTTTTTTTTCTACAGAATTCGCGAGCGTATCGAAAATGCGAAAAAGAATTTGGTGGAGCAAAATTCGCGAAAACGCAAAAATTTCCAAGAAACTGATGAATTTCGTGTAGAAGATTTGATGGAAAAAGATGTGGGGAGCTGATTTTGTTTGAATATTCAAATTCGAAATCCTTCAGGAACTTGCACCACCTGAAGAATATGATTCGGACGGTGGAATTGAGAACAGTTTGGAAGAGGAGGAGAAGCCTCAAAAATGCACAAAAATCTTTTACGCGAGTCGAACTCATTCGCAATTGGAGCAACTTCTTGAGGAATTGGCCAAAACTAGGTGATTTCATATCGTAATTATCTCTCTTCTGATTATTTGAAAACAGATTTCGGCCGAGAGTTGTAAGCTGCGCCTCGAGAAGCACATTATGTGTGAATGAGCAGGTCACCAAATTAAAATTGAACCATTTGATCAATGAAAAATGCATGGAGCTGAGAAAGAACAAGCTGAAAGAGCCGATCGGAGAGAAAAAGTCGAAAAATGACGAAGGAAAGGTTGGAATATTTCAAAAAAATTGAAATTAATATCAATTTATAGTGCAAAACTCGGAAGAATTGCACAAACTCATGCGAATATTATAATTCCACGGGAATCGAGGAGATCGTGAATGGAATTCTTGCTAATAACCTAAATAATACATTCAAAGTAGGCTTCTTTTTCGGGAGAAACTTTAAAGAAATTAATTGTAGGTAATCAAACATGGTAAAAATTACACCGGATGCCCGTATTTTGCCACTAGGAAATCGATTCCCTTATGCGAATTAGTGTTATTACCATATCAGGTAGTATCTCGCTGAATTCTTATAAATGTACTGTTACAGGTCATTTTACATGGACCAACAAGGCAAGCTTGGGGAATTGAGCTTGATGGGAATGTTGTGGTTCTAGATGAAGCTCACAATGTTCTCAACACGATTGGATCGTTGTATTCTGCGGAGATTTCCACGAGAAGCTTGCATGTTGCGGTAAAACTGATTCGAGAGTACATTGATGCTTATAAGTAAGAAAATTGGATGAATTCTTGAATTTTTTTTTGCGCTCAAGATTGCGTTTGAAAGCGAAAAATTTGCTCTATATGCGGCATCTCTCGCTATTGGCGAATTCGATGCTGAAATTCCTAACGAGCACCACCAGCGACGATGTTCTCACAATATCCGGCCTACTAATCAAACTAAATACGGTTGAAATCAATTTGTTCAAACTTGCCGCTTATATCGAGCGAACCGATTTGTGCAAAAAATTCCATGGGTTTTACATGAGAATGCGGAACGAGGAAGCTCGGCAGCGGAATTCGAAGCCCAAGTTGAGCGGAATCGCCAAATTGATGGCCAAGGATGAAGCTGTTGAAGAATGTGCTCCGATTCAAGAAGTTGCTCAGCAGAAGGCTGTACCCTCACCGTTGTTTGCTTTCAAGTCGTTCATTGACGCGATGACGAATCGTTGCGAAGATGGAAGAATTGTGGTGGAGAAGGCTGCGAACGAGGCGAAGTCTTGGAAACTGAGCAATTCGATAATAGAGAGTAATTAATTACAGATTGCGCTACATTCTTCTGAATCCCGCTGATCGTCTTGCCGAAGTTGTGAAGGGAGCCCGAGCAACTGTATTGGTTGGCGGCACTATGGAGCCAGCGCAGCTTTTGGTGGGTTCTAAACAAATTTTGATTGCAAAATGGTTTCTAATTAGATCGAGACCCTTTCGCGCGCAAATTTGGACAACGACATTCGCCGATTCTCGTGCTCGCATGTCATTGACGATGATCAGCTTCTCGCGATTAGTGTTGAAAGGACGTTCGATGGCAAACCGTTTCAACTAACCTTCCAGACTCGCGGAAATGATACGGTATGATGCGAATCTCTCGACACGCTCGAACATCGCCAATTGTTGAGGTGTTGAAATCGCTTGGCGAATCGCTATTGGCGCTCGTCGAGCATTTGCCGAATGGCGTTGTCATTTTCGTTCCCTCATACGATTTTCTGTTCAATTTGCATAAAAAATTGTCGCAATTCGGAATCATGAAGCGAATCGAAGTTTGTTGAAACTTTTTTTTTGGGGGGGGGGGAGATCCTTTAACGAGAAAAAAACCAAAAAAATTATTGAAGGAGCGTAAAAGTGTGTTCTTCGAGAGTCGTTCGGCGTCATGCGGCGACGTTTGGGAGAAGTTTAGTCGTGCTGCTGCGCGCGCGTCGAAAGGCGCCGCATTTTTCGCGGTCGTCGGCGGCAAAATGAGCGAGGGCATCAATTTTTGCGACGAGCTCGGAAGAGCTGTGATCGTCGTCGGGCTACCGTACCCGAACAGGAATAGTGTCGAGCTGAAGGAGCGAATGAGGGTGAGAATTTGGTCTAGTTGATTTTTTTTTAAAGAATGGATGGGTGTTCGTCATTTGGTATACTAATGATAGAAAATTTGATTTGACAACAGAGCATCATTGCTGCAGAGATTGATGAAACTCTCCCCCCGAGCAAATTAATAGAGGTCTCATGTTGAATATATGCAAATGAAATGTCTGTGAACATCCGGACGACATTCTACAGATTTTGAACTGTGTCGTCATTTTATGCAATAAAAGAAATAGTCGACTTCCGGAATCGGTTTGCCGCGAGACTCAACACGATATATGTGTGCGCCTTTAACTACTGTATCAAGAAAACATTTTCGAAATTAAAATTGCTCCTCAAAATTTCTTGAAGAAACGCTAGTCAATTTTTGGACAAATGCGAAATTTTAAAAAATTAAAGCAATTATTAAAGGTTCATAGCGCCTAAATTGAGCGTTATCTTGTGGCGATTGATTACGGTAAAAGTTGAAATAAAGAACACTGTATTTGGGCAGATTTCCACTTATAAACAGTTCATAAATTCCATTTTCAGTTCCTCGACTCTCAAATGCCAAACGGCGGCAATCTGCTGTATGAATCGTTGTGTATGCACGCGGTGAATCAAGCGATCGGACGAGCGATCCGCCATCGACGCGATTATGCAGCCGTCTATTTATTCGATGAAAGGTTGTGTGCCAAGCCATTGATTTTCTTTTTTTTCAAAGGATTGTTTGCATGTGCATTTCAGATTCGCGAAAGAATCGACGCGCAGTAAGTTGTCGTCTTGGATTGGAGAGAAAACGCGTCATGGAATGCAGTTTTCCGAAATAATTCAAGCGACCAACGCGTTTTTCGCGGAGAAAAACACTCGAGATTGAAAGAATCGTGTTTCATTCGTCGCGAAACCCTCGTAACCTCCTCATTATTTTCGATCTTCTTTGAATATGTACAATATAAATTTGATTGTTTAATGCCCACCATCCAAAAATTGTCATATTGCTTCACTTTTTGGTGTTGTTGATTTTTTTTTGCCATTTTTGCTCATACATAAACATGTGAGAAAAAAGAGAGGGAGACATAAAGTTGGTGGCGGTCGCCCTTCTTCCTCCCTAAAAAAAAATATGATTAGGTTTTGAAGCGTCGAGCTCTCCGGCGTTTGCTTCATGGGAATGGAGACGACTACCGACGGATGGCGACGTCGTTGTGAGGGGGGGGGGCACTGAAGAATCGATGAATGTCAGTGTGAGCGGTGCACGGGGCCCGATGTTTGCAGGCAATGTGCGCGCGCGCGAGCGCTCTCGCGTGTGTGAGCCCGGCGACACATTTTCGGCGTGTGCTCCCGCCCATTTCGTCGCTGCTTCTTCTTTCTTCTATCTATGTCATACTCTGTGCACATTTTTGGCGAGCTGCCGAGACGACCTGCCAGCCATTCGCCCACATTTATCCGCCGACTAATTAGTAGCTAGAAAATTTTTTGTCGTCGAGACAAAAATTATTTGTTTTTGCTGGCGCCTCAATTTGTCGTGACGGGTCCCGCAACGAAAATAAGAGACGTGGCTGAATGCCGAATATCCGCCGATCGCGTGATGACACGACAATCCGCCATTCATTTTTGTTTTTTTTTTCACGTCAAGACCCACCCCTCGAACGAGTAAACCAATTTTGGAAATGCAAAAAAAGAAGGGTCGCCAGACGCTAATTGAGTTTTTTTTTTTGGGACCTTCCCCGCCGAGAAATAAGATCAAAAATGTGGCTTCGCACCTTTTTTGGAGGATTCCCCCCGTCTCACAACATCGAAAGCCAAGCCCTGCTTTTTTTGTGGGGGTGCTTCGGACCCTCGTCATTGGTTTCCATTTTTTGGTGAATGCCACCAATTAGCCGCCAGGAAGACGGGTGTGAAACATCAGTCCACCAGCTTTTGGATCATTCTTTTCAAAAAAAAAAACGACTCTCTGTGGTTTTGAATGTGTGTGTACGTGTGTTTCTTAATCAACCAAAATGTTTACAGAACACTCGGCATTAAACATCTTGAACACATGGTTTTTGTTCTCTCATTCGTATTATTTGTTTAATCTTTTCTAAAAAAAAATACGGACACGTTTGTACTTTTCTAATATCTTGGTCTCGAAGCGAAACCATAATTCTCATAAATTTAAAATATTGATAAAACGGAGTTGATTAACATGCAAATCCGTAGAATTGGTGCGACGTGATTGCACAATTAATGATTTAAAAAGTCAAATATTGTGCAAACACGCCGTGTGAACTCTGCACACTTGCATCTTTTTTCGCTTAAATATATTTCAAAATTCGCTGCGAGTGTTTTTTTTTTCGAGTAGCTCGTTGGTGTTTATTGTAACTTCAGAATTCTTAAGAGCTTTTTTCCAGATGAATGGGTGGCCGAATGGGCGTGGCCAGACGTGGCAGTGACGTGACGTCACACGTGTCGACGTCCACGTGTAAAGCAGCGCCATGCCTTCAGAATTTCTCGATCATTCGCAGTATTGGACGCGGAGCATTCGGAAAAGTAAATTGAAAAAAACATAAATGAATAAATTATACGAAATATTTGTAGGTATGCATTGTTCAGGAGAAGAAAACGAAAAAATATTTTGCTCTAAAGTATATGAACAAAAGGAGATGCATTGAAAAAGTTGAACGAAATTTGAATGCGCGATTGGAAGTCTTGAAATTTTTGCAGGGAGTCGCCGCCAATGTAATCCGAGAGCTGAGCCTTCTTAGCAAGATCTCGCATCCATTTATAGTCAACCTATGGTACGCATTTCAAGTAAGGACCCTTGAGAATGCCGGCCGCGTCATACGCGATCAATAAACACTGTTCAGGACTGCGATTACATGTTCATGGTGTCGGATTTGCTGCTCGGCGGCGATTTGCGATACCATTTGCATCAGCAGGGCAAATTTGCCGAGGATCGCGCCAAATTGTATTTCTGCGAGATTTGCCTAGCCGTCGAATACCTGCACAACATGAATATTGTGCATCGCGATGTGAAGCCGGAGAATATTTTGCTCGATGAGCAGGGACATGCACATTTGACCGATTTGAATCTTGCCACCCAACTCGAAGATGATAAACTAGCAACTTCTTATACAGGTAAATGATGGATCCTTCGACAAGGTGGTTTCCAAGAAAAAAAAAATTGAACCATTGCCAACCTTCAATTTTCGTTGCGTGACCCATTTAGAATAATGAATAGTTAGTAGGAAATTTGTGAAATCTCTAACAAATCCCATGAGTGTTTAATTCTAAATTATATTGATATCTCATATTTAGGGACACGACCTTATATGGCGCCTGAGGTGTACGCAACATACCTCGGCATCGAAGACGGGTACGACGCTCGTGTTGATTGGTGGGCTCTCGCCGTGTGCTTCTACGAGATGCTCCGCGGTCGGACGCCATTCGAATTCAGCTCGAGCACTCAACCCGAACAGGTTTCGCCGATGTCAACTTAATGCATAATTGGGCATATTTCAGGCGTATGTTGTCTTTCGGGAATCATCGGTCACCTATCCGTCACACTGGCCAACAGATTTGATACACTTTTTGAATTCGATGCTGAAATTCGACAAATCGCGTCGAATCGCGAGTCTCGACAATGTCAAAAAGCACGCTTATATGGAACGAATCGATTTCACGAGTGTTTTCAACAAGTGCAACTCGCGATATTCGGCAATATGATGAATTTTTGATTTCTAGAAAACCGTCGCCAGTGTTCATTCCATGCAAAGAAGGCCTCAATTGTGATCCGATGTACGAGCTTGAGGAGCGAATTCTCGTCTCGACGCCGATTCATCGCCGCCGCGCGCAGAATTATTCAAGAAGTGCCAGCGAGCCGCAGAACGCGGCACTTCAAGAAGTCGCCAAGGTTTCGTTGTCTGCCTGATTCCGTCGAATCGTTCGATGATTTCTTTTTAGGCTTTCATCGATTTCTCGCGATATGACTCTACCGATGCGGCCAACGGCCTTCGACGATTTTGATTATTATTATTATTATTACTTTAAAAATGCTTACGGTTCAATGAAAATGAGTTTATTGTTGATTTCTATAAATAGACATTACCATTTTTGGTTTTGCCTTTAGGGAAAATTCGAATGTGATATGCTCCCTACATGCCGGCTTATAAGGGATTAAATATCTCTATAATCCGCGTATTGAGAGCAAGCATTTGCCCCCGTTATTGAGCTACTAATTGATTATTAATTTCATTTCGCTTTTTGTTTTATTATTTGTGGAAAGGCCAAGCCTTTCAATTTTTTAATCTTTCTTTTCCGAATTTGAGATCATTTTAAACATCTTCGGACATTTTAAAGAAGAATACACCATATTAGTGTTTCCAGAAACGATCGTTGCGAGACTCAGCGTAAATACAGTGTAGCTTTTTCTAGAGTATCTAAAAAAAGTTTCGAAATTCGAAAACATTTCAAATATTCTTAAAAATCACTCATTTTTAGGGAATCTTCTGTTCAAATTTAAATTATTTAAAAAAAAAATTTAAATATAGATTAAAGGCTCATAATGTGAAAAATGTGTTGAGTCTTGTGGCATTTGATTCTGGCAACCCAATTTTTTTTTGTTGGCGGTAATTCAAATCCTACGAGCGGTCTTAATTTTTCGCACCCGAAAAAGAACTCATTTCAGGTAATAAAATAAATAAATTGTAAAGGTCCCGTTACAATCATTCTAGAATCTTAACAGGGCAAATTTCGTGGTAACATCTGCGGACATTTGCCGGGATGCGCCACAATCGCCAATTTGCTGTTATCAGCGGTGGCGGCAATTCAAATCGTGTTTTTTTTTACAATGCTGGACTAGACATTCAAAAAACTCCAAGATCGTGCAATTCTAGCGAAGAATGTGCTCCGCATAAAAAATAGCGAAGCTTTCGAATACAAAATCGTTGATATAGGAATGAATCGAACATCAGTTTGTTCAACTTTTTCAAGTTTTTGCATTTTTTATGACAATTTACGAGCCTCTTTGTCACTTTAAACGAGGATTTTTTGAAGAGCCAACACTTGATTCAATTCATATTTCGTACAGCCATCAATCTTTCGCAGTCTCTATAGAATTGGAATAAGTTCTGATTCATATTAATTAAAAAAGAATGTTAATAAAATAATTGAAAATTCAGCAAATGCCGCCAATGCTGAATAAAACATTACTATATTATATTTTATGTTTGCCTTTTCTTGTCAATTCTTGAATTGAGTCATTCGATGCTGCAAAAATTCAATTATCGCCGTCCGGCGAGACATTTTGTGATTATTTCCGGTTTCACGCATCATTCATAAAGCAGGAGCAGCAGAAAAAAACCAAAACATCGAACCGTCAATACAAATATTTGTACAATGATGAATCGACTCGTTCGTCAGCTCAACTTGCTCAACTTTATTCGTTAATTTCTGCTCCCCCACCGATTTGCCACATTGCTTTTTTCTGGTGCGCCTTTAAATCGGTTCTCAACACGATCGATCGAATTCTAGATGATTTGATCGTTTTGAAAGAGCATAAATTCTAGAAAATGGATCGCTTCGGGACCAAATTTCAAATCACAAGCGTCTTCCTTGGCAATTTCAATCAAAAATCCAATTCGTCTTGTTTTCCGTTCGATTCGCCATTTTTCGCACGCTCATTTATTTTCCAAATCGGCAAAAAAAGAAATTTGCCAAACAAACACATTAAAGATTATAGCGTCACTCATCGACAAACTACATAGACGTCTTTATCGATTTCAGAATTAATCGCTAATCCTTGAGCACAATATTTTGCCCATTTATGGAGCTAATCGAAATTAGGCCAATTATGGCATTTTTTCGCGCAGCTTCTTCATCATTTTAAAAATCAATATACCCATTTTGAACGCATTAATATGATTGTTGTTATTGTGTGGAATAACGGTTTATATATTGTTGAGAAATGACAAATGTATCCAGGTGTCGTGGGATCCTGCGTTTTGTACGCAATGCTAAGAGACAGTTACCGTAATCCTCGCAGCGATTTACGGAGATTTTTTAAAAATTTTTTTTTCAATTTTTTTGCTGAATTTTCTTATTTTCTTTAGAAATCTTATATTTAAAACCTGTAGAAACCGAGTTTAATTATTTATTTTTCAGAATATGCACTTTTCCATTTGTCTAGTTGCGTTGGGAATTATTGTGAAGATTTTGACGCCCTAAAAATTATTTTGAAAATGAAGAATACAAAAACAAGATAATAGAAACGCATACAAAAAGCAAAACACGTTTAAATAATTTTATTAACGACAAAAATTATTTCTTTTTAATCTCTGCTGTTTTTACCAAAAAATATCGTTTAAAAGTGCTTATTCTGCTAAATACATTATTAAACTCGGTTTCTGCAAAATTTAAAAATTTAAATTAAAAAATTTCGAAAAAAAATTAAAAAATTGAACGAAAAATAAAAAAAAAATGAATATGCGAAATTAAACAAAAAGTCCCCGTAAATCGCTGCGAGGATTACGGTAACTGTCTCTTAGCATTGCGTACAAAACGCAGGATCCTACGACACCTGGATACATTTGTCATTTTTCAACAATACTACGAAAAACAAAAAATCCAAAATTTGATTTGTCACAAACACCTTTAATTTTGGTCTCACAACGATGTGATTGATCGCTTTCACGCTTTTAAAAACTTTATTGAATATTTCTTTTTTGCAAATCTTTCCCTAAATGGATTTCGTCAGCAATACTGCGTCAACCGTGAAAAAAAGCACACACAACTTAGCAGACCAGAAATGACCATAAAAGCACTCTTGCAAGCGTTTCCTTAAATAAATTTGGCTGGCAGTTCCACTCAAGCAAATCATTGTTTCGTCCCAACTCGAAATAAAAATAAATGGCGATACAAGTAGCGTTGACTTTTTCGAAATTCGATATTTACGTTCTCAATTCACATTTATTTATTCTTCTCAATAAATAAATAGATTGAAAAAGTAGAAGGAGAAGCCTCATAAGCCAATGAATCGATGGCGCCATCGAGTATCAAGTGCCGTGTGAACTCGACACCAGCTCGTCGTCGGGTTTTTTTTCTTTTCATTGCTCTCAATGAGAATTTTCCGATTAGGTGCCAATTCAACGAGCGACGCGCACAATAAAATATAAATCATTTTCAAATTGGCGCCTATTATTCGGACGCACATGTGTGTGTCTTAATCCGCCACATTTTCATTTTTCCCATCAAAGATTTTTGTAAGTCGGTCAGCACTTTCTAATCCTATTGTGTACCGCCCGCGTTTCAGCGGGTTTCCTCATTTCGCTTCGAGACCTATTCATCAGCAATTATTACAATATTAATTACAGACTCGAAAATCCAAAAAGAGATTGCGTACATTGCATTATAATTGACGCGCATTTAATATTCAGGCAACGATTTATTTATTTCTTCACTGATTTCGCGAATTTGAAGGTCCCGCCTCTTTTCAGTCGTTGCCATGAGAATTTTGAAAATCAAACTTTTTGAAAAAAAAAAAACAAATTTTGGTTTATTCATACTCAAAGATATATTGAGGAGAAACGATTCAACTTCAACTTTCTCAGCGTCTGAAAACATTTGATCTGCCTACGCAGTCCATTCTGAAAAGCATGAGGCGTGCGCCTTTAAAGTTTTCATTTCGCCTTCTCGATTCCAATTAATATTTATTTGTCTTTTTAAAATCGATTGTGTCGCTTCCGCTTTTTTGGTGTCGATAGTATATTTATCAGCACATATATTATTTACAAATTGTTTGATCAAAATCAATTTTCTGATACAGTTCACCTAGACATGATCAAAACCCAATTATTACACCGCCTCGCCTCGTTTCGGCTAATCGATTTGATCGTGTTGCGCCCACTTTCTCATGTCTGATTCATTCGATCAATTCATTTTTTTCCCTCTTTCTTATTTGCAGAAGCATTATGGACACTGTAGTTCCCGTGTGCTCCGACGCCACCATCGAAAATGGAAACAGCGGCTATTATACGCCAAAGGGTCATCTCAATCAAACAATTATTAAAGAGTATGTCTGTTTTTATTTGAAATTGTCTAATGCAGCTATTTTACTATAAATAGTTTTCAATAACAACAAAAAATAGAAATTATCGCGCAAATAACTTAGTATTTCGAGTTTTGTTCCCAAAATTTGCATATTTATTTCGATTAATAAAATATTAATAATTTCTAGAATTGTCTTTTTTTAGTTTAGCGAATTTTCCCACGCATGCGAAACATAATGTGCCAATTCGAATGAAAATTCTTGAAATAGCCGCACCAAATGCAGCGATCATTTAGAGCCGAAGCGGCGCGCTCAAGTCGACGACTCGACAGCCCACGAATTTCAACAACGTCCAGCGAGTATTCGGTTCCGGTTTCACCATTTCCCTCAACGTCGCCGCTAATTGTTATCAGGTAATTAATTATAGGCCGCTTTAATTAGGCGCCATGAAAACAATGAAGAAGGAGGAAATTGTGAAGTTGTCATGAATTGAAGTGAATCGCCTTAGCATTTGAGATTAATTTCGCAAATTTCAGCCCGCCGAAAGACGAATCTGCACCAATCACCATTCTCCCAGCAAGTCCTCGTCCGCCAATGCCTGAAACCCATCGGCGATCTCTTATCGTTGCCATAATTGCAGCATTTCTCGTATTCATCGCCGTCATTTTTATGCTACAACTAGTCATCAATGCCTAGAAATTCCTCGCCATCCTCACTCGCAATGTCCTTTTCAAATCTCGCTACGGTGTACAAAACAAGTGCTCAGTTTTATATATACATTTTTTTTTTGAAAACAAGAATTAATAACGCTTTAATAAATAACAATAAACCGTATTAATTTTTGTCTTCCGGTCCTCTTTGAGAATATGAGAGGCTTTTGGAGAGCTCGATAATATTTGAAGAGTTTCCAATGAGATGCCGCTCGATTCCTGAAGCACATTCAAATTCGCGCCATCATTTTTCTTAATAAAATACCAAATGGGCGAAGATGGTAAAGCCAGTAATCGTACAAGTACATCTCAATGGGTTTGACGTAGTGAAACGCGACGGCATAATCTGATCTCATTAGCGAAACTAGAGCCTTCGGCAAATTTTTCCAAACATACCCGAACAGGTTTCGATCCCTTTATCAATTTTATAAACCGAATAGGATGTCAACCATTCCGGTAGCGTTCTGGTAAAATGGTAAATCGGCGAAATTGGTAGGAATCGATGTTTTCCCAGCGAATCTCGCGAATCGACAGCGGCCACATTAACCTCATTCAAGCATATTCCAATCATCATGTCTTCCGGCAAGTAGGTGCTTCTGGTGCAATTTGATTCCTGTTCCTCAAACCCTTCTTTGACAAGTCTAGGCAATTATACATATATAAATTATTATTTAAAAAGTAGAAGTCATACTTTTTGAGAGCTGCTCGACTTAGCACGTAGCCAGCACCACCGCTATGGTATAATGTTCCATTAGGCGGGAAAAACTTGCATCCAAATGATATTGGCTCTTCAGGAGAATGGGATAGTAAGAGAAGCCTAAAAATTCAGTATATTAATTTTTTCGAATTGAAAATTATTTACCTCAAATTCTCCAAAATTACAAACGTGTCGTCATCAGCTTTGAGAAACCAATCGAAATTGTTTCCATATTTTTTGTAAATATATTCCAATGCAATTCGCGACTTTTCACCCAATCTATTATAATCGTCCGAGACTTTTACCGGAATAGTTGGAAGGAGGGAGTCATATTTTCCAGAAACGAACGCATATCTGGAAAAATAATTGTGATTACGATTGATTTTGAAGTCCGCAATACACCGCGGCGTCATATTGCACAATCGCTCATTTTTGCGCTACCTTTTCAATTATTTTCTGTGATTTTATTTGCTTACTTGGTACATCGTTTAGCCCAAGTAAATTTTACTGCACGCGCCCGCTCGAAATTGTATTTTTCTGCTGTTGTTATCAAGCAAAATATTCGAACTTTCTCAGAAATTGAATTCGCAATAACGTGACTTTCTGGAAAGAAACGTATCATTTTTCCCCTTTAATGTACATGTATAATTCACCGGCGTAGGTAACTGTATTATTTGGCGATTTAACGATATCGAAAGGCTCCATTTCCAGATGTTCTTGATATATTCGTTCCAACAATTCGTCATTGCTAACAATTTCTATCTAGAAAAATTTCAGGCATAAAATTCAATAAATGTTTAAACCTTCGCCATATTATCGAATAGTATTCGTGAATACCATCCTAATAAAATTCCAATAAGGAAAATGAGGCATGTGCTCCGGCGAATCTTCATCATTCATTTAAATCGTTTTAATTTTCATTTATACATTTTAAAAAAGTTCACGTGGTTCCACACTATCCTCCAACTCATTTTTTCACGGGCATTGCTCATATCAGTACGGATATCCAAACCCCGTTTTTTTGTTGTGAATTTTGCTGTTGTGTTGACGCTATGTCAGCGCATTGGCACGCCTAGCATTGGCGCATTTTCGGTGCCCATCATCTAGCTGTTTTTATTTGTTTGCATAGTTTATTCCCATGTTTTATTCTTTTTTTAATGTCCACGAAATGATGCTTGGGAAAACGTACTAATATTCAAACATTGCTTCCAAAATTGCAACATTTCTTGTTTATTCCTCAATTACAAATGAAATGCTTGAAATTTATCTCATTTGTTTCACTAAACGTAATAAACTTGTGTGATTTTTGCAGAATGACCGCGGACAGCATTGAGAATCGAGTAATCCGGAGAAATCTGCCCGGAACTAAAAGAGAGGTTCGAATAATTCGGAAAATCCGAATTTTATTGATTTTTTAATGTAGGATTGGAATAACTGGCCCCCAATGGCATTCGAAGAAATGGATTCGGCATTAAATGTTCAACAATATATTCAGCAGCTCATCAAACAGAATCCAGCCGACGTCGATGGTATTTTAACGCTTCCAGTTGGTAAATTAATCGATGATTCGAAAAGAAAATGAGAACAATGTGCTCTCCTATTTCAGATCAAGATGAAGGTGTCTGGAAATATGAGCACTTGCGACAATTCTGCATTGAGCTCAACGGACTCGCATTGTTGCTTCAGCGCGAATGTGTGCCGGAGACATGTCCGCAGATGACGGCGACGGAACAGTGGATCTTCTTGTGTGCGGCTCACAAGAACCCGAATGAGGTAAATTATTATTGAAAAATTGAAATTTTTGTGATTTTAAGTGTTTTAAACATTCCTATCTTCAGATGGATTAATGGGATATATAAATCTATTCCGACTTTCGAATTATTTAGATCAAATTTTTGAAAAAACAATTTTTTCACTAATTTTGTCTTTGTTTAATACTTAGTCAGCAATTAATTATTGTGATACCTTTTTTCTTTGGCCATAACTTGAAGCAAAAAATGTTATTAGAATAGCAAATTGTCTTTTTCATACTCTATTTTTTCTAAAATTTGCAATTTATTTTTATTTTTCAGTGTCCAGCCATAGATTATACTCGGCACACCCTTGATGGTGCTGCAACTCTTCTCAACAGCAATAAATATTTTCCAAGCCGTGTAAATATTAAGGTAATTTTTTTAATCAAGTGGTTTTTCATACGAATCTCAACATTTCAGGAGCTTTCAATCGCGAAACTCGGTTCGGTGGCGCGACGAGTTTATCGCATATTCTCACACGCATTTTTCCATCATCGCAAACTGTTCGACGAATTCGAGAGCGAGACGCATCTTTGCGCGCGATTCACCGCATTTGTCTCAAAATATGATTTGATGCAACAGGAGCACCTAATAGTGCCAATATTGTCGTCGCAGAACGCGTCGTCGCAAGCGGCGAACGCGTCGCCTCAAAAATAATCACCTAATAGCTGAATCCCACGAAATGGCTTTACAATTCGCAGTTTCTAACAACAATTACTGTTTTGTGGTATTTCTCAAATATGAGTTTTCAAAAAACTACCGAAAATGCCAAAAAATAATAATTACAACAATACTATCAGCCAATTCCTGTTCAAATACTCGTTTGAAATGATCTGATTTTATTTCTTTTTTTTTTCGAAGCGCTCTTCTGAGGCCCTGGGCCCAAGACTTTCATTGCACAACCTACTGAATTAATAAAGAATTTATTATCCAGAAGAATTGGACCGGATTATTATTTTTTCTTGTTTGAAGCTTCAGTTTTTATCGGATTTTGGATTGAAATTGGAATTATCATTTTGTTTTAAGGTTTTCAGAATGGAGGTAAATTTGGATTATGAGGAGGAAACCGCTTGGCAATTCCTTCTACGCAAAAATGCGGATGGATTGTTTCTGAAAAGTTGCGTGCCGGAATTGGATTCGATTTTGTGTATGGCGAGCGGAAAAATTTATGAAATTGATGGCGAAATTGGGTCGGGAAAGACGCAGGTTTGAAAATTTTATGTTTTCAAATCTTTTTTTGGACAAAAAATATTTTTAAAATCGGATTTAATGTCATTCCTTTGGGAATTCTGCGAAAATCATCATTTTAAAAAAATTCCGTTGCTAAAACTTTAAAATAATTTCCATAAGTCGAAAACATCGTTTGATTGGGTCTGAAATTAGTAATAATTTTCAGATATGCTACTCGATCGTTGCCAAATTGTTGAATTCCAAAAAAGATGCAATGGTTGGCTGGTTGTCGCCGACAGCGTTGAGAACTGACGACCTTCAGAAGCATTTGAACGCTGAGGTGCCGTTGGCGTTTGGAATTCCTGGAATTTTTGTCGATTTTCAGCTCCACCTCGACTCGCTATTCTGCGCAATTTGCGAAGACGTCGATGAGCTCAAGAAGTGCGTTGATTCGATTGTCGCCATGCGAGATTCGCGAAAAGTGCGATTGGTTGTCGTTGAGAATATTGACACGATTCTGCACGACACGGTTTACATTGACTATCAACGAGGTTCTCATTGATCACTGCCGAAGAATCGAGATCGTCATCGTTTTTCAAAAATCTGTTTCAGGGTACCAATATCAGGAGCGAGTCATCGAGAAATTCAATTTGCTTGCGAAGAATGGAATTACGGTGATTGTCACGAATCACATCGTTGGCGACGCGCCAACACGATTCTCATTATTCCATCATTGTTTCAGACGCGATGGCGCGGTTATCCAGCGCCGGCGCTTGGACGCTTTTGGAGCTCGAAAATCGCCAATCGTTTTTTTGTTGAGAAAACCGACGAGACGCGCGTGATCTCGAAACGCATCGATGGTGGAGATGAGCAAGTGATATCGGCGAAGTTTCGAATCACGTCGAACGGATTGGAATGTAAGCCAAGTGTGCGGCGAGTCGGGTATTTTTTGAGGGGGGGGGGGCGATAACATTTTTTTCCTAAACGGAACTACTTTATTGGTGCTGAAACGAAACACCGTACAGTTCTTCTGATTCTGTTTCCGTGCAATATCAATGAAATGGAAAATCAAAAAAAAAATATTTTAAAACAATTTTCTAGACATCATTATGAAAATTGGTACACATATGTATATTTGGCTCTGAATACGATTTTGAAAACAGAATTTGAAAATTTTCACAATTGACAAAGTTATGCCCAAAAACGGGTGGCTTTATAAATGCGAAACGCACTGTATATTCATATATTTCACAATGACGGAAACTAAACGGAACAACGTTTTTTCCGTTTTTTTTTTTCAACGCGTGAACACGGAATTCCGTGCAACTGTGGTACGAGCACGCCCATAACGATCAATGACTTTTTGTCGACTGGTGATAAACATAAACAAGCGGCCACATTTTTTTTGGGAGGAGAAAAGTCAACACGAATATTGACATTTGTATTATTTATGAAGTCGCGTGGTTTTGGTATTTGAGTCGAAATGACATATTATATTTGATATCAGGTTTTTAGATTGTCCCGATATCTACAGTAATCCTTGATGAGTTTCTCGATGCTTTTGGTATTCATAATAGTTGAAATTGACATTTTTGCGTCAAACATGACATAGAAGCCAATGGGATATTCGACGCGTTTGAATGTGCTGAATTGATCCATTATGGTGATATGTAGGAAAAAAATCTCCAAAAAAATTGGTTGCTAGTATTTTCCGTAATTTGAATGGGATTTTTAGATTTCTAACAGATTTAATTGTTAGATTTTAATGCAGTAAATGAAAAAAAAAAGTTTTAAAATGCGATTCAGCGCAAGAAAATCGGCACGTTATTGCATTTTCCGGTATATTACTTTTTATTTTTTTCCCCGTAATTCTTCATTTTTTATTGATTCAAGACGGCCAGAATTTCCAGCGGTAAAAAAAAGATGTTTTCTAAAAATGGGGGGCAATTTTGGGGTTGGCGAGCCAAAAGTCCCGGATGTATAGAAATGTTATTCGCGAGTTCGCCCGTCTCGTCCATATGCGTGCGTCGTCCGTGCAGAATATCAGAAAACACGCGGAGAAGACGACGATGGCGTAAGCATGAGTGCTCGTCGTCGCTGCGAAACACCAACAACAACAAAAAAAAGAAGCCCGTCGTTGTAGTTTCACGTTTGACCGACACGATCGACCGACAGGCTGTTGCTGCCTGTCGCTCGCCTGCCCGCTGCGGCTCGTCACCGCCACCATCTGTGTTCAAACGGCTGAGAGAAAATATGCGATAGAGATGGAGCAAAACGAAATGGAGGCTCATCATCGAAATGCGAGAATGAGAGATAGAGTGAGAGAGATGCGCGAGCAAAAAGAATGCAGAGGGCGAATGTCGCCATTGCGATGTGTTCGTTTTCGGTTTTTGCGGAGCCTTGAGAGAAAGAAAGAGATGCTGATGATGATGATGATGGAATGAAGCGCGTGATTTCGAGGGCCCCAACTCGCCTCGCTGCCGGTAGGGGGGGGGGCGAGTACGGAGGTCGTCGTTTTTGGTCGATGCGGTCACTCGCATTTGTGTTGTGCCTGGCTGCCTGCATTCGGCACCCGCTGGCGCCTTGTGCGCGCGCGTGCACGCGCCTCGGAGAATGTTCAATTTGGTCGCCGCTTTCCACCCTGTCTCTCTCTCTCCGTCCCTTTCAGTTCCCCCCCTCCCACTTTTCCCAATTGAATTCATAATGATGCCTCCCGTATTAGGGCCAGCTGATCGGCCAGGCGGTGACTGGCGGCGGCGGCGGCGGCAGCTTCAGTTTATCGATGACAACTTGCTATTCCTCGTGACTTTACGGAATTGGAATATTTGGAAGGCGGCGAGAATGAAAAGCATAAGAAGCGTTGGTTGTTATTGTTGTTTAAATGCGGCGGTGCGCATTTTGTCAATAAACAATAACAACAACAACAACCCTCCGGAATGTTTTTGACCGGTGTTCCTCACCCCCCCCATCTCCGGATTTTGAAGTCACATGCTTGTTAGTGTGTGTGATGTTCCCACGCGACACTTGCGTCGTGTTCCCCTTCCTATTTTGGTTGAATTCGCGTTCTCGGTGTGTTTTTCTGGAAGTAGGTTAGTAGGATATTCGCATTCTAAAATATTCCTGAAAATCGTATAGCTCGAACGACCGCCTATGCCCCTCCCTCTCTCTGTGTGCGTGTATTCATTTTTTTTTTTCCTCCTTCGCGGCGGTTTTTATTTTCATGGCCGGATGAGGGGGCTTATGGGTCTTGTAACGAGCGCGACGGCAATTACAAATCGACATTAAAGTTTATAGTATAACTGGATGGTCGTAAATTTTCGGATCGTTTTGTCCAGTCCAGACCGCCCGCTCGCCGTTCGCTCGAGGCTCATTAACGCCCCTTTTCTTATATTTCGATGAATGTCCATCCATCCAAAACGTGTATTTTTTTTCCAACATTTTCTAACTCCCTCTTCGTTAGTTGCATTGCACCTGGTCCTTACAAGATTTTCCAAATCTTTTTTTTTTTTTAATTTCAGTATTGCGTTTTGATTATTCTGAAATGTTTATGGGTTTATGATGTTTACTGGACGCGAAATTTGATATAGGGACGCCGACAAATGGAATTTCCTGGATGTGTGTTTTTTTTTAAAGAAAATACTTTCAAATAGATGTAAAATGAAGTTTTTTTTTCTCGCTGCACCTTGAACGAGTTACAGTAAGCGTCTTTTTAGTCGTCCCATTTTGAATGCATTTTCAAATCTTGCCGCCATTTTCGTGTCGTCAAACTTTAATTATTCGAGTTTTTGGCGCGCTCGCTCGTTTTCTACTTGGCTCCGCCCCTCAAATTGACCTCGTCCTCGTTGCTAGCTAGTATCCGCACCTGGTTGGTCTCGTTTCGCCCCCCCCCCACCAAAAAAAGACATCAATTGTCATCGAGGCCATATGTGTGTGTGTGGCTTTTCTTTCGTTGTTTTCACATCCCGCATCGAGCCATTCGCCAATTTCTTCTTCTTCTTCTTCTTCTGTTCGCCTCGTGCTCGTTCGTTACAGCCGCCTCACCATATTCGGTCATGTGAAACATTGATGTAGTATCGACCCGTTCTCTCTGGGGCGCCGCTTTTGCGCGCATCTGAACCCCCCGTTTTTTTTTTCCGCGTGGTGTCTGGGTGACGAGGGGGGGCCACTGGCCTTGATCAAGGCCCCCCCCAATGGATGGCGGGAGTGTGCATCCCGAATGGGTTCTTTGTCAAGTGCATGTCTAGAACAACACGCGCCGCCTTCTTCTCGTTGCAGAGCGAGGCGCGCGCGCGCACGCGCACTTTTTGTTTTTGCACTTCAATCATTTTTGGGGTTCTCTGCTCTTCTTCTTCTTCTTCTTCTTCTTCTTCTTCTTCTTCTACTACTACTACTACTACTCCTTCAATTTTTGCTGTAATTTGTATTCAAATTTTGCACGTCGAGAGATTCTCTCTAATGATCGTCATTTTTTTTTGCAGTCGTGGCGCTATGAGTGACGAATAGACGTCGTCGCCGGAGCCCGCACACGACAACAACTAGAACAAGAGCAACAGCAAGAAGAAGATGATGATGATCGAGCAGCGGCGAGATGTGTCGAGTATGAGCTCGCGTCGCGCGAAACGCCTTAGTCATCAGGCGGCGAAAACGCATCCGATGATACAGGCGAAACAGAATCATATTTATCTCATTACGACGATGACGACGCCGAATTTCGACACGTCGATGATTAACAAAATGCTACCGAAAGAGCTGATATTGAGGTGAGGGTTGTTACCGTAGTCGGGGAGGAAAGGAGGAAGATTGGACGTCTTCTAGTCGTTGAGGTTCAATCGGTCCATTTATTCTTTCGTCACTGGGTGTCCGTCGGCGGACGCGCTGATGTCTTTTGGTCTTGTTGAACGTGAGGGTCCGATGAACACAATTGTTCATCTTTGATCACGGAATTTGAATTTTGAAGGTCGCAATTTTTCATTATGGGTTACTATATGACGTCATAAATAATCAATGTTCGATAAAAATTTTCTATAATAATATGAGTAAACTGGCGGACATTTTTGTTTTCCATTCAAATGTCCGCTGATTGGAATATGCAAATTTGTGTGTCGAACGCGCGCGTTTCGTTTTTTTTTTCTGAAACGAATTAAGAATCAAAAAACCCAATTGGGAAACATTGGTCACGGAAAATTGAATATTGCAGAATATTTTCGTATCTCGACACGAAAGCGTTGTGCCGCTGTGCGCAGACATGTCGTGCTTGGAATGTGTTGGCGTTGGACGGCTCGAATTGGCAAAGTGTCGATCTGTTTACATTCCAGAAAGACGTCAAGGTTCGTTTCGAGACAGAAAATGACGTGCTCGAAAAAAAAATGTGTGTGTGTTGTTGTTGTAGACGGCGGTCATCGAGAATTTGGCGAGACGCTGCGGCGGTTTCCTCAAGCAGCTTTCGTTGAAGGGATGCGAGAATGTGCACGACTCGGCTCTCAAATCGTTCACGGCGAAATGCTCGAATTTGGAGCATTTGAGCTTGTACCGATGCAAACGCGTCACTGATGCGTACGAACTTCGCCGATTTATTCGATGATTTTGACAATATCGGAAGCAAATTTCAGATCTTGCGAGAATCTCGGCCGCAATTGTCATAAGCTCAAATATTTGAATTTGGAGAATTGCTCGTCGATCACCGAACGAGCGCTGAAGCATATCAGCGATGGATGTCCGCAGCTCACTTATTTGAATATCAGCTGGTGCGATTCGGTGCAAGATCGCGGTGTTCAGATGATTTTGACGAATTGCCCGAATTTGGAGACGCTGATTTTGAGAGGATGCGACGGGGTAGGCATCGGCAATCAATGTGAGAGGAGATCAATTGAAATTTCGAATTTTTGCAGCTTACCGAGAATGTGTTTGCGCCGGTTCAGGAAAATATGAAAAATCTCACCACTCTCAATTTGCTCTCATGTTTTGTATGTTTAATTGGCTTATTAATTTTTATGATTATGAAAATTTGATGTTTCAGGCAAATGATGATACAGTAGCCCATATTTCGAACGGAGCTCCCGGAATTGAGTATTTGTGCCTGTCGAATTGCACAAATATCTCGAATCGATCATTAGTCGCACTTGGAGCGAACTCGCACAATTTGAAGTGACCATTTTCGCAATTAGATTTCTTATTTCTCTATTGACGCTTTTAGGGTGCTCGAAGTCTCGAGCTGCTCGCTTCTTGATGACGCCGGATTTGTGGCGTTGGCGAAAGGATGCAGGAAGCTGGAGCGACTCGATCTTGAGGATTGCTCGCTGATCACCGATCAGACGATTCATATGCTGACGATGAATTGTCCGGCGATTCAGGAGTTGAGCCTTTCGCATTGCGAGCTGCTCACCGATGAGTCGGTGCAATGTTTGAGCACAAAAAATCGCGAATCACTACAAGTGAGGCGGATGTTTGGCGAGAATTCGAATTTGTTTTTTTTTTTTTTCGCCATAGGTATTGGAACTTGACAACTGCCCGTTGCTTACGGATTCGACGCTTTCACATTTACGCCACTGCCGCCAACTCAAACGAATTGATCTCTATGATTGTCAGAATGTGTCGAAGGAGGCGATTCAACGATTCAAGGTGAGTGTCGTGGCGGGCAATCAATGAATGAGCGCGAACTTTCAGCATCATCGGCCGAATGTTGAAATTCACGCGTATTTCGCGCCGGCGACGCCGCCAGTCGATCAAGTTGTGAATCGGACGGGTATGTGGTTGGTTCATCGGTCGAAGTATAATAATGAATCGGTTCAGGTTTCTGCCGGTGTTGTGTCATCTTATGACTACATCTTTGTGCCCTGTTATACGCAGTTTATCGCAAAATGTGTACAAATTGACAAATGTAATTATATACATACATGGTTTGACCTTAAAAAATTCAATTTATTTCATTCATACCTCTCGACACAATTCTCGTTGTTGCTTTTTTTTTGTCTTGAATTGATTCTGGAATATTTCATTTTAGTTGAATGACAGGGCACTGGCAAGATTGCCGGGTAGAAAATCTCCCAGAAACTACCGTATTTATCCCCCTCCTCGTTTTTTTTTGTGAAAAGAACACAATTGAATCGGCGCAGTGATTCTGACATTGTTCCTACTGGTATTCGATCATTCTTTTATTTTTTTTTGTGGGACGTCTTTTGTTTTGTACATAATAAACAAATAAATTATTTTCATTCGATTTGCCGCATTAAATGTCGATTTTTGTTGTATTTGTTGTTTCGTAAATTTCCGGTGTCTGAATATCGATTAAGCTTGTCGTTTTTTTTTTTGAAAATGTTTCGTTGGTTTTGCAGATGGCCGAATATGAGACGGGATGGGAGGATCCCGATGAGATTGTGGGTTGAGAATGTCCGCAGATTAGTTTATGGATTTTATTTTTTGAAGAGAGGACACGTTGCCGCTTATGATGCGCTTCTGATTGAGCTCGCGCGACCTTTGGATTTGATGATACCCGAAGCGGATCTTAACGAGTTCCGTCCCAAGTACAAACATCATCATGATCATCATCACCATGTTGATTATCCGCATGAAATTTCGGTATTACTCATTCGAATCGCCGTCAAATTATATGGTTTGTAATGTTTTTTTTTTGAAGCGCGAACCCGACGGCGCGATTCTGTACGCGATGCCGGAATACTCGTCGTCGGACGATGAGAACGACGATCATCAGCGCGCGTTTTTCCATCCGCCGCTTCAAATTCAGAGGAATCAGTTTGTGAAGAAGTTCATCGAGAGACTTCGCGACGACACATTCGAGATATCGAAAATCGGCGTGATGGGATGCGGCGAGATGTCGCTTGAGAGGCACCTGTTGCCGAGTCTGCACAAATTTGGCACCAAAATGCTGTTGTCGGTGGACATTGACAAGCATTCGTTGTCGATTGGAAGTCAGCTAATCGAGTAAGTGCCTTGGGTTTTGAGATTTTGCTCAGAAACTCATACCGGTCAGTTTTTTTTTTTTTCAAATTTTTTTCAACGGAATTATCAGAGCTGAAGTTATAATCGGCTAATTGTAGTAATTCTATTAATCGATTTCAATCTGCGGACAATTTTGGGTGAATTTCAGAAAAGCTATAAAAAATCACGAGCCGAGCCTTCAATATGAAAACGGCTATCCGGTCATGATTCGCGCCTATTATGGCGACATCCTTCAACACGATTATCGATTCGCCAACGCTGATGTCATTGTTTCGATGGAAGTGTAAGGCGACGCGATTCGAGTGAGATTTTCGATGATCGATTTTCAGAATCGAGCATATGCCGCTTCTCGACGCCAAACGTTTCATCAATATTGTGCTCGGTGTGCTGTGCCCAAGAATGTTCATATTCTCAACACCGAACCACGATTTCAATGCGGCGTTCGGCGACAAACCCGGCGAGTTTCGACACGACGATCACAAATTCGAGATGACCGCCCACCAATTCGTCGACTATCTCAAAGAGCTTCGCCGTCTCCATCCGAACTATGAGATCGGCCAACCGCACTACATCGGCTTCATTCCGCGATTCAGCCATCTGCACGGTGCGACGCAGGCGGCGATAGCGATTCTCAAAGATCCGAGGTGTGTGGACCCGAAGACGTCGGATCGGCCCTACAAAGCGGTATACCAGACGATGTTGCCGGTGGGCGTCAAAACAATGATCTATCAAGTGCTCAAAGACACATTCGTCGAATGGCTCAAAATCACCGAGCTCAAAGAAAGCGAGCTGCAGACGCATGAGTTTTCGCAATACTGGCTGATTGATATCAAACGAATTTTGCATCACATTCGGGCTCCCGTCACGATAACGACACTGATTGATGAGAAAGAGGCGGTGTAAGCGGGAGAATGCATTTAGGAAACAGAAAAATAATGTTTTCAGCGAAATGCTTACCTCGAACGCGCCGGAATACCTATTTCCCGAGTTTACGCATGGATTCGCCGGATTGGGAATCATGCACAGAATGAAGAAGAGCATTCTAATCGCGAAATTCCAAAATCCGCCGGTTTGATTTGGTTTTTTTTTTCTCTCAATTCAATTGTAAATAATTATAATCGCAATTCAATTTGTTTGTTTATTATTCGAAGAAATGTTTATGTGCAATAAATTATGCGGCGGCACGGCGTTCCTGAAATTGAATTTGATCGACGATCGATAGAGGAATTTGAATTGCCGCCTTGGCTCTCAGCGAACTCGAACTATCAAAATTTTAATTTTTCAAAAGATATTATAAAAACTGCGGAAAATTGATTTTCAAAAAACGATGAGAAAGGTATTGACGAGAATTTAGTTGGGTAGATTTACGAGTTGAGGGAGTAGATTCAAGGAGCATCGCGACGAGACCTGTTTGCTGCACGGCTCGCCGAAAAAGCACAAATGGTTGATATCTCGTTTTTAAATTGTAAACACGCAAAATGTATACCGGTTTATTTAATTTAAATTTACTAATTCATTAAGTGTGGCCGTGGCCGAACCTATTTTTGTAGGTAAATTTTTTCTAGGCCATGCCTGCGTTGCGGCGAGCCGTTTTTGGAATTCAAATTTTTCTTCGAAAATAATCAACTATCGACCTTTTTGACGGTGAATGGTGTGAAGACGGCGTCGATGTGTGCTCGAACTTTTCCCATGTCTTCTGAAGCATCGACGGCGACGTGCACCTTCTTCTTTTTGTAATAATCAATGAGCGGGACCGTCTAAACGCGGGACATCGTCTTACGCGTCATTCGCTGTTGTCAATCCTACCATGTTATGATAAGCAACCAGGCGTTTCCTGAGCGTCTCCTCATTGTCGTCGGATCGGCACACCAGCGGCTCGCCGGTGACATCGTCCTTCATCGGCACCTTCGGCGGATTGAACTCCTTGTGATAGCTCCTTCCCGAAGCGATATGAAACAATCTTCCGGTGATTCGTCGAACTAGTAGATCATCGGCGATCTTGAACTCGATGACCGTGTCGAGCGGCGTGTTTCGACGCTCGAGAATTTCGTCGAGCTGCAACAACACGATTATTCATCTCGCGATTCGCTCCCGGCGGACCATTTCACCTTTTTCGCTTGCTCGGTGGTCCTTGGGAAACCGTCGAGAATGAAGCCGTACTTGCATTCGGGCTTTTGCAATTTGTTCTCGATGAGCTTGCAGACGACGTCGTCGCTCACCAACTTGCCGGCATCCATCGTCGCCTTCAGCTCTTTGCCGAACTCGGAACCCGACGAGACTTCGGCTCGAAGCAAATCGCCGGTGGCCAAATGGCACGAGAAGTACTTTTTGGCGAATTCCGGCGCTTGAGTTCCTTTGCCGGATCCTGGTGGTCCGACGAATATCGCGCGGATTCCTCTCTGAAGATCGTCGGAGATTTGGGGAGCCGCCGCCATTCCAATGGAAATCGCACAAAATTTTTCGGTTTGAAAAACGACAAAAAAGAAATCTGAAATTGTTTTTCCTCTGGAATGCCCACGCTCACGTTTTTCAAACAATTTTTGTTACAAGTGATGATTTCATTCGATGTAATCACAAAACGTAACAGATTCTCAAAAAAACCATTATTAGAGGTTGTTCTGAAATTGAGAGGGCGGAACAAAAATAGCATTAATTAACCGAAACAGAGTGAATAACTAAAATTGGAATTTCTCCTAAAATTGGACCAGCAAGATCGGTTTAAGCGAACGCACGGCGATCCTGAAAAAAAATTATTGGATTAATCGCGATTTTCCGCAAAATCTCACCTTCTTGACGGTAAATTTCGCAAAGACGGAGTCAATGTGAGCACGAACGTCGCTCATGCTCTTCGAGGCGTCAACGGCAACGTGAATTCCGTGCTTCTTGTAGTAGTCGACAAGTGGTACGGTCTGGATGTTTCCCAATAATCAAACAACTGCTCTGTGTTCTTTCGTTTACCATATTATGATAGCTGACCAATCGTTTCCTGAGCGTCTCTTCATTGTCATCGGATCGACGGATGAGCGGCTCGCCGGTGATGTCATCCTTCATCGGCACCTTGGGCGGCTTGAACTCCAAATGATAGCTTCTACCGGATGCGATATGGAATAGCCGGCCGGTGATGCGACGCACGAGGAGATCATCGGCGATCTTGAACTCGATGACCGTGTCGAGCGGCGTTTTTCTGCGCTCCAACAGTTGGTCGAGCTCAAATGTCAACATAATTGAAACAGCGAACATTGAAAAATGGTTTGGCTACCTTTTGAGCCTGGACCGTCGTTCGCGGAAAACCGTCGAGAATGAAACCGTATCGGCATTCAGGCGTTTCCAGTTTGTTCTCGATGAGTTGGCACACAACTTCATCGCTTACAAGCTTTCCAGCGTCCATGGTAGCCTTGAGTTGCTTTCCAAACTCCGATCCAGACGAGACCTCAGCTCGCAGAAGATCTCCTAAAATTATGCGGTTTTCTAATGGCATTATAAAGTTAAAAGTTCACACCAGTGGCCAAATGGCATGAGAAGTACTTTTTGGCGAATTCCGGCGCTTGAGTTCCTTTTCCGGATCCTGGTGGTCCGATGAAAATGGCGCGAATTCCGCGGGCTAGTGTTTCCGACGGTGTACCGCTTTGAGCGACTGGTTCACTTGATTTCGCCTGTGGAGACGCCATTTCTAAACAAAACAAAACACAATTAAAAATAGAAAAATTTGAAATCGAAGAGAGAGACACGATCTTGTGTGGGTTTATTTAACTTATTAAAAACTCTGTTGCCTTATCGGCGTGTTGAACATAGTGATAAGCAAACTCCCGCAATATGACGCTCTATTGAAGGTTGAAGAGAAACGTCTATTGTTTCAAAAACCACAATTAAGAAAATAGTATTACACAATGATTATGTGTCTTTTATTCGGTCTTGAGTGGAAAAAAATTCGAAATTTTAGGATAAATCTGAAAGAAGTCCTGAAAGCTTCATAAAATTACGTTGCAAAAAAAGTCCGCAAACACGTAGAATGACGAAAAACGCGGACAAACGAAAATTTGGAAATTTGATTTTAATCACAAAAAGATAAGCATCTTGCCATTAATCTTGCGAGAATATAAGAAATGTTCGTTTGAATTTATTTCGTATTGTTTAAAATGAATTATGACAACTAAATTAGCTATAAAGAATAATTATGAGCTTTATCATTTGACAAAATGGAATGTTCCGTATGAAATGATGAATTAGAGTGGGCACTTTTAAACCAGACAAATAGGAAATATAATGAAAAAAAAATAGAAGACATTGAAGGAAGCATGATTAGATGCGCGGACAGTTAGAGATCGTGCGCGACGGTGAGAGTGCAGATTTACAGGTCAAGGAGACCGACTCAGTCATTTGAAGCGTATTTCGAACAATCCGTCTGCTGTCATGGCCGAACAAGGTAATGATACACTTTGCCGTCATTTTTAGTACTTTTCATCAAAAGAAATAATTCAAGCTTGATTTTAGAATGCTCAAAAATATCGAAATTAATTAATTTTATTATTCGTATGCCGCTGGCGGCTGCCGGAATTCATTATTTCTCGAACACGATATTCACCATCAAAACTATTCCAATATTCATCGAGGTTTGAGTTTATTGGGAATATGTCGAAAGAAAAATGGGAAAACATTACAGCTTTTGAATAAATACTCAAAAATTCACGAACCCGGCCGGATAGTCGTGGAATTTGCGAAATTGCGCAAAATGAGCCGATTTTGGCCGCCGCATGAGGGCTATGGATACGGAGAATTTTCAGTGTTATTCGCAATTTCCTTACTTTTTTATTTGAGGTGAGATAATTGGAAAAAATTGAAAAAAAAAACGGAAGAACGCGCAATAATTTTGGAAAACGTGCAAGTCCGCAATGCACATTTGACATACCGTAGCACTGTATACAGTACCCAATAAATAAAATATTTATTTCCAGCTTCATCGACTTATCGCCGGTTATCCAGTCAATCTTCGGTTGCATTCCATCATCAAAATGTGGAAAATTCTTGAAGCACACGATCACTCCATTCTACGCCGGATTAATTCCCTCCCTATTTCTTTTCCCAATGCTAAGGTTCTCCGAGATGCACGTCTTCGTGATTGCGCTCAACACATTCCATATAATTGTCTGTACATACATTGTCTATTATACATGGAATATCGGGTTCCCAAAGCGGACCAACGAAATCAAAGAGAAAAGCGAATAAATGTTGTTGCGTCTCCTAGCAATTTGCAATCAAGACCCCGCGGGTGCGGCTGCTCCAGCTCCACCCCTCAAGCTTCAACCCTAATTGTCCATTGTTCTCTTATTGCTCTTCACCATGGATACCTTAATATTTAATAATCAGCTTATGCGTGTTCACTGGTGCCGACTATTTGCATATAAATATATATACACATACCATATTGTCACCAGCGCAAGCAAGCAAGCCTCGCCGATTCTCCTGGGATTCTCCTTTATATTATGGCTTCTGTTGTGCCCCATCTAGAGGTCATTATGGCGCATTAGTAGGCACATAGTATAGTAGTATAACGTCGTAGTAGTACAATGTCGTTTATGCGTCTCTTTTTCGGCTTCTTGACACATTGTATTCAGATTTTGACGGGTTTTTATGGTAGCCAACAACTCAACTCTTTTTTTCCAGCAAAATCAGCTACATTTTTTTTTACATTTATTTTTTTTCAGCGGCCCGCAAACTTGTCCGCAGATGAATTTTATGAAATTTGTATTCCATTCCGATTTTCTTAGTAACTTTTTAATGCCGGGTGACAACGGAGAAATTGGCAAAATGCTAAAAGCTGTGGTCTTGACGCAAAATTGAAAGTGTAGATTTACGAACCTTATAAAAATTAACCCTTTTTTGGCATTTTAGATTATTATTATATTATATTTTAGTTGTAATGCGCCTTTAAATTGAACTAGGAGAGCCTAGAATTAGGAATTTTTTGCTGAAAAAAATGAATAATCAAACCAATAATTTTTGTTTGCTCGTCCTATAAAAAATATTGTTGAGTTAGCAATTTTTAGGAATGGAAAGTTGCGATGAACTCGAAGATGAGCAATTCGATAGCGACGAGGAGCTGCTCGGCGAGAAATGGTGAGTAATTATTTCCGACCCGAAAATTGAGGGCAGTTAAATTTTTTTTTGCTTGAATTATAGCTATACTAGACGAAAGAATCCATTAGAATCTCAATATTGCTGAGAAAAACTTTAATTGAAAAACAAACATTGTGGGCCTTCTGCGAGCGCGTAAGTCAATCGGCAAACATTCGAAAATTCGCATTGGCATCTGGTTGAATTGATAACAATGACTCAAATGTTGACTATCAAATACTCCCAATTTTTTTTGTCGCATTTCCTCCAACACTCATTCTGCCTAATTTGCATTTTGGCAATCTCGTAAATTGTCCGACGCGGGGTTCTTGATTTTTTATAAGATTATGTGTCAGTGGATTGCGGGGGGGGGGGTCGCCAATAAAGTAAACACTTGACTTCTAATGACAGCCCTCCCAACCGATTACTTAATTAGGAATTGGCTAGCTCAAGAATGCCATTTGCATTATTACCTATTATGGCATAATTCGGATATGCGGACCTTTATTATAGTGTTGTTCAGATTTCGCAAAAAAAATGCCTTAAAAATCGCTATGCGGATGGACGAGAAAATTTTCAAAAATCTCGGCCACGGCCAGGTTTTTTGAAGCCTGCGCTGCCGCACTTTTTATTGCAAGAATCCTACACATTTTGGCCCTTAAACGGTGAATTCCAAGTTCTTCAATTATGGTTGCTATTTTTGCTATTGTGATTAAAGGCGCACATAATAAAATTTAATAGGGATTTTAAAAAATTTTTTTAACCGTTGATTTTTGAAATTTGCATACTAGCATTGCAATTCTGAATTTTTGATTGGCTGGTTTTTTAATTTGCACAAATTCCCACTAACTAAATTCACATTTTTGAATTGCCGCCACGAAAATACATATAAAAATACGATGGTCCACAGTTGCCCCAACATGCTCACACTTTTTCATTTCGCGCCATTGTCAAACCACCAACTTTTTTTCCTAAATGCACCGTCCAAATTTTGATTGAAAACGCGATTCCACTGGAGAGGAATGTCCGCAATTGCGTACACACCATAAACGACGCGCAACAAAATTGAAACGCACTCTCGCGTCGACCACAATTGTTGTTGTTATTCCAATTTCGGCAGATTGCTGATTGTTTTCGCAAATTGCATAAATGATTGATAGAAGGTGTGCGAGCGCGATCATCTCATCTGACCTCGCCTAGTTATCTCGGGTCGTCATCGGCGAACAACTCAATTAACTATATTGTTTGGGGGGCAGCGACGGACCCGATCCGTAAAAAGGCATGGCCGATGGATTCGTTCTCGCCTATCAATCGAGACATCATTCACACAAAAAGTTTCTTATCAAAAAGTTTGGTCATTCACCTTCTATTTGTCTTCAACGCCCCCATCGACTTGTTCGATTGTGTTCATTTCCGAGTGCTTCCCATTATTTAATTACCACTATTATAATTCGTGTTGTTGCTATTATTATTATTATTAGGTGGCGTCGCTAATTATGCGTCGTTTTCGATTCGCATTTCGATTTTAGGGCGTTTCCCAGCCGTGCGCGCCCCGCGATTTGTTGCTCATCTCTCAAATTTTTTGACCTTGATTCGACAAATTCGAAATGGTTCGCATTTTTGCCTACGAATTTGACGATTGTTTGTTCAAAAAGCATATTGCATTTGATTGTTCATTTCAAATATATATAATTCGCTTCAAAAACATTCCTAAAAAAAATATTAATTCAATTTCACCAAATTAAAATTGCCCTTCTTTTTTCGACATCCGCCAAACAGGTTTTCAAAAACTTCCGCTCTCCTAAATTTTAAAATGTTTAAAATAAAATATGAAGTCCATTTCACCAAACCTTTTCTCTCAAATACGAGATTTTCACACAATGTCGTTCATAATAATGAAATTACATATTCACAACATTTTTGGGTTGTCGAATGCATTTTACAGCCTATTGTTGCATTATATCCCAACTGCATAACGATCTAAAATTATTATTTTTATATTTTATGCAAAAAATTGCGAAAACCGCGTAAAACTGGAAGAAAAAATGAAAATTTTTAATAGGGCAATAAAAAATTTCGAAACAATCTTGTCTGTAATTTCACGTCGCGGTGTTTACGTAATTGTGTGTACAGTACCGCAAAAATAATTTTTCGCGATTCAAAACGAATTTCTCGTCCGCATAATTCGTTTAAATGGCGTATTCCGGTTTGTGAAAACTGTTCAAATTTGTCATACGGCCCCACCAAAAAAAAAATAGCTCACGTCGGCGCCCGAATGAATGATTGACTGCGGGCCGTTCCATCGGGGCCGCCCCATATGCTCGCCTTCCCCCCCCCCATTCTTTTCGCTTTCGATTTATGAATAAATCATCGGTGAACTGGGCAATCTGTGCGCGAAATAGTGCGCGACGGTTGAAGAGACGCAGAGACAAACGAACGGATGTCGAATGGCAGCGGTGCTGAAACAATGGCCGTTTCGCGCGTACTCCTCGTCTTCCCCTTCCCTTCCCTTCCCCTCCCCCCTAGCCTCGATTTGACCCCCGGACCTCGACGAACTTGTGTTGCGCATTTTGACGAGTTCACATCATCCCGCGCAAAAATGTCAGAAGCTTCATTCGCCTCCCCCCGAAAATCTTCTAATTCATCAAAATTTGCGCTTCCATTCGAGTGCCTCGTCTCCAACCCTTCAAACATTTTGATGTGTTCGTCCTCTTCAAAACTGTCCATTCAAAACGCAACCCTCAACGCCCATCATTTTGTGGTCCTTTGGCATTTCTCGTTTTGGTCCTTTCACGAAACACTCACATTCTTTATTTCGAAGAACAGCTGCGGACATGTTACGAGGCCAATTTGAAAAAAAAAATACCCTTAAAATTGTCCGCAGCAATGAAACCATTAAAAAGAATCTTTTCAACCCGCTCTCAAAAAATTGAGTCAAAAAAAAATCAAAAATTGAGTTCACTCCATTTCAAAGCTTTTTTTAATAAAACACATCTGCGGACAATTTTGGTGAAATTTCCTGAAAAGTGTCCGCAGCTGAAATATTGTAAATCTTTCATATTATCGAAGACAGACCGTCTTTCTATCGAAAAAAATTGTCCGCAGCAGACAATTGATAAATCACTACGTGCGTTTACTAAAAAGAAAAAAAAGAGTAGGTGTATACATTTATAGTATATATGTATATATTTTTTTGGGCGCTTTCGATTGTTGTTTGCCGAGAAATTCTGACAGACTCACCATGCCGGCTTCTCATCGCTATCTGCAACCCAAACACTATTCATCGGTCGTAAAATGAATTGGAATTCGATAAAAATTCGCGTCGCTCTCGTTGGCTGCGCGCCACACCATCATCGCGCGCAAAAATCTCAACAAAACGTTTCATAATTCTCTGGGCACCCAGCTGGTCGTGCTCCAATGAGCATCGAGCTCGAGCTCGCGCCAGCTGAGCCATCCGAATCTGAATGAGTGTTCTTTTTTTTTGGGGGGGACTCGAATCCAAAAATTCGGGTTCCCACGGTGTTTGCACACATTTCACACGTGCCACAGTAATCCGCAAATCGCCAATTTCGAAACCCCGCGAGTTGTCCGCAGATGGATAATCATATAGGGGGCGGGCGTCTCTCGTCGCTTTTTCTTCAAAATTTTAGTGATTCGATTTTTTTTGCAGCATCTCGATTCTCGCCTCACTTCTACCGCCGTCCGAGCAGATACCGACGGCGCACAAGCTGCTGACGCTCGCCGAGCATCACGACGACGATTCGGCCGAGCGACGCATCAGCGACTACTTCAAATCGGCCGCCGACATGTTCGCTCAGGTAGGTCAAAACCAGTTCGTCGATGTTCGCCCAAATCGAAACGCCCATATCATTTGAATACACGAAACCCACCAATTCAATCGCGTTGACATTTTTTTTCACTATTGATTTGATTCGCAAATTTATTGCCAATATGCGCGCGCGCGCCTTATATGTCTGTTTGTTTGCCCGCCGGTTTCGTTTATTTTTATTCTCTTCCAAATATGGTGATACCAAAAGATTCTTTTTGAGAAGAGCGTGCCGAATTTACAAGAATTTTTCATGAAAAAATATTTTTCTAATTTAACTCCACAAAAAAAATTCGCCGACCTTTATCAATTCCTTGCTGCGGACATTTTCGGCAGCTGGCTTTGCATTATAAATTCGCGCTCAATATGATAAATGAAGTTTTGGCACACACCCATTAGCGAATGTCATCGCGGGACCCACCCAACATGATTATGGTCCCTCTCGCATGGTGCCTATAATTATAAACCCGGCGCCGCTTTGTCGATTTACCGCCAACTATGTTTTTTGATTCGATTTTGCCAATTCGATTTGAATATTCAAATTCGCGCGCTTTTTTGGTCCCAAAGAAGGAAAAAAAGTGGAAATTTTGAAAAAAAGAAAAAAGCCGTCGTATAGAAGAGGGTCCACTCAAAACTATGCATCGCATAATTGTTGCCAAAAACGCTTCCCGACGTTTTCTTGGATACATGGGCCTCGCGCATTTTTCATCAATTTTTAAGTGGTCCCGTCCGCTCGCTTTTTGTTTTGTTGAAATATACGCGCGATTTTTATTGTCGAAACAATTCGAATAAACGCGCGACGAGGATGGGGGCAAAAAAAGTCGCGAAAACCGGCGTCATTCATTTCTTCTCGTGTTTTTTTTTCTTTCAATAACCCACCTATTCAAAACCTTCGTTGACGCGTGTCATCTTCACAACCAATTGTTGGGCGTCGAATTTATGCCAATAGTGGCTCCAATTTACACCAACCCCCGTCGCCCTCTATCGCATTTTTCATTTCCCTCATATTCGGTTCCTGCTGCGGACAATTCGCTGGTTTGAGGGGCCCCTCAACTGCGGACAGTTCACAGGACTTGGCCGAAAAAAATCGTCCACTCTCACTTCTCACACATTTTCATCATATTTATTTTGTGCTGCGGACAATTCGCGGGTTGCCGTGTACACAAGATTCACCAGCGTTGTCGAACGCATTTCATGCGCGTTCAGCTGCGGACACATTGCGGGTTTACAAAACTTGCGATTTTTTATTTGGTGGAAAACGAAAACCACATTACGCAACCCGCTGGAATGTCGGCAGATGAAAACGATTAATCAGCTGTGGTGCAACAACACGCGATACGCCAATATGATTTCCGTGGCGGCGGCGTAAACGCGATTCTCTTCTTTTTTTTCTTCTTCCGCCGCCATCTCTCCGAAGCGATGATGACAGTTGCTGCTGGCTGTCGGAGCATCCGACTCACTCTCTCTCTCCGCCATATCGCATAGTATTTTGTCGGAATGGCATAGTTCATAGTTTATGTTGTTAAATTTGCGTCGTCGTCGACGATGACTCGCTTCTCACTCCGGGCCTATGCGATGCTCCAATCAGATTGCGACGAGTGACAACGCGATGCGAAGAGACGCAGCCAAACGCCAGACGGTTGATACGAGCAGCGCCACTCTCTTTTTGGTTTTATGCTGCGGACAATTTCCGGGGTGTTCGATCGCAAGCCCCAGCAGCTCGAAAACGTTTTAAACCAACTTTTTAATTGGAATCCATATTAATCGCATTTGGGGCCAGTTTTTTGTTGGAGCTTGTCACCACCCGACCCCATTTGCCCCCATTTACACCAATTCGTCGTGTCGGCGCGAGTTGACAGTCCTTCTTCTTCTTTTTTCATTTATTGCCCTTTTTGTCGACGTGAGACATCGTCGGCACTGTTTTGCTCGCCCCATTCGCTCTTTTTTTCATTGCTTTCAATTTTTGTCATCTGCGGACATTTTTTGTTTGTTTGACGGAAAATAGTTTTCGTTTTGGCGGGAAATTCAAATTTGCAAAAAATCGTTTTTGAAAATAAATGACTTTTTTCGACGAAATCTGACATGGTATTGTTTTAAGCGTTAAAAAAAATGTTTGAATCTTTAAAGGCGCATTGAATAGAAGAACCATTTTTGGAGGAATTTCCGGCCAAAGCGAACACCTCAAATTCCAAAAGAAAAATTTTTTTTTGCGAGTTTCAACCAACCCGAAACAATTTTTCATATTTGGCCAAGTCGGGGGAAGTTTTTTTCACACACCCGAATTATTGAAATGTGGTGGATGTGTGCACCCTGCACCAACCACCCCCATCCGTCATTCCTCACCTCTCCTCAATCAGTGCGCTATTTCGCCGCCGAAACATTTTTGTCGTGTCTTCGCGCCGAATTCCGCCAAACATTTTTCAATTCTTTCATTTTTTTTCTTTTTTTGGTTTCCCTGCTTTTTTTGTCCGATTTTCAATTCGAAATTAATTCGATTTCGACGAAATCCCCGTCAAATTGATTTGTTCCATTGTTCTTCTCATTTCAATTTCAATTTCGCCTAATTGCCATGAGATTTTCATTTCCGCCGCATTCAAATCGACATTTTTCAACATTTTTGCTTGTTAAAAATTGAATTGATGATTTTTTTCAACGCTTTGACGAAAAAAAATTCATTTTATTCAATTTTTGATTAGAAATTTTCAATTTTTTCAAAATTCGATTTAATTGATTATTTATTTGTTAAAAAATTGAGAAAAATTCAATGCAATAAAAAAAATAATATTTTCTGGAAAGAAATTTCCCAATTTTTTCTTTTTCATTTAATGTTTTTAAAAATTGAATTAAATTTGCATTTTTTACATGGGAAAACTCAATTTCATGAAAAATTGCACTTTAAAAATGTGGTACGCAATTGCGCGTCAATTCTAGTGTGTTACGGATGAGCACTCGAAATTCAAAAAAAAAACAAATGCAAATTGTGATATTTGAGCACTTCCGCCCAAAAATCCCCCGAATGAAAAAAAAATCAAAGGCACACACGAAATTTTGTGTAAAGTTGCGTTAGCCGGCCGCCGGCGTGAAGTACTATTGTTCTCGCGCGAGCTCATGCTTCATTTCAGGCACAAAAAATTGTCTTTGGCGACATGCCAAACCATGAAATTTGATCCGACTCGCACAATTATTAGGTATACAAATAAACGACATTTTTTTTGGTTCGTCTTTCCTCCTAGGAAGAAGCTAGGATTGGGTTACGAAGGAAAACAAAAAATCATCTCCGCCAACGACCTTCGCCTAACCCAATTATACTACATATATCATACTTGTGTTTCGAACAGCTCGAAACCATTAATAGGCCAGATGACATGCTAATCGTTTAACCTGCGCATCCTCATCAGTCTGCCATTCCTTCTTTCCTGTCTGTCGTTTTTTTTTTTGAGCACTACGTGCTCATTATGTGATGCTCATATGCCATTTATGAACGCTTTTTGACATGCAATCGGTGAAATCCGAGTGTGCGCTTACATATATGCCTCGCATCCCCACAGGCATAAGTGACCCCTGTGGTGGACTGGTTGATTGTTGCTCCGTTGCGCGAATGGTCCAGGGATCGATTCCTCTTAGATAGACCAGTCGCGTTTTGCACAACAAGGTTTCTTTGCAAATTTTTTTCTGACCCCAATTTAAAATGCAAAAAGAGAGAAATCGTGAGGGCAATTCATAATTGATCAGCAAAACTTGCACTTTAGCACGGCAATGTCAACTGAGAGCCTCATAATTCGTAACCGAACGAGGAGCAAAAGAACAACTGAGGGAATCGTTAAAAAAAAATGCACACAACGTTTTTCATTTTACACAAAACACTTTGCCCCCGTCGAAAATGCTTCATCAATAAATTTTACACATTTTTCGCGTTCCGAAGACGAAGTCGAAGAACGAAAAAAATCGTGTGTTGCAAATTCTGAGTCATATCCGAGTTGACGAGAGGCGATGGCTTTCTCAACGCATTCATTTTGCCTCCTCAATTATTTCGGCTGACGAACACAAGAGAGAAAAAAAAGCGGGGTTTTCTTTTTTCGTTGTGTTTTTAGTTGTCGGCGATTGTTTGCTTTTGTAATGTATCACACACCCACGAGGCGGCGGCGTCGCCGCGCGCGCGCCCACAGTCGCCCTCTATACCTCTTGTTGTCTTTTTCTATTTTTGCTATATTTCCAATAATAGGTCTTGAAGCGAACATTTAGCTCTTAGATTTCCGCCATTTGAAATTTCATCAATTTCTGAGAATTCTCGTTTCAACAATAGCCATATTTCACAAAATCAATCTGCGGACATCGCTCGAGGCCGCCAATTGCTATCTATAACATTGTGGGTGGTAATCTGCGGACAAAAATGCGCGAATAGAATTTCTAGCTTGTTTCTGGCGATGAAACAAACCCCACAACCACCCATATTGATTATGCAAACTGATGAGACCTGCAGCCTCCAGCGAATCGCACGCTATTTTCGTTTAAGCGAGCGCGGGGGGAGGGGGTTGCGATTCATATGATTAATGTCATTTCAATGATGATATTATCACGAACACGAAATCGTACATGTCAGCCAGCCAACTCGGCGAAATTTTAGTCGATTTCGTTCAATTTCTTTTCATTTTTTTGGTTGCAACGTGTGGTGTGCAAAATGCCGCCGCGGTGTTTGCGGACGTGACAACTTGGTCTCGAGTAATCGCATTTTTTTTTGCGCTAGCGTCACCCCGACGAATTCCGGTTCGCGTCCGAACATCATATGGCTCTTACGGCGACGAGCAACCATCGGCCCCGACCCGACAAACAATATAACTACAGGAGCTCTGACGATTCTGTGCGCCTCCAAAACCACACACACACACACACATGTTTTACACATATATGCTATATGTAAATACATACACTGCGCTAACTGCCTATGATTATTATTATTATTATGGTTTGGATTCGATTGGAATAATTTAGGCGTCGATTAAAATGCAAGTCCGCAATAGTTCGTCATTTTGTGTGTTTTTTTTGAATTGCAGTTTAATTGACGCCTTTTCAACAAGATTGCTAAGCTTTTCCATTTCTGTCCATTTTATTATGATATTCGTTGTGAGATTTCAATATTCTCTTATTGTCGTTTCGGGACCAGGTGCGCCTTTAAAAAGAACCCCTCTATATCTTTTTTTGGGGCTTCAAAATTCCATCTGCCACCACCCCCAGATGTTCGATACTTTTTTTTAAAATTTGAATTCAATTCCGAGAATCGTCTTCAATTGATTTCAGCAGGACGCCGGCCACTCATCGGGCGACGACTTCATGGACACCTACGATTTTCCGGATCCGGTGTTTCCGGTGCACGTGCGCGAGCGTCCGCAGTTGCCGCCGAAGCCGCCGATCGACACGCTGCGCTTCAGCATGAACAACATCAAAGGTGCGTTGCAATTTTTTGCTTTTTTTTTCTGGACGCGAATTTCTCGAATCGCCGTTTTCCGACGAAAACGAAGTAGAATTTGGTTCATTTTTTTTCCATTTTCTTTTCGCGTCGAAACCCCCAATTTTTTTTCTTCACTCGTTTTGAGATCGATGCGCCTTTAAACAAATTGAATTGAATCGATTTTGTGAAGAATTGGAGCATCGTTTTTTCGATTGAAACGAATTTGCCCCCAAAAAAAATCAATTGTGTGCATTTTTGCGTACACTTTTCATCTTCTATTTTTCATTTCATTCTACTTATTCGTTTGAGGGCCGCCCGTTTGGTTACTGTACCCAAACGGGAGCATTTCCGACGGGGCGTCGTGCGCCTTTGAATCGCGATACTGTAATTTTGTCGTTGCCTAAAATTCAACAAAAATTCGACAACCCCGCAGGCTGTTCGTGTTCGATTTTGACGACTCTAAAATATTTCTGAAAATCTCGATTTACGGGAACGAATCAATTCTAAACTGAAAATGCAATATTTCAGCCGCGTTTTTTCCCCATTGCAAAAATCTGAAACCATTTTTTTCCAGCACTATTCAATTAATGAATAGTTGAGAAATTGATTTCCATCTGCGGACATCTCACAAGAATCCAGAATCGATTGAAATTTCATAATCAACCAGTTCGGCGGCGTCGGCGAACACGAAAAGAACGAAACGCGTCGGAGACCCCCCCCCCCACCTCATTAAAGGGGGTGTAGTTGTACGCAATTAAAACTACCTACAGTAATCCGATGGGATGTACATGCCTCGAATTTCGGCCATATATGTTGCCATATGCAAATGCGTTGAGCGACGAAAATGTCCGCAGCAGCAATAGCAGAAATAGTCGTACGCGATCATCTGAAATCAATCGCGTAGCGCGGTGATTTATTGCAAATTTTTGAGGGGCCCGTCCGTCCCATCAATTTAGTCGTCGTCCACACGATAATCTTCCCAATTCCATCTTTTTTTTTTTTCGTTTCGTTCTTTCATTTTCGTTCCTTCGAATCGCCGATTTCTTTCTTTCTTTCTTTTTTTTCCAGCTTCTTCTCAACGCTTCAGTTTGAAGCTTCCGCCTTTTTACTACGGCGGCCCTTAGTGGCTCAAATGACTTTCATGATTTATTGGCTTCGGCGAAAAAAAAGAAGTTTGCCAACCGATTGTAGTCAAGAGGGTTTCGTTTTAAAGGCGCACATGATCGCCAAGAAGACCCAAAATTAGGCAACCATGTTGTTCTAGTCGAGACCCATTCCGACTCTTCCGTGCTCCTCCCTTTAAACGTCGGCCTCATATTACATCATCACAAAAGGAATGTGCGAATGTTTGGCCTAATACGATACCGGCATGTATGTCAAAAACAAAAGGCCCTCCCGATTTTTATTGACTCGTCCCCCCCACCCTCCACACCATTGGCCTCACACCATCATCGCCAGCCACCATATTTGCACAATTTGCACCCTCAACTTGGGTATATATGTGTGTGTGTGTGTATGTTGTTGGTATTATAGTGTGCCGGCCCTCAGCGGAGAAGGTCATATGACTCATTCTGTCAGGAGGTTCCTTGCTTTGATTTGTTTTTTTTGTGTATTCTTCGCCCGTTGAGCTTCTCACCCAGTCTTGTTTGGATTTTTATTATTTTATGTCAACAATCGCGTAGCTCTTGTTCGACAGATTACAATTTTTTATCAATATTGATAGTGACTGGCCAATTCTTATCGATATTCGACCATTTTCGATTCGTCTTATAACACTAAACATAGTGTTGTGCTTCTTGAGATGCCCACTTACTTATACGCCATATCGCCCCAAGGGCTGGAAGTGGCTTGTTAGCGCAGCTGGGTGTATGCAGCCTGGTGCGCGATGGTGTCAATGTTCAGTTCCTCATCACACTAATGCCGGTTTTGTCGAATTATTATCCATCATTTTGTTTCAACACCATGACTCAATTCCAAAATTTGGCGAACACTTTTGTTCATTTTTTTGTCCTGTTCAATCGCGCAGTTGTTGCATCGCCAGACATCTCATAAATCGTATCAAATTTCGCTTGACCCCGCCTCTCAACGCCTGTCAAATCCGAGTCATGTTTGTTTTGCATCGCAAGAACACCATTATGAATTTCGGGGGGGGGGGCATTATTTGGCTTCATCTTAATTCGAAATTAATCGGCGGTGAGAAAATCCGAAGACGTCAGGCAGATACAATTGAATATCTCTCCGAAACAATACGTCTCACGATCACCATCGTCGGCGTCCCTTTTGCATTTTGATAAGCATCTGGTGGTGCACAATTAGGTTTACACTGGGTGTACATGGTGAACACACACTATTGGCGAAATGCCACCACACCAGACCCCGCCCTTCTTCATCGCAAGACTAACCCAATCGCCCATTCTCGTCCTCCTCCTCCTTCTCGTCATTCTGCTGCTGCTGCTACTGCTGCTGGTTTTATGCTCTTACTAACACCTGGCTATTATTACAATTATTATTATTTTTGCGCTAATGTGTCGTCATTCACCTGCCATTTCTTTGCTTTATTGTTTTTTTCCTCATTCCTTCCTTCATTCGAACTATACAACAATTGTTCCGCCTCATTTCGATTCGGTACCAATTTTGTACGATTCAGTTTTGCGTCGAATAATCAGCACATCGATGATATTTTCGTCGAAAACGCCGACAAGCAATCGAGAAATTCGCGAGTTTGAGTCGTACATGCGAAAAAAGCGTAAGAAAATTGGGACAAAATTCCAAAAATTTTGCGGGGAAAAAAAACGCCTCCCCAACGAGTGCCTCATTTTCAGAATCGGCTGATTGGCAACTCGACGAGCTACTCGAGGAGCTTGAGGCTCTTGAGACGGAGCTCAACGCGCCCAACAAGGGCGAGCATTTGCTGTTGGGAGCGGCGGCGGCGGCGGCGAATGGACGCGAGCACATCAAAGCGCCACCGACGACGACGACGACGACTGGCAATCTGACGCCGTTCAATTCGGCCCCCTCAAACGCTGTTAATCATCAGCAAGCCAACAATTTTCATCAGGTATGTTGAGAAAAAAAAATTATTGTGCTCATTGGCGTCACGGTGTTTGCACACACCAGATTTTTTTTTCCAACATGTCGGAAAATCGAATAAAATATTTTGAGATTCTTTGAGAAATTGACGTATCTCTATAATATTTTAGAATTCTCTCAATCAACTTTCGAAATTATTAGAAAATTTTAGAATTTATGAGATAATTTAGAATTTGCTCAATAAATTTTAGAAAATTTTATAAGATTAAAAAAAATATATTTTTAAGTTTAGCGATTCTCAATAAATTTTCGAATTTCTTAAAATATTTTAGAGTTTATTATTGAATATTTGATTCTCAAAATATTTTATTTGATTTATTTTGCGAATTAAAAACTCTCGGGCGTTCCAAATTGTTTACTGGAGCGCACTTCCTCTCCCCTTATATGGCGGCTGAGCCTCGTGCGGAGTAATCCGCTATAAACTCAACTCAGCAGGCAAAAACAATTATGAAATTGGAGCCGGAGCGCATTGAGGGCGAGGCGAGCACAAAATTGAAAAAGGAAGCAGGCGTTTTCGCACAACATATGGTATAAGTGATGATCAATATGTTTTTGTGTTTGCTGAGCTCTCAGCGGATCAATTTCGAGCAGACGGTTTGAAGTGCTCGAACAACGATATACATTGTATCAGCTGTTTGAGTGCGCCCCCCCCCCCGAGCCAATCCATCATGATTTATGCACTTTTTCTCGTCTAGTTTTTCATTTCTGCAGGTCCTTCAAGCGTCGTCGTGCTCATCGCCCGATGGCGACAGCGCGTTCGGCGACAGCTCGTCGACCGAATCGCATCGATGCCGCAATTCGGCGTTCTCGTCGAACGAATCGTGCCGAGACTCGCTGAACACACCGAGCCCAACACAGGTATGATCGGTTTATTACACACACACAACAACGTGCAAAATGATTTATCGAGCATTTTACACACTCGATTATTAAGGGGCTCCGGCTCGCCGAATGATTTAGTGCGCAATCGCGCGTGCGCTAATATGTTGAGGGCGGTTTTAAGAAACCCGACAATTATTATATTATATTCAATCTCCCACCGAAATTGGTCTCATGAGACAGTCAAATCAGATTAATATATGATGATGATGATGAGAGGGAGGTTAAAGCTTCACCTAATTATTCCAAGAAACTTGTTTTTAAACAGGTACGCAAATTGTCGTACGGATTGCGGACTTTTTTTTTGTTCGTGGAACGCATTTCTCGCGATTCATTTTTCTTTTGGTTTTGAGTGTTTCTTTCGGGTATTTTTGCTCAAATTCGTGAATTCCTCAATTTTTTTTCGAGTTCCCGCGTCGAGACCATTTCCATCGTTGCGCTTCGAATCCAACAAATCGCGCGCATTTCGAACCTAACGGAACGCCGCCAAAAATTTTAATTGGCTTTTCTCACCAAAAATGGTGTGAATTCAAATCGGGTGAGTGTCGTGTCGCGCCACCTCAACAATTTTTGGAGACAGATGTCGGATAGGGTTGTGTGGGGACCGTCCGTAGTCAGCCCTCCTATTGCGCAAGCCCCATCTATTATTGTTGAGCCATCTTGTGTGCGTCGCCTCACCTTGACACGTCATCAATTTCCCAAATGATTCACAAACCATTTTTTTTTGCAGGTCTCGCCGCGCAATGGCGGTGAACTATCTGCCGACGAGGCGAAAGCGCTCAAAATAAAACAAGCGCTTGAGAAAATGAAAGAAGCCAAGGTGACGAAGATATTTGTCAAGTTTTTCGTTGAAGACGGCCAACCGCTTCAAATTCTCATCGATGAACGATGGACGGTGGCAGACGTAAGAATTGAGAGTTGAGAAGTTGGAAAATTGTCCTTCTTGAATATTCAGACAATGAAGCATCTCGCTGAGAAGAACCATATAAGTCTAATGGAGGATCATTGCATTGTCGAAGAGTTTCCGGAGTTGTACATTCGCAGAATCTATGAGGATCACGAGAAAATTGTGGAGAACATTCAGCTATGGGTGCAAGACTCGCAAAACAAATTGTATTTCATGCGAAGGCCCGACAAATTCGCGTTTTTAGGTATTCAATTGAAACAATTCAATAAATTTTTTCAAATCATACGATCCCAATTTGCAGACCGTCCGGAAATTTTCCTCGTCACCGAGAAAACGTCAGACCATATGGAGGTGCCAAGCGGCGACAATTGGACGCGCGAGGTCAAACGTCAATTTGTCTGCGATTATTTCAATCGTGATCCGGTGGTTCCGCCGGAAATGGAAGGCTTCTTGTATTTGAAGTCCGACGCGCGCAAGAGCTGGAAGAAGCACTATTTCGTGTTGAGGCCTAGCGGTTTGTATTATTCGCCAAAGGGCAAGAAGGCGACGAAGGATTTGGCGTGTTTGATGAGTTTGCACTCGAATCAAGTTTATACTGGAATCAATTGGGAGAAGAAGTACAAATCGCCGACGCCGTATTGCATTGCAATCAAGGTGACCATTCATTTTTCATCGTAGGCCTCTCTAGTAGTTATGACGTCATCATAATTAACTAAATTACGCAACACTCGTAAAAATTGATTGACGATTGAATTAAGGGATCCACTTTGCAGCTCACCGCATTGCAAATCAAACGATCGCAATATATCAAGTACATTTGCGCTGACGACGAGATCACGTTCAAACGTTGGCTGACGGCGTTGCGAATCGCGAAGAACGGCTCGGAGATTTTCAATAATTTCGAGAACGCGTGCCAAATTCGCCGCGAGACGCTCGGCAGCGGACCGTCGATGTCGGCGGCATCGTCGTCGACGGCCATCTCCGATCAGAATCATCTGCATCATCGCACGCCGTCGGTGGCCTCGTCGATTCCGTTCGGCAACCATTTGAATCAGACGCGGCCGTTGTCGGTGAACACGCGGAATCATTCGCCGGCGTTCTCGAGTCAGTTGAATCGGCATCGATTCGAAATTACAATTTTGCGTCAATTTTCAGTGTGCTCACAAATCGAGAAGCCTCCGATACCGTCGCCGGCGAGGAACTTCGAGAACACGCCACTCACCGAGTACGACGAGCAGCCGACAGGCACCATCAAAAGAGCGCCGCTTGATGTGATTCGACGAGCATCGAAGGTCTCGTCAACGTGCTCCTCGCCAACTATTCGTAAGCAGCGTTCGTCGGCGGACAATTGTCATCGATTCAAATTTCAGCGCAAGAGGAAGAGGATTCCGATGAGGAGTTCCCCGCGCCGCCGCCACAAATGGTGGCCCCACAGTCACCAATTCGAATGCCGCCACCAATTGCGCCAAAGCCGGCGACGCCATTGAGCGCGAAAAAGGCGCCGCCACCGCCGCCGAAGCGTTCCGACGCCACAAGACTTCAGACATCGTCGACAACATCGATCGCCGGCGTCGGACACATGAATGATCTTGAGGCGGCATTGGCGAGAAGGCGCGAAAAAATGGCGCAAGCTCAATAATGCATACCCCGAATATGGTATATTATAGTAATAGCGTATAATTATCATTAATATAATTATTATTATTATCACACTAAACATTACCGGTGGAAAAAAAGACAATTATGTTGAATTCTCTTCTCTTCTTCTACTCCTCCATGATCAACCACAAGTTCTCATTCCTTCAAAAATCCCTTCTTTCTTTTTTTTTGAATTAAAAAGAAAATCCAGAACATGACACAATTTTGGACCATTTCTCACCGATTCATTTTTTTTGTTGCAAACTCTCCCAATGAGCTCGTCATAATGTGTTTCTTTGTGTGTGCCACAAGATATAATTGATTGTTACTTTCTTCTTCTTCATTTTTTTTTGAATAAAATGTTAATATTATCGTTTATTATTCGAATTGTCGATGTTTGCGAGAATCGTCGAGATTAAATTTGTGAGCAAATTTGAACTATGCATAAACCGCATTCCCTTTTTAGGTAGGCGCATCCGGAGAGTTTTTCGTTGTCTTCTTTTGATGGCGGATCTGAAAATGATCGCTGATGCGAGTAAGCGCCTTTAAATATGGTCTTGGTGCGACAAAAATTTTTAAATTTTTAATTGTATCACATTTAACGGCGCATTCGTGTTTAGACTTAGGCTTAGAGGTCAATTATCATTCGTATCGTGGCAAGACCCTCAACCACCGTATTTCGATGTTCCGAATATTGTTTCCCTTACGTTTTCCATTTAGCGATGGATCTACGGTGATAATTGTAGGTTGAACGGTGATCGGTGCGATTTTGTTGGTCCCATTCTAGAAAAAAAAGAAAATAGCAGATTCGGCGTTTTGGTACGCAATGGAGCGATGCTTTCTTTTTTTCACAATTTTTTATATACATAGTCTGTTTCCCAAAAAAAAGCGCATGCCGTAATTATTCTATGGCGTCAGACGCGTTGCGGTTCGCGTGCGCTCTGACCCTACAAGGTTTCTGATAGCCGCTATGTGCTTCAATTTTCTCATTTTCTTCAGAAAATTAGATTTTTCAAAAATATTGAAAGTTTTCAACCAAAGTTTGGTTACCTTATATGGCGGCTCTGGCGGTCGAAAAACTTTTTCGCTTCCTGACCACCCATTTTGCTTCGACGTCCCTCCGCCAACTCCTATAAATAAAAAACAATTTCAATTTTATATTTACATTCGAATGGCAAAAACGAACGAGCACCTTGTGTAGATTTACGGTGAGTTTGATTCGCAGGTTATCCGTAGGAAAACTGTTTAAATCGAATTTCGAAAAAATGCGATGGTCCATAATTACTCAAGGTATTCGTTTTTTTTTTTGAGGTGGAAATTTTAATAAATAACTGAATTACCCGAATTTGAATCATTTGAGCAACACTGGCAGTTTTTCACTTTGTTTTGTCGGATGATACAGAATAAATCATCGTCGTCCTTCCAAAATTCGAATTCGTGATTTATTGAAAATCCATTCGAAAACAACCTGAACAAAACAATTTATGTGGTCAATGACGAGCGCGATTTTCGAAATTCACATTGTCAATTCTAAATAAATGACAGAAATTCAAAAAATTTATATATTGGCCGACAAGTGTCTCGGTGCAAAGAGACGTGTGCGTGTCTGCGTACTCTGCATTTAAGCGCACGCGCATTTAATATTTAGCTGGCGTTTAAATTTTTTTATTCCGAAATTGAATTTCCCGCCACTGATATGTCATTTTCATATTTTGCGTTTTATATATATTTTTTTAATGTTTGATTTCTAGAAAAAACTCAAAATTCTAATAATTCCAGGGAAAGCAATTTTAATTTAAAAAATCGTGTAAAGAACGAATTTTGAAAAATTGGCAAAATGCCAAAAATATTTAGCACGCGGTGTGCGCCTTTAACTCAATATTGCTTAAAAGTAATAACTTGCGAATAAGAAAATTTTGGCGCGCAATTCAAAAACAAATTTCGATGACAAAATGCCAAAATCTTTTCGATTTCTTTAATCACTTTTGTTCTAAGAAAACTATTTGACAATTTATTTAATCACTTGATAATTATTTTATTTTATATGTTAAGGTTTTATTATGACTTAAAGGAGCATTCGATATATTGATATGAGTCTTAAGAAAAATGAATGGTCGGAATCGAAGAGCCTACATAATTTATGAGATTCTTTTCAGAAGAAAGCTGAAGGCAATTTAAATATTTCATTTCAAAAACTCACCATTTAATAATAATCTCTTGTGATTTCTCGCGATCAAGCCCCTCGATTTCCCTAAAAGGCACAACAATCTGCAAGACGGCCTTCAACTCATCATCGCTCAATTGAAGAGTTTTGCGTCGAATGATCATCTAAAATGAATATTGAGAGCGCATTCAATAAAAAAAAGAAACGCATTTTATGCAACTGATGAATATTATTCAACGGCGGTGGAAATTAAAAAAAAACTGGTTTCATCGACACAAAAAAAGGTGATAGTCGGACAATAATACATGAAAAATATGCATAGAGGCACCGGCAAAAAAAAACAGAGAATGGAAAGGATGCGACGATGAAGAGGGGGGGGGGTTGAATTGAGAATGGACGAGAAGTGAATCAGTTTGGGATTAAATACCGGTTTGAAACAATTTGAAAAAAAAATATTCACATTGGCAACAATATGCGAATCATCCCGTATTTGATGGAATTAAAAAAATAATAAAAAAAATTGGCTATGTGAAACTGAATATCATAAAAACTATTATTAATATTGATGTGAAGATTCTGTGAGGCTTTGATGAGCACGGCTCGTCGAGCAGCGGATCCCCTAAAAAAATGAATTCCTCTCGTTTCTATCTTCGCCATACCGATATAATCGGGCACCATTATCGGCGGACCACATTTCTTGCAAATGTCTTCGCATTTCGGGCACGTGATGCTTCCCTCTCTCAGCCAGCCGTCGACAATCTCAAAAAATTAATATTCAGAGACTTCGACGCGAGCTCTTACTCGTTTCACATGCACTTTTTGTCCGGCGGCGAAGCATGGATACATTTCGGTGGAGTTGAATATCCCGATATGCAATGTGCCGTTTAGGCAGTTGTACTGAAAAAAAGTGAAATGAGCAATTTGGTCTGCGGACCAGAGTTGGACGGAATGCGGAATTCCGCGCAAAGTTTCGAAGCCTGCAAATGTGCGTCAAAACACCGAATTCGACGCGCAAAATTTCAAAATCTGCAAATGTGCGTCAAAACACCGAATTCGACGCGCAAAATTTCAAAATCCGCAAATGTGCGTCAAAACACCGAATTCGACGCGCAAAATTTCGAAATCTGCAAATCTGCGTCAAAACACCGAATTCGACGCGCAAAATTTCGAAATCTGCAAATGAGCGTCAAAACACCGAATTCGACGCGCAATGTTTCGAAATCCGCAAATGTGCGTCAAAACACCGAATTCGACGCGCAAAATTTCGAAATCTGCAAATCTGCGTCAAAACACCGAATTCGACGCGCATTTAGGCATTTGTCTTTTTTGAATTCCACCCAACTCTGCTGCGGACATGATCCAAAATCCAACCTCATAGCATCCGGCCATGTAATGCGTCAGCGCTCGAATTCGTCCGCATTTCCTCTCGGTCCACGGTCGCGTGAAATCGAAACATTTCGAGTTGACGCCGTAGACCTCGAGAATATCCTCGCCCTGCTTATTGTTGCCGTCGAGTTCGCAACGCGAATCGCGTCGGTCGCTCGCGTTGGCCATCTTCCATTCGAACTCTTGACTGTACGGACAAAAGTCGGCGAGCTCGACGGAGCCGCCGTAGAATTTCGCGCCGGCCGCCGAAACGCCGGGCAAACGCGCGAAATTGCGGAATTGCGTCGGCAGTTCGGTCTTGAACGGCACGAGATTGCACAACGCCAACGAATCGCGTTGCGATGTGCACCTGAAAAAAAAAGCGGCATCGACGTCGTCGAAATTCAGCCAGCCGCCGATTACCTCGTGACTGCCAATGATTTCTGACCGTCGTGTTTAATGTCGCTGCAGAACGGATAGGGATCTCGATTCCTAGAAACAAAAATTCTGAATGAATGCGGCTTCGCCCAAAATCAAAAAAATTTACTCCATTCTATGATTGTGAATCCACTCGCCGCAGCTTTTCATCGAGAAATCGCATCCCAAATTTTTGCCCCAATGAAGGTCCTCGGCTGTCCTGCAATCAAGCAATCATACCCAACCATTCAATCATCAATCCTACTCATAGTTCGGCTCGTACCATCCGCTGTCTTCGAGAAGCGCCAACGTCAATCGCGAATAAACCGGATTCTGGGTGTGAGTGCCCGTCATCGCCTCATTCTATCGCATTGGTCAATTGAGAACGAATCGAAATTTGAACGCACCTCAAACACGCGCTTCTCCCAGTGCGTCATGATGGTCCCATCGCCTCCCTGATTCTCAAGCTCAGCCCCTTCGAGCTTATCGCATCCAAAATGGCGTCGAGCTTCTTCGCGAACTCGCGGTGTCACCATCATATGAATTGGATGGATTATCTGAAAATCATTGATCTATTTGATTTGCTTTTCTTCGAACCCTTCCGGTTCCGGTCCACCAGTCTTCACGAAGGATTGTCGTTATCGTGTTCGAGTCCCAATCGTAATACCCTTTCTGCTTATTCAATGATGTTGGCTTTCCATAGCGATTTCTGAAACAACCATTTTCCAATATCTTACCATTCTTTATTTATTTTCAACCTCTTCGTCCTCGGCGTTCCATCTTTTTCTCTGAAGAATGCGTAGAGACCCACCGAGAATCCAAGAGCGTGCAATATTTCATGCTTCACTGTGCTTATTAGAATCTCCTGGTCGTGTTGATGTGTCGACAACGCATATGGGCATAGATTGACATGTCCCGCAATCGGCCTATCAAAGTCCGCTTCTTGCTGACAATGCGCAGCGTATGCTAGCGTTTCCGGCCCATCGCATCGCTTCGTTTCAATTGCTGTCACGTAGAGCACGAAATCGGCTTCATTGATGCCTTCGCCAACGTCGCCCGTTGATACGCAGTCGTCAGACGTTGTGCATGCAAGACAATCCTGAAAATGTAATGCAAAATTTGCCGCAAAAAGCAACTCCGTCGAGCCGGATTCGAACCAGCGACCTAAGGATGCCCAACTGCACTACAGTCCTCCGCTCTACCAACTGAGCTATCGACCTCGGTAAATCTGAGTGGGAGCAGTTCGGGCGCAGTAGCCCGAGTTAGAGCCGAAACGCTCCCGAGTTGGCCCCGTTGCCCCTGCACTGGTTTCAGTCGGCACCAACTTGGGTGATATCGCCCGAGTTGGGCCCGGTGCGCACCCGATTTACTCCCGCGATTTGCAGAAACCCGAACTGGTCCAAAATTACAACCGAACGGGAGCAGCACAATGTGTGCCGCAGCATTGCAAAATAGTGCGCCGCGGAATTTGCGCGTCGTTTTTTTTCAAAATCGTTTCTTATTTAAAACTTTTTTTTGCTTTTTGTCGATCATTTCTCGAGGTTTTTTTTTTAAATTTTTTTCCTAACGTTTTTTAAAATATGTAGATATTATTTCACCCGCATTTGAGTGGAACGTTTCTACGATTAAGATGTTTTGTTGCCTTTTTACTGAACCTAAATTTTTAGTCACAATATTTGGTAATTTTTATATTGTTTTTCTAATCAAATTTGGCTTCAAGCGAACTTATTTTGTTAAAAGTAATCATTATTCAATCGAATTCTTTTACAGAAATAGAGCTCGGTAAACTGGCGGCAGCTGGGAATTTCAGTATAATTTAAGCAATATGTAAAGCACATCAATTTGGACGAATTGAAGAATAGGACAAGGATTATATAACGATAATCTTCAACAACAGATGCTACCATTGATGCGTATTTTACCTTATTAGTTGCATTGGTCGAAGGAGCTTCTTTACCTATGACGTTATCTTTCGTCATCTTTTGAAGATGTGAGGAATTCATGATAAAAATTTGTTCACATGCTCGATTTTCAGGAGGATTTCAATTTTCACGTACCATTTCATGTGATTACTAGCACTTCGCGCGAGATGACTGCTCGACAATAACGCGAAGTCACAACGAAATTGGCAAAAGAGGGCGCGACGATTTCTACAAACGATATTTGAAGATGAAGAGGCACGGAGCCTTTTCTTGCAACTTGGTCTTGTAAGTAATAAAAACGATTATTCGCCGAACACCCCTCGCCCACTCACTCCTCGATTCAATTTTTAATAATTAATGTAATTTATTGCCAACTTTTATTATACACTGCTCCACAAAAGTTTAGCCTCACCCATATTTTTTCAAAAAATGACATTTTCACAAAATTAAAAAAAAAAACGCTTGTATTGTTAAAATATGACTAAAAAGGGTTCTTTTTAGTATCCCATATTCGATTTACACTTACTGAGCCATTAAACAAAATTTGCTTTGTTTTTCGAAAATTGCGTTTTTTTCGATCCGCAAAAGGTAGCCTCACTAGCAAAAAAAAACGCTTAAAAAACAGAAAATAACAACAGTAACATAACAGAAAATTGGTTTAATATTCGGATGGCGTTTCCTGATTTCGTGCCACTTGGAGGAATCAGTGTCGATCGATAAATGGGGATTGTCAATCAGTTGTTGGTCGACTTTCTTCCAAGTCTCGATAATCGCCAGTTTCCCTCGTAAATCTTGTTGGCCATGTATCCTCACACGTTTTCGATGGTATTCAAGTCCGGGGAGCAAAAAGGTCAGTCGGGAACTGGAATATTCCTCGCTTGTATCCACGCGATAGTGCGGCGTGTCCGATGAATTGGGGCACCTTTCTGCGATACACATTCATTCTGTGACTGTGTCGCCACCAGAAGGGCAGAAACTCACAGCGCAACAAATATTGATAGTCCGAGCCGCTCATTTTCTTTGCGACGACGCACAGCTTCATGCGAGGCATCGAACTGATTGATTCCAATACCATTACACCAAATTCTTTGAAATTAGGCGGGTTTCTAAGATTATTCCAGTAGCAGCGTTAGCCATCAGGACCATCACAATTGAACTTCGTCTTTGAACTCATTCACGAACTTCAATTAGTTTTCGAGATGTTTTTCGGTCCACATCGGAGCTCTACGCATCTTGCGTCTTTTCTCATTCTGGGACTTGCTCAGAACAAGTTGAATAGTCTCTGAAGTCCCATTTCTCATTTGATTTTGGTGCGCTTGGTGAAGGTATTCGATGCTCTTCCGATGATCATTCTTCTTTCTCGGCTAGAAATGGCAGTTGGACATCCAGATCGTGTCGCAGTACCATATTCTAATGGATTCTTCAGAAAATTATTGATCTATTTTGGGCAGCGCCCCAAATTTCAAGCCATTTCTCGATTCGAAAGACCACGATCATGTTTTTTTTTTATAATTTGGGCTTGCTCAAACGCCGAAAGTGGTTTGCATGCTGGCATTACTTGAAAAACACATTATTTCTAGTCTAATAGGTAAAAAATGCAAATTCAAAGGAAAATAGCAAAAAAAAATCGGTTTAAAACATAGGTGAGGCTCAGCTTTTGCGTATCGCCCTAATTTTCGAAATATAAGACTTTAATGGCTCAGTAAGTGTAAATCTAATATGTAAAACTAAAAATAACCCATTATAGCAATATTTCAACATTAAAAACGTTTTTTGAAAATTCCTGAAAATGTCTCTTTTTTTTAAATATGGGTGAGGCTAAATTTTTGTGGAGCAGTGTAAAATCCCTTCATCTGCAACGTATACAGTGCGTTGCAGAATTATAAGGCCACCCACGAAGTAGAGCGGCGCGCAATGATTTTCGAAAATCGTGTTCAGCATGAAAATTAACCTATATGTACCAAATTGTTACAAAACTTTCTCGGGAATTTTTTTAAATTGATAAAATTCAGTAGTTAAGTCGAAAACTAGTAGGGTTTTGAAAATTAGCATAGTCAACATATTTTGAAAATGTTCGCACGTATAAAAAGAGGATTAATACATTTAAAAAATCGTTTTTTACATACGATTGTTTGCGATTAAAGTTATGTCTAAGGTTTTCATACCATAAGGTTTTAGTGTCATGTTTCACCAAGACCAAAATTTCAAGTTCGCATGTTTAGCCGACCGCAATTTACAACCGAACACACTGGTAACCGCGTAGTGGTCCAAAACCGTTTTTCGAGCGGTGTAAAATTATAAATCCACCCCCATGAAATAAGTTAGAAACTCAAAGATAACACTAGTTTAATGTTTGGTGGTACCTCCATTTGAGGTAATAATGCCAGAAACACGGTCTGGCATAGATTTGAGAAGGTTTGAAACATATTGGGTCGATTTAGATTATAATTTCTGCTCTAACATCTTCCACTCGACTACGATTTCGGTTTTGAGCTCTCCAACTCCCCCGAAATTCCTTCTTTGGCCATAGAGACGCCGTTCTAACTCTCCCCAAACGTTCCCCATGTTACTCCAAAAGGAGAAGATGCTAGTCAGTCAAGAACATGTTGACACGAGTTGGATCCTTCACAAAGATGTCTACAAATGTTTGCGGACCATATAAATTCTTCGCAACCCTACTGTTCCACCATCCTGCCGTTTTGAATGCGAGAATCTGAGATTGCTCAGAAGCACTAAGACAGCGACCACGTGGCATTTCAAAATGTTTCAAAAAGAAAAAAATATGGAAGACTGTAGATTCTCAAAGCCACACAACGATTTTTATGTATTGGTCCCGTGACAGTTTTAAAAAAAAGCGAATAAGTCCGTTTCATGGTGGTTGGCTTTATAATTCTGCACCGCTCGAAAGAACGGCTTTGGAACACTGCGCGGTTACTTTTTGAAATACTAACATGAAATTTGGTACACATAGGTTAATTTTCATGCTGAACACGATTTTCACACTGATTGGTATCAAAATATCGAAATAATTGCACGGCGCTCAAATTCGGGGGTGGGCTTATAATTCTGCAACGCACTGTATTCTACTTTTATCTATATCACTTGCACATTTCTTTTCATATTTTCCTTCATAACTGTTTCAAATCTTATGTTGCTTTAATTTTATGTATGTTTGTCTTATGTATAATGTATATTCGAATAAATGGTATATTAATGAAATTTTCTAATATTGCGCAGCTAAAATAAAAAGCAAAATGACTGGACCAAATCGGGGGAAGGGAACGGAACGGGGCAAGCAAATTCGGGGTTCGTGGCCGATTTGCACCCGAACTGGGCCAGTAGTAATTGTGGCCGCTCCCGTTCGGGCGCTTGGTTGCACCAGATCGGGCGTAATACGGGAGCAGTTGCGACGCCTAACTGCTCCCGTATGACGCCCGCGTGGGAGCCGACTTGCGCCCGAACTGCTCCCACCCAGATTTACCGAGGACGGGCACGAGGGCGGGAGAGAAACATACCAATAAATGCTGGCGGGGAATGATCGCCTCGCCGCAAGTCGTTTTCTCGCGACACGCTTTGTCGCATGCGACATTCCGCATTCCTTGCTTGAAGTAATAAAACGACGAGACGCACTTTCTGCAAACAAAACAGAAGGAATTTTAAGCGGAAAAATTGTGGAAAAAAAAAACGCTTATTTCTTTATGTGGTACTGTCGTCAACAAAAATAGTAATACACTGAGACGACAAATTGCACACAATTTATTTATTCATTTTTTTTATCGATGATATTTTACCTTCGAAGGCGAATTGGGGTCCTCATTGGTCGCACTCTCAACACTTTTTCCCAATATCCAGCAGCATCGGGCAACAATGATGTCTAAAATAGGATTAAACGAATATTCTTTTGTTGGGGAAAAAATGTGATACATACATTCACAAAATATTGTTTATCCTCGCTTAAGTTTTTCACACTCTCGTCATAATGTAAATGGATTCTGAGCGGCGCGAAAACTTCCTTTTTCGGCAAATCCCGTTTTTGGCGATATTCGTGACCGGGCTCCGATGTCGGCACTTCTAAAAGGACGTCTTCCACACGAGGCGTCTGAATTTTGACAACGCCAATACTTTTTGATAGCGTAAATTTGACACAAACCTGATAGGAGCATGGCAAACTATGTACAAATAATGAGTATTGTATTAAAACTGCGCAAAATATGGCTAACCGGGGCTTCATATTTTTTTTTGATTAAAAGTGAAATGAAATGTGGGTACGGGGATTATTGGCGAATAAAAACCGATGAGAATGACTAGTGAAACCGCATACGTCCGTTTTTTTTGTGGGTTGCTGAAAAGAACACCAAAATTTATGGGTACAACGAGTAGAAGTTTTCGGAAAAAATGGAGCGAGGGTCAGCATAATTGTGGTCCTAATCAAGCCGGGACAATCTTTCGCATTCAAGGTCGTTATGGTGCCAACATTGGTCAAGGATCGATATAATTCCAATAAAACGAATAGCAATAATAAAGTAGAAATTCGTCGGGAAAATAAAGTTTTTATATATTTTTTATAGGGTACGGTATGTATCCTAGTGCAATTGTGCGTGATGTGTTTGCGGCAAATCAATTTTTTCAAATTTTCAAATCGCAGTTTATCTCAATTTTTCGCGTTTTTAGACTATTTTTGTCGAAAATTGTCATTTTTCAGGTGCTAGAAACAAAAATCGAGCATGGATCAACCGAAATGCTGTTGGAGACAGAAAAACAATGAACAATTATGCGACATGAAAACGAAGGCATTAAGGAAATTGATGCATGGTTAGTGTAAATACGGTCACTCACAAAATGCACAAATTTTCGAGTATAATAAACAGAAAAACAAACAAGCATCGCGGAGAGCGCCGTGGGGGTCCGGGTGGACGGGTGAAGAGCGAGCAAACTAGCTGGCAACAACGAGATTGAAATATGAGAAACCTCGGTGTGTTCGCGGCTCGCCTCTTTTCTTATATCTCTTTTTTTTTCAACACCGCCGGCGTTCTCTCTTTCTCGTCTTCCGGCCTTATTAGGAGGCACCAAATTGGCGGACAAAAAGGCGATTAGAAAGAAGCAAGTCGAGCACCGCCGCCAAATCTCGGTCAAGTGTTGAAAAGTCGATGAATAAACAACAAAAATTGGTGAGGTGCGCTGATTGTTGTTGTTGGTTTTTTTTTGCAGACGAACGCAATCGACTCACATCCGCTCGCTGATATCGTGTGTTCCAAAAAGGACGAAAAATCAACGACAATCGGGTCAAGAGACTCAATTTATGCACAATTGAACATTGTGTCATGTCAGGTTGAGTGTGTCCATTATGAAGTGGGTGTAATCGAATGTCAAACACAACCACCCTTGAATTCGGTTGGCCGGAGCAAAAAGTAGGCAGTTTTCAGCATTGACGAACAATTCAGAAATTAATAGAGAATTGTCCGTAGTAATATTCTCAATAAATGAATTTCACTTCTATATCTTGACAATTGTTTCTAACAAAACAAAAAATCTATAGCCTTGAATTATTGGGGAAAAGTGGGAATTCGATTTTTAATAATTTTGGAAAATAAAAAAAAATAATTCACATTTTTCAAAATGCCTATTTTTAATGAAAAATTTAAATTAAATATATCCCAGAAACTTTGAATATAAATCAACATTTTTAAACCAAAAAACAACCATTTTATTTATTTTCAAAATTTTATAGGAAAAACTTGGAAATTTTCAAGAATTTAACAACAGTCGAGTATTGCGGAAATCAAGGTTGGGTCAATGATTTGATCGTTTGACTATTGAAACACGACGAAAACTTGGTTTTATTGACAACTACCACTTGAAAGAACAAAAATGTACAAAAAAATCAGAGTGACATCGAAACCGAATACAAAACAAATGGTCAAATTGTCAATATTTGCGAAACTTATATGAGACGTTCGGGGGAAAAAAGTTGTTAATTGAAAAAAAATAATGAGAACGTTCAGTTTGACTCAAATCGATGAGTCGTCCGCAGATAGGTTATTCAAAAAAGGATACATCTGGAAATTTTTGAGGTCAACAATTTTCTTCAATCTGTTGAGTATAAGAAAGACGCAGAGCGAAATTTGCATGCGCCTTTAATTATTTTCAATTTATACATATATTTATTCTAAAACACCAGAACCCAACATTTCATTAAATATTTTAATATTCCAAAATATAATATAAATAGAAAAATTGATTAAAGCATTATAGCATGGATGGATTTCGCCTCGAGAAACCATAATTCTCTATTCAGACAAATTGCAGGATGGGTAATGGAACACGATGAAATTAAAATGTTTGTGTTTGTGTTTTTTTTTGACGACCCCATAAATGGGGTCAAATCGAAAGAGGACAAGAATAGGGGAAATGAGGAGAAAACCCATGATCCTTTCATTTCTCGTATCAAATCGCATCAAAATCGGAGAAGAAGCGAATCGAAAGCGCCGCGAAAATCAACAGATGTTCATTCATTTCTGAATGCGGAACCATTCGCGTCGACCGCGTCAATAGGGACCAATTAATCGTGAGCGGAATCAGCATCGAATAATAACAACAATAATAAAAAAAATTATAATAATAATTGAATGAAATATTTCAAGAAAAAAATGAAATTGCGCAAATTTTTCGCGCACTACATCGATTACGAGAGATGAGAGACGCAGAGAATGCCAGAGACGCTATATATGGCCTGAGGCGGCAGAGACGAACTCATTAGTCAGTAGAATATCCAAGTAGCCCAAATTCGGATGAGGTAAATCGACACCCCAAATATAGGACATTTCGCCGATTGATGGAAGAAAGATGAATTTGCGGCTGAATTCGAAACGCTCAATTGTTGTGGTTTTTGAAGACAAAAAGTTGACAAAATCGACTATTTTCTCGCAATTTTTAATACGTCCAGGAAAACTTCTGTATGCTTTGTTATCAAGAAATCAAAAATCGGTATAATTAGGACAGAAAATAACCTACAGAATTTGAAGTATTCGAACCACAACGACACACTTGGAATCATGTTGACAACTGAATAAAAATGAATCCCGCGGCAAATGCAAAAGTCTCTCCGTCAACACTAGACTCATTCAATGATCCTCGGACCATTCAAATCTCGTCAAAGGACCAGTGGATTGAGTCTAATGCTTTGGAAACGAACGCGAATAATTGGAAGAGAGCAGCCAGCCAATCGACGAAACACTCAATGCCCAATGAGTCACCATCTCCCAACATTCGAGAATTGTCTTTCTTGTATCTCAACACGAATTTCAATTACGGTAGACAGTGTTCAGATGTGCATTTTAGAATTAATTTCTTTGACCTTAATAAACTTGAAAGTATCCCGACTGGAAGTTCAAGAGAGGATTCCAATTATGAAGGTCTAATTTCATTTAATTTTGTGAAATCACTTTTCTGCTAAAAAAAAATGCGAAATATCCCACCTAACTGATTTTTAAATATTTTTTATTCAATTTCTTTGGATATAATCATTACTATTAGCGCACTGGGGCCCAAAAACCTTATAACTCAACACGCTACATAATTGGGAGTTATCACATGCTGGGAAAAATTGGCAAAATGCCAAAAAGTAATGACGGCGCAAAATCATGTAAGTGTAGGTTAAAACCTTTTCAAATTTTTTATCCCATTTTTCGCATCTGACAACATTAAATAAAACCCTGTAATGCACATACTAACACCGGCTACAGTAATTTAGTGTTGATATACAAGAAATTTGAGAAATAAAAAATTGGCGACATATATCCCAAGACCAAAAATGATATTTTTCTAATATTACAACGAGACAAATATTGGACCTTCCATCAATAAATTAAAAATGAAAAGACTTACCCATTTATAAACACAAAAAATTTAAAAAAAAAAACTTTCCAAAAATACTCCAGTTCCTTTTGCGAGAAAGAAAATACTTACCTGATCTCTTCCGAAATTCGAATTAAAAAAAAACTGGAAAAAAAAACAAAAATAATAAAAGCAAGAGTTAAAATTGATCGGCCAAATTCGGAAGTCAATTGGAGGAATTCACCGATAATTCACAGCGACGACCACAGGAGTCTCAGATCCAACAATTCTTCCTGGAAATTCAGAATCATTCAGGAAAATCATATGTTCGTAAATTTTTTCTACTGCTGAAATGATTTTTTTTCCAATCTAAAAGCCCGATACAACTTAATATTTTTTTTAACAGCTATATTAGTTTGATTAGTTTGAGTAAGATTTGGGAAAATCACACATTTGATTATTTTTGATGAAAAATTCATCAAAAATAATCAAATGTGTGCAATTTTCCGTACGCGGGCATGAGAGCCGCGTGGCAATCATAATTTTCGCCAATTTCACGATTTTACATTTTTCAGCCGAGTTATTTTTACTAGCCAATGCCGATTTTTTCAAAGTGCCGGACTGCCGACGAAAAAGTTTAGTCGTTGGGCCATTTGCCGAAATTTCTGATTGTTGGCAAATTGCCATAATTTCGAATTTGACTCATTGATGCAAAGAAGTGCAGTGGGTGAGACAGTCGAAAAACATTTTTTTTGAAATTAGCCAATTTCGACAACAAATTTCCGGATAATAATTTTTACAGTTTCTAAACCGAGATTGAATGGTCCCATCGACTCGACGAATACAAATTTTCATGAGAACATTTTAAATAAAAATACATTTTTGTTTCGTCACTCCTTCATCGAATTGTAAAGGACATTTTTCGGCAATTTCGGCAATCGGCAATTGCATCGCCGCGCAATTTGCCGAATTGCCGAATGGCGACCCCCGCTGCGGGGCTGCGCGTCAATAAAATTGCCGAATTGCCGAAAAATAATCGTTCGGCAATTCGGCAAAACAAACGACAAAAATATGTTTTGTTGTTATGAACTAACATTTACGAGAAAATGATATATTTTTTCACCGTTTTTTTTCATCAATTTCGTCTTCATTGTTTATTAAATTCCTTTTTTACAGATAATGAGTAAAGTTGCTCATTTATATGAGAATCGCAATGGTTCATTTCATTGCAAGCTGTGCGGATTCACTACGCAAAAAGGAAATTCAGGTAAATCGACTAAAAAAAAGAAGTCACGTGTTCTTAAAAATTCGCTCAGGTTCAACATATCCCCTAATAAATCACATCAAAAATCGTCATCGAAACGAATACGACGAAATTTGCAAACCACAAAGATGCGCCAACGTCGCAAATTTCAATTCATCCCAAATTGATCAAATATTCAAAAACGGAGTTATGGATGATAATTGCGAGGAGTCACGGAAAATAACACGCGCAATTACCGAAATGATAGCTCTAGACATGCTTCCATTGTCAATCACCGAAAAAGCGGGGTTTCGAAAGTTCATGAGTGTTATTAAGCCAAATTACCACTTGAAATCGCATTGGTCCATGACTAGAAGCGAACTGCCAAATTTATTCTCCGAGATCAGAGAAAAAGTGATGGAAGATTTATCGTCTTCACGTTACGTTGTTTTAGGAATTTATTTGTGGCCCGACGAAAGTCGGACCAACAATTTTTTAAGCGTTATTGCCTACTTTAAAAAAGGAAGTGATCTGACACATCGTACGCTTGGCGTTTTAGACATTAAAAAACAATCACATTCAGTGATTGACATCGCAATTAAACTTGATAGCTTAATTCTAGAATACAACATTAAGGATAAGCTTGTCGCATGCGTTCGTGATGATGTTTCCAATATTATTAAAGCATGTGAAATGCTGAAAATTCCAAATTTTGATTGTTTCAGCCAAAAGTTGAATTTGGCAGCACGCGATGCGGCTAAAACCATAAATGGATTTCACACAATTTTTGAAAATTGCAAAACAATTGTACGAAAACTTAGAAAATCACCTATCACCCAACACGATTTCGATTCAATCCAGAGTTTAATGGAGATATCGCCAACAAAATTAAAAAAGCGCGATGAAATTAGATGGGAATGCGTGTATGATACGCTCAAGAGAGCGTTATCGTGCAAAGAAGCCATCGATGAGCTTACGAAATGTCAGAGCTCAATTCCTTCATTGGATGAAAATGATTGGCTAATTCTCAAAAACACTTATGAACTTTTGGAGCCGCTGGCTGGGCAAACCGACATGTCGCAGGTATATCTCAAAACTAGAAAAATTCTAATAAATTTCATTTACTAAAGAGCCAATCCCCAATGGCATCAACAATCATTCCACTTTGCAATTTTTTAATTGCACAAATGAAAAACTCGCCAAACTTTCATGAGCCAGCTCAAACGATTGTCGAACGAATGGAGTTGGAACTTGAGATATACAAAAAAATTCAATACTTAAGGTTTGCAACCATAATGGATCCTCGATATAAGGTTTTAGCTTAAAAAAAACGATTATAGTTTAAATATTCGATATTTTAGATGACTTTTCTTGATTCTGAAACGAAAGAAGAATTTGCGACATATTTAGCTTCGAAATATAGCACTGATAATTCCAGTGAGCTCTTATGAATATAAAAAAGAACCCCTAAAACTCGTTTTTCAGTACACGATGATTGCTCGATTCCTGAAAAGCAACAACCACCGGCAAAGAAGCATAAATCTTCATTTGAAGCTTATATTCAGGTACAGATGGTTCGACAGTTACCACTAGACTAAATAATGTTTTAAAACAAATAGGAAGCTCTTAAAATTCCAGTTTCTTTCAGGCTGAAATTGGAAATCAAAAGTCATCGCCATATCATCACATCGAACAAGAATTAAATGCGCAAGTTGTACGTTTCTAATTGTGTTCTACAGCATAATTATAATAAAAACACAGGAACTTGAGAAATATTTGGCTCTTCCACCAGAAGTGACCATCGAACCGTTAGCATACTGGACAAGTCGCATTACGACATCTACTTTTCCACTACTTATAAAAGAGGCCGAAAGATATTTCATTTGCCCAGCAGGCTCGGCACATATTCAAGACGTATTCTCTTCGGCAGAACTAATTTTGAACCCCACGAGGAAGTCGATGAGCTCCGATGATTTTAATAGACTCGTATTTCTCAATAGGAATCTTCAACACTACGGTTCATAATTTTAAAAACAACTTCAATTCCACACTGAATTTAGGTTAAAGGATTGTTTGTGGTGAATAAAGAATTTTAATTTAATTTAATTTCTATGTAAAATGATAATTGATATCGTAAAAAGTGGATTTTTACATTTCAACTTAAAAAAAAACATTATCCGAAAATTTGCCGAAATCGTCGACAATTAACTGAAACAAATTTCTGCGGGCCCGACCGGAACAAAATTTTAATTATTACAGTTAAATTTAAGTTCTAGGTTGCATTCCGAAAAAATAAACTCGTTGTTCCATTTAACTATAAGTCGAGTAAAAAATACTAACCTTCTATCGGTCAGAATTATGTTAATCATTGCCTTGCTTCGTCCAATATCTTCGACAACATCGAAAAGTTCTAGAATATTAATGTAATTGAACTACTAAAGCGAGTATTTAAAAAATAATACAAAATTCAACACAAATAATACTTTTTTTTTTTAAATTTATCCCGCTAACCCTAAAAAAGCTAGGAAATTTTATTTTTCGGATATATATATAAAAAATTATTAAAATTTTCTTAAGCAAATTTTTCAAATGCATATTCGCATTGGGACTCACTATTTGTAAAATCTCTCGAGTTTTCATCCGAAAATAAAAACAATTCGTCAATTGTTTATCGATTTCTTCGAAAGCAGATAACCTTTGAAATTGAAATGATCAACTGAAAACGCATATTCTATAAAGTTATTAAATATTGGGAAACTTGATTTATTTTCTGGATTCTCTGATAATCAGGTGGGTTCATGTTTTGATTTGTATTCCATATTTCTGAAAAAAAAACGTTTAAAACAATCAAAAGTTTTGAATCAAACTTGTTCATAATTTTTTACTGTCATCCGGTTCAATAGTATTCAGGGAATCTCGCGTCAAAGTGCCCCAGCTCTAACGAGCCGCTGTGAGACAATAACCAACAAACTGCCCCTAACTAAATTAAATATTTTTTACTGACGGGTTAGAGCCTCCGAGCCCCTGGACGTTGGCTCCCCCGCCTGGACAGCCGCCAGCCTCCAATCACGCAGCAACAATTCTGCGAGATTCCCCTGACCTTTAAACCAATCCCTGTCCATTGTCACCTGTTACTGGAATTCGTCCAACCTGAAATTCTACAATTGAAAATAGAAACTCATAAATATTGTCACTGAAATGAAGGAACCATCCATGTTGTCGCGCAGCTTTGTACTTCCCATGTGTCCATGAAAAATTTTCAAAATTAAAAAAAAAATAATTTCATAAACAAAAATATTTTTAAGTTTCACCACCATATTAACATTTCAATTTAAATAATTCAATTTCACTTTTTCCATCGACCGATTAAAAAAAAGGAAATTAATTCGGTCTTGTCCCCAAACTCAACTGTTCGTCTCGTCGCCACCCACCGTGAGCGCCTAGACTTCCCCAGGCATTTCCCTCCTGGATCGGACCCTTTGGGTCACCGAAGCGGGGTGTTTGATACTAATCTCGTGGCATGAGACTCGTCACCCGTGCGGGCTCTCTCAAATCCGACCCAACGAATGTTCTCGAGACACGCGTCACAGCGGTTCGAGACGAATTCGTCAAGTGGGGACAAAGCGCAAAAATCAAAATATATTCGCTGTCAAAAAATTTCGACGAACATAGGTGAAACACAAAAACCATTAAAATAGGAAAAACTCACACAGCGAGACTGTCCAGTTTAAAAATATCCTCCATTTACAAATCTCCAGGAGAAGCAGTGGTGTTGTGCGAAAATGTGGCAAATTTTGGGTAAAGTACATATTTTAAAGGAATTCAGGGAAATTCGCGCCAAAGTGCCCCAGCTCTAACGAGTTGCTGTGAGACAATAACCAACAAACTGCCCCTAACTAAATTAAATATTTTTTTAATGGCGGGTTAGAGCCTCCGAGCACCTGGACGTTGGCTCCCCCGCCTGGACAGTTTCCAGTTTCCAATCACTCAGCAGCTTCTTTGCGTGATTTCCCTGCCCTCAAAACAAAAAAATCCTATCTGGAATCATACACTGAAGAAAAATAATGCGAAATGATGAAAATCGAAACACAAATTAGGAAAAAGGTAGCCAACTTGGCAAACAATCAAATTAGGTCATACATATGTGCGTCACGGTGTTTGCGGACCGAAATTACGCCTAATTTGACGCCATATTATCAAATATAAATTTTTCGTAATTTTCATAAGTTTTTCAATGATAAATTTAGAGAGAACCGAAAAAAATAAACTTACATGTCAAATTGCAGATAAAACGTACTCGAAAAACGTTATAAATGAAAAGAGCATGTCGCCAAGGTCACGTGGACTTTTTCCAACTCGTAATTATTTTTTAGCCTATGTTTTATTATTTCTAACTGTTGATTATTTAGATAATTTAGTAAACTACGCGCTGAAGTGCCACAAAAGAGATTGGACCATGTTAACTTCGTAAACTTGGACCGGGCATTCTCAAAGTGAATTTTACCAGAGAACGAATAAAACAATAAACCTTTTTTGTTTGCAAAAAATTGACAGCTATTCTATTTTTGATAGGAAAAAAACCATTATTGGTCATCTTTCGGTATGTTTTCTTTCCAAATTCTACTCATTTAATTATTTTTTGGACGAAGTTTGAAAAACTATGACGAATTAAAAACTCGTGTATCGTATTCAGAATCATTCTATGTTTTCTATTGTCGACCGCAGAATGATCAGGGCCATTTCTATTAATTAGCATCACGATTCCGTGCAATACTCGAATTGAACTTCTCATCTTTCTCTTTTTTCGCAATACTTTACCAAACATCAGGTTCATAAAGCAGGAAAAACTATAATCGAAGAGAGCCGAGGCGATGAGAAACTGTGTATTTAAACGGTCTGCACAAAAATTGTGGCCACAGCTTGTCCACTGGAATGCTTTAGTTTTTCGCATTTTCTTACTGTCACATTTCTTTATTCTAGAATTAGTTAAATACTGTTCAATGTTTTCTAAAGACCATTTGAAGTAGATTTTGTGAACTTCAACTAGTTTTTAAATTCAAACTAAATAATACGGAAACTTTTCAAAAAATAAATATTTATAGCGCATTTTTACTCTTAAAATAGTAGTAAATTTGTTCTTGAAAGACTTCAACATAACTATTTTTAAATAAATTTAAATTTTGCTTTTATTTCTCATCAATCGACCCAAAATATTTTATTTGTCAACTCTATTTCAAATTTGTTTCATCTTTTCAGAAGTCAGCATGACAAACGTGTTGAAAAGCTATAACGCCGATAAAGATCCTGTGATCAGCTACTGCTCGAATCACACAACTATTCAAACCGATCTGCAGAAGGAATTGCAAGAAGAAACGCTCAAAAATGCGCCGATGGCTAGAATGCTCGGAGCTCCCGAAGTGCTCACATTCGGTCAGAACTTCATTCGATCATTGGGCGGAAAGAAGATAATCGACATTGGAACGTACACCGGCGCGTCGGCGTTGGCTTGGGCGTTGGCGACGCCGGATGACGGAGAAGTGTACACCTTCGATATCGATCATACCAATTTTAGAAAATTCGGAGTTCCCATTATTTCGAAGTGTGAGAAAACATTTAAGAAGATCCATCTTGTTGAAGGGCCTGCGGTTGAAAGTCTAGGTAAAATTAATTTTTTTTAAATTTTTCTGTTTGGCAACGTTTTGCTTCAGAGAGATTGGTAGCTTCTGGCCATGCCGGGACGTTCGATTTCGCTTTCATCGATGCTGACAAGGTAGGACAAGGTCTTGACATAATTTCAAGAAATCAAGCACTATTTTCCAGACAAGCTACCCGAAATACTATGAGTTGGCTGTAACACTATTGAGAAAAGGTGGAGTGATATTCGTTGATAATGTAGGTCTCAATTTGGTCTAAAATCTAGAATAGAATTTAGAGCTTATTTGGCGGTAGAGTGTGCCAAGAATCGACTAGAACCGATGCGTCACTTCAAGCAATTCATGAGATGAACGAGCAAATTTATCGCGACGATCGCACTTATTCGGCATTATTGAATCTTGGCGATGGAACTCATGTCGCATTCAAGAAATAATCAAAAAATAAATATTGATTGTGCTCATTTAAGTGACGTCATTTTCTATTTGGAACTCTAATTTTATTCTCTGGTTTTCTTTAAAACAAAACGATCCGTTTTAAAATTTTCTTTGAGGCTATCATTTTTGGGAAAGAAAATGGGAAAATTGGGTTTGTGAAACTAACATTAAAAAAAGTATTTCTTATTCTGTAAAATCTTTGTAATATAATCCAGCCATTTAATAAAAATTTTCAAATTTGGATTAGCTTTAAAAATAAGAAACATTTATTACGTTGAAAGTGGTATATTCTAGCGTATTGCCAAATTTTTTTTTGCCGCTCTCGAATTTCAACTATTATAGAAGTTTTCGCAGGTAGAATGAACCTTGTTCATTCGATTAAAAATTGTTTAAAGAATCAGTATGAAAAAAATTTAAGACGGACTGCACAAAGACGTCCCTTGCTAGCAAATTTGAAGAATTGACAATGAATGGAACTTAAATACAAAAATCGTTTCTTTTTGCAAATTTGCCGATTAATTTTTGAATAAATTTCAGAAAAAAAAATGGCATTCAGTTTTTCGCCAACGCGCAATTTCCACAAAATAAACGACTTGTGAGGAATTCGGTCAGTTTCAACTTTTTGTTTCATTCTGAAAACACAACTCGTGTCGAAATGTGGTGCCAGAAACTCGTTCAGTAGGCTCTTGTTCGTATCCTTACAAAAATCTCAAATGAATTTGGGTTCTTGTTTTACTCCACAAGCGTGCCCCATAGAAATGTGTCGTTGTACAGCGCCCCTCTCATTCTCCTTCGTCCCCCTCATTCTCCTTCTATCAATGTATACTTCTCAATCGGTATAAATGAACAGATATTTCATTTTCGAAATTCAATTCTTGTTTTCGATTTTTTCTCGATGTTTTGCCAAGAAAAAATTCACATTTTGAACGACAGTGGAACGATGAGTGTCACGTGGGTCCACCGACTCGGCTCGGCCCTAACAGTCGATAGTGGCGAATCCCGGAAAATTGTCCGCAGATGTTTATTATGAAATTTTTCATGTTAATATGAACAAAATCCGAACTCCACTGGCCAGCTTTTCGAATCTCAATAATAACATTATAGGGCCCGGGCCGAGTCTCATTTTTCTTTGACTGATAAGTGTATGGCTTTTTCACATTGTGATAAAGTTCGATTAAACTAAACTCACACCTGTAAGGCGGCAATTCAAATGATTCCACCAATTTCCGAAATATTTTATCTACAACGTCTATTATAGATTTAGAAAAAAAAGAATTTCGATTATAGGTAATAATATTTGGAAAATTTTTTAGCAAAAATTGAAATTTGCCAAAATTTTAGTGATTTATGGTTGTTTTAATCCAATAAGGCACCCAAATTCGAACCTTTTGAAGTCAAATTTGAATTACCGATGGTTCACAATTCGTTTTTTTTTTCGTTGCGATGTTAAAATTCCCAATTTTTTATTGCTTTTTGCAGATGGGCGAAACTGATAAAATAATCAATTGGAAAATTCGAAATGTGTCGCAATTGATTCCGCGCGAATCGTCGTCGCCTATCAAAATCATCGGCGACCACTTGTGGCGACTCACAGCGTGCACCGGCAACGTCGAAAAGAGCGACGATGAGAAGTGCCTCGCGACACATGCGCACTGCTTCTCGTTTAGTAAGGACGACGCCTGGTTTTGCGACGCCGAAATCGAGTATCGCATTCTGTTCCAATGTCTCAGCAAACGGACGGCGGTGCCGAAATCGCACACATTCACTCATAGATACGATGCTCATCACTCAAATTTTGGCTTTCCCAATATCATTCGATGGAGCGAGCTGATGAATCCGGACAATGGATACGTTCTCAACGATTCAATCATAATTCAAGCGAAAATTCGCTACCTCGACGATTACTTTGTTATTCCCATGGTATGATCCTTTAATTCAACGTCAAAACCTAGCGATTTACAATAAGTAAAAAGAAGTAATTTCCAAAAAAAAAAGAACCGCGTTTAAAAATTGTGTAAATTTGGTAAGGGTTTTCTTTAAAACATGGCCCAATTTTTAAACTCTGTGTGCTCAGAAGTTAGTGCACAAAATTTGCGAGATTTTGGAATTCTAGAGTAGTGCTTAATTTTCTTTTATTTTCACAAGATTCTAAATTTTACACAGATGTTTGATGATTGGTATTTTAATTAGTTCGTAAACACACAAAACAAACGTATTCATTTAGTTCTACTTTACTAAATTAACTAATTCATCAAGTGTGGCCGTGGCCGAACCTAATTTTTGAGGACATTTTTCTAGGCCACGCGTGTTCTGCGGCGTGCGAAATTCCGCTGCTTCACGTGTGATTGGGCTCGAAGGCCGTAGCTCTATTGTCTTCCAAAATTCTTAACTATCGTTGATGGAATAATTCGGAAAAAGTTCACTTCAACGGCACGCTATTGAAGTGCAAGTCCGCAGAGTTCATCGAGCGTGATTGCACACTCGGAGCGGGAGAAACAACACTGATTTTTTCCAGCAATGTATGGCACAAATATCACCGCTGTTTCAGTGCAATCACGCCGCACAAACTCTGCGGACTTGCATTTTATTCGACGCCCGAAAAAGTGTCAATTGATGGTTTGGAAAAAAAATTTCAAGTTGATGATCCTCCATGAATCTTCATATACTTCGAGTTTGTTTCCAGATCGGCACCGAACTCGTCGAGCAAACAATTCAATGGCGCCTTCCGAACATATCTCAACTGTCTACGACATATCGCGAATTGCCAATGCAATACATTTGTAACAACGATAATATTCCTTGGTTCGTGAAGGCAAATTCGGAATGCTCGGATCGAACCGATCACGAGAATTACTTGACGACGTTCGTGATTGTCAATGAAGACAGCGCCAGCGATTCATGGTCATGCCAGGTCTATTTCGAAATTCGTCTCCTCTTCCAGAAGTTGATAAGCGATGATGATGCTCCAATAATGCATAGCCGAGAGGCAAAATTGAGTGCGAGCTGCACTCACACGGGAATTGTCAAATTCATAGAAATGAGCGAGCTGTTGGATCCGAAAAATGGATACATTCTGAATGATTCGGTGATTCTTAAAATTCATTTGATTCTATTGAAGACGAACGGATTTTGAACGCCGTATAAAATGCGTATTAGCGAAATAGTGAGCTATAATGTCAAAAATCATCTGAAAATGCTCATAGTTTCAGCTAACAACGACTGCCTTCTCTCAAGAATTCTATTAGCTCAATTAAATCTCGTTCTAATTAATTCATCAATTTTTCTTAGTTAATTAGATTTTCATTGGAGATTCTGATTATTCTGATTAAGAAACATTTGTATTTTTAATTTTTATCGATTTTTCAAAAACTAATGGACCGCACGCGAAAAGTTGCGCGGGTCTCGTCGCGAAGTCGGTACTGTCCATAACAGTCCTCATTTCACATTGGTTTTTTTTCACCCAAATGATTCATGTAGATTTTTGTGTTTTTTAATACGCTTAATTATTTTCAAAATTTGGTTTTTTGAAGTTGCAAAATATTTCTCCCAACAGACTTTCCCGCGAATTTCCTTCATTTGTTTTCTGCTTGCGAGCCAACCAAAACACATTTCGCCGTTATCTGTTCACCAAAAAAAAGAGTGAACGGTTTGAAACGTAAAGAGTGAGAGAGGAACGATGAAAAAGAGATATGGGCAGAACAAAGCGAAAAACGGAAATTAAAAAGGTCGAATTTGATGGCAGTTCACGTGATCAGCATTGGATTTTGCAACATCAGGGGGTTGAGAAAAAACACGCGAAAAGCAGAAAGAGCCAGGGTAAAAAATTCCAAAAATCGCTATGCAGATGGCAAAAATAACAATCCAAAAACCTCGGCCACGGCCATGTTATTCGAAGCCTACAGTACCACAGCTTTTTTTTAAATTGCCGCATTTATCATAAAAATTTTGTATATGCGCCTTTAAATCCCGTTTTATGAGTTTTTTTGTCGCAAAATCTGCATTTAACATGCCATTAGATAATTGGATGCTCAAATTCAAATTCAAAACGGGAAGTGTGAAAAATTCTGAAAATATTCCAAAAAGGAGTTGGCTGAAAAAAAAAGTCGGCTGAGAGCTTTAAACGGAACCAATTTTTATGATTTTTATTCAATTTCCACCCAAATCATGAATTTTTCGAATATTTGCACTAATTTCTCCAACTCATGGAAATTTTCAAAAACCACGCTAAACACGAATTTTTTGATAATTAATTTCAGTCCAACGTTTTTTTTTCCATTCTCAGCGATTCAATCGGAACGAACAGCGGTTGTTTTTGGGCGAACCCAAAAACGATGAACGGCCTTCCCTCGGGGTCACACTGGTCGTCCCAAAATGTTCCGCGGGTTAACCCAAACGACGGGTGTACGCGCGGAGTGTTGTAATCACCCTTGTTTTAGCAGCTCATAAATTTTATTGGGTAATGCGCGTTTTATTTAAATAACGTATTTATTCGAACCTTTCCAAAATCAATAGGTAACAAATAATGCAAATATCGATATTTAAAATAAAAACGTTGACAAAAAAAGAGGAAAGATTACAATAAAACATGAATAATTTAACATTTAGGATAACAAAAAAAAAACAAGGACACTCTGCTAATTCGTCGAATACTAATGAATGATCGAATGTAAAAAATTTAGAATCAAATTCGTATTGCTCGTTTCACAATCGAACTACATTCCAATTGACTTCTAATGGAAATCGATTGATCATTTAAGATATTGCGTTGAATCGAAACAGATGAATTCTATTCGATTCGACGAATGAGCAGAGCAAAAAAATTGGGATTAAAGCAAATCACCGTTATGTTCAATGTCGTTGTTGGCTTCATCCTCATCGACGTCTTCTTCATCCGAAATCGGTGTCGGCGAATGGCGGAAGTCGTTCGATGTTTTCTTAATAAAAAAAGTTTTAGTTATTTCATGACTCTAGAAAACTGTGATTTCTATTACCTTTTCTTTCCTTTTTAATGCGTTTGGATCCTGTTCGAATCGTTTGCGCACAACTCCATTTTGACCTTGGGTTTCCACAATTTTTTTGTTCCGAAGATCATTACTGAATATATATAGCTTATTTCTATATATAAAGTATTACAAAAAACTTACAAAACTCGGTGAGCTTTGAAATAAATAAAGTCCACCATATTTGCCACATCCATAATCAGCTTCTCATAATGTTGACTTATTTCCGCTTTATTGTCTCCCAATCTTGCTGCCAACCTGAAAAAAGTAAAATAAAAGATTAATGGTTAATATACTAACCTCGCATTTTCATTTTGAAGATCTTCTACTGAATATCCAGGGAATTGCAATTTTACTGGATATCCGTAGCTTTCCAGAATGAAGTCTGAATTAGGTTCCATTTGGTATTGACTCTTTGACGATTACCTCTGATAGCGTCAATAACGTCCTCAGGGACTGGTTTCAGCCCTTCTTGCATTCGTTGACCGGGGCGTTTCGCAATCGAATAGCTTTGGTGCGCTGTTGAAGAGTCCATTATCTAGAAAATTATTTTTTTTAAAGTCACGCGGCTATACTTACAATAAGAATTAAATTTCTAAGACACTGCGCGATCTCTCGTTGTATACTTGTTTGAACAATCTTCATATTCCGCAAATCGAGGAATGCATGCTTCTGAATAATTATTTTTTATTTCTTTAGTTTGGAAAATCTCTTGTGCAAAAGATACATGTTCTGATTACTTTTCATTTATCCTTATCGAACAAATATACAAACCAATCCGCATTAACTACATGTGACGAAAAACCATTCATTTTTTGTTCCGCAATCATCGTTTTCACTTCTGCCAGTGAGTATTTAACATTATTTGACATACCATTTTCTTCAAACGTTGGCCTTCTTCTTTTCATTCCAATTGTTGCGTTACCGTGGATGACTGCGCTAGAACTAAAATTAATTTTTCTTTACATAATGATGAAAATTATATAGAAATTGAGTAAACGTTAAAAAATTTTCAATAATTCCAGTACGACACTCCAATTACAAACTGCCCTCCGTTTAGAGTTTGGGCTAAACCGTGGACGACTTTTGTTTTGACCGAGTTCAATGTTTCCCGTGTTTGCCCCAAATTGTTCCGCGGGTTATTCCAAACCCAAAAACAACCGCTGTTCGTCCCGATTGAATCGCTGAGTTATTCTATTTTTCCTTAATACATATTGCTGTTTTGTTGCGAATAAAAAAATGTGACTATTCTTGAAATTAATTGCTAAACTGCCTGATTCTACCGAACCTCGCGAAATTACCCGCACAATTTTGAGAGCATGAAATTCAAGAACCAATAGTCAGAATGAGATTTGACAATTTTTTTATTGTTACAGTAATAATCAAACTTTAACGATTTCTGTTCAACATCGCTGGCTTGTTCAACGATGAGAGCTCGGAGACTCTTCGGAGAGGCGTACGCAGACAGTCTTCAGACAGATGGTCCGATTCTTGATCAGAGTCTTCTTCAATGCTTCGACACATCATTGAAGTTTAGTGTTGACCTTCTCCCAACAGGGATAGTCGAACGAGTTCAAATTCAGTTACAATCTTTTTGGGAAACAGACTATATTTGCGACCGGCTTTTTTTTCTCTAACCGCTTTTCCACCTCTCACTTTGGCGTGCTCTCTTCATTCCAGCGATTATTGAAAATTTCGTAATTTTTTCGAGTTGTCCTGTCCAAAAAAAAACCGCGTTTCAGATGGAAATGATCCCTAGGCCTTATAAAAGAACAATTCAATGGAAAATTGCGAAAATCTCGGAAATGACTAATGAAGTGTGCTGTTCGCCAATTCACGTCATCGCAAATAAAATTTGGCGGCTTTCCGCGTGCGTCGAACCGATTGAATATCACAAATATCTCTCGATAAATCTTCATTGCTATGCCAACAATCGGAATATTGAATGGTCGTGCGACGTTGATGTCGAATTCCGCCTAATATTTGAATTCTCGAACACATCATCATATAAGAGAAGAACGATGAGATGCACGTACAACGCCGACAATTGCAGATGCGGAATTGCGAAATTCGTTGAAATGAGCGAGCTAGCAAATCCGACGAATGGACGTCTTCTGAATGATTCGGTGATTGTTGAAGCACGAGTAGCATTTGCGAGTGAACATTTCATCCAACCTGTAGGTCCTCCTCAATTTATTTATTTATAGATTAACAATAAATATAAATGCAAGAAAAAAAACAACAGGATTTTTTTTTTGGGTCCATGACAATCAATTCAACAATTAAGTGCAATTGCGCGTCAGGTCTAGTGTGTGTGTTTGCACCGTGATTTCTACCGTAACCGCACAATTTAAATAGCTGAGATTAAGTGGCTATCTTTTTCTGCTCCTTGCAACAATTTTAATTAAATTTTCATTCAAAAACGATTTTAAATTATATTGATTGGTTTTTTTTTTCAGATAAGTTTTAAAAAGACACCATGGATCATTCGGAATATATCAAATTTGACATCGAACGGATTCAAATCGGCCCCATATTATTTTGGCGACATTCGGTTTCAGTTTGAAGCAGCCAGAGAACGAGCGGACGACGAGGATTATTTATCGATGTACTTGATCTTCAATGAAGACAACAAGAGCAATATATGGTCGTGTCGAATTTGCTACGAATTCCGATTGGTCTCCCAAAACCCGATCGACGATGAATATGATGCGCCTTTAACAATTGGAGGAATCGAAACATTCTCTTCAAGGCAACCCTGTTGGGGATGCAAGCTGAAATGGGATAATGTGATGAATCCTGCGAATGGATGCATTCTCAATGATTCGCTCATCATTGAATCTCGATTTTTCATTTTGATGACTGATGGATTGCTCATCTTTCCGTCGTTCGACACCTACCGGTCTTCAGAGTATTCTATAGTGACGATCAATGTGCAGAACCATATATTTCGCCTTGACAAATCGGTATTCTTTCCATATTGGTTTCCATGGCATTCAAAAAAAAAACGCCTCAATTCAGCTTTTGGGTGCCATTTCTCCAGTCTTTCGTGACATGTTTCTCGATGAAAACGAGATTCAACTAGATGATATCAATTATCGAGACTTCTTCTTCCTGGTGAATGCCATTTTTTCATGCTATTTTCAACTTCATGGTATTTTATTGAAGTATTTCTGATGTCATCAATATCTGGCTCAGAGTTCCATGTGAATTGCCTTCTCAAATTGGCCGACAAATTCAAAATCGATTATATCAAATTCGAGTGCGAACAATTTCTGAAGCATCCAAATCGACTTTCGATTGGCGATATGTTGAAATTGGCTGAGGATCATCGACTAGCCGCTATACAGGTATGACCCTTCGTTTAGCTTCTTGTTGGCTGAGTAGTAGTCGAATTCCAGAATTTGTGCATGCAATCGCTCACATCATCAGACGAAATCGAAGAAATTCGGGAAAGCTATGAATACAAATATCTTGGAAATGAGACGAGAGAGATTCTTGACAGAAAATTAAACGAATTTGACAAATTTTAAGCAATTTTATTTAATTTTTGTGATTTGAAAAAAAAATACTTGAACTTCAATGATGATGTCGAATGCGGACGGCAAAAACGAATTTGAAATTCTGAAACTTGCTTGAAATGCTAATCGATGTCGTTCTGAAACTTCGAAACTTGAAATATTTTACTTTTATGTACATGCCGCCCCTCAACGATTTTTATCGATTCTTGAATCCACCGTTTTCGAGATACACTGCTGAACAGGCTGCACTCATTTCTGTCTTCATCTGAAAATTTGATTAAATAAATTATTTTTTCATTCTTTTATGTGTTTATAATATATATTAACGAAACATTAGCAAAAACAATTTTTTAAAAACCGAGAAAATAAATTAAAAATTTCGAAATAATGGCGGACGTGGAATGTGGCATGGCCGAATAATTCGCGGCCGCGGCCTGCACTGAAGGCTTAATGTCAATTTTACTGCCAATTACGGCAATTAATTTGTCATCGATCAATTTGAGAGTATTCGATAATCTGAAAAAAAATTATCGTCTTTGATTATCTTTGAAGAATTCGTTGGCAAATATGACGAAACTCGAAATGAGTCAGCTAAACTAAACTATATTTACCTCAAATATGAATCATTGGAGAAATTGCGCAATTTCCCCACCTCTTGAATCATCTGATCGAAACACAAAATTCAAGAATTTTTTTTTGGCTGATTTTTAAAATAGAAAAATTATTTAAAAAGACAAAATTTCAATGCAGAGAAATATTCATTTTTTCCCATTTTTAATTTCTTCTCCAATTTTTTTTTTGAAATTTTCTCTTCATCAAGCTTCATCTGAGCTTTCAGAAAAAAATTTTGGTTTAAAAAATGGGTGTGCAATATTTGCCATTTCTTGACACTTTAATCTTCAACCAGTATTTTAGGTGTGATGGCGAAGGTCGCGCCATCAATATTTACTCGCTATCATTGAATAAATATTTCAATCAAAAAAAAAAAACGCCAATTGTTTGCACAGATTGTTTCGGATATAACTTTTCGATTACCATCACTACCAACTCGCGTCGAATTCAATTTCTTTCGACGGCTCTGAATTTGATCGTGGCGTGTTGCTGAAATCCGACACCCAAACCCTTATAATATATTTAGAATCGTAATTCCACATATACGAAAAACGTAATATTGCGTTTTCGAATAATTTATACACATGTGCCCATATATAGTCTCCTTTAACTCGGAAAATCTTGTATAAAATCTCTATCTGATTTTTCCAACCAATTAAATAATTAATTAATTAATTAATCCCCAAATCTTTCTAGATATGACATTCATTACCTTCTGTTCTCGCATCTACCTATTCATCATGAATCTGGCGATGCTGGTAACATTCAAAACGCTCGATTATTCCCCAATTCATCAATTCCAGCTAGTCGGCCTCGCTGTCATCGCATTAGCGCTATGGATCAGATTCGATGACAACTTCGAAGCGGAAATTCGCAGCAATCTGCTGTTCAAGGGCGATCCTGAGCCGATGTCAAGCGACAAAGAGGCATTGAGAACATGGGTAGATCAAAAAAAAAAGAAATATCAATTCCGAGCTGGCAACCAGAGATTTCTAGTGTCTCGTCTGCTTCTGGGTGATCATCGGCTTCGCGATCGCTTCGGTGCTCATCGGACTCGCCGGAATCCTTGGCGCCGCTCTCAACGTCAAATCACTGCTGGTATCGCATTTCGCGCATTTCCCTGATGCTCATCGTTTCCAGGGCGCCTATGTCGTCGCAATGATTCTGCTGATCGCCCTTGAGATTGCCGCCGGCATTTCGATGCTCACCAAGAGAAGCCGCGTGAGTTTCATCATCAAAACGAGGCCAACATTTTAAACGGGAATTCCAGTTGCGAAATCACGTCAAAGACTATGTGTTCGACGCCTACAGTATGAATTCGCAGCAAGACATTCAAGCGTTCGTCTATCGGGTAACAAATTTCCATTTTTTTTTTCCTATTCAAATATCGATTTTATTATTGAAAACCGCTATATTAGCAATGAAAAAAATGACAAAAAATGTCCGCAGATGGAAATGAATAAGTCATATGGATGTGATTTTCCGGATCTTCGAATTTATCAGAGCAGACCTTAAAAGAAAAAAAGAATCATAGGAGAAATTTTGAAATTATAATAATTTATAAAATAACTAAGATAATTATTACAATTTTTCAAAATGAAATTCAAAAAGAACAATTCGCCTTTTTTGGGTTTCACAGTAGTTCCCAAAACCTTTCTTACACTTCTAATACGACACTCCAATTTGACATCGCCCTCAATTTAGCGTATCTTTGTTTCTTTTTCCTCTGTAAAAACCTTAAAAATGTGCATTTTCAATGCTCAACGTCAATTTAAAAAAAAACTTGAAATCAAGGGGCTTGATGGCCGAATATTTTTCAAAAAAGAAAGGATTAATTTTTCAGACACCCCCCCCCTTTAATGGAATAATTCAAAAATTAATATATATATATATCAATTTTCGAGTATCCTGAGAATATCGCCAATCATTTTCAGTACAATTGTTGCGGTGCGGACAACCTGAACAACTCGCAATGTGCGGCCGGCCAGCCGACGTGCTCATCGGCGGTCTGGGATCGATTGGACTTCACCCTAATGATATTCGGCATCTGTATGCTCATCATCATCATCATCGAGATATTCACAGCCATCGTGCCGCTTCCAATTCTGTTGCGGAAACGCCGACAAACGTCCTACTACGATCAATGAGCCATTATTATGAGAGGGGTCGCATGTAGCTACGGGTAGTCGGCAACATTCAATACATATTTCATTGTTTTGCTAATAAAATTAAATACGCATAGATATTAATTACAGAACCTATCAAGTTACAATTTTTTTCATTTTCAGTGAGAGATTTTGAGCTTTACGTTTTCTGCTAGATTGAATCAAAAAATCTTCAAAAATTCTATCAATTAAATAGTTGGCAAGGTTGGCCCTCATCGAGTATGAAGAATGCCAAAATTTTCAGAATTTTCCCAAAATTCAATTTTCAAATTTCGCGGCTCATCACAATAATTCGGAATGATTCGGCTCTCGGCAAAACCCGCAAAAACTCAAATTGCACCCTCTCACTGTTTATTTGTGCTCCAAATGAGATTGCGACGGAGCACCCGGCGAGCAGCGAGCGCGCGAGAGCCAGCTCGTCAAATAAAAACGCGGCTGCGCCTTACAATCCGCCGTCGTCCACTGTCTCTCTCTCAAAACCGAACCTTTCCTCGATTCCAACACCAACGCAACTTTTGATTTCTAGGACCCCTCGCGCGCGCGGTCAATCGATTTGATAACTGTTATTCGGGGGGTGGGATGAATTGGTGGAATGGCGAAATGGGTGTCCGCCGCCTGATATCTCCGCGTTGACCGTTTTTAATTAGATCCAGACCTTTCATCTCTCTCTCTCTCTCCCAAATTCCACATTCTATCGCGATTTTTACAATGCGCCACTGGCTTCGCGTTCGTTTCGTTCTGACCCCCCCCCTCTGTCGTCATTCGAATCGGGCTCCGCTGTGTGTTACACACAATTACTCGCTTTTCACGATTTCGAAACCCCCTCCAGTTTTTGTGCTATAAAACCGACAAGGTCCATTGCGAAAAATTCATTTTTGTTACAATTCAAATGTCCGCAGATGCAATTGCTTGTAATTCCCGCATTGTTGATTTCTGTTTGCTCCTCGTAACATCGCCAAAAAAGGAAACGCGACAAAAAAGACGAAACAATTGTTATATTGTTTATGATTAGGCGATGATTAAGGCGTTTCGGCGGCCCCCACAAAAAAAAGTGACGATGGGGGGGGGGCGTTTCGATTTTTTATTTTGCCGCCGCGATTCGTCGATAACAATTGTCTCAATTCTCGCGTGCACGCCAGCCCGCTTCGTTCCAGTCACTCATTTTCAACCAATTTTTCAGCCAATGCCGTTCAAGCCCGTCGAGCATCCGAAATGCCCAAAGTGCGGCAAGTCGGTGTATGCCGCCGAGGAGATGAGCGCCGGCGGTTACAAGTGGCACAAGTTCTGCTTCAAGTGCAGTGAGTTTTGAAGACCGCCCGGGGGGGGGGGGGAGGCTCCAAAAATGTCCGCAGATGAATTATTAGATGATTAGCTAAACACCTCAAATGTTTGCCGTCCTCCTCGCGACACATTGTTTGTGTTGTCCGCCGGCAACTAACAGCGGTCCAAAAATCGAAACCCACCAAGCCCAATAGCAAAAAATGTCATGCTTCCTCAAATAATCGCCTATAAGTGTACACTGTGCCATCATTCTCTTTTTTGTCTCGCTAGGTATGTGTAACAAGCTTCTCGACTCGATGTCATGCTGCGAGCACCAGGCGATGCTCTTCTGCAAACAGTGCCATTGTCGACGGTACGGGCCAAAGGTGAGCGCCAAATGTTGCCGGGCTCAGGTGTGCTCATTGTTGTTGTTTTGCCATTTTAAGGGCGTCGGGTTTGGCATCGGAGCCGGCTCATTGACAATGGACACCGGCGAGCAGTTCGGCAACACCGAAGTCGACATGACGTTTGTTTTTCGCCTCTCTTCTTGCTTCTGTCTTGCCGTTTTGTTGATCTGTCCGTATCCAGTCCCGTCCTCGTGTCAATACTAATCCACAGAGTTGATTGAGGGGGTCAACTGAGGTTTTAAAGGCGCATTGGGTTCCCCCCACCTACCTTCATCTCTATCATAAGGCTAATCCTTTCGAGACCACTTCAACACAATTTCAGACATGTGCAACAAGCTGCTCGACTCGTGCACCGTCGCGCCGCATGAGAACGAGCTCTACTGCAAGCAATGCCACGGTCGCAAGTACGGACCGAAGGGCGTCGGATTCGGACTCGGCGCCGGCTGCTTGACGACCGACAGCGGCGAGAAGTTTGGCGGCGAGAAGCAAACGTAATCGATCGATGACCGATTTTTGGGTGGTAATGATGGCGAGCCTAATCCGAATGTCAATTCCCCCCCCCCTAACCATCTAACCACCCAAAAACCATCCCATGCTGCGGACAGATTGACAGCATCATCAGACTAATTGAAGAGTTGATGGAAATCCGAAAAACCCAATTTTTTTTTTGCAGGAATCGACCAATGACCGCCGAGGCTTTCACCGCGCCAATCAATCCATCGCATAGTTAAATTCTACCCCCCCCCCCCAATATTATATATATGCGATTTTTCCACCCCCTTTCTTCACTTTCCAACCTACTACTATTAATATTAGATTATTTGAACAACATAATATTTAAATAATAATGATAATAATTGCGTTTGAATAATTTATTGTCAAAAATAATGCGACGCTCAGTGCCGTCTCTTTTTGTAGGTGTTCTGGGCGCCCGACGGCGGCTCCTGGATTCCTTCGCTCTTCTTCTCGTCGTGACGCGCCGGACACGGACAATAGTTGGCGTCTTTTCCTGAAGCAACTCGATGTTTGACGAGAAATCGAAATCATGATTACCTGGCGCTCCGGTTTTTCCTGGCGCTCCCGGTGTGCCGGGGAACGCGTCGTGTCCCGGCTCTCCCGGGGTTCCTGGCGCGCCGATCGGTCCCGGCTCGCCGTCTTTTCCCGGCTCGCCGTGCTTTCCCGGAAGTCCGGCCTCGCCGGCCCATCCCGGCTCTCCCGGCTGTCCGGCGGCGCCCGGGAAGTAGGCGGTTCCCGGCATTCCGTCGGGTCCGTTCGCACCGTCGAATCCGCGTGGTCCCGGTGCGCCCTTGTCGCCTGCTGGTCCTTCGGGTCCCGGCTGTCCGTCATCGCCAGCCGGTCCGACTTTTCCGCACGTTCCCGGGAACCCTTGCGGTCCGACCTCTCCTTGTGGTCCCGGTGGTCCTGGCGGTCCGGCGGGACACTCGATGCAGCCTCCTGGAATGTGGTGAATGGCGGCCAACGAGATGCCCGACGCTCCATTGCGTCCCTTCTCTCCTGGAAGTCCCTCGTCACCGCGCTTTCCGGGTGCTCCTGGCGGTCCTGGCGGTCCGGCTGGGCATCCCTGCGAGTTGGCGTCGCAATTGCACATTCCCGGATAGACGTGTCGCTTGTTGCGGAAGATCGACGGCATCGGATTGCTCGATTCGCCCGTCGGCGACTGAAGAATCAGCAGACGCTGCCATGTGTCGTCGGCGAGTATCTTGAACTCATCGACGCGTCCCTCGACCTCGCCGCGAAGATTGTTGATGTCCTGCACGATGGTGCCGATCGAGTAGAGCGACGTCAGAATACCGAAGAGGCATAAGCCAGCGCCAACGTAGCCGACAGTAGACATGGTGGATGTCTATCGGCGATCGTTCGCCGCCGTTGCCCTTTTATACGGTGAGATGGGCGCGGTCGGCCGGCGGTGATCCGATCCGATGCGATCATCGCAAAAACTTGACGATGAACCCGTTTTTTTTCTCCATTCTCCTCACCGTCGCTTCGCTTTTTTCGATGTTCACCTGTGGGAGAAGGGCGAACCCCAACCGATTAGCTGATCGAAACGCACGATTTCGAATGCCTTTTTGTCGTTGGTGATTTATCACTGTGATTAGCGCGGCGCGAAAACAATAACAATTAAATAAATGGCTTGGAGACGCAAAATTCGCAGATCTTATTCCTAATTGTTCAACATTTTATTCAGTTTTTTAATTGTGATTTTTTTTTTGGGTCCGATAAAAGCTTAATTACGACAAGTTACGAAGGAATTCAATAGATAATTAGATAAATAGATAATTGTTCCTTCATGAATTTTGTTTTAATTATTTGAATAAATTAAAAAAAATATATATATATATATATAATTATTCCAAAAATTTATAAGAAAAATATTTTTTAAAGTAGCGAATATTAGTATAAATAAAAAAATTTTTCTCCCATTTTCTTCCGAAAAATTGATTCGCGAAAACAAAAAATAATTCGAGAAAAAACGGAGTACTGTTGGGTTTCCATTCAAGACCATTGAGAAAAATTCCAATGCGCCTTTAATATGTGTTACGGTATTTTATTTTTTTTGTGATTTTTTTTCGATTTTCAAACTATTTTTCAATATTCTCATTAAAGATTCCAGATTTTCAACTAAAAAATGATATAAACGTGGGAAATATATTACTAAAATCGTAAAATGCTCATTTAAATTTCAAAAATTTAACGTTTTTACTCGAAAAATGCCAGTCAATTGTTGAGACACGGTGTTTTTTTTTTCAAAAAAAAAATCGCGTCCCACAATTTTCGAATCTTCGTCTAATTACCGCGAACGGTGTGCACCATCATCAATCACCATCATGAATAATTCCAAAGCAGTCTTCGATTTCGACTACCGGCCGGATTGTCTCCCGGTCAATGCGAATGAGCCCGAAGGCCCAACTCTAATTGTCGCGTCCAACAATTGGCAGATGCACACGTTTCGCGCTCCGTTGAATGCTCAAAAGGATGCTGGATGAGTCAGCCACCTGTCAGGTATCTTTTTGTTCGCCGGGGTCCAATGCAACCCCCCCCCTTCGTCCGGACTCCCAGTCGGGTTAATCCAATGTAATCCGCACAATATTATAATAATTAGTCGCGATTGCGCAATATGAATTATTGAGGAGCCCATCATCATTCGACTATTTAGTGACTTATGAGGTACCCATTGTGTGTGTGTGTGTGTGTTTCGATGGTCCGCGCCGGCCGCCGGCGCGCACGCGTCTCAATTACATGAATGTTATGTTCATTGACGCAATAATACACCGAGCCGCACAATGAGATCAAAAGCGGCGCGTTTCGAGACTGTCGACACATTCGTCAAACGTCTGTCGCGTTCACGATCCGATCCGATCCGATCCGATCCGATAATCAATCCTGTTTTGATTTATTATGCAATTTCGATTACTCGCAAAGAATGAATGCCGCTTGTTGCTGCGAACACTGCTCCCGCCAATTGTCCGCAGCTGCTTTTTGATATATCGAATGTGTTGACCCAATTGCTGGCAATTGTCCGCAGCAAGAATTCGATATCCAGTGTTTCCAAATTTTCAAATCGCCAAGCCCCGAGTAACAATTAGCATAAGTAGTAATAGTAATAGGCTCATCATTTTCCCATAAATCTCTGAAAATAACAAGATGAATAATTGATGTTGCGAGAAATCGCAACACAAAAAAAAGAGAAACCGAATGGCATGAAGAGATGGGCAGGAAATCTGGAAATTCGCCATTTCCCTCTCACATTATTAGTTGATGGCGTCGCCGACGACGACGATGTCGCATCGGCTCCACAACGAAATAGTGCGCCGACGTCGGAGTGTCGCTCCGAAGCACAAAACGAAGAGGGTGGAGTTTGTCGTGAAATATTCATTAACCTGCCTGCGAATCTCTCGTCGTCGTCGTTTCGGATTACGGTAGGCGCGCGAGGCATGCCCGACGCGCACACATGTGTGTACGTGTTTGAACATCGTTAACGTGAATTTTGAATGGATCGGTTGTTGGAAAGAGACGGAAAAAAACGTGTTATATATATATATACAATACACCACAAAATAATAATAATTTTGGGGGGCTATTAGGGTAAAGCAGAAGAAAAAAAAAAGGAATTTTCGAATCAGAAGATGTCCATAATTCCCTAGGAAAATTTGAACGGGTAGATCAAGGAGGTCAAAACGAAAAAAAAAAAACATTTGGTTGATGGGAAACACAATCGAATACCCCAATGGCAAGGGACGCATTTGGTGTGGAACGGAGCAAAAACAAAAATCAACAAAATTTTCAAGGATTAGTCATAAAATGATGGAAGTGCTCCAAACGGCGAGCATTTCGTTGTGTTTGAGTTTGGCATGATTCGATTGCTCATGACGGCGGCGGCGGCAGCGGTGTTGCGCGCGCGGAATTGCGATCGGAAGTCACTGCAAAAAAATAATGAGAAAATTGAGATCATAGATTCAATTAATTTTCAGACTTCAAAAATTTCAGAACATTTGATTTCCATCGAATTTGTTGGGATTTCCCCCCACAAAAATTGCACTTTTAATTAATTAATTGATTAATAAATTAGAAATAAGTCAACCGACCTACCGTTTTTGCTTTTGCCTCTGATTGCAGAACCAGACTCGAACCACATTCTTCTTGAGATCCAGACGGTCCGCAATCGCGGCTATCCTCTCGCCCGACGGTCTTGGTTGTTGCCTACAATAATTTGCACATGCATTCAATTAATGGCCATTTCTTTCTTTTTTCGCCCTACTTGAAATAATCTTCTAATAGCCGCTTCTCGGGCGCCGCGATACTCGTGCGTTTTCGTTTTTTGTCCGTGTTCGGCAGAATTCCATTAATGTCGCCGATCGTGTCCTTCTGCTTCATCGCCTCTTCGGCTTTTTCGAGCCACGAATGCAGAATCGGCTTGAGTGCCACCATATTGTTGTGCGACAGCGTCAGCGACTCGAATCGGCAGATTGTCGACTGCGACAAACTGCCAACACCCGGCATTTTGAGATGCGCCAACGCTTTTCCGACGTCAGCCTTCAAAATCGGGAATCAAATATGCAGACTCTAATAAATACGAACCTGTGTTACGCCAAGCTTTATCCTCCTCTGCTTAAAGTGCTCGGCGAATCGTTCCAATTCACGCGGATCGGTTTCGAGTTCAGACGCTGGCGGAGCAATCGGATATCTCGCAATATTCGTCGGATTCGAAATCGATGAGGTCGCAAATGGATGAGTCATGTTGTATTGGAAAGGTGGCGGCGCGCCATAGCTTTGCATTGCCATCACCTGGAAAGTCGAAAATTTCAAAATAGCATTGAGTTTTGATTCCGAAAAGAAAATTGTTTGACCAACCTGCTGAAGGGGCGTCATTTGCTCGTCGGAGCTCGTCGGAACGACCACAGAAGCGTCGAATGGTTCGCTTGACGATGGAAGGCCCTGATAGATATTGGCTGCTGCGGACGCTTCGTGACTTCCAGTCATAAAATAGTTGCTGAAAATCAGCAATGTCTCATCAGAATTCAGTTTTGCAAAATAAAACAAACCTGAACATATCATGTGGTCTCATCAACTGATTGGTGAGCTGCACGTTCTTGACATCGATGTCGGCGAGGGCGGCTTGAGCAGCTCTCGCGTGAAGTAATGGATCATCGAACGATCCGAATAGGCTGTTGTTGAACTGAAATCGCAATATTCGCATATCGATAACTGGCGGTTTTGGTGGAAGTGTCGGCGACTTGCGGCTCATTTATTCATGAATTGGTACTATCGCCAAACAACGTCAATTGTTGCGGGCGTTGCCGGTTTTCACCTGCCCGAATTCCCGGTTTAGGTCAGAGTTTTTTCTATTTTCAGCGGAATTGCGTAAATCGCCGAGAAACAACTCATCATCGTCATTTTTAAACAAGAAAATTGAGGGAAGGTGGTTTTTGTGCGTACTCTGAATTGAACATGAAACAGCGAAAATAGAAATCTAGGTTTGGCAAAACCATTTTCCATGAAAGATGATTCCTAGTTGATATAAAATATTAATATCTGTTTTGAAGAGTTAAATATTAAAAAAAATGAAAAAATTTGAGAAATAAATCCATAAAAACGGGAAAAATTAGGAAAAATGGATTTTCGAATAATTTTTGAGTCTGTGCAATTCTGCGTAAAACTGTATTGCGTATCTAACAACATACCGTACTCAATCTAAAAAAAATTAAGTTTACTCGTTTTTTTGGCTAAAAAAATAGCGTTTTCTCGTAGAAATATATAAGAATAAGCAATTTGAGACGGTTGTTTAAGAAGGTCGACATTTCATAAGTTAAGAATGATTGCCAAATAGTTTTCTCTCAATAAATTATGGGAATTGAACTTTAAACCGAATTTGATTTAATCATTCCATTAATCTAACAGTGATTTGTTTCAAAACACGAAACTCTTGTACTAATCCGATGTTCATCGGCCAAAGAAAATACCTTAAGAAGCGAAAAAATAAAATTCGTTCATCAAACATGACTGGTATGGGGTGTGGGGCAGCAAAGTGAAGAAGGCAGGCAGGAGGCACACAAAGAATGAATATTTGATAAAACTAATCAACAATTCAATGAATAAATCGGTGTGTGTGTGCTCGTCTATTCCCAACTTCTTCTTCTTCGTCGTCAGCTTCTTCGCTATTCGCGTGCCCCCACCTAATTCCGTATGCCGACAATGTAATTATTAACAACACGTGTGTATATATATATGTTGAGGGGCTCAGTAATGAGCACAGAAAAAAAAACTATTTAGGGTCCCAGAAAAAAAAAGAACGTACGGTTTGCATTTTTGTCGACGAGTAGTTGACCAAGTTGTTGGAAGCCGTCGTCGAAACGTTCGCCAAATGAAGCTGCGACGTCGAGGAGCTACTAGTGCTCATGATGAGATGTGGATCTACTCGGTGACCTTGGCGAAGCGAGCGAGCGCGCCGGAGACGGCCGCCCGAATTGGATGGGGCGTGGTCGCCGATGGCCGACTACGGTAGTCGGACCAATGATGGTGTATGGGAGAGGAGGGGGGAGCTCATCTCTTGGCCACACCCCCGCGTGTCGTAAAGCTCGAGTTTTCAGCACACCCCCCGTCGAAACATGATAATTATCAGCTTCATCGATGGTTTGACCGACTGTAAATGTGGTGCCGATGGGTGGCCGACGGGCGGTCGACGAAAAAAAGAAAAGACGGAATGGCTTCGAGGCGAGGGGCCAGTTGTTGAATTAAATATAGTTCGGCGGGGTGGACCGCCCGGGGCGGCCGAGTGACATCGATGAAATATTAAAAAGAAACGACACACATAGATATTATAAATATATATATATATTTTTTATATGTACACATATTCTTGTCAGCTTTTCGCCGCTGATCGTCTATTCGAGAATTTCAAAGATTTGCACAATTCAATTCCTTCCAATTGCGACCGTTTTTCTTGCCATATTTCTCGAAAAAACGAATTGTCCGCAAACACTCCGTACGCACTCTGCGGACTTTTTTCTTGTTTTGAATTTTTAATTTTTTTTCCGATTTGCCGTCACTCCTCCCACGCAATATTTTGACATTGCAGCCGTTAACTTGTCCGCAGATGTTATCTCATGTAGCTCCATGACCCATGTAATCTAGTGTGTTAATCTCAACGCAAACATCGACCGCCCTTCTACAGTATCATCAGCTGCCTCCTAATTGGTGGTGAATGTTTGCATTGGGCATTAAATGTAATCGAGTATCCGTTCAGGCTTCTTCTTCTTCGATGTGTTTCATTCGTTAGTTTTTTTTTCTGTGGTGAGCTCAAAAACAAGTTGAAGCTGCTCGTCGTCGCTCGTTTTCACGCTTCAATTTGTTGACAGAAAATCGTCGTCGTGGCTACAGTATACCGCAGTGCAGAAGGCCGTCCAAAAAAAAGGAGAAGAAGAAGCTGAAGAAGATGAAGAAAGCGAAGGAGGATGAATGGGGGGGGGTCTGCTGAGGCCGAGCGACGAGAAGTCATACATTAATAATAAGGTGGTGCGAGTCGAGAAACGCACCGAAATTCAAGAGGACGGACTCAACACAGGCTGAAGAAGGTCCGAAGCACACAAAAAAATTTTTGGAGGGACGGCGCCACTATTTGCACTATGGTCCCGATTTATCCCAAAAAAAAGTATCATCCTATTTATTGGTACCAAGTGGGACGGGACCATTGAGAACTTTCAATTATTCATTCACAATTGAATATTCAGCTACTAAAATGACTTATTCAAATCAAATTTCCTTGTTCGTTGTTTTTTTTTGAGAGATAGCTGATTTTCATCAATGAATTCGCTGCGAGACCTGATTACTGTAGCGAATGCGCGCGCGCGAAAACTCAAGTGCGCATTATCGCATTGTTTGTCTCGCGAAACCATATTGACTGTAAGTGTCTTCCATTCCATTCAAGACCACACATGCGGACGAAATTCACACGGTCTCATGATGGTGTCGAGAGACGGCGTCGAATCGAGAGAGCGCCGTGGTGCAGATGGCTGGTATCATGGATGGATGGCTCCTAGATGCCGATTGACGTGATGACGAGTTATTAATTGGTGGCAGCGATGAAGAGAGCAAGAGGGTCGGTGGTGGTTCGACATGCACGCGATGAGGCATCGACACCGAAGGTGGTGGTGGAAGCTAATTTCGCGAATGGAATCCAACCAACTTTTTTTTGGTCCTCCAACATATGGACAAGACATCATGCTTTATTACAAATTAATTTGTCACGACGATGACGGGGGGGCCGAGAAGAAGGAAATGATGAGGATGATGAGAAATTGAAGGGAGCCACGATATAGTCAAGACGGCTTGATGTATTGCCATTCGTGTACAACAAATACAGTGCCGCTTGTAATTATGTCTCGCCGCGAAACACGATAAACGCGCATTTAACGCACTAATAAGGCTTTTGAGCTTTTTTGCGGCATCGAAATATGGTCACGCGAAGCCGACACACACATGTTGCCCGCTCGCGCACTGTTTTATGACCGCCGAATTGATGAAATGCACAAATTGGATGTCAATTGGTGCGGGTTTTTACGCGCACAACACCATATTAGGTAGGGATTATAATAATATGTGGAGACAAGCAATCGAATAATTGACTTGAAATTTATTGTGGAAATTTTCAAATATAGACTTATAACATTATGAAAAGAACATGATGGTAATTATATTATTTTTCTGACAATTAAAATTTATTTATTTTTGCCAAAAAGTTCTAAAATTAAAAAAAATCGAAATAAAATAAGAAAGAATATTTGAATACCGTAATCGAAATTTCAAGGAGCATGTTGGTTGAGGAAAATGGTCTTGCCGCGAAAAATACGATTATTAATTTTTTCGAAAATTTTTTAAATCGAAAAAAAAATTTGTTTTTGAAATTTCTAGTTGTGATTTGTTTTTAAAATGTTCTTTTAGAATTCAATTACTTAATTTCCCTCCGTTTTTCACTTTGTCTTTTATTTTGCAGCGCGGAGTCCCTTGGTTGCCATAACAACGAACCGCATTCTGCCAACTGAGATGAACAATCTACGGCGTTTTTCGATATTAAAATGGACACCGATGGCGATAGTATTGTCAATGAATCCGAAGAACAAAAGAAATGGTCGACATCCGATGAAAATCAGTGGAGAATTGTCTCCAATATTCACTATTATTTAAGGTTTGCTTACAAAATTTCTCAATTTTTATATTTTATTAATGGTACAGAGAAGGATTCTACGGGACCGCTTTGCAAATTTGCGACGGATTTCTGCGAACTTCAAAAGATTCACTCGTTTCCCTATATAGAGGTGTATGTCTAACGCTTCTTGGAAAGATTCCTGAAGCCACACGGGCTCTTGAGCAAATCAACGACGACGAAATTTCGCTAGGAAGCTTGTACGCCCTCAAATGGGCGCATTCTTCGGCGTTCAATCCAGGTATCAAAATATAATTAGGATGCACGCAATAAATTGCGTTTGGAAATATGTATTTTGTCGAAAACCATCTGCCGACAATTTCCTGTTTTGCAATATCGATTGATTTCAGACAAGCAATCTCTAATCGAAATCGAAACATCGATAAGTGGAAAGAGTCACGATGAAAAATGTCCGTCGTCATCGTTTGCCGCCGCCGCCGCCGTTTTATACTTTTCCGGCGAATATCAAAAAGCGAAGCAATTGTTGGATTTGGCGAGGAAAAAATCGAATGAGAGGAGAGCTGAGGTAAAATTTTTATGTGAGATAATTAGGAGAAACGTATTCCAGTATTACTGTCTCCTTGGCTGGATCGATTTGGCTCTGGGACGTAACCAGAAATCCACGCAAGAGTTGTTCGAAAAAGCCGCCGGGCAAGGATATCCGGACGGCTATATCGGACGATGTCGGATTCTTGAAGGCTATCATTCGGCAACCGAAATGAAAACTGTCGCCAAAGAATTGACAATAACCAGCTATCAATTCGTTCCGGGACACATTGAACGAGTGAAGTCGGCGATTATGCTGAAAGAATGGAACAACGCGATCGACGCGCTTCAGAATTCCAACGTCCCCGATGGAAGTAACGCCTACATTGAATTGCTGCGAACAGTGCACGCGATATGCTCGGCGGGCCTCAACGGTGGTCTGAATACAACGCTGGCTTCGATGCAGAAATGTCTGGAAGACAATGAGCCTGACAATCATTCACTGTTCGGCCGAATTGCCGGATTGTTGGCATCGCTGAGTGGCAAGGACAAGGGCATTCTCACATTTGCGAGGTAGAGGGAGAAGTATTGCGCGATATCTGAAATCGATCAAATTTTAGGCGAATCGCTGCCAAGGCGCTTCAGATTTCAAGAAAACCGGAATATCTTGCGTTGGGCCTTCGGATTGCAGTGGGACTCGCCGAAACCAAAGAAGTCTCATCGATTTCCAAAGAACTGATGACGTTGGATTGCGATGATCCGTTTGCATCTCTAGGTAGTGAATCCCATGCATTCATCGATCCTTTGGAATTTCAGGAACTGTTCTGGCGATGCTGATGAGTGGCAGAATCAAGGATGCGGTCACCCAATACGAGATCATTCAAGCCGCTCATCCAAAACTTGAAGAATCGGCTGTAATTTGATTTTTCAATAAAAAAATGTAAAAATTGTTTGCCCTTTCAGCTTTATTACACAATTGGTGCAATAATTGGGAAGCAAAGTGGAAAATCGAGTTTTGACGCGTTTCGGCAATTGATTGAAACAAGTCTGGACAAGCATAGAATACAAGTCCAGGTAAAAAAATTCGAATATAGGATTCGTTTGAATTCTCTTCATTATTTCAGAGCTATCCATTTGGTCTGAAATATTTCGAGCATTTTCAATCCGATCTTCTTTATCTCATGGTTGAGCAAACGTCTGATTTCGCTCCACTTGTGGTATTTCGGCATTACTTGGAATTTTTTTTCAAATTTCTTCATTTCTAGCCCATTAAATCTGCCAATGATTGTTTAAAACTCGGCGAAAAAATTCTGAATCTCATAATCGAGACGGCTCCAGCTCTCTCGCATTGTACCTACCAAATGGCAAAAATCAAATATCTCGGTAGCAATTATGCGGATGCCGAGAAGTTTATTAAAATGAGCTTGGATAAGAATGAAACATTCACCGAGGGCTACATTTTAAAGGCGCAGGTGTTGAGACGATTTCTGTGGAGAATCTGAAACGCGACAATTGTTACAGATAATCGTTGATCGCGGCGGGAAACTCGTGGAAGCTGAAAATGCTTTAACAACGGGTTTGAACTTCAATTTTGCTCTTCGAGAGACATCTCTTTATCATTTCATCAAAGCGAAAACGCTAAAGGTGATTTTAGATTCACTAAACATTCTGAAAATCCGTCTGCGGACATTTTCGATTGGCAAATATTATTTTGCAGAAGAAGAACGAGAATGAGGAGGCTGTCAAAACGCTTCGAGCTGGTCTCAGGCTTCCCGTCAAAGAAGTCACGAATAATCTTCTTCTTCCGTGAGAATGTTGATCGTTTCTCAATTACCTTGAATTATTCTTATTGTAGAAAAGAAGAAGCTGACACTCATCGAATATCGGTTCAGTTGGAGCTCATTGACACCTTGCAAATTATGAAAAGAACTGTAAATTTTTTAAATAGTCAATTTGTTTTTCGAGTTAGGCCATCGGTTTTAGGCGGAAGCTGAACAGGCAATGAACGATGCGATGAAGGATTGGGAGGGCAAACCGGAGCAGGAGCAGCTGATCATCTCACAAGCTCAACTTTTTGTTACCAAAGGTCAAGCCGATAAGGCATTGGCGTTGTTGAAGAAGGTGCGCTTTGTTTGGTGATTGCTATTATTTGAAAATATTAGTTGAAATGATTTTCAGGTTCAACCCGGTCAGGCAAATTTCCATCTATCGCGCGTGAAAATGGCCGAAATTTATCTGGAAGAGAAAAAAGACAAATTCATGTTCGCCGCGTGCTATCGCGAACTGCTTGAAGTCGAGCCAACGCCGGCGTCCTACTCGATTCTCGGCGACGCGTTCATGAGTATTCAGGAGCCGGAAGAGGCCATCGCGTATTATGAGCAGGCGCTGAAAATGCAGAACAAAGATTTGTTGCTCGCCGAGAAAATTGGCGAGGCCTATGTGATGTCGCATTTGTATACAAAAGCGGTCAACTTCTACGAAGCTTCGATGAACATTTACAAGGACAAAAAGATGAGGTTGCGATTGGCCGAGCTTCTACTCAAATTGCGCAATTTCGAGAAATGCGAACGAGTGCTGAAACAGCCATTGGAGCAGGAGCCGAATCCGATGGGTGCCAAAGAGTCATTCGACGGTGTTGGTTAAAGCTTGAATATTTCAGATCCCGAAGTGATTAGCGCGCATGTTCAATTCCTTCTACTGTTATCGCGGACATATCAGCAGAAGGAGCAATATTCTGATGCCTTCGATTGTATGAATAAGTGAGTTTGTTGAATTTATTAAGCAAAAATGAACATGTATTATCATAATTGATATTAGAGCGAAAATGATGCAATTGCGATTGTTGAATAAAAACGACACGCAGACGAACACGGCGGTTCGACGGGAAGCATCGAGGTAAAAAGAAATTGTCGGCAGATGCATTCTTTGAAATATTAATTTAATTTCGATTCTGAAAACGATTTTTAAAAAATAGCATTGGAAACTGGATGAAAAGGGGGATGATCTGTTGCATTTTAGTATTTTATCCACTTTTGATCCATGTTTCCAACGTTCAGCAAAGAAACACGATTTCGAGGTGAACAACGTGCATTTTTTGAAAATTTTCAGATCTCATAAGATCTGGAATTTTTTTTCGCACCTGTCTTACAATTTGTCAGCCCCCTGTTCCTAGAAATATACGACACTGAGAATTTAGAATTTGTTGTCTTCTTGCCGAATTGCATATGAGAAGACACGATGTATCAAAAGCCACCGAACTTTACAAAGAAGCTGTCGGGTTTTACGAAAATGACATTAAGGTAATTCAGCTTGTTCCTCTAATTGTTTTATTGTAATTCTTGAATAATTCTCAGAGCAATTTGGCTCTTGCTCATATTTACATGCAGCAGAATAAGCTTCAACTATGCAATCAAATGTGCATGACGGTTTTGGGAATTGAGCGGGACAATGATGAAGCGACACTGGTAGAGAATGTTGAAAATTTTTGGGTTTTGAGAATTGGACCATTCAGATGATGGCGGATTTGTTGTATTTGAAGAACGAGGGCGAGCAGGCGATTATTCATTTCATGCAGCTTCTCACACGAAATCCGAGTAAATTGCAAAAAGACGGAAGATTGAGACGGAAAATTAATGAAATAAAATTTCTAGATCATTATCACGCATTGGCAAGGGTTATTGAGTTGTCGTGGAGGATCGGCGATTCGGAGCACGCCGAAAAGTTTTTGGCGTGAGTGGTTTTTTTCTGCCGGATTCGAATTTCGCCTGATTTTGTTTTATAGACGTGCTGTTGAAGCCCAACCGCGAGCGATTCTCGACGCCGGCTACAATTATTGCAAAGGGCTGAATGAGTGGTTCACCGGCGATCCGAATGGATCACTTCAAGCGTTCAATCGAGCTCGTCGCGATCCCGAGTGGGGCGAGAAGGCGACATACAACATGATCGAAATCTGCTTGAATCCGGACAATGAAATTATTGGAGGAGAGGTTATGGATCAATCCGATGGGTTTGTGCTGCAAGATGACTCTCGAAATTGGGTTTTTTCAACTATTTCAGAAGTGACGACGCCGATCGTGCCATGGGTACGAAGACAGCGGAAAAGTTTTTGAAGGTGGCTTCTTAAATTGAAAATTTTGTGTGATTTTTGTTATGCTTTTTAGGAGCTCCGCTACAAGCCAACCGTTGATACGAGATACACGCTTATGGAGAACTTTATACTGATCCACACCGGAAATCGGAACAACATCAACAAAGCGTTGAATGTGTTTTTGACGATGGCTGGCGAAGGGGTATGTCGAATCGTCATTTTTGTGCATTTCGCATTATTAAGGAGCCGGTCGCAAATGTTGGCGCGGTGCTTGGCGCGGCGCGCGCCTATATGCTTCTCAAACAAAGTCCCAAAGCGAAAGCTTTGCTTAAGAGGGTGTTGGCACACAATTGGACGCTGGATGACGCCGATTATCTCGAAAAATGTTCGTCATTTATTTGCGACGATGAGAGAAGAAAAAAAAGAAAATGAACAATACAAACCAACCAGTGTTTCAGGCTGGCTGCAATTGGTTGATTTGTACATTTATCAGTCGAAAACCGAGCAGGCGACGAAGGTTTTGGATTTGGTGCTGCACCATAATGCGGTAATGGGGGTTTTTTGGAATTTGGCGAGAAAAGATTGCAAAAAAAATGAAAAACTTTTTAAATTCTGAAAGAAAACGGAGAAATTTTGAAGAATTTTAAGTAATCGAGGTTTAAAGGTGCTGGAAAATCGCCAAATATGTTATTGGTTTTATTCGACATGCCTGATTTATATATACGTCTCATATGGGTACCATTTAGAAAAATTCTTCTGTGCGGTTAAAAATTAAGACTAGATGAAGAAAAAAAGTTTTCATTTAATTTTCATGTACGCAAAATTGCACACATTTGCTTATTTCTAATGAATTCCCTTTAAGAATTGAATTTTTTGCAGCCAGAAAACATTGAATAAACTAATCTCTAACGTTTCTACATACAAATTTTTGATGAAAATCTCTCGTTTGATTTTTAAATTATTTTTCTCGTACTTCAATCAATCCAATTCGATTTTAGTGGATTTTTTTTTGGCATTTCAGAGCTCAATAAAAGCCTATGAATGCATGGGATATTTGCGGGAGAAGGAGCAGAAGTACGCAGAAGCTTATCAACATTATGAGAAGGCTTGGAGAATTTGTAAATTTCGAAATCCGGCGATCGGTGAGGCTTTTTTTTAATGAATTTAAAAAAATGAAAAAGAATTTAAAAATTTTAGGCTACAAACTGGCCTACAATTATCTGAAATGCAAGAAATTCTTCGCCTCAATCGAAACGTGCCATCGCGTCCTCGAGCAATTTCCGAATTATCCGAAAATCAAAAAGGAGATTCTCGACAAAGCTCGAATGCAAATCCGAACTTGAATTTGACGTTTTTAAAAATAAATCAGTTTTTTTTGTGTTCTTGCGTTATCCATAGATCAATTGCGACACTTTGTTGAGCATTTCCCATCGTCCTCCGCGATTTTCCCGCAATCTCTCTCTCTCTCTCCCGCAAGCCAGCTTTTCGAGTGCTCGATTGTGTGCGGGACAAATGAAACCAAGCAGTTCTATTCCGGTAGCGAGTAAGGTTTCGTTTCTTGTCAATTTTTCTTCTTTTCTGCTCAATATTTGCTTTATAGTAACCCTAACATAGAGATATAGTTAACCAATTTTTGAAATAACCGCTTTGCAGATCGAAACCCAAAAAAATGTATAAATGCGGGCAGCGAAAAGTGATACCGAATATGCCCGATTTGGTGCTTCGCAAGATTTTCTCATATTTCGACTATCGAACATTGTGCAAAATGGAAGGGGTGTGCAAGCGATGGATGAACATGATCAACGGCAAATTTCGTTGTGAGATCCATGAGATCACGATTGAGCGGGTTGGTTCGAACGGCTCAGGCAAATCAAATAAAATATTTTGAGAGTCAGATAATCAATAATAAATTTTGAAATATTTTGAGAAAAAAATGGGCCCTCAAATTCGCGAAATCTGTGTATTGTTGAAAAATGACAAATGTATTCAGGTGTCGTGGAATTCTGCGTTTTGTACGCAATGCGATGAACGAGTTACCGTAATCCACCAGGCGATTTACGGGGACTTTTTTAAATATCGTATACTAAATTTTTTAAATTTTTTCTATATTTACCAAAAAATATCGTTTAAAAGTACATATTCTGCTAAATAAGTAATAAAAATCGGTTTCTACAGATTTTGAATTTAAAAAATCGAAAGAAAATACGAAAATTGAGCGAAAAAATGAAAATAACATTTCCTAAATCTAAAATATTATTTAGAGACACGTTAGTTTCTCAATGAATCTCAAAATGATTTTTTCGATTTACCTGTGTGGACCGGCCAAAAACTGTCGATGATTTGCAGCTCGGATCACTTTGGCCGTCAGCCAATCAATGTGTTCCATTCCGTCGATTGTCGGTTCATTGCCCTTCAAATGCTCACGACTTTCTCGCCGGCGTTTATCGACGAAGTCGGCTATCTGTTATGCGAATGACCACTGATATCATATTTTTAGCAGATATTGATCAGGTTTTCGTTTTTTTTTTTTACTTTTCCACAATATTCATTGTTGCAGGTTAATGTTTCAAAGGACGCTTCTAGGCGATTTTTTAGTAATGTTGAAGATTTGTGGCTTCTCATGATTCATCCTGATGATGAGACGACGCGAAAATTCTTGCTGATCGAGGAAACGCTGTTTAGTGTGAGTCGAACGGCATCGGATATGACACAAGCTTCATCCATCTTCAGGATCTTCATCAGCTGACGCTTCAGGTTCACGTCAACTCGAAATTCAACCAAAATGTTTCGGCAATTGTCAAATCGTTCATTTTGCGCTATCCGAATGCTATTATCAATTTGGAGCTTCACGCGGAAACTAGTCGCGAGATATTGGAGCAGATGAGCGTTCTTCCCTCGTTGCCGCTTCACAAGATCAAGCTGATCTGCACCGATTTCGATTTGCCGCAAATGCGATTGGATCAATTGTATTCGGTGATGAAGGAGAAGCAACTAATGGCGAAGAATATCACATTAAGGTTGGTTGGTTTGGAAAAAGAAAATTGCTGAAAATGTGTTATCAAGGGATTGGTCGTTGTTCGCCGATGGATCCACAGCGCTTTCGCACAATCCATTGGAGACGTTTCGGATTTCGTGCTGCTCCATCGAAACCGTTGATAATCTCGTGAAAAGTCTTCAACTTACAGCAGCACAGGTTATTGAAACAAAGTTTTAAAAAATTGTGATTGTTTTAGGCGCTTCCGTCATCGGCGACGCCAAAGAAGAAAAAAGTGGTGAAAAAGAAAAAGGCGATCGATGATGGCGACGAGCCGCCGAAGCCGAAACGAAAAGTTGTCAAGAAAATTGTGAAGAAGAAGACGAGCTCGCCGTTCATTAAGAATTTGGAAATTGCCGGCCAATGCACACTTGTTGGATTGACGTTTTTGCAGGTAAAAAAAATTGATGGCTTTCAGCCAAAAATTGACGGGTTTCAGCAAAAAGCGCACACGGAATTGGAGCGACGTCTTGGCACCGCCATTCCGGACATGGCGGTTGATTGCAGCGAGATTTATTATTGTTGGTAGATCAACTATATGTGTAATTGCTCGTCATTTGTGCCAGTATTAGAATTTTTCGGGTATTTAGACATTTTATTTTTCAAATGAATGATTTATTTGGATTATTTTTTTCAATGAAATTATTAGGAAATGGAAGCAAGTAGGTTATAACGATTTTTTGAATCTAGCATTAAAAACTAAATGAATTTAAAATTTGTCATAGCTGGCCTGGAATTCTGATTTCTAGCGATGCATTAAAATAAATGAAAAATCAAAATATTCAAATTCCTCTGAAGAGCAACACGAGCAATATAGTGCTGAGTCGCATCTTATCAATAATTTATATAGTATTTTAATCGAGCACTCATTCTTATCTTTTTTAATTTCCAAAATTGTCTTCATTTATTTATTTAATGAATAAATGTATTTCCACGTGGCAACCTTTATTCTTCTTTTATGACATCAACTATCGTAAAATTGTAAAACAGTCACCAAAATAGATGTAATTTTTCCAGGCTTTGATAGGCCCGAGTCATTTTTGTTTCATAATTAATCCTAATAAAACATTGAATGATTGAATATCCAAATCATTACATTCGCATAAAGAAAATATTTTCCAATAATGATTATTTTAATGTAATCGTAGAATTCTAATCCAATTCGTATCCAAAAATTATTTAAAAATCATTTTTTAGAAACTCATGGTCAATTTCTAAACAAAACAACAACGATTATTTCAATTTCTGGCCAATTTTATTTAAAACCGACGCCGACCGCTACGCATACGCAACGCGGCCGATTGCTTGGCGGCATAAGCGCGCGAAATTTGAATAATCGGCGTCGAAACGACAAGCCTGAAAAATATTCTTTAAAAATATTTACCCCACTTTTTTTCAATATCATTTCAAGAATCATCAGCTGGCTACAATGTAGCCGAGATCAATTTGATTGATTGCATTTTCGGTTGGTCCCAACAAGAAAAAACTCCATGCAACACCTTCTTCCAAATAATAGTCCTTCAATCAACAATACCATTTTCCGTCATTGCGTAGAAACGCCGTCGTCGTTCTCTCGCGTCGCTCTCATATTCTGCGCGATGTCTCGCCAACTCGAGCGGCTACAAAAATTGGCTCAATGCCAACCGACGCCATCCGCCCGCGCGATTGCGACACTCACCGGCGTCCTCGTTCGCCAACAACACATCAATGTCTTGTCCCACATTTTGGCGTATTTTTTCTCATCCGTCTGCGCTCGCTAGCGCGTGGCTTTTTTTTCATTTAATCGTCATTCGCCTTCAATTATTATCGAATTTACTCGACTTTCAGAAATGGCTAAACAACTGAACTGGGCCGAGAAGTTCTATCTTTTCACCTACAACGTCCTATTGTTCGTTATGCATTTCATTGCGCTCATCGACATTTCTCAAGAGCGATGGAAAGGTTTCTGAAAAGCAAATTCACAAAAAAAATCATTGTTGTTGATTTCAGGAACGTTCAACTACTCGCACCATCATCAATTCGTTGTGATCTGCACCGTTCTTCAATTCGGCGATGTTCTTCACGCGAAGCTTGGTTTGACGAGCACCCATATCCCAACGGCCATCTTACAGGTGCCTTCATTTCAGATCATTCTTTCTTTACTCTAATTTGTTTCCAGATTGTTGGCCGCTTGTTGGTATTGGTGACCGCCAAGTCGAGCAGCTCGCTTTACACAGTCCCAACCTCATTCTTCCTCCTTGTTGCTTACTTGTCGATCGAGTGCATCCGCTATCCATACTATGCCCTTAAGATCTTCAAGTATGACAGCATCGCTGTGTCGTGGCTTCGTTACAACGCCTGGATCGTCTTCTACCCAATTGGATTCATTTGTGAAGGTAACTTTAGAACAGGAAATGAGATAATGATTTGATATTCAGCTGCTACGTTCTTCAACGCGCTTACCGATCACTATCAGACTGGAGCCATGCTGTGGAAGAAGCCATTCGGACTGCCGATCAATTTTGATTTCTCGATTTTGGCCGCGATTGCCTTGTTCTTCACTTTCCCAATCATCGTCAACACTTTGCTCAAGCATATGGTGAACCAGAGAAACGCCAAGAATCGTGCCATTGCCAAAAAGATTCGCTAAATATTTCTTTTCTTTTCGAATGATTATTCACGAATTTGTTACGCATAATGATAATAATAATAATAATAAAGAATTTGTACATTGAAAAATATGTTTATGAATTGAAAAAGAAAAGCTCAAAATTGGTTGTCACGAGACACCGCTCCAAAAAACTGTACGCGCCTTTAATTACAGTACCCAATTTTTTTTTTCAAAGCAACTGATTTGTGGCTGCAAATATCTATTTTATTTGTGGCTGTAATTTTTTTTTACAATGTTTAATATTTGAAGAAAAAAATTACATAAACAAGATTTACAATAAACTCGCGAAACTGAAAGAAAAAAAAAACAATTAATTAAAGACAAATTACACGAGAAATGAACTTGTTTTTGTTACCATTTTCAAACTGAAATCTCCGTTAAAAAATTAAAGCCCGAAACTTCAAAAAAAATTTGAGGAGCCTGAAATTTCGTAAATGAACATTGCGGTCGTGGCCGAACAATTTGAATTGGTGTTCTCGGCCCTCTTGATCGTATTTTGCAATAATTATCATTGACTAACGTTAATTGCCGACTGCTCGTCGTTGCAATCAAAATGGCGACACCGACCACTAGTAAAGGAAATGAGGTAAATGTTGGCATCGTTTAAACATTGGGTTAAGCTCAAATTTTTTGAAAAACAGCATTTTATTGATTTAATTGAAATTGTCTTTAAAACGAAATTGAAATGAAATAAAATAATTTCAGTGGCGGTATTTAACAACAGTTCCAATCAATCCAACTCTTGATACCCCGATTTCCGTGATAACTTTTGATCCATACGAAGAACTTTTGTGGTGCGGATCCAGTGCGGTAATTGAAATGAATATCAGAAGCTTAAAATAAGAAGTCGATAAATTTGAAGGGAAAAGTCGCTTCATTCACCGCCGCCCAACATTTCAATCGCTATTCCGCTTTCGTGTCGACCCGATTGGGCGCTGTCAATGCGCTCGAAGTCACCGAAGAAGCTGTGTTCTCACTGACCGACGTGTGCCTCAGAAGCACAACGCGTCAGGGCATCCCGATCTCGAAGTATATGTCGCCGAGTATGACGCACATGAAATCGCTCTATCGTGTGCCGAACTCGTCGATATTTGTGATGGGCGGCGAACAGGAAAAGCTCATTCAATTCGATTATGCGAAAGAGAAGGAGATCCGAACCGTAACGGAATTTCGCGTTCAAATTTCGAGACATCGATGATGTTTTTTTTCAGACCCAAATGAAAGAGAACAGCGCCGTTTTGATTCGCTCTAACAATTCTAACTTATTCATAGCAGACACCAATGGATATGTGAGTTTCGTTTTTCAAGTTTTTTCTTTTAAATTTAAATCATCAAAATTTTTAGGTAAATGTGAAAAACCCGAAAACGTTAGAAACGATTCAAAGAATTCCATGCCATTCTGAACGCATAACCGATTTTGATGTTCAAGGCAACAAGCTGATTACCTGCGGTATATCGCAAAGGTGAATCATCGGCTTCAAATCCTCAAGACAATTATGGCAATTCCAGACATACCACTTCGCATGGCGATCCATTCGTCAAGGTGTTCGATCTGCGGACGTACAAGGCTCTCGCACCGATACCGCTCGCATTTCCGCCGCATTTTTGTAAATTCATGCCGTCGTATTGCGAGCGAATTGTGGTGGCGTCGCAGACGGGCGGCGTCCGAATCTGGGATCTCAACTCGAACAACATCGGAACCTCGCTGATTGTCGAGTCGAACGGAATCTCGGCCATGAATTTCTCGTCGACGAAACAATACATGGCATTCGGCGATTTTTCAGGTGAGTTCACGTGTGGCTTCTAGACTCAAACAATTCTTCCAGGAGCTTTGAGCATTTATGCCGATCGAAATGAGCCACAGATTAACGCTCAATCCTATGAGACAGTGTTCGCGTATGCACCGGTAGGCGGCATTTGTTAGAATCGCAACTAGTTGACGTCTACAGATCGGACCTCCAGTATCATTCGGCATCGAGGACAATTTCACGCCACTCGCCGCCGTTCCAATGCCATTCACCGAAGATGACACACTGCTCAGCGATTGGCCGTCGGAAATGACGCAGCCAATGTATCGACGATCGCGTCCCGTCGGCGAGCACAGCGATGTGAAGGTGATGCACTACGTGACGCAAGTCAAGAATCCAAGGATCAACTCGAAGCTCCGCAATCAGAACATCGTGCCGTATATACTCGAAGACGAGCCGGACGACAAAAAGAATGTCGAGATCAAAATCGAGACCGGAAAAGTGCGAGTGCATCGATTGTACAAAAAATGCCCGCTAACCACATCGGCGACGATGTCAGCTCGACGAATTCAGGTTTGATCGAGTTTACGAATGCCTACGAAACGCCCCACGTCAGTTTCAGCCGAAGGAGCTGAAATTCTCATACAGTTACAACAAGACGAATCATGTGCCGCTTGAAACCACTTATTACATGAACTTGCTTATTAACCCGTTTGTTTTGGTAGGTGTTGAAATTCTTTTTGTGAGCAGAATCTCATTTTCAGGCGCTATATCATATAATTGGTGTGCGGAACACCTTGTATGCACATTTTTGTACAAATGAACACTGTATTGCATGCGATCTCCGCTTTCTGTTCGCGATGATCACCGATAGAGCAAAATCGAGCCCGGTTGTGGTATGTTGTTAGCAGCGAGGTTTTTCTTTTGAAAATCGAAATCGAGATTTAAAGAGCACGAATCTTGTTCGAACACTGGTCGCCCATGGATTCACCACATTGAAGACGAACGTGGTCACCGATAGCTATGCAGGCATGAACTTGCTCCTCAGAGGAATTTCAGAGGTTGAAATTTGCTTGAAGAGAAAGAAAATGATTAATTTTTTGCTGCTTCATTGAAAATTTCCAACATTTTTTCGGCATTCTCATAATCTTCCTAGGCGGCGTTTGATCTCGAATCTCAACCCGAATCCGAGACATGCTTGTTGAGCGACGACGAGCGAACGGTGCTCCGAACCGACCTGACCCTGAACATGCGATGTGTTCGTTGCTGCTCGTTCCAATCGAATCCGTGCCAAACCCATTATGTAACATTGAACTATAATACCCGTAAGATGAAAGACCCTCATTTTGGATGACTTGGAATTATTATTTTTTTTCCAGATGGCTCTCCGTCATTTTGTACATTAATCGAAAAAGCGCTACACTTGGTGCCGCAATTGACCGATGAGCGAGAATGTCCCGAGTGTTCGACGACGGTAACACGATCGCCCGATTTTGTTCTCCCACATATTCCATTTAGACGAGAATGGACGGCAAACAGCGTGTGCGCTCATTGGCGCCGATATTGATCATCGACACCAACGCGAAAAACGATCAATTCTTCAGCTTCTGGCAGCGGCAATTGGCGGCGTATGAGAAGCGGCCGCCGAGGGATTATCAGAAGGTGCCCGAATCGCCGACGGAGAAGAAGTCGTGTCGGTACGGCGATGATTGCCTCAACAAATCGTGCAAATTCGCGCACGGCAAAATCGATTGGGACGAGGAATGCACGACGATTTTGGAGGATTGCGACGACGACGGCTGGTCGCATTATTTGTGCTCGAAAATTTTGGTTCAGGTGTGAATCCGAGATGAATTTCGACAGAATCAAAACGAAAATTTCAGGTGAATGATGGAATCGTTCGACTCAACGATGCGTCAACGTCGCCATCTCTGGACGACACCGACTGCGATGTCTATGAGCTTGTCGCGTTCGTCACGGCGATCGGAACCGGCGAGTATCCGCCGAAATGGACGCACACGGTGTCGTTGGTGAAGGACGAGGACGAGCTTCTGCCGTGGACGATGATCAACGAGCAGCTCGTCAGTCGCCTTCATGAGAATGAGGCGCTGCATTTGGACGCGCGCTGGAAATTGCCGATGATGTTGGCGTACGTGAATCGGAAACATTTCGACGCGGCGATGCGGGGCGACGAGAAGAGAACGCCGGTTCCCGAATCGGTGTTCTTCTCGGATAATCTCGCGCCGAACACGATGACGTCATCGGGTGATTCGAGCAAATATGAGTTGCCCGGCAAGGGCGAGCTCGTCGGCATCGACGCCGAGTTCATTCGTAAGAAGGTCCAGTTGGCGCTTGGTTTTTTTTGCTGAAAATTCTCACTCCATCGTTTTTCAGTGCAAATTTGATAGCGACAGTCGCGGTGTTATCACGCGTGCGATCGGCCGAATATCGTGTGTCGATTCCACCGGCAATCGAATCATATTCGACGATCATGTCCAAGTGACGGATGGCGAGTGTGTTGCCGATTATTTGACGCGATACAGGTATTTTTTTCAATTTTTTTCAATTTCAATTTTTTCCCCTGTCAAAATTCACGTTTAAAAAAAATTTCAGTGGAATTGTGTCTGATGATCTGAATGCGCAGCGATCTTCGAAGTATCTCACCACTCAGAAGAGGGTCTTCCTCAAAATCATGGTCCTCATCGAGCGAGGCTGCATTTTCGTTGGTCATGCGCTCAACAATGATTTCAGTGTGCTCAATATTCACGTAATTTCGATTTCGACCACAATCTCATTAATGATGGTCGTTTTAAGGTTCCCGATGAGCAGATCATCGACACTGTCAACTTGTTCCGTCTCGATTCGCAGCGACTTCTTTCACTGCAATTGTTGGCGTTTCAGCTTTTGGGTGGGGAATTTCGAATTGAAATTGAAAGAAAAATGGTTGGGGGAATTCCAGGCGACAAAATACAGGAGGAATCGCACGATTCGGTTGTCGATGCGCAATATGCGATGAAAGTTTATCGCAAATATGAGGAATTGAAACAGAATGGTGAGCTAAAAAAAAGAACCAACAAAAATTAGCAAAATGCCAAACCGAGAGGTCTTTCGTGCGATGCGCCTTTAGCATATCCATGTAAAGCCGTAAATCTTCACGCAAAGACCTTTATATATTGTGAGCATGCGCCTTTAATCACTCATTTTTTTGCTCATTTTATGACTTCTAAAGACTGACAAAATCAAGTGTGAAATAATTCATAAATTTCCCACCAGTACTAATAATTTTTCCAACCGAGAACCCAATTTGTTGCAAAATTTTTCACTTTTTTTAAACATATAAAACTGTCATTAAAATTGTTTTTCCTCCCTTCGCTACAAGATTCAAAATATTGCAGGCCAACTCAAAGCTGAAATGCGTCGCCTCTACGACGTCGCGCCATGCAGTTCGCCAATGAAAAGCGTTTCACCATGTAATTCAACGACGAGCAATAAATAGTCGTTGCCACTTTCCTGTGAATTGTTAATAACTGTAATTATTATGTATGTAAATTATGTGTTGTTTGAACGAAGCTGTTGCGCTCATTTTATTCGTTTTTTTACAGAACATGAAAACAATGATAATACATCAAAAACTAATTATATTATAACTTAGATATACAATTTTTAGGAGATCCCAAGATTTTCGGAGAAACAATGCCATGTTATCTCTTTCGTGAGAGCACATTTCAACAACCTCCACATTGAAGAAGTGTGCCAACACAAAAAAAGAGCAACCATCAATTTCTCTCATTCAGCTCACCAAATAATCTCGAGATCGCACCTACACGGGTTACTCAGATAAACCGTAATTTTACCTAAGAAGTCGATGGCATCCAGATCTACAGTCGACGGCATCCAGATGATGATTAAAAAAAAGAGGGAGAGGAACAATGTGGAAAGTGATAATAAAAATAAAAGGACAAAAATAAGTTATTTTGAAATGCTCTACAAAAAGAAAGAAAACAATATTTTTCCTGGTATAACAAGGATTAATAAAACGTAAGAAGAAGTAGACATTTCTCGGGGGGATACCGTCGGTGAGGGAAAGGGACGAAAAAGAACACACATAATAATGGGTTGTTTCTGAGATTCTCGACGAGATATTAACAAAGCAAACATGGGAGAGACAAAAAAAACAATTGACTGGATTGATTAGCGGCTCACACAGACAATGTCATTCGATTTTCATAAAGTGCAACAATGTAATCGGGTAAATTTGCGATTGAAAGCCCCGTTTCGAGAATGAGAGAGGGAGAAGAGACGAAGGAGATGAGAATAGGGAAGAAGCATGCGAGAAAGAGCACCCATACTACCACGAGGATGCAAAAACCATGCCATACAATGAAGTTTGAGACGCACCAATTGATGACGGCAAAAAAAATGAACAAAAACAACAACAAATGCTGTACAGAATGAGACTAATCAGTTTTTCACGAAATAAAATGCACCGGAAAGCTGCGCAGCTTTTATTGATTGATTATTGTTCTACCATTTCTTTCTTCCAGGAAAAAAGAAACGAAAGAAGGGTGGAACAGAAGAACATGGTTGAAGTGTGGGCAATTTGAAAACGAAAAACAAAATCGACATAAACTGTGTCGTCTGAAACTCTTCAAAATGAAAAAAAGTTCACGACAAAAACCGATAATTTTTTTTCTCAAGTGTGTGTGTGCGCGTGCGTGCGTGCGGTGGATGATGGAGACGATGACTCCAAAATAGCGGGCGATACAATTCTAAACATACACATATCAAGAAAAAAAATAGAATTCATCTAGCGTTTTCCCCGTGCCCCCATCCAAATGGTAGAAATGAGTTTTTGGGTTGGACTACTTTCAACAAAACATATGAAAAAAATCGAGAGAGAGAGAGAGAACAACAAAGACAAGCAATTCCCGTAAATGCGAAATGAATGTAATAATGCGAATACAAGTACAAGTTTTCTTTTAAAAGATGGTTGAATCATACATTGAATGGATAATGAGGATGATTGTGTTGGTGGTGGTGGTGGTGATGATGATCGATGTGCTTCCGAATTCGCAAAACATTTTATGATCGGGAATCGGCCGACACTGAGCTCGCATTCATTTGAGACGCCGCTGCCGATGTCGAAGCTGGCTGAGGCGGCACACAGGTATTCGCAACGTTTTGAAACAATCTACACGAAAAAAAAACACCCGATAGAAACGCATTCAGAAATTTTAGCAAATCCTACCTTTCAATTTCAGGAGCGCATCTCGTAAACTCATACTTCCAAAAGTTATACGTCGGATTCTTAATCAACTCTATGAATGTAATCAAAAGACCCCACGGATGCGGACGAAGAGCAACAAGACGTTCAAACAAGATTCGAGTGATTTGCTCCTTTAAAAAAATATCAAAATGAATTTAACCCAATCACAATTTTCTAAAAAGTACCTGAATCGCATCACAATCCGAATTTCTGAACAAGAACAAGAACACACAGCTAAAGTAGTGCGTATGCGCGTTCGGGTATCGCAATTGGTTCGCAATTCCGTTGAAAAGCAAATATCGACCTAAACGGCAATTATTTGAACAATTCATTTCAAACATTTATATGAATACCTTCAGTGCACAGTTGAATCGCCAAATTCTGGAAAATATCCATGTACGATGTGTGCGCAATCGTGTGAATCGAAATTCTCTGCCGTCTGGCGTGCAGACTTTCGATGGCACGAATTCCAACATACAGCACGATCGCATTCATCACCGTCGTGTTGTATTTCGAACCGGCCGTGCTCTAAAACACGTAAAAATTAGAAAACAAAGCTCCTTCTTAGCCAAATACCTGTTGATATTGCAATAGCGATGGCAACGACGACAAGAAATCGACAGACGATCGATTCACAAGGTACTCGTCAAGCTGAACGCGAATGCTCTCCGGAATAATCGTAGCCATGTTCAAGTTTGACTTCGGTTCAATCGCCATTTCCGGAATATTGTCAACTTGCTTAAAACCGAATATATTCGAAAATGCATTTTCTTTTCTACACTTCAAACCTTGAAGTTCAACGCGAACGGATCAGGAAGTCGCATGTTTCTTGGATACGCCGACAACACCAAATTTCTCAGCTGAACACAATTTGGCGGAATTGTATCGCAAATCACATAGTGGAATTCGCACAAAAGCTCCGGGAAATCGTGCAAGATGACGAGAAGCACGCGAAGTGTTCCTTTGTACAAGATCGCAATCGATTTCGGCAATTGGATGTTTCGCAAGAACGGCGCCAAGAACTTGAGATGCGAAATGATGAGCTGCGTAAATGTTGCGGCGGTCTTCACCGGATCAACGGTTTCCGCAATTCCAGTGTTCGCTGAAAATAACGCCATTTTTATTTCTTACAAATTTCTTCAAAAAAATGTTCTCACCAAGTAGTCTTCCAATAACATTGCGATGCCCAACAATATCTAACCAAGCGAACGCAAATCCGGGAACTCTGCGTGGTTGCAATGCGAAGAACGTCTGTCCAAAAGCTTCCAGAATGCTCCACGCAATCGGCTCAAGAAGTCGTTGCGGATCTGGTCCAGTGATCTCGTTGAACAACGTGATGAGAATTCGGTGGTACGGCATCGCATTGAAGTCCGATCGTCGAACCTCATGATCCATGTGTAACACTCCAACGACAATGTTCAAAAGCTTCTTGAGAAGGTTGATCTTGTTTTGCGATTGTCCGTTGTCCGAATGACGGATCATCAACGCCATGAGTCTCACGAACGCATCAAGTGTATAATAGCATCGTTGACGGGTATAGGTTGCCGTTCCAATAATTGGAGCATTCGCCTCCGACTTCATGAGTCTCACCGACACATCGACGCACATTTCAACGCACAACCGGAAGAATTGTGTGATTTTGTCATCGGTTGCAAGAACGCCTTGCTCATGCATCTGTAAATTAATAAAATATATTGAGAAAAACTCATAATTTCAATGATTTACCAATTGAATCATTTGCGACAACGCTTCTTGCGGATTCCTCTGCCCAGTGGCCGTGTAGCAAAGGCTAATCCATTCGCGAAGAATGAGCTCAACCTTCGCCGTCATCTCCTGATCATCATAGCCGCGTTGCTGCGCGAGATTCTCAATTGGTGTGTTCGCTCCATCGGGAAGCGGCGTGTTGTTCGCCACCGACACGTTAACGCCGCTCGTGTCCGGCCCAGTGGCCGATTGCATCTGATGCAGTTTAGCGAGCTGCTCGCATGTCAGCGGGAACTTCTCTTTGAGGAATGTGATTTTGTTGATATCACCCGCTCCGAGATTGCGAATGAATTTCTGCGCGAACAGGGTAGCTTCAATGTTGCCTCCGCTCTCCATGGAAGCCGCAAGATGCTGATCCCAAAGTGCTGTCTGGATCAAGTTTTGCTTGAATAGAATCTGCACAAAAAACAAATTATTGATTTTTCTTCATTTTAGAGAAATTATACCTCTATTCCCTCCATATTCCATTTGAAATCCGAACGAATGTTGATGACCGCTGTCGTCACACGTCGCGACAAGTCAGGAAGCGCGAAATGCGCCTGAAGAAGCCTCATGACACCAACAAACAAGTCACGAAGTCGTCTCGTCCATTCAACATCAAGCAAGTCTAAAATTTAAAATAAAGCAAATGTTAATGGATATTCTTACTTTTGTTCGAAAGCGACTCAAAATGATAGGCTTGAAGTAAGTGTTCGACGGAACGATTGATGAGGTTGACAAGAGCTTGTGGATCACGGACCGTAACAACGTTCATGAGCAAATCGCGAATGAAGCAGACAGCTTGGAACGCGACATAGTTGAGATGCGGCTGTGCCGTTGTGGTCTGATCAATCTCCTTGACGACGCTCTGCATTTGCGCGACAATCGTCTCCAGCTCCTTATTCGCCGCTGCACCCATATTCATACTTCCAGTGGAAGTGCCATTAGAATCCGACGACGCCGGCGATTCCTCATTCGTTGGCTTGAATCCGCAAATTCTGGTGCTGAACTGCTCATAGACGGCAATATTGGCCTTGTCGACATTTCCTGGTGGAATCGCAATTTGTGGCGGAAGTTTCTTCTGAATCGCCATCGTGTTCTCATCGCGATACTTCTCGTTCTTTTCGCGCGCGCTAATCCGCTTCTGATATTCGACTTCAAGACGTTTCTCAATCTCGGCAGAAGCTTTCTCGCAAGCAGTCTTCACAATGAAATTCGTCGATAATTCAACATTGTCAGCAGTTATTTGTTGGGCCGCTTCGTCGATCATAGCTTTCTGAAAAAATTAGACTGTTATATTTAAAATTATTAATCCTAAAAAACCAATTCTGGATTAGTGCTAGCCGTCCTCAATGTTGAATGGAACGTTTGAGTAAGATTTCCAATCATCGTGCTAGCAAGTGGATCTCGGCACGTGATCATCGCCATTCCAGCAGTCATAGCCCTCATCTAAAAATTGAACTTTGCCAAATTGCCCTGCGTTGTCTTAAAAATTACCATGTGGAATGCGGCCAACTTCAAGTTCTTCTCATCTGGATCCATTGCGAAATCCTTGCGGACCATGCTCTCCGTCACTGTCATCGCGATTTTCAACGCTCTCTCCGTCACTGGCCCGATCAATTCCTTGATGGCATGAGTGACAGCAGGCCGCACAAGATGTTTAGCGTGTGGATGAAGCTAAAATTAAGCTATGATTTGGTTCATGAATATATTAAAAAATACCTGGAAGAGCGGCAAATGCTGCTGCAACTTCAAATGTGGAATCAGTCCATCATACGTCAACACATTGATGTCGTGATAAGCGAATCGATTGACATTCGGAGTTGCCTGATCATTCTGGCTTCCAGCTCCAGCGGCTCCCGTCAGCAAATCATTTCCTTCCGGTTGTGGTGTAGGGGGTTTAGCATCAAGCGAGCAAGCAGGCGACAAGACGAGTGGATCTGTCGAGCCAGCCAAACGATTCTGCGATGGAACCGGACTTGGAACATCGGGACGACCGAGAACCTTGACCTCGCACAATTGCTGCGGAACGCGAACCAACTTCTCAGTATCCTTCAAGATCTCCTCAATCGGCAGACTATTCAAATCCACGTTCAGCTCTTTGCAAAGCACCTAAACACAAATTTCAGCGAGATGCTTATGCGATGAGATACCTCAATCTCAAACTTTAAATTTATTTTTAAATCGGGCTCATTGTGTAATTCCGCTAACACTTTTAATATACACTGAATCCAGGCACAAGACGGTTTGAACAACTGAAACAATCTCAACTTTTAATAATGAGAACTCGATATTCTCAACAAACATCAGTTTTACTGCACGCCAACAAAATCTTCGAGATGAATGGCACAACGAACAGTAGCTCGGCTTGGCCCTTGTAATAGGCTTCAAGAAGCAACGATTTCAAGTCAAGCTCCTAAAAATCTCCTCAATTTTCCCTAATCGGCCGACAATGGCACCTACACTCAACAAAATCGGTTTATTCCTGGCGATCGTAATCGCGCCCAGCCACAATCCCAAATTTTTCAACAACTGCCTATCGCTGTAGTTCGACAGAACAGTCGTTCGTTTGTCGGTTCGCAGCAATATCTTGATGTTGCGGAACGTCTCCATTTTGATGTATTTATCGAGAAGCGGGCTGTCGATGGCTTGCACAAATAGATTATAAAGCGGTTGAAAGTTCTGCTCGATGGAAACACGCTTCATAACAATGTACTGCGCCAACCATTTCGTGAACGGCTCGCCATGCTCCTTCATCATGCCAATGATCTGAAAAAAAAACGCATTAAACATTTGATGAAAACTCGATTATAGTCAAATTTCAGCTACCTCGTCCTTCTTTTGCGTCAAGTTGTTTTGCGACAAGTTATTGAACAAAAACGAGACTTTATCGACAATTTCTTCATCGGGCTTCGCAATTTCGGCGCCATCTTTCTCCGTTGCATTGACAAGCGTATCCGTGTTGGTGTACGAAAGAACCGAATTTCCCTAAACGGCATAAATTAGAACTAGGCACAAAGTGAAAATGGATAATACCGTCCGATTAGCTGGCAGTGCAGTTTTCGGATCAACTGAAGCGGCTCGCGCAGCCGTCGACCAAATCGGCGGCGTGCTACGTCCAGCACTCTCCGGGGGAAGTTCACCTTTCATTCCAGCAAGCACATAGTCTTTCAAGCTCTGTGGGAACTTGCCAAAATTTTGAAGTGCTGCTATCATTGTGCACACCTGCATAAGAATATCAAATAATAACAATTTCAATTTTCTTTAAAAAATACTTTTGGATAAGCATGCAGCTTTGATTGACAATTTTGTAGGGCGACTATTCCAAAAGTCCACAACATACTAGACGGATCCGCTTTGAGCGATTCGATAACTTTTCGATAAGCCGTCGCAAATTGCACATTTCTACAAATCAAAAAAAAACGATAATTGCACAAAATCAACACGTTATTATTAGGCGTCGTACTCTATGATTCCTTCGCGAATGATACCACCGTAGACGGCCGCTGTCGTTTTCAGTTCGCGTTCAGGGTACTCGTGGAAAAATCGATATTCTTCGAAAAGATTTTTCACAACACACGCCAACACTTTCTGTTCGCGCGGGTTACGAGACGATTTGAATGACTTTAGCAAGTTGATGAGATCGGGTACTGGCATTGCGGTTGTCGTGCTATATATCTGCAAGAAAAATAAAGAAAATTGAAAATTGTGACGCGCAATAATTACTTTTTCGAAATACGAATTGGCTTCTTCCTGTACATCCTCTGAAAAGCTCATACTCGTAATATCTTCGGGTACATGCGCTGATGTAGGTTGCGAGTTGGCAACACCACCGCCTGAAAATTTCAAAAAAAAACGTAAATGAAATAAAAATTATGATTGCGAAATTACCTCCAAGAGACGCTCCAGAACTCATCGAATTCGTTCGCGGAATAAAATCTTGCACTCCAGTTTGCGGGATTTGCCTACAAGGTCATTCTCTTTTTGTGACACCAAAACAATAGGCGATAATTGCTAACCTAAACTCCATGTGTTGCGATGGCGTCGCCGCACCAGGTGGCCGATTGACGGGCGCCCCGGGAGCTCCATGCCAACCACCCGACGATGAATTCTGTCGTTGGGTCACCGGTGGAATCTGCGAGCGAAGCATATTATTAGATGGCGACATGGAAGGCGGCGGCGGCGGCGTTGGTTGAACGCACTGAAACAATAATTGCTAGATCAGATGAAAACTGCCAAAAAAAACTTCGTACTTTTAATATGTCGCGAGTTCCCGTTCCAAACATACTCATCATCATTCCGGTAGGCTGCATAGGCTGCCCCTAAAAGGGAAAAACGCAATGCAAAAATAGCGAACAATCGCGATTACCAGTATATGTGCTGGCTGTCCAGGCGCTGGGAAGTTTGTTCCAGGCGCTGGCGGGAAAGGAACCCCTCGAGGCGGTTGAATTGTACCATTACTTCGTTGGTCTTGTGGAGCTGGTGCCGGTACCGGAGGTGGAGGACCCGAACCGAACACCGCTGGTCCAATTTGAACTGAATTTCGTCCGCCTGCCGATGAGACAGACGAACTTCTACCCGAGTTCTCTTTCATTACCTGCAAAGAATGTAAAATAGACGAACAACTCATCGCGGATCGACAAAAAAAATTCGAGTTTCAAACGATTATTGTTTGTGTGGTTGGACCACGTCAACTCGCCTGGCGTTCAAACGCAATGCGCAATTATCGATTCTAAACTTTACAGAGAGCCATCAACATCGTTTCTAGGCGGACAATTGGAAAAAGAATTCATACAAACGCTCAAGCGGCTCAAATTCACTCCGAAATAACGAATTTCGATGAAAAAATCACGCGAATGAAAAGTACGCGCCGCGGCCGCAACGCGACGCTCCACAGCCAAAAATTTAAATTTGTGCTGCTGCTGCTGCGAGCGCTCTCGCATGGCACGCCTCGGTTTGTTTGTTCCACCGCCGCATTCGACGTGTTTTACCTCACAAGCGAAGCAGAACACATAAAAGTATTGCAGATTACTTATTTTGGAAGACAATTCCAATTTACGACTATATGAAATAAATGAGTGTGCTCGTTAAAAAAAAACAATAATTGAGAGTAAAAATTTCTTTCTCCTCGTTTTTCTATGGAATAAACTTTTTTTTTAAATATTGCGTCTAATTAATAATAAGCAATCTAAATGTAATAAAAACGACAACAATTATTTGCGTCTCACATTTGCGAAAATTGATAGTTGTTGATTTTTTTTTAATTCACAAAACCGATGGTTCCTCGTTTGTTTAAATAAGAAGTTGAGACTTATCAGCAATTTTTATCAGTCGAGACAATGTTTTGACGCTTCAACTTTTGTTGCCAAATATGTAATGTGAAACGAAAAAGTAAAAATCAAAATCGATAAATAATTGAGAAACCGATTTTTCGCAAAAATATTCATTCTTTCCAAAAAAAAAATGATTTCGCGCAAAGACAATTGCCGACAACCGCGTTCGTGTTCCTTTAATCGGATCTTTTTGTAAATCACTATTTTATTTTGTTTTCTTAGCGGATTTGAATTTTTTTAAGCGTGCCTATAACCGTTGATACGAATTTGGGGTGCTACTTATAAAAAAGCCGCAATATATTAATTCCCTATTTGTTCCATATGGTGTTTTTCTTATGGACGTATTCATGAAATCTTTTCAAAAAACTTACATTTAATATGCTTTTTTACATTTTAAATAGGAAAAATTCGTAATTTTTTTGATTTTATAAATAAGTCCATTATGGAAATAAAATATTACCTGGAACACCGGCGAATATTGCTTCTTCATCGCCGTCGTCGCTTTCGCATTGGCAAACTTGAGAAGTTGCCCAATCGGCAACGAATTGCTTCCAGGACTCGCGTCGGCCGCAATCGCCGCCAAAAGTTGCGGCGGTTTGTAGCGCTTCTGCAAGTGCGCGAGCACCGCGTTCGTCAACGCCTCACCCTGAACCGCTTCCTTGTCTTCAAGCCATTTCTCGAGTTTCAGATAATCGCGTTTCGACGCCATCACCGCGAGATCGATGACAAACGGCAAATTTTTTCCGGAAAGCGCCAGCACCTCCGAAAGTCCCGCCGGTTTGATCTCATGTGCAATGTCGAGAATGCGCGCCAACTTTTGATTGTCGTCCGGCGAGTAGAGACTAGCAAACGCGTTGACAATCAACGGTCGAGCGTGCTTCTGGATTTGAGCCTTCAATTGATTGAAATTATCAACGTCGGAAATATTCGACTCATAGTGAAGCTTACATCGTTCCACGCAAAATTCAAAATCGGCACCGCGTTGGTGTTGGTCATAATCAACGCGGGCAAAATTCTTTTGGCCAACTCGATTCTCGGACCATGCCAAGGCGCCGTCGATTGCAAAACCGCCAAACTGACAATTTCGGGGCAAAATGAGAAGCCGAATTCGATGATTTTCTCGGCGCATTCGTGCATATCGCCTTCAGGGTGGACCATTCGAAATAGAGTGTTAGTAAATTCAAGGCAATTCCTTAAAAAAATATATATATGAACAAAAATTCTAATTCGAAAATCAATCAAAATTAGTGAATTTACCACGAGGCAATGTGCGGATTGCTCTCATCCAGTGTCGTTTTCAAATTGTGCGCCGACGTTACGACCGGCGTGTGCGGATAATCAGCCAAATTCAAAATCGACGCATATTGAATTATACTATGAAGGAAGCTGACATGCGCGTGCCTAAAATACAAGCAAAATCAATCAATCTCCCATTCGTCACCGCTTTTCCATACAAATTCTTCCACGGCGTGTAAATGAAGCTAACTGGGAACGTGTTGTCTGGGAACGCTGTTCGGAATACATCGGCCAAAAGCTGAAGGACGCTCTCGTCGCAAATCAGCTCCTCCGAATCGAGTTCCTTGATGACATCAGCCCAAGCGATTTTCTCCTGAATCGCCGTCAATTCAATATTCAATAGTTCAAGCAAGATTTTACTTCTTGTTGATCCCTATAAACCGCGTATTCGTTGATCGCCTTCACGAACACCTCGCCGTCCCACGAATGCAATGGATCGCCGTTCCGAATCTCTTCTCCTCGATGCTTGTCCATTTTAACCGCAAGACTGAGCTCATAAGCCGTTGTGCACATGTACAAGAGGCCTTGTCCGACAGATCGATTCGTGAGCAGGTCTGAAAATGAAATAACTCAAGGAAACTGTGCGCATGACTCACTCGTTTGAATCGGGCACGACTTTAACTCTTCAATGAAATGGTCAACACTCTCCGTGATTATCGTTCCATTGATCTCCAATCGGCGGACAAGATTGTCGCGGCGAACATCGTCCAACGCGTCGAAAATCGGCTAAAATCGATTTTCAGACATTTTCAAGCGAAACGTGACGACGTACTCTTGTCGGGCACACTTTTGAGAGAAGAGCCCCTTCGGGTTGTCCTTCCATTCTGTCGGGTGCAAGATCGACGTCCAAATCGCGCGCTTTCGAGTAGAGCAAAAACGAGAGCGCTTGAATGAGCTCGCCGTTGCGCTCGTTGCTCGCCTACAAAATTGGAGAAGTTCGAGGGGGAACACACATTTTTTTGTTTGGAAAATTTCCAACCTGAATGAGATACTGCAAAAGAACGAGCGGATCGCACGAGCAGTTGATGCCAACGTCCTTTGGATCTTTCGCTAGGTAATTGGCGATGATCTCGATGAGAACCAGCGGTTCAAAATTCGATGAGGCTATAGTCGCATACCAATCTGCAAAAAAAAAAACAAATGAGAGCGCGTTTTTATTTTATTTTTCTCCATTCATGAGCAAATAAATAAAAAAAACAATACCAGCTCCTGAAAACTCGAGGAATCGCACAAACACCGGTTGAAGCGCTTTCCGGATTTGAGGGTCCGACGTGAGACGATTGAGGAGCGCCACCGATTGCGGCGAGTTGAAATATCCGATGACCTGAAATCAAAAAGCAAATTCTATTATATCAATATTCCGATTAGATCGAATCGATTGAAGACAAAACCCTCAAAACATTCAATGTCAGAAAAAAAAGAGCACAAACGGGTCACAATGTTCGTGCGAAACTACCCCAAAAAATCGCATCGAGGCGTTCGATCAAGTCGAAATCGCTGCAGCGAGAGGCGTGAGCAGCAACAGAAAAAAAAAGCGGCCACGAAAGACACCAACATCTGTCGCCTATCGGCCAAAGGTTGAACCAAATCTTTTAATCAAAAAAAAATTTCGGAGGGAAAAAAAAGGCAAAAAGGAAAAGGTTAATTGGTGTATCATTATTACAGATTGAAGGATCGCAAACCGAATATTAAATCGACCGCAATAAATCAGACTTTGCTGGCTTTGACGAAACGGCGGCGCCTGCCTGCCGCAGCTTCATCGGTTTTTCATTCCGCATCGCAGCCACCACTCCCGCGGGCCGCAAACGCCCCTCACAAATCGCCACACTATTTCTGCAATTCTTTCCGCGCACCAATTGCGCCACTCTCTCTTTACACGAAACGCGCGCAATCATCTCAAATGCCGCACTCATACACACATACACACACTCGCTCCCAGCCAGCCAGTCAGCGATGAAAAGCACAAGCTTCTTCGTCTTTGCTATGGATGTTGACGAAACCCCCCCCCACAAACAAAAAAAATAAAAACTACAAACACTAACCTTTTTCACAAATTCGCGAATAATTGGCATCGAATGCGATTCGTCCAACTCGCTGACGTCTTTGATTATCGTGTCGCAGATAACGGTGAACAATCGTCGTGCTCCTCGGATCTCGACCTCACTTCTATCGGCGTGTTCTTGCGAAACGTAGTCGGTGATCTGAATATGGAAAGTGTCATCAATCGGCAGTGAAATATTTCGGCAAGCACTCTCGTTAACATGTCCGCAGATGATTCTTTATATACCTCAACTTTAATATTGTCGCCACGGAACTAATTGTGAATCTACTGTGTTTAAAAATTTTGACTAATGCAGACACATAAAATTTGTAAAATTTAACGCTAAAAATTACATCTTTAATTATTTCGCTGAATAGGTGAATTCTAATCATTAAAGTTTTCGGTATTGCATTCGCAAAAAAAACTCTGAACTGATTTACAATGAACTTAGGCATCAGTAATTCGATAGCCCGAATTTCCACTGTTCAAATTAGAAATTTGATTTTCAGCCACACAAAATGAATGTTTACTTCAGATTATCGCTTAAAACGAGCTTTTAAATAGTGGCTGTATCCAAACAATTTTTATGCGTAGTCCTGAAAATTTAAAAACTAAATGAAACAGTAATTTAGAATATAGTTTTCAGCGTTAAAATGTTTTTGTTTGTTTGTTTTTTTTTTTTAAATTCTTTCAGCCCTTTGTTGCCAAGCAACTCAAAAATTAATAGAAACAACACCTGGATACCTTTTTATTCATTTTTAAATAAATCAATTCGAATTTTGGATAAATCTACTGTCATCAAATTTGGATAAATACGAAAATTATTTGGAAAATCTCAATTTTTTTTCTAAAGGAGAAGCCCGTGTAATTCAAATTTGCAGAATTTTTATATTCAAAAACAAAAAAAACCAACCGTCATCAGAAGATTCATCGCCGTCGTTTCATCAAGAAATTTTTTGGCAGGCGCTTCGATGACCGAAAATCGAAAAGCGGAAAGAATGATTGTCGCCGCGTGCTCAACAACAGCATTTGAGGCGCGTCCGCATACTACTGTTAGTCGCTGAAAACGAAAAATACAATTTTGCCCAAAAAAATGGTTCTTTTTTTCGAGTGAGCCACATTTCTTTGATAATTTGTGTAGAATTTTGACATATTTACTGCGAAAATCCCGCCATTTATGAGTAATTTTTTTCATTTTTTTCAATAAAAAATCTCACTTGAAACATGTACTGAATCGATTTTCCACGATGAATACTCGTATGTTGCAATAAGTAATCGACATATGCCAATGAACAACGATTCATGACATAACCGATCGGCATTTTGCAGAGGGTACCTGTAAAATGTTGAATATTCTCATGATAGCTGCAAAATTTCTGTATAAAGTTTGATTTTGAGTATTTCGACATGGAGAACACGCCAAAACAGTTTCTGGAAAAAATTGCGTAGATCAGATCAAAATTTCAAACTAAATTCAATTTTTTGAATTCAATTAAAAACGAGGAGTAATTTTGCGAAAATGAAAATCGGTTCGTGGTTTTTTTCCGCTTTTCAATTAAAATTTTTGCGAAAACATGAAGATCAAAGAGGATTTTTTTCGAAGAAATTTGACCTTTTCATTAATATTGCCAATTTTTTTAAAAACATTTTCAATCAAAATTTTTACAAAATAAAATCAAATCAAATATCCCGCATCATATTATTGAATGAATGATTTTTTTCGCGGAAATCTAGAAAATAAAACTATGGCGCAATTTTTCGAATCGCTTAAAAATCACCTCTCGGTCCTCTGCCGTAGGGGGCACGCGTAACACCCGAAATGTTGAAAGCCTGAAAGAAAAACAAATTGGCAAAATTCGTCAACGAATCAATACAAGCTGTACGAGTCACAAGATTTCCTTCAAAATGCCCGTTCGGATCGGATCACATCAATCCAATCGGATCAAGCGATGACGGCGAGCAAAAAAAAAAACACCAAACAACATCTTTTTGTAAAATTGCGTTATTTTTGGAGTACGCTGTGGCGAACACCAGCGCCCTCAAAAAAAAAAACATAGAGACATGATGGCGAAGTGGTTTCGCGTTTTGAAGAGAGATCGGAGAGAAAGCATGTGGGGTGGCCGAATTTCGAACGTGAAACCACACACCCAAAGGCCGCGGCTGTGTCGATTCGCCGAAATCGCCATTCAAACACTCACCTCTTCCATTTGGCAGCCGTTGAAAACCGAATAATTCCAAAATAAATTAAAATATTCAACCACTCGGTGTTTGCACACCGATGCATCGAATTTGACGCAACAGTCTTTTTCGCGTGCGACCGCGCCTTCTTCTCCCATCCGCTTCAACAAAAGCCGCTCAGCAGGTCTTCTTCATTTCGATTGCGATCAGCCATCCCAAATGATGAACAATAATCTCCTTTCAAGAATTGCAAAAAAAACACATACACGTGCGAACGATCGAACAATCACCATTCATTTTCAAACGCATTCAAAATGAAAATTGCGCGTATCTCGGGAGGAGGTCAAAGTACATTCAAAAAATGGGCATTCGGGAAATATGCAAAATTGACTTAAAGTGCATCCGCGGAAAACGAAGGAAATAAAAATCTAGAAAAGCGGAGAAAATTAAATAAAATTTGAGTATATACGGGAAATAAATGAGATAAAATGAAAACATCGAAACGACGTCTTCCATTCATTTCTTGTTCAGCGGACAAAGAAAAAAAAAGAGAATGAGGCTACCCCTAATTGACAATAATGGAGAACCGCATTTAAAGAAAATTTTCAAGAGAGAAAGTGTGTATTGTACAGAACGAGGATGATAATAATAATTATAAAAATAATTATAGCAAAATTGAAAAATTATGATGACGCCAAATCAATTCAATTTAGCAATATTTTTATAAAGCGCGTCGACGACTTCTCCCATCGCGTGGAGCGTGTCGAGTGCCGTCTGATAAGCCTCGTCTGGAGCAGCAAAATCGAACACGATGAGCATTCCTTCACCCTGATCCAAGGATCCTGACAATTTCTGGTCGAGGATCATCTGCGAGAGCTTCTTCTCAACCTGGAAAACGTTAATTTAAAATTTTCAGAATTCAATGTTTCTCGATTTTTTTCAAATTTCCTTTTTCTGCGTAGTCAATATCGCTTTTTACAAATAGACTTTTTAGATTCATTCCCTTTTTTCTTTATCCCATAATAATTTCAATTTAAGCCTATATATGATTCCATGAGAAAGAATTTAATTCCATTATTGAAGGAAATTCCCAAGGGAATTCAATAATTAATTAATAACTCGTTCAGCTCTTTCAATTTGAAATTCAAACACTCACTTTTGATCTGTCAATTCCAATTTGCTTGGCGATATGCTCGATTTGAACATACGAATACGGCTCGATTATTCTCGACAAATCCTTTTCGAGCATTCGTTCGCTGAGAGAATGAAAGTGTTTTCGGACAACCGGGTCCATCTAAAAACGTTTTTTTTCCCACGGGATCTTTATTATTGAAATAACCTGCAACTCTTGTGGGTAGGCACCAAACGCTGAATTGAAATCAGCGAGCGATCGTTTCTGCGCAGCAGCGGCGATGGCTTTCATCGCTTCCAAATCGCTTCCGCTGTATTTCAGTGCCAATTTCGCCGATAATAATGCGTTTACCTCGTCAGGAACATCGAGCATGACCTAGAATATAAAAATAAACGAATTCAAAATTTAATTTTCGTTGTCGAACACTTTTTTTTCGTCGGAGATTAGACAAAACTGATAATCTCAGACTCTATAATGGAAAAAAAGTTATCTTTTATTATATGTCGGCCTTTACAATGGGCGTACAAAAGTTTAACTACGCTCATCAAGATTCTCGACAATTTTTAAACGATTTAATTAAAAAGTAAGCTTGCCTTGCAGAGGAGCATGTATTTGAGAGCCAAAAGTGCATTTCCCGTCTCATCAACCGAGTCATATCCTTCAAATGCTTCGTAGAAATATGAAAATGCGGTTTTGAAGTCTTTTTCATCGGCGGCGTGAAGTATACCAGATTGTAAATCAAGAGCGGCCTGTATATCAGGAAAAAATATGAATAAATAAATAAAAAACAATTTTACCTGCATTCTTGGATTCACATAAATGGCGTTAGCTGTAGTACGAGCTCCGGTCAACGAAGCGCGAGCTTTTCCAATATTTCCCAAATTGTAGAACGCTTTGCTCTCCTCGAGTTCGACTTCGACAAGCACATCCTTATCGTCGAGCTTTTTCAATTCACGAATAAGATCGGCGGCTGAATAGAAAATACTTCTTGTAAGTTTTAGTATTATAAAGATGTGAAAAAAGAAAGGAAAGAAATTATTATTTATTTATTTTTCTATTTTTTTTCACTCCAATTTTCTCATTAAGAATTTTTTTCTGGGTGACCTCTTTTAAATATAATTGTAGAACAGCTGGAACAGCTTTACTCAAAAAAAAATTAACAAAAGTTTTTTTTTTTTGAAATTTCAATGAATAAAATTCTCACCAACAGGAAGCGCTTGTGTAAATCTCTGTAAATCGTTATAGAGGCGTACAAGACGAGCGGTGAGCGTTTGCCTCAGAAACGTACGATTCTGCTCGGTAGCCCATTGAATGCATTCTTTCACCAATTCAACCTAATAATGCAAAGTTCAATTTTTAAAAAATGGCAAATCAAAAAATAAAATATTACTTTAATATCTCCATCTTGACCGTCAATCATTAAACACAGATCAACCAAGTCTCTAACAAGCTTTGCTGCTTTTGCTTTTCCAAGCGAGACCAAAAACGGTCGGGTTTGTTCAATCATCTAAACACGAAAAGTAAACAAATAAAGAACAACTTAATTATAAATTTTACCTTTCGCAATTCTTCAGTCTGCTTATTCTGTGCGAGCATATTTCCAAGCTCCATAATCGATTCTTCCTTCTTTTTAATGTCAGCATCACCAGAAGCTGGCGATTTTACCAAATTCGTTAAATGTCTAATAACATTTTGGTCATTTTGATGCGGCATAGATGTCATTGTATCCATAATAGTTCCACCGGACATTTCAATATCTTAAACATTAAAACAATAATGACCAATATAATACAATAATTAATTGATATAAATTATCGTGGAAATATTAGAAAAAACCAGTTTTTAATTTAAAAACGAAAAAGATGACAAAAGCGAGGAGAAATGGGCGTGGCTTGGAGTTTGATTCGCAGGCAGACCAGAGTACGGTGGAGCGCAGAAGGCAAACAAAATCAGCTGAACGGGTTGATGAGGGATGTGATGATGGTTGTTGATGGATTTTGTTGATTTCTGTTCGGTTAGCGAAAAACAAGAAAAAAAAAAAAACAAACAACGTGATTGGAAAAAAGAAATCACAAAAAATATAATTGATTTAAAGGAAATGAAATAGGTCAACGGGAAATTTGGTCAAAAAAATAAACCTCTGCGTTTCTTGCCAATCATTTTCTTGTTATCAATCTCGCAAACATGTTCTCGCTTTTTGCAAAGAATGGTCAGAATTTTTCGTATTTAAACACGCAACACCGTTTCCAATTTCATAATCGTTTTCAGTGGCGCGTCGAGTTTCCAAAATGAACACGCCGTCAGTCCAACTTCAATGTAGGTTTTCGATATTGTAATTTAGCGTTAGATTCCAAATTTTATAGTAGTAGCAGCAAATTTTTAAAAATCGAGAAAGCAAAAATAATTTTTTTTTCTGTTTTTATCATTTATCAATTTTTCCACATTTCCCCTTAAAAAGAAAACGATAAAAAATAGAAAATCGATTTTCAGCAATCCGAAAAAAGTATCTCAATGAGAAAGAGCCGTATCTTCTCGAGGACAAACTCCCAACAACGAATCCTTTTGAACTTTTTGACATTTGGTAGGTTCAAGTGAGATGGTGAAAATTTGCAGACCCCTAGAGATTCTGGAAATCGCATTTCTAGCCCTGAAGCGAATTTCTGTAATCATTTCAGGTTCAAGGATATTGCGTCGCAATCGGATTTAACATTTGAGGAGATCAATGCTGTCGCTGTCTCAACCGTCGGATCGTAAGCCTGTTAGCCGATTTGCTGCTCTAGAAACCCGATTTCAGTGACATGCGTCCTTCCAGCCGAATGGTTCTGCTTAAAGCCTATTCCGAAAATGGCTTCTCATTCTACACGAATTATAAGAGCCGCAAAGGTCAGGAGATCGAAGCCAACCCAAATGTTGCAATGCTGTTTTACTGGCCGAAAGTTAGCAGGCAGGTAATTTCTGTTTCAAGACCATACAAATGAGTTTCGAAATCGTTGTCCAGGTGAGAATTGAAGGAGAAGTCGAGAAGCTTCCAGACGAATTGGCCGTCGAGTATTGGAACTCGAGGCCTGTCGCCAGCCGCATCGGCTCAAAAGCCAGTGAGCAGTCGCAAGTAGTAAAAAGCCGCGATGAGCTGGAATCTAAGAAGCGCGAGCTCACAGAGCTAGCCGAGCGCGAAGGAGAGCAATCAATCACCAAACCCGAAAATTGGTTTGACCTTTTATTTAAGTACATGGACAAATCTCAAAATTCTAGGGGCGGTTTGAATCTGAAGCCACGCTACTTTGAATTCTGGCAAGGTCAATCTGATCGCCTTCACGATCGAATCGTGTTCGAGCGCGACGTCGATGTGTGGCTTATGAAGCGATTGTCTCCGTAATTTATGGATATCACAAGAAATTGCCCGACAAGACGAATTATATATACATGGAAAATTATTAGAAACGTGAATAAAATAATCGAGAAAATATACAATTATTTCGAAATGCCAACAAAAACGGCACCAGTGAGCGTAATCAATATCGCAATGGTGAGAAATCGCAAATTGCGATGACCTTCAATTTCCCTAGAACAATTCTTGTTCTTAAACGCCCAACATTGAAGGGAAGGACTTGCCTAAAGTAGAACACACTCCACAACGCGGCGCAGACGCCAGGGACCATCGAAATAATGGGAAATGAGACGGCTTGCGACAAATTGTCATTGGCAACGAACCTGTAAATCATTGGAAAACATCAACATGACCAGTTACGATTTTTCAAGCTTCAAGTTTACCACGAGCTCTGTGCCACCGCCCACATCGCCCCGGCGAGCAAGCTCGGCCCCATCAGTCGCCTTCCAATATAAGGTGAATTCTGCAATAACACTTGTCACATTTCAAATTTGATTTGCCGCCTTACATTCGAAATTATCACATATCCATTCAATAGGGCAGAAGCTGTTGCAAATATACCAGTATAGTGAGAAAACACAAATCCCAATCCATTCAGTGGGGCATCGGGGTACTTTGAAAATGCCGATTATTTTATCGATTAATTTCGAATGCTCTTACCAAACTTGGGTGATTTTGAATATAAATGACCGGCACAAACGTGACGCCGTAGAATATTCCAGCGATCAATGAAACAATTATAGCCCTGAATCGTCAAAAATTGCGCGAAATTTCATCAATCCTCTTACAGAACTCGTCGTTTTTGCCGATGAGTCTCATGAAATGATGGCGGAGGTGTGGCATCCGGCAAATCCGAAAGATCGTCATCCGGTTGGACCATTAACGGACTATGCTCATCGGCGGTCTGCTGGTTCGTATTTGGCCGGATTTGCGAGAAAAGGCATCCACTGAAAATCTCACCATTCTGATTTTTCGTACAATCAAATCCCTACCCAATGATGACCAGTATTAATCCAAAATAATTGAGAAGAGGAAGGCTTGGAATAGTCGCGTCGACACCGAACAGTCCAAACCTGAAATTTTCGATTGAATTCAAGTTTGATGGAGTTTTCAACTACTTTTGGTGGACATATATTCTCACCTTCCAACCGCCCATCCGGTGATACAATTCGTCACCCCCCAAACGAGCATTCCCATTCCGATTCCAATCACATTGATGATCGGAATTGCCGTGGCATTTCCTGAAGCATTTTATAGACAATTTCAAAATGAGAATTGAAAAACCTAGAACCCAAAACATTCCGCCAAGCATCGCAAGCGGCTCGAACTTCGGGAATCCCTCAATCGCGTAAACGATCAAACCGACAAGGAATATCGAGGAAGCCATGAGCCATTGAGCAAATATTCCTTGAAAAAAAAACGAAAAAAAAATTCGCTACAATAATATTTTAAAGCAACGTTTTTCTTGAAATTCTGGAACTCAAAAATAGCTAAATTTTAAAATAATTTTCTTCCAAGATTAGAGAATTGCCTAGTAGGTGCTCAAACCAGGAAAGTTTGACAAAAAGAAATTTTTAGATTCATTTTTGCCAGCAGATTTCGTTAAAAAAAACGGTAAAGCTCTAAAACAGCACTAAAACCCTATATAGATTCTAGTTTTTAAGTTTTTCAAAATTTCGTCCAAAAATCTACATAATGCTAAAAGAATTTTTCAAAATTTTTTAGAGCATGCTTTAAAACAAAATCAAAATTTGTCATTTTCTATTTTTCGAATTTTACCATTTCCCGGATCGCATCTCTTGACCGGCGCAAACACAGAACCGAATAACAGAGAAGACACTGCGCACGCCGCGAGTCCCACCGCGACACTCATCTGAATCAATTTTTCCACAATGAAAAATCACAATCATAGTAAAGCAAAATGCTGAGATTCATCAGAAACTTCTAAAATATTTAAATAGAAAAATAGTATTAAAAGGTCAAAATAATTCATTAATAACAAATAAATAACAAAAAATTTGTTCTAAAATCTATGCTATTCTCTTCGATTCTCAATCATCCAAATCCACAACTTGCTTCAATTCATCATCTTCCTCATTCACATCCTAAAATCCAAAGTTTAAATGAAATTAGAAGCTGTAATCGGCGAATACGACCTTCAAATGATCATATCTCGTAATAATCGGCGTCGCAATTCCTCGAACATCACCAGTCGCCGTGATTTTCAAGTACAACGATGGCTTCAAGTCCCTGAGAAGGCTGAAAATCAAAAATTTTCGCTCATATTAACCGAGCATTTGATTGATTTGTTCTACCGATTTCGTTTCAACATTTTCCAATAATATTCTTTGCCACCTTCGGCATGATGGAATGTTGCTCGGGATGCTTCTGCGTCAGCATGAATATCAGTCAAATACCTCAATTTGATCAATATTCGATGGGAGAAAATAGCACTTAAATGGAATACCTGTACAGCAAATGCCATTGCTTATTCGCATACCATGCGGCGCCGAGAAGAACCGAATAAGCGACGACGAATGACGCAGCCGATCCACTGAACAATTTTGAGCTCTACAAATGGAAAATGAATTCTATTAATGATTTGTTAGCTAAAATAGGGCTTTTATAAATTAACAGCTCGAATTAAAAACTTCCCAATCTTACATTGTGAATCCAATAAGTGAAAATCGAACTAAAAGTGGTCCACGTGGTCCAAGAGATGCTCCTTTGAGCCAACGACGCATATCCATCATGCGCGTAAAGATCTCGTAAGAATAAAAAGCGAACAGCCTATAATAACAAAAAACGAATATATAATAATTATTGAATTGAGATGCTCACATTTTCAGATAAGGCGTAGCATCCAGCAAGCTCCTGACTCGTCTCATCATTCCAATACGCCGGAATTCGTTCACCCAAATATTCGAATCCCGTCGAATGGTTATTTCTAAAAGTGAATATCTCTAAAAAAGTTTCTGTTTAAACTATTAATATACTTGAAATATTCCAAAGCATCCTCGAAATTTCGAAATTTCGCATAAAATGGGACAGCTGCGCATAATCCCGTTCGGACACCTAACGATCCAGCAGCGACAGTATCATCATGCTCTGTAATTTCAATTAACAATTATTAAATAGTTAATTAAATTGAATTGAATTGTGACAGACAAATTTGAGAAAAAATAATACCAACGGTTTTCTGAATATATCGATTAATGACCGCATCTTTGACTAGGCGATTCTCTTTCTCGAGAAACCTTTGATATTCTTCCTCAGCAATCGAAACCAATCGCGGCGGAAGTTCTTCGACATCGTATCTCAAATATCGATTGTATACTTTAGAAAATTCCAAATTTTCTTGACAAAATTTGTTTAAAAAAATACAACAAAATTGGAATTTCGAAGCCGTTGAAAATGAAAAACCTGCATATTAAAATTTCGCACAAAATAGCTAAAATAGCTAAGCATATTTCAACAAAAAATTGCAGAAAATGTGTTTGAAGAATATTATTGCGGCCCCAAGTGTAACTACATATATAGTTGAATTATGGCGAATACAGTACAGAAAAGATCGAACTCGAGTTGAATTTTTTTTAATTGTAAAATTGCAGCTGCGGACAAAACCGAGCAACTTATTTAAGATGTTTAGTACAAATCTCATTTCTCTTCGATTCGCAACAGAAAAATAAACCTTTTTGGGAACGTCAGCTTCACAAACGGACCATTCACCAAAATCGAGCCGATCGGGTACGAGACGACAGTGGCAGCGAGCAGTCCGATTCTCGCCCGTCGTCCCATTCGCGTTTTGAGCCATTCGGTCGCCTTCTGATTCCATTCCGTATAGGTTGAACCCATAGTTTTCTTCGAACTTCTTCATTTCAAATAGTAAACGGAAGGAAAAAATATGGCGAAAGGCAAACAACCAAAAAGAACCGAATGCCGAAGCGATTCCCAATAGAAAAAATAATTTATTCAGAAAATAATTACTTGCATTCTAACAAAAACCCGTAAACAACCTAAAAATCGCAAAAACAACAACTAATAAATTATTCCGCATCATCTTCGATTTGTTCCTCTTTCAATTTTCGCCACAGCTTCCTCGCATTCCGAAGTCTCTTCGTCAACGCCACCGGATCAACCAAAGAATCGCCCCTCTTCGTTATTGTCCTCTCTCCTTCTTCGCCAAGAACTCTTCGAATCATTCGATTGAGCTTCAACGTCGATTCGAAATAATCAATGGCACCAGTCAGATATTCCTCGCCTCTGAAAATAAAACAGAAATCTGAAATTGAAAATTTCAGAGAGCGAATAACCTGTTTATAGCCATATTATCTGCTTTTTCAACTTTGTGCGCTTCGAAATTTCTCATGAACAAATTGAATGCTCCAATCGTCGTGCCAATAGCTGAAAGAGCTCCGATCCAGGCCCCAGCAGCCATCGAAACTGCTGAAAAGGGAAAAATTTGAATTTGAAAAAGATTTAGAACGAAAAGCTTACCTTTGAGAACAAGATATCCAGTGGTGCTGATTCCGAACCACGCTAGAATGGGAATACAGAAGAACTCGCCGCTGGAAACAAAATATGTCCGCAGATGGTTGTGTCGAAATTTATACCTGTTGGCAATTTGAATTTGTCGACACACCAAAAATCGCTTCGCCGCTTCCGACAGCATGAGACGCGCGATAATCTCGTCGCCAGCGGCGCTATTGACTTCAATCTTCCTACGATACCTAAAAATGCTGGCATGAACTCATTGGTTGAGTTTTCTCCGACTTGCTGAATCCCATGTCAATTTCAAGATTGGCTCCAAGTCGTCTCGCCTTCTCAACATCCTCCAAATTGGCTCGAATCGGAAACTGAAGTTCAGAACCGGATGTCAAATAGAGGCCGCCGTAAACTTTCGGCTCAGTTTGATCGGTAAGAGCAACTCGATACTAAAGTGACTATATTATCGATTTTCTCCGCAAATAAAAAGGCTCAAATCGAAATTTGAATAGAAAAAAAAATGAAAATTTTGTGAAATTTTGAATTATTTGAAAATTCCTCAAATTTTCTTAAAAAGAAACTACCGATTCGGGTTTCTAGTGAGCAATTTTCACACTTTTCAATTAATAAAGAAAACCAACCACCGCCTTTTTGATATTCTCCAATTTATCAATCTCTTGCTCGACGAGCTCTTTCAGATGTTCGCCTGGTTCAATCGAGCTCCGATCCGTCCACAATTTAGCCCAAATTTGGTCACCCCGAAACCCTTAAAACCATCATTCGTGATCAGAATCCAATAAAAGTTGTTAAACCGTGGACCAAAACATATCCAAGAGGGTAAGCCGGTATGATTCCCAAGTAAATCTGTTTCAGTCGATTGTAGCTCATGCTCTAACAACAAGAATTCACTACAGCTTCCAATATTACAAAAATTCTCAAGTATTCTCCATTTGATTCTCTACAACAACACATGTTTTCATTTCCCAACGAATTTCGCATATTTATTATATAGCCTTCATAAATGAATAATACAGAAAACATATATATGTTTGATTACACATATATAAATTGCATTTTGCACAGTATGAAAACCAAAAAAGAAACACATTGGACATTCAAGAATAAACAAATAACGCTAAATGAAGCTAACAATTGATTGATTGATTGATAAGTTAGAATTTGAGTGAGAATAACAAAACAAATTCATTAGTTTTTTTGTCGCGAACCAAAAAGTAACACATATTATATATTTCCAATCATCAAGGAAAAAACGGTAATTGGCTTAAAATGCCATATTGTTGGGTTTTTAAAGAACGAAAAAGTTTACATTCTTGGAGGGTAATAATATGTGACGATTCGGTAAACAGAGCATTTTTCTCAGACAACAGGTAACTACTAGAATCTCTACTACTCTATGTTCAAATGAATAACAACAATGCAACAGACGACCAATTAATCGGCGAATCTGGCGCACTAAGAGGGGGAAATGAAGGGTTCGGGGAGGAAAGGAATAAAAACAAAGAAATTGAAAGAAAACAACAAAACCTACAAGGCATTTCTAGAGTGGTTAAACCGGAAATTGAAATTCAAAGGGGGATAATGAAAAAATGAATGATCTCTAGTACGGTTCAAATACTAGATCTCACTCATTTTTCAATTTTCGCGCACAAAATCAACTCGACTCTCATGTTTCGTCAATTTCGAGCGCAAAAATTAACAATGTCGTCGAAAAGGTGCCTGATGAATGGAAAAAGTTCTTACCAAACAGAGCAACGACAGGCAATTCAACAACTATAACAAGTGCCCGCATCATTTCGGATGCCGAACTGAGATTGAGTGTAGGGTAATGATACCATGTTTGGGTGCGTGTGCGTGTAATTTGTGCCGATGATGAGAACTTCGCATTTTGATGCCAATGAGCTCCGTATTTTGTCATTTGCCTCATCAGAAAATCAATAACGTGAAAGATTCAGAGAGATAGCTATATAGAGAAGATAGAGAAAAAGCAGTGATTTACAGATCAGAAAAATAGCAACGAACCGTATGACGGGCGAAATTGTAATTGACAAAGAAGGACCATGGTGTTCAGAACAAAAATATTCAGACAAAGATATAAAACATAGGCAGCCAGGATAAATGAAAAGTTCGTATCGGGATTACAATCAAATAAAAAAGGTTGAGCAAATTTTTTAAAAGGACACTTTTGGGATTTTAGAAGTTTGGTATATATATATAAATATTAACTTTTGAGAAAAATAGGGCTATTATATGAATTAATGCAATTAAAATTTACTTCTTACTTGGCGCCGTTGTAATTACCTGCGGTGTCTTCTGAAATGTCTATTTTAAGCATTAGAAACCAGCTCTATGAAAATAAAACACTCACTTTGAAATCATCCGTGCTTTTGTACTTCTTTAGCTCTTTTTGTAAAAATTCGTCAAGAACGAGTTGCTTCGCACACTTGTATCTGAAAAGAAAATTTTAAAATACAACGATCTAATTTCTTAAAACACGAGTACCTTTGTAAAAATGCAAGGAGCTTTTCAAGACCATAAAGCTGATCCTTCTTTATATCATTTGTAACATCTTTCATGAAGTTCTTATAAATTTCTGGGCGGAATTTCTTTTCCAATCCATAACTATAGAAACGGAAAAGAGCTTCAATACCATATCTCGAACTGAAAGATGAGTTAAATATTAGAAATTGGTGAATAATTTCATTAATTCTTACCCAACTTCAGCATCTTCAAGAGCAAGTTTTCGGAATTCCTCGTACATATTTCTATTGAAATTGTCACGAAGGAAAAATGACCAGAAGCGATAAAGTGTGTTCATTTCGGCGCAATCATATCCTACATTCTTGCGCTGCTTCAAGCACGACGCTCTCCATGTCGAATAAACATTCTGCACAAACTGATTTTCCTTGAGAAGTGAGACCGATGGATGGTTTGGCGGCACTTGGCTCGAGCTCGCCGCAACTCCAATCGGTGCCGGTGGTGGTTCTTCGCGACCGAGCACCCAACCAACTGGCAATTCAACTGGTGGTTTATCGCTGTGTCGCGTTTTCTGCTTTCGAGGAGACTTGGCATCCAAAGCAACTGGCGGTTTTCCAACTGGGTAAAAGCGATTCACCTTAGCTTCTTGAGATTCACGGCGTTGCATTGGCGATTTTGGCTGGAAAATAAAATTTTAACTTATGAAAAGTTCGGTCGTGCGAAACTCTGTTAAAGCAAACACGGTTAAAATGGAATTGTCAAAAGTGGTACAACAAGAAAAATTCTTACTACAACTTGAGCTGCCTGCGCACGTTCCTTTGCTTTTTTCGTCCAAATAGTTGGCGGGGGCGTCTTCGCATCAGATGGTGGAATCTCAGGCGGTGGGCCTTGATCAACTGGTTTCGGCTCCTCACCGCGAATCTTGACAAACTCTTCATGGCTGATCGTGGTAACCTTGGATGTCTGCAACAAACACAACACATCCACAAAGTTTAATTCAAAAATAAAAAAGGAAATGCGTGCTTGGTTGGAAATTCCGATGCAGTTCGCCCATCTACTTACAGGTGCCTCCTTCTCGATTGGCGCATTCCAAAGTTCCTCTTCATAGCGTCTCAAGCCAATTTCAACTTCCTCATTGAACTCGACATGATTTTGAGAGCGCGTCGTGTAATCACCAGTTTTGTCCATTGTTCGCCTAGACGGCGTCATAATAATAAGTTTACTGATAACATCATCGTCTACATCGTCAGCGTCAGCAGGCCTAAACATCTAAACTACTTGATCGCTTTAAAATTCTTGACACATACGTTAATCCAACAATTATTTTTTCTCCTTTTTTCGACTTATCCCGTTTTGGTGTTGTGTGTGATGCCGGATGGTCCATCTCACTGTCAAACTGAAAATCTAACTCTGGCTGCTCATTGCTCGGCTGCGGTGATGGTTGTCGTTGTTGCTGAGGTGGTTGCGACTGCGAGTTATTCGATTTGACAGAATTACGTCGTTCACTTTCGTCGCTTTGTGATGAGTTTCTGCCTTTTCCTTTTTTCTTATTCCGCGCGTCCTCCCAATCATTCTAAAACAAAATGAATTTTAGAAAGAATCGAAACAACGAACCGTTCGCGATCTAGAGGGAGTTGATTGTGACGAACCAGCTTCTGAATTGTCTACTGATTTTCGATCTGATGTTTGTGATGTCTGCGGCTGCTCTGATTGTTGTGGTGGCTGAGGCTGTTCGGTTTGCTCATTATTTTGTGATTTTTGCGCCTGTTGCTGCTGCTGCTGTTGTTGTTGTTGAATCAATCGCTGCTGCTGCTGATAATCTTGAATTTGTTGTTGTATTAACTGGTGAGGAACGTTTGGCGGTGGTCCGTTTGCCTGAAAAGATCCGACAATGATAATATTGTTTCAAATTAAATACGAACCTTCGGCTTAACCGGATTATAGCTTAGAGGAAATCCAGACGTACTAGCAATCAAATCAGCAGAATTAACAGTAGGCGGTAGTGGCCATTTCGTTGGGTCCTCGCGAGCACGTATTAAAGTTCCATCAGGGGACAACTCAATCTGAACAGGAAGATTCAAAAAGAAATATGAAAAAAAAAATTTACTTTTGTGCTTTCACGAAGTCCCTCACCAATGAGCAAGAGATCTTCGGTAAGAGCTCGAACTCTTGGGAATGACGCTATCAACGACAATGGAAGATAACCATCATTATTCATTTTTCGTCTCAAGAAGAAATCCTTTTGAAGATTATCATCAGAAAAATAATATTCGCTAAAAAGAAAAAATTGATTTAAACGTGAAGTTTTTGAAAACATACATTTGTTTTCGAACGTATTCCTTGAGTGTATCATCTGTGACCGGTCTCTGCGGTAATGGTGGATTATAAATTGGAGCAAACGGAATTGCAGTGTTGATAATATCCCCGTTTGAGACCGGCGAAGCAGATGGATCAAGTGGTGGCGACATCATATGTGGCGAGAGCATCGGCGGAACTGGTGGACGGAATGGCGCATAAGCAGCCATGTGCTGTTGGGCGTGCTGAATCATTATTGTCGCTGAATGCGGATCAAGCTGCAAAATAAGTCAACTTTACGAGAAAAGAATTTTTGCTTCAAAATGTTTTTTCAACATGCTAATTTTGCACTAAAAATAGATATAAAGAGAAAATGACTTCACATTAGAAAGAAAAATTCAAACAACGGCACCAACCACAAATGAACAACATCAAGTGCAATATCAATCAACTCGAATTTTTAACGTCAAGATCACATACTCTAATATATGCATAAATTATTTTTTTAAACTCAATAGTTTGGAAAAAAACCCTTTTACAATGAAAGGAAACAACATACCGTATGATCAAATGGCTGTGGATACGAATAATATTGCGAATACTGCAATTCCATCAAGTTCATGTAGTCAAAATTATCGTCGCCATCAGTTATATCATCCCAACGAGGCAGCGGACCTCGTTCTTTCCGCTGAGCTGGCGTCAATTTTGGCGGAGCATGCGGATTTGCGCGAGCCTAGAGCAAAAATATCCCGTTGAAAATTGGTTTAAGTCTCAACAAACGTCATTTACTTGATATCTATCGTTTCGCTGATAATATGCTTTCGGCTGCATTTTTTCGTCTTTGCCATTCTTACTCCAGTAATCATTTTGTTTATGCACTGAATTGTTACTCGGCGCTCCGCCGTTGCCTCCACGATACGAACTTGAGCCCTAACATTTTCAACATTCAAAAATAGAGAACAAGCATTAAAAAATCTCACTTTATTGTTGTTATTTTGCGGTGGCTGCTGCTGTTGTTGTGGTTGCGCTGGCGGTTGTCCGCCGTTTCCTCTTGGTCCGTTTCCGTTCATTGTTGGCGCGCTCGTTGGTCGCTCCTTTGCCAGATAAGCGTCAGAAATGCGAGTGGGTGACGTTCCAGAAACCGACTTCGACGAAGACGTTGTCAATTCAGAAGTTTTCACTTTCTTTTTCCACCCGTGTGTTCCCCCCTGTTGATAATATATTCCATTCGCGTTATCCGTTGCTCTACAAAAAGAAGAAATGTTGAGCTTAACACATGAACAGCTCTCATTTAGAGAATTGAGAAGCATAGGCACAACGCCCAAGTGACGTCATCTAGCCGCTATTTATGAAGACGTGGGGTGAGGGCTCTCATCTATTTTTCGGCATTGTGTTTAGGAGGGCTAATATTTCAAAAACAAAAAAGAAAACAAGAGAAAAATGGATTCGATACTAATTATTAATACTATACTATGTAACGGGGAATATGAAATGAAAAATGGGAATGGATCCTTCACCTTGACGACATTTATCCTCTTTTTTGAAGATTTGCGTAGCTATGCATAAAAAGACAATTCAATCAACTGAGCCTCGCCGAATCCGCTGCCAACGTCACGATCGAATGCCAAGAATAAATTAATGATGATGAATAATTGAGACTTTCTTTGGTTTTTGAGCTTCAGAAATGCGTTTGAAACTTGAATCAACAATTTGATGCACAATGGAGTTTATTCAGCTATTTATAATCGTATTCACAGCTAAAATCTCCAGGGTGGGCCAAGAAAACGGAAAAATAACAACGACACCACAACAAGGCCGACGAAGAACGGAGCCAAAATAGGGACCCTTTCAGTTTCAGAGCTTCTGGAAGACGAATAAATGGGGCCCGCGCGTCGATGGCCAGAAGCGTGCTTGAAATAAGCATATGCAAACAAGAGACGTAGAAATCTAGAGATGTAAAATGACAACAGCGAAAAAAAAAACGTTGGCGCAACCGAATGGCGTAGGCAAGGCGAGAGGGACTAGCGACTCGTCGCAAACTCGCAGCCGCATCGACCCGCGAGGCGAGTTGTTGATGTCGCCGCTGCCGCCACCATCGCGATGCCGATGCCGCCGTTGTCGCGATAGGTGTTGTGAGTGCTGCGTGCGTGAGTGTCTCTATCTCTCTCTCTCTCTCTCTGTGTGCGTTTGAGTGTGCGCTGCTGAGGACGCTCTTATTGAGCGACTATAGTTGCCTGTCAGCTGCCCATACATACTCGCTGATTCCCCCAATACACACACACACACACACACTCATCTGCGATTCTCCCGCAGTCGGCCTCGAAAAATATTCACGAAAAAAACACAGACACGCGCATACACATACGCACATATATGCGCATTAAAATAATTTCCTGTGTGGCAAAAACTACGTCAGAAAAAAATTTCAAAACTAATTTTTTGTTTGAATTATCCAATTTTGGGCACGCACTATTTAAATCGGAAATTGGTTTTTTAGGCTGATGATGAAGTCAAGACCGGGATTATTCAACAACTCGGAGATTTTCGTGTCATTCAGCACCAAAATCAATGTTACAGAACTAAAGAATTATAGATTTTCAGCTGTTTCAGTCTCATAGCAATTCACGGATAGTGAAACTCTGAAGCTTGGGTTCAAAAAAATTCTTCAAAAAACTTATACCCACCGTTGTTTTTAGCAAAAACCAAGACACTTTTAAGCAAGTCTTAAATCTTGATATATGGAAAACCTATTCGGTTCAGGGTGTCATTCTCAATACATCATACTTTCCGAATTGTCTGAAACTACATCATTCAGCGCGGAAATGCTGAAGAAAAATGAATAAAAATAAGCATAGGATAACTTTTCTGAACGATACAATATGTTCGATTAAAAAACCACGAAGGACGTCATATTCGATACTGATAATAACAATCGCGCATGCACTAACAAATTCGTCATCCTATTATATTTTGGGGCACTTCACAAAGGCCGGTAGGGATGTGTTAGGAAGTGCGGCCACTGATCGATATACAGATAACAATATACGGTTCGACAACATGCATCGACTGCCGCCCCTTCAAGTTTCGGCACTCCTATGTACAGCTCTCGTCGGAAATCTATTGATGAATCGAGTCCCCCCTACCATGCAAATTGACCACCGAAACAACAGTGCGCATTCCTACCAAACGATACTGATATGATAGACAGAGGCTTCGAAAAACACTACCAAAATAAATAATGATAAAGCTTACTTTTCACCCGGAGTTTCAGTTGTTGAAGGCTTCACTTCTTTTGTGTTGGCGGTCCTGAAGCAAAAATGAATAAATTAAAGACTAGGCGTATTTTTTTCGAGCTTATTTTCTTTTCGCTGCTATTTTTAATTCACGTTTGTTTAGCATCATAAAACTGAGAATATTCGAGCCAAAACATAAATAGAACTCATAAATTTCTCTTTTAGACAATTCGCCTAAACATGTTATGCTATGGTTTCAGTTCTTGCATGGAACGACGAAATTCAATTAAAGGTGGATCAAGCTGAAAAGGGCGCAAAGAACCAAAGAAACGATCGACCCCTTTTTTAGTGGCAGAAAATGTATTGCGAAACGTTTCACATTGATTTGTCAAGTTTTCTGCATGACTGACACATGCATAGAAATCGGTGATCATCATAATTGATGAATGAATCTAACAATTTTCGTCTTTGATAAAGTTTACACTAAAAATTGAAGTATTGAACTTTGAATATAAAATATATAATTTTCGCAATAAATTTCATAAACGAAAGTGGATTATAATTTTTTTTAAAGTGAGCGCTTTCAGAAAAACGATTATGACCAAACTTCTAATTTTAATATTGAACGTTAATCTCTGTTCAATTATAATAATTGATAACAATTTTACATAACAACATAGATGTAGCTAAAAATTTGAGGATAAATACTTCGAATTATTCATCATAATGTTAGCCTTTCGCCGATAAATCAAGCCAATTTTCGAAAATTTGCTAATTTTGCCATTTAAGAGAGATTACTGTAACTAAAAAATCGAAATTATTCAAATAATTCGACCGAAATCAATTAAAACATTAAAGAAATAAACTAAAAAATAAGAATAATTTCCGAATTTATCCGACATTTAATAGTTTGAAAGAGAAAAACTATATCTCTTCTCAAGAAGAAGCCAGCAAAAACCAAGACAAAAAACCATTTTTGTATTTCCTTTTTTGTATAACGCGCATAAAAATTGTTACACGTTAAAAAGATTAAAGCATGAAAATTTCTTTGTAATCTTTTAACATATTTGCAAATTTTTTATTCTTTTAAACAAATGTACTCACCAATATTGTTCGTCGCTGCTTCCAGATTCCGCTTCTCCACGGCGTTTTACTAAAAAAAATAAAGAAATACGAAAACACATCAGCACCATAATACCTGTCTTTTCATTCGCAGGTCTTCGAGTTCCCTTTTCACGTTGCGCATTCTTTCCTTTATTCCCGTAATCCACGGATATTTCAACTTTTTTCCAACTATTTTTTGACGTTTTACCAGTGTGTTTATTGTGCTGTCCATTCAATTCATTGTCATCCTTAAAATAAAATTTGATAATGAAAAAGAACCGCGATAGCTTACCGAATTCGACGGAGATACGTGGCCGTTCACTTCAGCCATCGCAAGTGACGGCCATTCCGGATCATTTTCTGAACGACTCGTTTCCAAAACGGGAGCATTCTCCTTGACAACAACAGGCTCATTTTTGATAACCTAAATAAAATAACTACCAATGATACAAAAATAATATAACAAATTCAACCTCTTTTATTGGCTCTTTAGCCTTTTGTTTCTGCTCGTTTTTAGTTGGTTTAATCTCAGTCTGTTTGGATTTATTCTCAGGTTTATCAGGAGAACTTTCAGAAGAACTCGCAGTGTCTATTGAAAATATGGGCATTATGAATTAACAATTATAGAAAATACCTATTTTATTTTTAAACCAGGCATTAACGGCTGGAAGCGGTGCTGGTTCAAGAATTACTGGCTCTGCGGGCTTAGTTGTTTCTTCCGGTTCTGCAACTTGAGCGGCTTTCTCCTTTAGTTCAGCTGCTGCCTTGTTTCGCCATTCGATTCGCTCGCGATTTCTGGCGCTGCGTTTTTTGTTGTTGCGATGTTTTTCGCCGGCTGGTCGTGGTTCGTTCTCCTTTCTTTCGGAATTGTGCGCAATTGCTTCAATAGATTCTGTATGCAAATCAGCTCCATGAGTCATCACAGACGCTTCAGGACCATTGCTACCCGCGTTTTTGCCAGACACAACTTTCGCAAACGAGAGCATTTGCCTCTCGGCCATCTGATTATTTGACTACTTGCTGTTATTAGTAGCAAGTTTTTCTTACCTGAAAATAAAACATATATCATTGAAGATTTATTTTGGTTCTTATGGAAAACTACTGGCGTTGAAATAATGTTATGAAACAAACATCGTTTCATATATGGACTTATTTATGAAATAAAAACACGTAAACAAAAACACACATTTTTTAATGCAAGTATGCAAAAAACATAATTAATGGAATTGTTTCTACACCTAGTAAAAATACATTTCATGAATAAGTCCATAATGTTTTCGAAAATGGACGACAGCGTATTTTGTAATTTTATTCAGCTGCCTTGTTCTCAAGGCAACGTGAGTAAATTTACGCGCAGACTGGGTATTAATTGCAATGCAAGAAACGTGGGAATTAAAACCACGCGAAACGAAAAAAAAAAGAAATTTGCTGTCTACTGTAAATCGAAATCTCAGTGTTAAAATTCGTTCTTCCACCAAAACATTACACAAATTAATATGAATTCTTATAGGGTTTTTCCTTATGAATATACGCTAATATTTTTTGTTAATCCCAAGGCTAACGAGTTCCAGTCGACGAAAATTTAACATCAACAAATTTTCTTAGGCAAATCATCTGTGCTAATATCATTTAAAAATCCGACATTTAAATTCTTTACAAACTCGAAACAACAAAGTTTCACGAAAATTTTCGGAACTTCTACATATATGACATGCATTGCTAATCATCTAATAAATTCACTGAATAATTTCCGCTCAAATACTCTAATATTAAAAAGAAAAAAACTAGAAATGCAAAAATAATTGAGTAAAACGACAAAACGTTATGGACTTTACACCGCGATAGTTAAAAATCAATTTCGATCGGCCGATTTTTGAGGTGAACAAAAGGTGGGGCGAAAAAATCAATAATCACTTATTTATGTCAGATTTCATATTTCATTTTGATGAAATTTCGTCCCAGCTTTGTCCATATTTATCAGGGGAGAGCGTTGAAAAAAGAAAAAAAAGAAACAGAAATCAGAAAGTCCAGTGTGCGTAGCGCCCCTATCTCTCACCACACAGCTGGAAGACTGCCAATGTATAAGGGGCTGTTACGAAATTGCACGGCAGAAACAGACGCGAAATACGTCAGTCCGCGACGGGTTGGCGCATTCACCGCGTGCTGACACACTTCTCGTTTTCATGAGTAAACACTCGTCCTCAACAATCAGATCGGATTAAAGTCGTTTTTTTGTTCATTTTTTCCGGTTTTCTAGTTTTGCAAAAATATGACACACAATCGCACACTTTTTTTCGTGTTTTGCCCAACATTGCGGTTTTCTAGAACTTCTTAAACACCCGTTTCCAATTTTCTTAATTTTATTAAATCTTTTTGTAAAGAATGCCGCCACCACCGCCGCCGCCGCCACCACCGCCACCGCCGCCACCACCGCCACCGCCTCCTGGGAATCTGCCACCACTAGCTGCGAACAATCCTGAAAGAAATGCATTGTTAAACGACATTCATGTAAGATTGCCTTTATAACTTATATTTTATTGATGGCAAAATATTTTTTGTAGAAAGGATTGAAACTAAAGAAAACGGTGACTAATGATCGTTCAAGCCCACTTGTTGGCAAAGTTGTCGGCTCGTCAAACAATCAGCAGAACAATAAACCCGGACCAGCGTCGGCGGCACCATCGAAACCAGCAATGAGCGGTGGATTAGGTGGACTTTTCGCTAATGGGCTTCCTTCAAAGCCAAGCGAAAACAAAATACGACGAGCTAATACAAATATAGGTAAAATGTTAATGTAGAGTTTAAAAATTAAAAACAAATTTAGGTCCACCGCCATCTGCCTCAGCTGCTCCTCCTCCACCGCCACCTCCGGCAGCACCGCCCGCACCAGCTGTAGAAGGTATGAGTCATCAAAAACATTTTTTTAATGAAATATCGATCTATAGGAAGAAAACCAATAATATTTTCTTCTTCAATTGCATCTAGCCCTTCTTCCTCAATTGCCTCTTCGAAACCAACGCCTCCACCTCCGCCACCAGCACAGCAATCGAAACCATCGGTAATTCAAATTGTTTATTTCTTTTTTCGTTATTTCCGCGCTGTCTCGTCCGTCCTATTCGTTGTGTTAATTGTCGAGTTCTGTGTGGTTTTCAGGTTGAACGGGAACAATTCCGAACAATGCGGCCGCTCCGTCAAAACACAATTGCGACGCCAATGTTGCGAAGAAGTGGAAGCTCTGAGGTTTTTGATTGTTTCTTAATTATTTGTTGTTGTGTTTCTCCAGAAGAAGAGTGTGAAAATAGTTATCGAATCGAATAATTCCTGCAAATTCAGGAAATTATGCCTAGCAATCGAATGCCTCGTCCTGGAGTTCCGCCGCCGGCTCGGCCTGCCGCTCCGCCTCCACCACCACCTCCAATTGCAGCCCCAATTAGTAACATCAAGTATGAATTGCTCGCTGAAATACCAATTATATCAAACAAATCATTCAGAAGAAGTGATGAGGCACCGGCGCCACCACCTCCTCCAAGAATGGCTTCGAAAACCGCGCCGCCACCAGTGAAGCCATCGTTCCCGCCGGTTCCATCCATGCCAGCTCAGTCAACTGTTACAATAACATCGACCACGCAATTTCATCCGCTTAATAGGTACTGTTTCGAAATTTATTATGCCTGAATTTAATTGTTTACTATAGTAAAAAAATTTATTGGCGTCCAGATTTACAAACAAATTTGCCTTTCGCAATGATCTTGTTACGAAAGCTTCTTTTTTTTACTTTTTCTTAATGGGTTTGTCATTTTTTTTGCTTCCCACCGTTTTTGAAATTAACGATTACCGAACTGATCCCAGATAATCTTGCGAGAATAGCGAAAGACGGTCGTAAATCGACCACATACAAGTCTGAATGTATTAAATTTAAAATTTTCCAAAAATATAAAAATTGTGTTGCCTTAAGTCATATATTTAAAAGGTGGTGATTTATGCATTTTCCGCCAGGTATTCAAAAATTTGTTTCAACATTGTTCACAGTTGTTTTTTTTTAGATTTCATTTTCTGACATTGGATCAATTGCCGCCACCTCCAATATCCGGAAGTCGAGCATAGAATTTGAATTTGATTGGTACCCGAGTATTCATTTGATTTTTTTGTGTAAAACTTTTCTTTCATCCGTTTTCCTACAAACCTGTCGTTTTCAATCTGTGATATCTGCAATATTCAACCCCGATAACTAAACGTATTCAGGAATCGTTGCCTGCAATGCATCATTGTTTGTTGTGAACTTTTGTACATCTAGTCGCTCAAAAAGCACCCATGCAACGTTAAAAAGTGTCTAAAATCATTCGGTTCCTATCGGCTTTTTTCTCATTTGCGCTCAAAAATCACTTCCAATTTTGTTTCGTTTGTTTCCCGTGCGTGTGTTATAAATAAATTTGTTATATCTTAACGAAGTTGTGATCAATGCCTTGTACTTCTCAAACAAAAATTATCTTCATACGGCCTCTTCATAAAGAATGACGAAATAATTCAGAGAAAAAATGGAGGATGGAAGAAATGATATGCATTTGAATGATCGGCTTAAAGCCATTGTGGAAGTCGAGAAAAATATCGATGAATTGATGAGGTAGTTGATAATCGATGGGGGGTTGCAAGAAACAGTTGAAAGGTTCAGATGCGCTCGAGATACAATTCAGGAATTGGCGAAGGAAAAGCAGTTGAGCAAGGTTTGCCTCTTTTTTTGGAAAAATGCAGATTATAAACAAATTTTGGTTTTTTTTCTCAATGTAAAAAAAATTTTTGCTTTTACGACTATTAAATCAACATTTTTATTTTCCTGAAGCACGAGCGTTTTTCACAAGGGGAATTTTTTCCTATGTGATATTTAAAAAATATTCCGGAAATTGTTCAGTTGTCGCATTTTCAGAATTCCACTTATTTGGAAGGAAATTATATTTCCACAAGATATCGTTTTAAATATCACTTAAATTAATGGAATTATTCGTGCAGTTTTTTAAAATTTAATTAAACACAAAAATGCACATTTTTGTAAAAATTTAAAGACAAAAATGCATATTTTATGCTTTTTTTTAGAAACGTTTTTGTAAAAAATATAGTTTCAGAATAAAATGGAGGATTCGGCGAGTAATTTTCGAAAACTCCTAACCTCGATTGACACAGAGCTGACAAGTCAAATGCAATATTTGGGGAACGTGTGTGTCGGCTCATCGCATCAAGGTGAGGAATTTCTGTAGGCATGTATTTCAAATTGACAAATCGAACATGTTAGGATCGACATTTGTTTCTGTACAAAACTCGAATCTGGCGAAACAATCGAATTCGATAATGCATGATGCTGTAGTGGGAGTGGTGTCGAAGTTCGAAAAACCACCAACTAAAACGGAAGCGAGCTCCGATGTTGAGTCGGCGGCGCCGAATGAGCTGCAGATGGATCAATCATAGTCCCATTTTCATGTTTTCCCTCAGATCTCATTATCTTGTACATAAATTATTTATTTTTTTGAATCGCGGTTTAATTGTTTGTCTATTTACGTTAAAACGTTGGTATATAATTCGTATAGTATATTTGTAGTCGTTAACTTCCGAATATTTCGAGTTCCAGATATTTGATGAACGGCTCAATCGAAGGACCGAGCACATCGACGGAGTCAAACGTGAGAATTTAAGCGATTCTAGTGGCGTCGATGAGAATTGCCAAATTTTTAGAATATTCGAAAACGGCGGCATTCAAATGATGACAGTAGTCTACGGACTTCGACTTACGGTAAAGATGCGTGGCGAAATAGTCGGCGAATTTCAATTGATCCCATATCTGAGCCGGACATTCTGATTTCAACTCCGCCGGACCCGTATATTGAACATATCAAAGCGACCTATCATAAAACTTCGCTGGCGGTAAATTTTCGTGTCGCTGACCAATGGTTTTTTTTTCTTCGTGTGCCCTTTGTTTTCTAGAAACTTTGTAAAAAAAGCGAAGGCAATGATGAAGACGACGACATTTGTACCGAGGAAGTCAAAGATCGACTCTTGCGACACCCGCAAACGATCTCGATGCGATTGTTGACGTGTTTGGCGCCGTTGTGTGGGCGGAGTTTCGAGATTCTCGAAGTTCTCGCGTTTCATTGCGCTTACGCGCACCAGAATATTGATAGCAAATTGCTAATCGACCGCACGTGCCTCCTTTGTGGAAAATCATGGGAATCGGTGAAGGTTTGAGATAGTTGCGATGAGAATTGAGATGAATGAAAACCGAATTGAAGGGAAAACTGAGCCATATGACGACGAAACATCGCGAATACTCGGAACTTCACAATTATCAGTGTGTTCGACAGCGAGCTGCAGTGTATGCGCTGAACGCTCCAGGAGTGCGACGAATCACTTCCCGAGAGGAGCAGACGGTGTAAGAAATGAATTAAGCCAACCAATTTCAACTCATATCGATTTTTTTTAGATTTGCTCCCACTAGAAACACGTCAAATAATCTTGTAAAATATGTGTGGAAATAAATATCATTTGTGACTAGAATTTTCCAATTTTTCCATATATGAATTGTTTCTATCAATAGTTGGCTTATTTTTTGTTTGACTCAATTCGCCGCCAACGGCAAATTTCAGATGATATTGCGGAGGTCCGCACATTCTTCACTCGGACGCATTGCGAGACGAGCGATGGCCTCGAAAGAGATGGCGTACTCGGAGAAGAGGCTCATCGGGTTCGACAACCGACATCAATGAATGTCTCGAATGTCGCATTTCTGAATTTTAGATTCTCGCGAGAGGAAATGTTCGAGGTGGTGTCGAACGTTGAACGATACCACGAATTCATACCATGGTGTCGATCATCGACGGTCGAGCGGCCGACGGGAAACTCGCAGGTCTCGCGCCGAAATTTGAGATATTCGATGGGAGGGTGTTTTTTCGTTTCAGATCGCGACGTTGGAAATCGGGTTTCCGCCATTTTCGGAGAAATACAAGAGCAAAGTATTATATATAAAACCATCGGTGGTTCATGTAAGAATGATTTAAATGTGATGATTGACTGAAATTTTCAGTCTTCTGTCATTGGAAGTGATCTCTTTAGAACGTTGGACACTACTTTTCGATTTGGAAAGGTAAAAAACGTTTTTGAAATTTTAGAAACAATAATTACTTTTAAAAATACGAACTTTGAATGTGATTGATTTATCATTTGAATTGCCGCCTCGGGTCTCGTAGGGAAAAATTGTTACGAGCTTTCATAATCTCAGGTAAATGAAAATCAATCAGATTCGAAAATAATTCCTTTTTCAATCTAAATCGAATGTAAATTAATCTGCTTCGAATTATTCCAGAATTTCAATCGATTTCGAAGAATTTTGAATCGAAACCAAGATTTCAAATCGAATTTAAGCGTTTTCTTAATTGAATTTGAATTATTTTTCAATCGAAACAGGTTAATTTATATTTAATTTTTCTTCGAATCCGATTGATTTTCATTTACCCGAGATGTGAAGGAGCAAAATTGAAAAAAAATATTCGAACAATTTTTGCGCCAAATGATATATGTGCCCGCAAAATTCATTTTTTTTAAAATGTGTTCGTCCACAACAATATTAGACTATGTCAGAGATCAATCGATGAAGAAGAGGAATCCAAAAAAGGCTAATTTTAGGTTTTTCCTTGGCAAAAATGAAAATCGGTGTTTATATTTTTTAAGCGAATTGAGAATTGTGCACTACCCCTTTCATCTCTAATATATAAAAAAAACGAATTCAGGGAAAAGAAGGCTTCGAGCGATCTTGCCAACTTCACTACGATTTGACATTTGAATTCCAGTCGGAATTCCATTCTCGAATCGCTCATCTCTTCTTCGACAAAGGTTATCATCAAAATATTGCCTCAAATCATTGTCCTAAAATCATTTTCAGTCGTCAAAACCATGGTCTCTGCATTTCTAAATCGCGCCGCCCATGAATTCGGACCCCCAACATTTCCGCATTTACCACCAAATGTTTTAAAATACAAGTCATAATTTCCATTCTTTTTTTTTTTTAATATTTTTGCAAAAAAATGTGCCATGAAGGAAAAAGAGAAGCTTGGTTTTAATCTAGGATACTCCTATTTCTTTATAAATCGTATAAGATCAACTTGAATATCAACGGCTTTGCTTTTGTGGAATTTGTAGGTGGCTGGAAGATTCCAAACCATTTCAGCGCAGCATTCCGCCGATTCAACATTCTCCCAATTTCGGCCGGTTTGAAGAATGAATTTGCGAGTTGATGATTTGTGAAGAGAATACACACTTCCGCCGGGTTTCGTTATCGATAATCCAGCGCGCACAAATTTCATGTCAATTCCTAAAAAAAAACATGAGGGTTCAAAGAAGCGTTGCCAAATGGTCGGGCCCCGCCCCACGGAAAATGTCCGCAGATGTCCAAAATGAAAATTCTTTGAAAGCCAGGATCCCCTGATTTGACAAGCAAGGTTTTTCGATAAACTGTCCAACCTTCATTATTCTTCGTCCCAAATGGCGGATTGATGACAACTATATCAAAAATTGGTTTGAGCACATCGGAGACGGTTAGAGCATCAGTTTTGATAAGCTCACAAGTTTCGTGAACTTCGGCGATGCTCAAATTCTCGGAGCAAATCTTCAGAGCATCATCGTCAATGTCAACGCCTTCAAAATTCGAAACCGATTCTTTTTCCGTCAACACAAAAATTGAGCTCACCGATGACCGTCGCCGGCTCATAGCACGCGGCGATCGTTGTCATCAGCATTCCACAACCGCAGCCAAGATCGGCAACAGTCGCATTATCGAAGCCGACTTGATCTTCGATAAATTCCATCATCGATACTAGAAATAACACATTAATTCGGGAAAAAAATAGATTGAATAGATTCATGCGCCTTTAAAATTTTCAAAACAAAATCATTTTTGACATTTCAATTTTTTGAATCGATTACCCGCAATTTCCGCCGACGTCGCATATTGTTCCAATTTGATTTTCGGCTTCTCAAACCCCCTAAGCTCGCCGAGCATCCACAAAACCTTTTTGTCCACCATTTCGCCTATTTGTTTTCATTATGCAAAAATTCAAAAGTCTTCATGTATTTATATAAAAAGGTTAAAGAACCCATTCAAATCAAACAAATATTTGCGCAGAGCGTTTAAAAAATACACATTTTTAACCGAAAAAAAAAAACAAAGTTCGCGGAAAAAGTTAAAGAAAAGCAGACGAAAAAAAATGGAAAGCGTCTGATGAGCGTCAAGATGCATCAAGAGACAAATGTGACAAGATTTTGGAAAGTGTGCGAAAAGAACTAAAAAAATCTCGTATATTTATATACATGTTTTTTTATGTGCTAATTTGCCCGAATTATCTCAACGTGATCACAAAGTACGTTCAATACAAGTAAGTCTTGTAAATTTGAGTGGAACGGACCATAAAGGAGCAGAAGCATCGGGGGGAAACATTCAAATACCCGTATTGTGGAATTGAAGCAAATCAACGAGAATAGATTACTGGCGCTTTGAGTATGTCAAACTTGTTCTGCGATTCAAGAAGGTACTGCACAATTTGGCTCTGCATGATCATGCTGAACGCCAGATGAGAGTTCGATTGAACTGGCGGCGCGGCTTCATCCTGAATATTAAATAATTGGTTTCGAGCAGACAAAATCAGGCAAAATGGACTTTTTTCACAATCCAGGAATGCTTTTAAAATAAAAAAAGGGAAAAAAACAAGCTGAAGCTCATTTCAGAAAATTTTCAGCAAGAATCCCTTAACCCTTTTCATATCCATAACAAATTGCATTAAAAAACCAAGTTTTAATATATTCTTAATGATTTCCGGAGCTTTCCCCAAAAAAACCCCCGCTACCTTCGATCCCTTAGCATTCTTTCCGCGTTTCGCCGCCTTTTTATTCTTCGCCGCTGCTCCGCCGGCCACCACTCCATCACCATTATGAAATAGAGTGGGCCCGAACACGATGGCCAGATTGTGCTGCTGCATTCGATTATGCGATGAATGCGATGCGACCCTATAATTCATCATTCGGGCGACGACGACAAAATTTGCATACCTATTCAAGTGCCTCAAAAGCACTTTGAGCGTCTCGCGATTCTCCATCGGCAAACGATTCAGAAGCTCTTCAAACTTTTTGAAACGCGTCGGAACATTCGGATTCTCTGAAGAAAAATAAAACAACGTTCGACGAATTTGAGCATTTTCATATATTCTTACGCATCGCCGACGTATATTCCTTGTGATAAGCGGTGGGGAACAAAGGCTCGCTGAGCTCACGAAAGAAAAGCTTCAACGCTCCAGTTAACACATGAATATCCTCCTCGGCAACCAGCGCCTTATAATTATCTAAAATGTTAATTAATAATGATTAAACAATTAAATCATTTAATTACCTTGATCGGCTTGACATCGTATTCGCTGAACCGCAGACAAATTCCCACTAACCCTGTAAATTAAGCAAAAAATGGTAAATTAAAAAAGACACTCCCAACGAACCGATAAATTCCATCCGTGTCCAACCCTTTGCTCTCGATCACCTCAGTAATGACCCTCAAAAATTTTGGCACATAGGAATTCTCATGATTGCAAATCGCCAATAGCGTCGATCCGAATACTGGTTCCGCTGAAAATGAATCGAAATTCGCAAACTCTCGAATTGCGGCTTCATACGCTTATATATTCCTTTCTCTTTGAGACTCTCAACGGTCGGCCGTTTGGCAAAGAATCGTCGCAATTTCTCCAATATCGATTCTTTCGATGGTCTCGATTCCTCGACGACGGCGGCTGTCGATGACGATTCAATGGCGGATTGCGACATCGGATCACCGCGGCGACGAATGCTTCGCCCTCTGTAAACACTAAAAATTAAATTGATGGAGACATCTTGACGAATATCGATTGTTATTTCGTGGGAAACCCAAATTTTAAATTATTCGGACTTTTCCTATTCAAAATTCTTACGTCATCAGGTGCGATAGAGGTCTAGAATTGATATACGACGGGCTTCGCGACACATTATTTCCAGAGACGTCCATAACAGGCTGAACGGACGGATCAGGAGCCGGCTGAAAATCAATTTTTGACCATAAAAAACACCATAAAAATGAGTTTCTCACCAATTTCGACACAACATCATTCAACGCGCTGAACCATTCATTTGCGTCATTATCCGAATTGAATCTCAGCAAATATTTATTATTATTGCACAATTCCAACTGTATATATCGCTTCTTCTTTTTTACATCCTTCTCGGCAACCCATGAGACATTGGCGCCTCGCAAATCCCAACAACCCATCGGCGCATCGTAATGTTTGCCGTGTTTCTGCAAAAAAAATGGGAATTGATTAAAAAATTGCTGATATTCAAACCTCGGCACTTTTTTGATCTTTGTACATGATTAAGTGTGCTGATGTTAGATACATATAATTTGAAATCCATTCTCGTTTCTGAAAAATAGAAAAACAAATTAAATTTTAGATATCGCTAGATCAAAATTGTCAAAATAATTAGCCAATTATCTAATAGAAATTCTAATTGTTCGAATTTATGTTTAAAAAAAAAACGACAATCTCACCTTCGTGCGTAGCTCCTCCTTCTGTTCGTACCATTCCATATCACCATAGCGAATAGTTCGCACTGGTTCGCGAGATTCACTACTTCCTCGTCTTTTTTGACAGCCGGTGCTTGTCTGAAACTTGATTTTTGGAAAAATCTTTTTTTTTCCAAATCGCTATTCAAAATTAATTGCGGCTTTTAAAAACAACAGCCAAAAAAGGAGTGTCTAATACGAAAAAAAATCGTTCTTACCGATTCATTCTCACATTCCTCGTGAGTTTCGCTCAATTTATGGCAATCGGTGCTAATCGATGTTGGCAACACTTGAGGCAATGGCACATTTTTCAATGCGAAACAACGATTTTGAAACGTCATCATTCGTTGGCTGTTCGGCGAAATGCGACGACGCGTCGTCGCCGGCGAACTCGCTCCAGAATTTGGCGGAACCTATAAAACATTGTGCAATCGAAAATAGTGAGAGGGGAGAAGGAAAAAAAAACGCTGGAAATAATTACCGCATACGCCGGAAATGAAGTTTCCGTTGGTGTGTTCGATGGCGACTCGGCCGCGACGAATCCCGACGTCGAGCAGATTTCTTCGGGATCCTCGCAAACCTCATCAAACACCTCCTCGTCCTCGATTTTTTCACTATCGCCTGTCATGTCTTTCGCCTAAAAATCATCATATTTTGCTTGAAAAATGTCGAAATTCGTCTGATGTCACCAGAAAACCATAAAACTTCGTTCATGTTTACCCGAAAAAAAAATGATGTGACTCAGAGAATCCGGTTTCACCCACCTCCTCATTCTCCTTATTCTCTTTGTGCTCTTTCGTTGACGGTCCCTCATATGTACAATTTTCATCGATCGCGGTTTTTGTGGCATGCAGGAATTGCTGGAAGTCAACTATTAATTGCTGATTGAGAAATGTCGGAATAACCTCAACTTGCGCCGGTGTTCGTAGAAACCTCGGCGGAATCCATTGCGTTTTTCCGCTTTCTTTATGATAGAAGAATGTTCGTCCGAGGTCGGTTTCGTATTCGAGCCATCCATTATGCATATCGCGAACTGGCTTCGAGTCCGGCTTCGGAGCTGGCGGAACCGCACGACTAAACAGCATTTATCAATTTTAATATGCGGGTATTTTTTTTTTGTGAAAACCATTTGCTATTCAAAAAAAAATGTCCGCAGATGCGAATCAAGTAATGTGCTCGTTGCGGAAAGCCGAACCCATTATTTATTCAGGTTTCGTTTAAACGAAGAAAACTCGATTAAAATGAATTTACCATTTTGCTAATGTACAACTTTCGCCAACTTTTTCTTGAATGGCGAATCATTCCACTTTCACCATGGTGTAATTCATATAAGGAAAATGAATTAAAGCAGGTTTTCTGGTATCGATATTAAGCATTTAGTTTTTCAATTTGTACGCGTGTGAAGAAATTTCATTCGACCCCTCTTTCAATTATTTTTTAGTTTGAAATGTTGGATAATTAAATAATTATGCGAAAAAAAGGTTATTCGCACCATAACTATGAAAAAGAATGTGTTGTAAAACAAGAAAAAAAAAAGTTTTACTTGTGAAATTCTTCAATCTCGCGAATATTCGCATAAACATGCGATTCTTCCGAACTTTCTTTTGGATTTGGCATCGTTGGCGTATTGCTTGAAGCTGAGGAATCGCTCGAAGCGCACATCTGAATTATGGGACATTGGCATGAACGACGACATGCAGAAAAAAAAGAATAGCAATTACATTATCCAATTCTCCTAAATCGATTTTATCCGAAAATCGTTGCTCGATGCCGAAATCCTGTTGAAGAGCAGTGGTCATTGCTCGCCGATAAAGCGAAATGAGCACACTCCAATTCTGAAATATTTCGAAATTCATCAATTGATTGCCCATAATTGGAATGATAATAGCGAGCATTAATGCAATCAAACGAACAAAATTAATTAATTAATTAATTTGAACGAAATTTTTTGATATCAATTGAATGATTGATAATCAATTAATAATTAGCAATTGGAATCAAGGCAACATGCAAAAATTGTGGTGGGAAAAAAAGGCGGAAGAGAAAAACGCAGATTGTCATAATGGATGACGCACACCAGTCATAGAGCGAACGGCCCGGGAATGGAGTGTTGCGGTGTAGGAGACGCCGGGAAGCGAGGGCCGCCGCATGCATTGTACCCCTCGCCCCAATATTGCACTCTCGGCCACCTCCATTTTCTCGTGTTCGCTTACTTACTGTCTACCATACACAGCTTATTGATTTTTTTTCTCGTTGTTCGCGAGGCAAAAGCCCAATAAATTCGATTTCAATTGAAGCGTGTGAACACGAAATGTCTGACGATTTGATTGCTTCCAGAAACATACGGAATCCGAAGTGAAAATCAAATACAGTACTCTATATTAAATGGTCGTTTGAGATTGAAATTTTATATATATGTCCTGCAGGAGTAGCATGACATTTTTCTCATATACTGACGAATTAGAAAAATTAAAAATGCAATTAATTGGTCCCATAACACAAAATGTGCTGCTAATACTCCGTTATTTGACACGTTTAAAATTAAACCGAAAACTTGAGATTCTTAAAAATAATAGGCTCTTTCATATAATTATGGTGAAATTAAGCGAAACTTGCTCTTAAGAGCTTTCCTTGTGAGACCAAAGGCGGCAAATCAAATGCTACTACAGTAATCGTAACCAAAATTCGTCGAATGTTTCGAAATCTTAAAAGAGCGGAATCGTTAATCGATGTAAGAAAAAATATTGGAGAAAAGGTAAATAATGATGCAGCCGAACAACAAAATTGTGGTGCAATTTCGCGTTCGGTTCGATTTTCAATTGCCCATGACGAATTTTGAGAGAAAAAAAGGAATATTCGTCAAGAAGAAGAAGAAGACGAAAAAAAAGTTGTCCAACGATATAGATTTCGAAAATAAAATATAGAAAAAAAGAGAAAATGCAATAAAACATCAGAAATTTCGATTGTTTTCCTTGCATTGAGGCGACAGTGTGATCGATGTGTGATTTCTCGCACCTCATTAGAAACAAAGGATGGGAATACTCCAATAGGTGTAATTAATACACCCAATTAAAGAACAAATGATTTCGAAGTATTTAATTGGCCTATTATATTCTTTAGAATCGACAAAAAATGAAAATCATAATAAGATAAAACTAATTTTAAAATATACGGGTATGATTCTTTAAGAAATTTTTTAAAAATTTAAAAATACACATTTTTTCGATGCAGGAATGTAAAAAATGCAATTTTAATGTGACATTTTTTCAACATTATTAGCAAAAAAATAAATTTAATGAAGGTTCATAACATTTCATTTTCAATACTAGAAAATCGTTTTCACCGCGATTATACGAAAAGAAGTAAAACGGCTTTAATGATGCTGGTCTTATGAAGTTCACCGTCGTCGGCCTCGACAATTTTATGGAGAAGCTAAGCAACATTTCGATCTTTTAGGCATCATGTTCGCGATGAAATAACATTAGAATCTGGTGGGGCAACGAATTACGATAATGTTATAAATTTATAAATTCAAAATTATGAAATCCAATATCGACTATTAAAATTATTCACTCATTAATATACTGATAACAGGTTCGAATTAAAAAAAAATAACAAAATTTGCTAATTATTAAAGTTCAGAATGACGATTGATTTCAAATTGTGATGAGAAATACGATAAAACGAGGGCGTTAGCGGAGTGTCGTTAACTCGAGATTTTCTATTTTAATACAGTTGAAAGTTTTCGGAACAATTATTTAGTTGAGCTTGTTAGTTCAAAAAATTCCGAAATCGTAGTAAAATGTTTGAGACAAGCAATTCGTTCATAAAATTCGCGACTGCAGAAAATTGGCTAAATGCCAAAAAATTTAAAAGAAGGTCTCAATGCGCGTCTTTAGCCTATCGTCGGCAATACAATTGCAAAAAAAAACGAGCACCCTGAAACTCAATACGCCTGGATATAGAACACCTTTATACGAAAGAGAAGCGAGTGTTGCTTTTCAAGCAAAAGCTTTTCCTGCCAGCGATGATGTACGCTGCCGAAACTTGGGCATGCTGTGGTTCCGATCTGCCCGGAATGCCGATAGCATAATAAATGCCGCAAAGATGGAGCAAATAATATCTTAAATTATGTTCTGGCAAAGAAATCACCTTGCTAGACGGACGGGCTTCTACATCGCCAATTAATGCTCACCTCGCTCCAAGATCGAAAAGGCCGAAGAAAAGGTGAATTGGTCGTTTGAATCCGTCGTTTTTTTTCAGATTCAATCAATATAAATTAAATACAATTCCAACTAAAAATATTTGTTGTTTATTAAGAAACTAAATGAGAGGTGTTGAATATGAATTGAAAAAAATCGTAAAAATGCTTTTAAAACATTCACAGGATTTGAATGAATAATGGCAAGATGAAAACTACAAAACTGAAAATGGACCCAAATTTCACAATTTTGAATTTCACTGACTAAGAAAATCCATAGGTAGAGCAAATATTCATAGTTTTTTTTGCTTAGAAAAATCTACATACATATTTGGAACGTTCGTTTCAAACTACAAGCGACGGAAAGCTAGTTGGGTAGGAATGTGGTGAATGGCATTTGCTAGTTGGCCGAGTCAGCAGATGACGTCGAAGGACAAGCTCTCTCATTATTAATCGCGTATAGATCAATGGTTCGGTGGAGAATCGCGAATTTCGTGTCGTTTCCGAGCTTCTCGAACTCATTCGTTAAGCGGAACGCGTTGAGCTCGACGACGTCGTCGCACGATTTCAGCCACGCGTCCTGCAATCATTTCGATCAACTCGAATCGCGCTCTCGTCATCGGGGCTCACCTGCAATGTCGCCAATTTGTATCGGTCGGCGATTCGGATTTTGTCGTTTTTGTTGACTTTCACCGTCGACACCAAAAATTTCTCGCATTCATATTTGACAAAATCGATTTTGAACTTCTCGGAGACTTTGAGCAAAAATTCGGCATTGTATTCTGCACAACAGAAATAAAAATAAATAAATTAATTTCGAATTGTTGAATCGAATACCATGGACCGGATAGTGCGATGGATAGATGACATGGAGGAGCTCGATGAACTCGTTCGAGTCGATATCGGTTAGTCGATAATGGTTCTCTTCGTTTGGCTGATTGAAGAGGTTCTCGAAGAATGGCGAGAAAGATGATAGTAGCTGAACAAGATCAATAATCGAAGAAGCAATAGATGGTGAGCGTTTGGCGATTGTAGATTTACGGGTTACGTTCCTCGCCACAAATGATTATTTTCTGTTCATTTTTTATGCTATGCAAATCGCACGAAAAAATAACTCTGAAAATCTCGGCCACGGCCACGTTTTTTCGAAACCAACAATACCGCTGCAAGAATCACGAAATAATATCACATGTGGCTTTAAAAGTGACTTTTATTTTAATAGTTGGTTTTTGAAATCGTCAACAAACAAAATATATACCTATTTATTTAGTTTTATATAATTAAATTAACTAATCAATCAAGTGTGGCCGTGGCCGAACCTAATTTTTAAGGACAATTTTTCTAGGCCGCAGGGGAGTTTTCAAATTCTTCAAATTAATAAAAACTGTTTAAAAAGGCTTTGAATGCTACTGAGTTTTTCGTAGTCCATTTTTTGGAAATTTGCATAGCGGAATTTTTTGAGTTTTTTTTTGTCGCGAAATCTGCATAGTACTATTGAAAATTGTCGAAAATCAAAAAGAGTCGCATGCTCGTAAATCTACCCAAACGCAGAAGTCTCGTGAGGCCGGGAGTTTTACCATTTTGTTGACATAAAGATGATTGTCGCCGATGGAGAGCGTCGTGTCAGCAAAATTCGACGGCTTCGTGAAATCGTATCCTCGCGGAACGTACAGCCCTTCGGCTTTCGTCACTTTGAGCATGAAGTCGATGGTGACGAGGCCGTTGGTCATTGCGAGCAACTCGTTCCATTTGATGAAACGCGGCACCATCGCCTGATTGTGTCGCTTCGTGAACACGTGCGTTCCATTCTTGATCGACGGATTGACCTCGCCGTGCGGCGTCTCGATGACGAGCTTGAACTCGAACTCGGCGTGACACGACCAGAGATTGCTGAGGCTCTCGTGATTGCATTTCAGGCCGAGCGCGAGATACGGCGCCCGACTGATCGGATCGAGTTCGCCGAAGCTCGCTGAGATCACCCATGGGATGTTGAAGAACCGCGACGGCGACCATTCGGCGAGACCGGTGAACGTGGTGACGTCGAACCGGAAATGATAGCAACCCAATACGTTCAGTTTGTGCATCTGAAATTGTCGATTGGCTCATTTTCCCAACAAATCTGATTAATGAGAAGCCTCCATCCCAAATTTTAGGCTCCATCTCACAGCTTACATCTCTTTCTTAAATATCTTGAAACGTCTTTAACTTTGTGCTGATCCTCATTTTTATAAACTTTTCTTCGAAAATATTTTTTTTTCAGAGTTTTGCTATCCTGAGAAAAATGCTGGAAAAACATTTTGCGGACCATTGAATGTGTTCGACGCGGCAATTCAAATTTCAATTCCAACAGCAGGAATTCACTTCCCATTCAACGAATAAAGAGCCGATTCAGAAGAAAAAATAAAATGAATCGAAAATTGCGCATTCGCTTCGAGACCCATCGCATAAATTAATGGCATGCGTCTTTAAAAATAAATTACCGTTTCTTTGCGTTAATTTCAAGATTTTCATAATTTTTAATTTTTTAACGGATTTTCTTGTTTTTTTTTTCTTCTAATTCTGCGATGGGTCTCGATGCGAATGCGCAACCCAAACATTCTAATTTTCGATTCCTTTTTTTTCTTTTCTGCACCAAATTGTAGGTATAAATTTTTCCATTTTTTTTTTATTATTATAATAATTTTCCACCGTCTCGAAAAAAATTTGCAACGCATTTTTTTCGGCAATCTGAGCCTCCTCGATCCAAGCCAATAATGTCTAATCAACCCCATCGAACGCTTAATTATCAGTGTCGAATATGATGGAAATTTCTACAAATTGCTGCGCGCGTCTGCGTCTTCTCCCATCGCGCACTCTCTCAATTTTGTAGATAATTTCTGAAATGCGCAATTTGGTCTCGCAAATAATTCTACAATTTGACTGCGTATCAAAAATATGATTTTTTAAATTCGCGCCAAGAAGCAATTTAGATTTTTTTTAACTTTCCAACATCTTCCTATTCATCGCCAAATTATTTTCGGAGCTCTAAGCTCTAATTAGTTGCCATTATTAATTTATGCGATGGGTCTCGAAGCGAATCGCATTTTTTTTAATCCGGCTAGGCAAAAAATGTGAATTTGAAGAAGGAAAAGCTGAACCCACCGGCACATCGTTGTTGTCATGAATCTTCTTGATGACAACTCTCGCTTCAATCTGCGCCGTGTCATTCGTCACATAGCCATTGTCGACGTCGGTGAAGTCGCTCCATTTCAAGAAGCGCACGACGCCCCAATTGACGGCGTCCTTCGAATAGGTCTTGTGGATGGTCTTGGCGGCGAACGGCGGCGGCGTCGCGTCGTCGCGCGCTCGTCCGATCACACGAAACTCGACGTCGGCGTCGCACTCCATTTCCGATTGGCGGCCCTCGAATTTGCATTTCGCCAACACGCCGAGATAGATCACGCTGTTCGCGTCGAAGCACGTCATCGCCGTGAGACTCCACGGAAGGCCGCCGATGATGTGCGTCGCCGACATTTTGCCGGTCATGTTCAGACTCGACACCTCGGTCAGCTCGAACTTCACGACGCCTTCGGCGCGCGGCGCCTCGTCGTTGTTGGCCATCTGAAGTCGATGAATCAATTCGAGCAAAGCAAAAAAAAAGAACAAATTGAGAACCAACGAAAATCAATAAAGAAATGAGGACGTCGTTTTGGTTCGTGTATTTAAATGCGAGGCCAGAGGCTCTATCTCACTCCCTCGTTTCCATTCTCAACCTGTGTAAACATCGCCACGCAAAAATGCGGACGCATGTACTCGTCAGCGAACGGCATTCATTTTTTGAACGCTTCGAAATTTTAAAATTGAGTTTTGTCCAGCAAAAATCGACAACGAAAAAAAAAATAGAAAACCTCCTTTACTGATATTAAAATAAATGAATTCTTCTGAAAAATTTCAGTTTTTGAATCACTTAATAAATATATATTAATCGCTGCGAGACCAGATGCTTATCGGGCGAAAAAATATGAAATTTTTCGAGGAATTCGAATAATTTGAGAAAAATTCACAAATCTCCACATTTTTTTTACACAAATTGAAAGGCGACCCCACCCCCTTTAAAAACAACCAAGAGGCGCTGATTATGAATTAAAAAATCTACTAAACCCATTTTCAATTGAAAGCTAATTGAAAGGCAATTTCAATGGCCAAAAAGGAAAAGGCAATAATTGAAAATTTGTCGAAACAAATTGTTATCGATTTTCAACGTGAGAATGGTGTTATCTTGACGCGAAACAGTGAAAAACATGAGAGAAATTTGGCATTATGCTAACCCAACCGCCCTTGGGGTCTCGCAGCGAATCAGAGTTGCACGGAACTTAAATTTTCTAAAAGCGGAACACGGAACACAAAAATCAAAAATCTAACTCGAATATTTTGAAATTAACAGTGCAGAATATGAGAGTTTCCAAGTGCTCATTCGACAGGGACCTTTTTTTTTGTCGAACAAATTTCTCCGGCTGTGGTTTTTAACTTTATTAGATTCGCTAGACGTGCTAGGTAAATCAAGCGGAACACGGAATACGGAAATCGGAAGACGGAATTCCGTGCAGCTCTGCAGCGAATGTTTCGAACAAAATCGTTGGAGAAGCGATCGCAAAAAAAAGCCCCCCCACAAGAAAAAAAGAATGAAGTGTTCACCTATCGCGAAACCCTTTTCATGGCGTATGCCCATCAATCTCTTTTCGCTGTCGTCGTCGAACCAAGATGATATCGATGTTCAACGTTTGCTTCAATGTTGAACGAATGTATTGGAATGAAGTGTTGAGACGCGAGTGTATCAGGGAAGCTAATATTGTCGACATCGCGGCGAGTGCGGAAAATTGGTAAAATGTCAAAGAGGTCTCTCGGTGCGCCTTTAACCCATCCTCCATGCATGTGCCCGTAAATCTACACTTTCAGTTGTGCGCCAAGACCACTGCCGTTGTATTTTTGGCATTTTGCCCCGACAATATGCACGGCCTTCACACTAGTGCGATTTAAATGTAAAAAAATTGTCTCAATGGAGCGCACTTGCAGCTTAGCGCTATTCCGGTGCACTCAGGCAAATCAAATAAAATATTTTGAGAATCAAATATTCAGTGATAAACTCTAAAATATTTTGAGAAATTCTAAAGTCTATTGATACTTTCTAAAACTTATTGAGAATCAATAAATTTTAAAAATTTGGAATTTGTAAATTAAATCTTTTGAGAAAGTTAAATCTTTTGAGAAAGTGTAAAGTATCTCAATATATTGTGAGACTTTAAAATTTGAATAGGGCCCTTATGACTTCCACTGACGCAATTTGCGGCGTCTCTTTTTAAGATCTTCTAAATTCCAATAAATAATTTATGTTTTTGATGTTCCTTCCGTTTTTTTTAGCTTTTGGTAATAGTTTCTTCACTTCAGTGATGGACGTATTCATGAAATGCAAGTTTTTATAATAAATGTTTAACACTACCTTAAATCTGCATTGTTTTACATGCTGAATTTGAAACAGTTGTGTCTAAACATGTCATTGCATGAACAGGTTCATGAATTTTAAAAACACGCACAATTATTACAATTAATTACAATTATACTTCAGTTTCTAATGATTTCGATATTTTAGAAGATCGGGAAAAGTGTGGAACAAATATTCCAGAAACATTGGCCGATAGATTTAAGGAACGAGGTAAATACAGCAAATTCAATGAGCAGGTGCCCATGTGGATCACGGCCATGGATATTTTCCACCTTTTTCACGAGGGAACACGTATAATAAAAGGTACTTCAATTATGTCTCTCCTTTTTCAGCATTTAAAAATTGAAGATTGTCTTTTAGAAGTCTTCGTTAAAAACGAAATAAATATTTTTCGATGCGAAGCTATTGATGTGAAAGCGAGACTGCCATCTTCGGTAAAGTCGCTATCAGGAAAATTCAATGACATTAATAGGTCCGAAAAAGCTAGTGTAAGTTAATTTACCACTTGCAATTATCATCCTTTGAAGATTTTTGAAGTGAAAATTGTTTCTAACGCCATGATCGGAACCATCCCTCCGTTAGGTTCAGCTGTTGTGTTGCTTATACATGCCTGCTACCGATGGATGGTGTCACCGACTCGCTTAGTTACAAATACAACATTACCAAACAAAGTAATATGGGATCGTTAGCTATGTACATAATAGAAAATTTTTATTTCAGATCGCAGGTATTTGCAAATTATTAGAAATTCTAATTTTAGATGGGGCGCCTCGATTGTTTTCTGGTTCAAAAGTGCACGTAAGTCGTTTTTTTTGCAATTTTAAGAGTTATTGAACGTTGTAGCATCATGCTATTGTCGTTGATATAAGAAATAATACTAATGATTACTGTATTTATTGTTTCAGCAACTTATATACCATTTGTACAGTAATGTCATGGTCAGCTGTCGGCAATAAGCACGCAAGCGCATGAGCACATTTATCACGTTATCAAGAGAAACATGTGCTCGGAACAGACAAACGGGATTGGATATAGTATTTTGAGAAAGTTAGACTCATTCAGTTATTTTTTAAAACTGGCAATTTTCAGCTATAAACTATATCACGAGATTGTGACTTCATTGAAAATTCGTTTCAACGCGAATCCGGATTTAATTAAGAAGTCATTTTATCGCAAAGAACTTATGAAATTAATCGAAAAACGACAAATTCAATCATCAAAATTTGTAAGTTCAACATTTTCTTTCAATATATGCAACGAATTCCTTATAGCAACGTTGTGCGTCATTCGCAGAAAAAGGAGAAAATGCGAAAAGAATAAATTGATTCATTTATTTTTTTCTGATTTTTATTATTAATATATTCATTTCGCATTAATATTGTAATAAATGAAATGTTCATACATATTCAATTATTATGGATGTTATTACATTCTATTTGTGTGAAAATTGCTCGATAACGTATGATATTACATAATATTGGACAGAGTTTATTGAGAACAATCTAAAATTTATTGATATATTCTAAAGTTTATTGAGACAAATCTAAAATTTATTGATATATTCTAAAGTTTATTGAGACAAATCTAAAACTTATTGATAAACTTTAAAGTTTATTGAGACAAATCTAAAACTTATTGATAAACTTTAAAGTCTCACAATATTCATTGAAACTTATTGATAAATTCTAAAATCTTATGAGATTTCCTAAAGTTTATTGAGACAAATCTAAAATATTATAGAGACACGTTAGCCTCTCAACGAACCTCATAAGATTTTAGAATTGTCTCAAAATATTTTTTTTCATTTGCCTGAGCATAAATTGAACAAATTAAATTTGTAAAATAAATTAGAAACATTCTCAAAATGGAGCGTTTTTTCAATAAGAACGATTAGTTTTAATAATTCTTCCGGTGGATCAGATTCGCCGCAATTTATGGTCTATTTAGTTATAAATTAAATAAGTTATTTTAGGAACATATAAATTAAATAAGTTATTTTAAGAACATGCATAACATTTTTAAATGATAAAATCATAAATTAAACGAAAGAAATACTACACAATTGAATTATGATATAAAAATTGATGATATGTAGCATTGAATACGGAAATGAGGATATAAGGATATAAATGAACATTTGGAAAATTGCAAAACTAATAGGAACAAAATACACTTATCAATTTGGAAACAAATGAATAATCAACAAATACATTTAACAAGATGCTCTTTACCGATTTCATTAGGCAGCTTGAAAAGAACAATTTGATGTTATACAACACAAATGACTAAAAAAATACATTTTTGAGTTGAGGACGTCTTTCCATTGGTCTTTTGGAGTAATTCGGAAGTTAAAAAAAAATCTCGAAAAGCGAATTGTCCGTGATATCGTTTCATCATTCCGCCAGTTTTTGATTTTTGAGATGGAGTGCTTATCTGAATTAAATAAATGAATTCAATACAAGTAGATAAAGACGCAAAAGAGATAATTAGCAAAAAAAAGAAGCTGAAAACGCTAATTTAACGTAAGAACTAACGAAATTAAAAAAAAACAATAAAAAATTATAGAGAACTTCTTGCAACTTCTCCGCCGAAATGACACACTATTAACATTTTAAATTTGCAAAAAAATAAAATATAAACAACTATGAAATGTTTTTTTCCCAAGTATTAACAAACATAATCGTATAAATCAAACCATATAATATAATAAGAAATGATATTAACAGAAGAGAGAGTGAAAAAAAAAACAGAGAATAGGAATTTGAATATTTCTACAGCTCAATCTTTAAAAAACTGCGGGCCAATTAGTAGTGGCTCGTGATTTTTGGCTCGCAAAAAGTGGCTCGTACTCACTATATTCTTTGGCTCACGAATTTTGGCTCGTGATTTTTGGCTCTACTTTTCAAAAATTCTTTCGATGAATGTCAAAAGCTTCAATTATCAAAATGTATCATTGTCGATCTTAGCGCGTTATGAAGATGTCTTTGTATACCACTTTGACATCTGCTGAAGTTTCCACTGCAGGGAAGACTAAATCAAAACAAACATAATCGCATGGCCATGTCGCTATAATTTTCTCTGGTAAATGGTTTGTAAACGTATATGACCACGGTGATCTTCA